CGGGATGGGGAACGCCGGCCGTGGTACTTTATTTCCGCCACAGCGTGCTCAGACGCGCGGCAGTAGCAGTTCTTCCTGCTGCGGGGGAGGGAACAATAATTACGAAGATGGCCGGACCCTTCCAAACGGAATGATGTCAAATCCGAACCAAATGCAGCCGAACGGTGATCAGATCAGACAGGACGCTTTGGCCACGGTCCGCGAAGAATTGAATAAGCGGGACTATTATCAAATGTAAAAATGTCTGGGTCTGGGAAGTTGCGAGATTTGTCACGCTAATTTGGCATGACTCTAAACTCTGTATTGCGCGGCCGGGAAGGGCCCCTCTTGCCTGTTGTGCAAAAACGCAGGTTCTCATGCGGAGTACGCAACCCAGAACCACGGAAAAACTTGTCATGCTGGGCAGCGCATTACAATGTGCTCATTATATATCTCTTTCTGTTTCTTGCATCACAAATTCCAGACCCAGACATTTTTGCATTTCATAACTATCGGAAAAAAGCCGACGCGATGCTGAAAACGCGGGGGGTGTTGACCCTCTTCCAAGCGCGACGCAAGCTGGATGAGGAATTCCTGTCCATGCTGGGGGACCAGGACTTGCTCGCGTTGCGAAACTACAACAGTGCGCAAACGAAAAACACCGCGGCCGTAGGCGGAGGTGGAGCTAATGGCACAAAGGTGGCAGAAGTGGAACCGCTACCGCAGCAGTCTTCTTTCCTCGAACATAAACGGTTCACGACGACCAGCAGCTCTGACGACAGACGCACAATCGCTACCGCTGAGGGCTGTAGAAGACTCCTGTTGCAGGCAGCGCGCGCGAACGACCACGTAAGGGAGCATTTGAGGGACGAGTACGACCGCGATTGCAGCCGAGGTGGAGGAACTACGGCGGCGCAACATCCCGCCGTCGCTACAGATGATGCAAAAAACGACGACGCAGCACAACCTCCCCTCGAGGAGAAAGCGGTCCACTCGCTAAGGCAGGCAAGCAGGACAGCAAGAAGCAGTGTTCAGGATTTCGACGCCGTTGCGCCGTTTTCTTCCTCTCTGCCCGGGATCCACCAAAGCCACATGAAGGTGGAGGAGGCGGTACTTGGACCGGACGGAACGCAACAACTTGCAGTACCCCCAACTCCGATCTACACGATTTCCAATCTGTCTTCGGAAATGAGGGAGAAGCTGGTACAAGATGCAGTGCAAATCGCGAAGGGCGAGAACCCGGCTGCGAATACACCAAAAAATGCTGTAGACAATAAACCAGAGCAGCAGGAGGCGTCGAGCGACCAAGAAGCTGCAGATGCGAAAGCCAAGAACTCAACGGGTGGATCCTGTGGCGACGGGAAATTGCTTGGGAGTATTGGGTGTGGGGGTGCCGGCGACGAGAACAAGTCGGAGCAGTTAGGCGGTCCCACGACAAGTGGAAATTCTACATCTACTTCCGCTGCGGCAGCAGCAGCGTCTTTTGTCGAAGGAGGATTCGGTCAGGGTCGAGGCGTCAGTGCACCTCCCGTTGCGGGTCCGCCGCCCGGGATGCCGATGCTGCGGATGCCGGGGAGTCCGCCGCCGCCACCACCCAGGATGATGGGGCCACCGGGTATGATGCCTCCACCGGGTATGATGCCTCCACCAGGGAATATGATGCCTCCACCAGGAACAGGTCCTCCGCGTGGCCCACCTTTCCCTTCTAACCTCCCACCGGGCCCGTTCGGAACAAACCAAGTTCCACCTCCCATGCCACCACCCGTCCGAACTGTCGTCGACGTTTTGAACACGGTGGCGGATTTGAACACGCAGCATTTGGCGGAGATGACGGGTTTGGATCTGACCGAGGCGGGCGTGCGGAGGGCGGGCGGCTGGATGCGGCTGATCGCGCAAGAGAAGTACTCCCAAATGCTGAACTACATGCCGATATGCAACACAAATTTCACGTATACGTACAAAATGCATGACAAACATGGTCCCACTTGTCATGCTGACTAGGATTGAAGGTGTGTTTTGTCATGCAGAAACAGCATATGGTGCGTAGGCGTACGTGTACGAGAAATTTACAGTGGATAGCCGACGGAGTACCACTCGACAATCCGGACGGAGGAAGATCGGTTCGCGATGCGGGTCGCGTTGGGACAGTCGCACCTGTTGATCAAGAAGCAGGTTCTCGCGTCCCCCTCCGGTCAGGCAATGACCCCGGAGGACATTTTGAAGTCCCAGGGCTACAACACGAAAGTCACGGTGGACCGACCTCTGGCGACCACATTTGATCCGGGCTTCCCCTCCGGGAAGCCGGGGGGCGGGCCGAAGATCGACGTCCGCCCGAAAGCCAGTGTGGACACGCTGGAGGGTCAGGACGATGATGATTTCGCGATCAACATCAACTCCGTCGCCGACGCGGAAAACGAGGCGCAGGGATTCTACCCGGCGAACAACGAATACCGGTTTCTTCCCCGGCCGAAAAAGCGAGCGGGGGTTAAGAGAACGACCGGCGAGGCGCAGGAGGACGCAGATGACGAGGAAGTTGGGAAATTTACGAGAGAGCAGGAACAGCAACAAGCCATCGCCGCTGCGCAACAGCAACAGCAATACCAAGCGACGCAGTTCGCCGGGCCGTCGCAGGTGGCGACATCTGCTTTTGGGGGACAACAACTCCCGGGAGCGCAGGCAGGTGTTGCGGTAGCTCCGCAGCAAATGGTGGCACCGCAGCAGCAGCAACCGCAGCAGTATTCCAGTTCAGCGTCGTTCTTAGCGGAGGTAGAAGGGATTAGAAGAGAAGCGACACAAAAATCGACCTTGATAGTAGAAGCCGGTGGAGACGCAGCTGATGTAGTTGATGCTGGTGAAAAGCGAAAAGTGCTCGTCGAAGATCTAGAAGAGGAGCAGAACAACAGCGATCAGGAAAATAACGCTTTCTTCACATTAACTGAAGACGGCGAATCACACTCTTCGAAAGCAGACGGCGATCCCCTTGACCAAAACTTGGATTCTAGTAGTGCATCCAGTGACGGCGGAGCGAGTTTTGCGGGTAGAGTAATGTCCAAGGTTTTGAAAGAAAACGGTAAGCGGAAGGTGGATGAAAATGCTGCTGCCGGCGCGTCATCCTTCGTGCAGGAGCCATCAGCAGCGGTATACTCAGGAGAATTTTCATCACACTCATCACAAAATCCGGAAGCTGCCACTTCTTCCAATGAACAGCAACTCTTCGCACAGGCGTCCAGAATAGAGCAGACCCGCGGGGGCATTGTAATTTTGCACCAGCAGGGGAACAGTTTTGTGCAGGAACAAGCAGTTCCTTTTGGAACGATGCCGCCAGGACAAGCGCCACCAGGCTTCGCACCATCACAACCCGGCATGATGCCGCCCCCACCACCAGGAATAAACAACTTCCCCCCGCAAAACCTCCCTCCGCCACCCCCAGGCCCACGCCAACACGCACAACAACCCGCACCACTTCCGCCCGTTTACGTCATGGCGTTGGCGGACGTGAAGGATGTCAACGATTTGAAGAAGCTAGAAATCCACGGCGGGTTGTTTCACTACCACAGAGGCTTTTTCGATTTCACCGAATCGGCGGAGGCTTTGAACGAGGTCCGGGTGATTTTGGACAAACTGCAGCCCTGGGAGAAGATGGAGGAAGCGCCCGGGTTTCACGAGAGAAAATCAAATCTGATCGCGGAAACCTTTAGCGGCGGGGCTTTGACCGGGGAGGAGTGGAAGAAAAAGGTGATTGGTGGCACTGCTGGCGGGGAGCAACAGAAGGGGTTCTTCGGAAGGTTGTTCCGGTGAAGAAGTTATTAGAGGGGGAGCAGAAGGATTACATGACAAACTCAATTTGAGTCTTGAAGAAGTGCGTTCTTGAGATTTTGAAGTTTCTTGCTAACAACAAAAATTCCTACGAGGAATTTCCAAAAGGTTCTCATGTTTCTTGCTAACGACGACAAAATCGAATAAAATGAAAGTAGAAGTATAGTTGCGGATTCAGTATCTAAGTACCTGTATCTATGTTCAATGCAGTTTGATGCGACAGCAGTTGTAGCACGAGCACGTGCACGACCGGAATTAAGTTTTGTACAAATGAAGTTTTGATCGCTTTTGTTTCACAGTTTAACAGAAAAAGTCTACCCTAGAAAAAATGAGAAATATTCCCACCTAACTGTACCAAAAGTAATTCTAGTACCTCAATAAATCTTCGTCTTCCTCAACAATGACAGCATTTTACCGATTATACAAACAGATGCAACAAACACACTGTACAATGATAATAGCAGTAGCTCAATCTGATGCTACAACAGATTCAAGTTGCTACGCGCAGCAAAAAACTTACACTAAAAACGAAAAGTTCCACATTCGAAGAATCTACTACTACCTACGCTTCGGCTTTCTTATTCTGTAGACGCAAAGCCACCTCATGGAGGTGATTGAGCTTTTGTTTCTCTGTAGTTGTTTCCCTAAAACCAGCTCAAATGATTTTTGTGGACGTTATTCCGTCTATGTTCGTGCAGCTTGTTATGAATGGCCAGCGACAGCTGCCAATTGCAAGATGAAGCAGTTCGCGGCACCACGTGACGCGAACTTCTTGCAAAAATGTTTCTGTGCGCGAAGTAAAAAGAAGTTGAAACCAGAAGACCACTGTAGCGCCACGTATTATTGTTGGAAGCACTGAACAACAACAAGATGAATAAAGAATAAGTAAAAAGAGTAAAGCTAAACTGTACAATATAAGATAAGTATTGACAAAGTTGTTGTGATAGGTACGTGAGCACTACTTAAATGCTGTTACTACACAGCTTTGCCGCACCGCCCCGGGCTCATGGGTTTTGGAGGTGTGCTGGGTTCGGATAATTGACGGAAGGACGCGGCTCCTTGGAAGAGCTAAGAAGCAGCGATCAGGTTTAGCTGCAAGAGAGGACGACGAGCGTGCCGCATTTGTCATTGAGTGTGTAAGTGCACACCGTAAATCGAGCGAGTGATGCCGAAGTTGAAGTCAAGTCAGCGGGTACAGGAAAGCATCAGATTCAGATCGAGAGGACTCATTTCCATGGCGAGGCGCGTAATAGTTGTTGCTTCTGCCGTTCCTGTTTTCAGAATCAGAGCGAAATGGAAGACGTAACAGATGGCGCAAAAGATGAAGGCGGGCCGAAAATAGAGCGAGGCGTGGCCGCATTGGCTTCAGGTGGGAAAGTGGCCTCCTCGTCGCATGGTTTATGCGACAGTGTGTTTTTGGCAGCGCCCCGCAGGATTTTGGCAATGGGAGCCCCACGCTACTAACCCGCGGCGGCCTTTGGTGTAGATTGCCCTCTCTTGTTGCCCCGCTGAAACGCCGGCGCTCGCTTTGACCTTATTAAAAAGGTAGAGGAAGTGGGGGCGGCGGCGGCTGCGAGGTTGGCCGCGCCAGGTATGCAAGATCAAAGCCCGACAAGCCTCGCGCGCCAGCTGCATGGGTGGCGGCGGCGCGGCCGTCTTTTCCTGCAGCCCCGCGCCCGCACGGCGCGAGCTCTCGGTGATGACAGCGCCAGGCGAGAACGCCCGGCCTGTCTTCCGTGCGTGGGCCGGCCGCCTGCGCCGTTAGTTTCTGTCTCACCGCGGGGCCGCCGCGGGGTCTCTGGCTTGGCCAGCTTTGTGGCCCCTGTGCCAAAAAGTCACTTTGTCACAGTCGTGCAAGAAGGAATGTCCTTCGGTCTCGCAAAGCATGGCGCTGAGTTCCCAGAGGATCGCGAAAATCTCCCGGGCGTTGAGCGGGCCCCTGAGGCATTGGCCCGGCATGCCAAGGGACGGAGCAGGCTTGGCGCCGCTTGCGGGCCTGCCGGGCGCCAGCCTGCGCCCGCGCCTCCCGCGTGGTGCCTTCCCCGCGGGACGCGCCCGCGCCCCGGGTGGAATCTATCAAGTGGGCGTGGGGTGGCCTGCCTGCTGGGGGCCCGCCCGGCACTTCCGATACACCCACGAGAGCGCGGGGCCTCGGCGCGCAACAGGAGGCGTCCCGCCGGGAGCGAGGCTGATTTTGATGAGGTTGATAGCCATAGACATAATGCTCTGGCGCGTTGCTGGTGTTGCGAACAACATTTCAGAAGCTCGGCCACCTGCAGACGAGATGATGAAAGTTGATATTTTGATGTGTGGCAACCATGAAAAAGAAAAATGGGTCCTGTATACTGTTAGCGCATTGCTTTGGTGTTTTGGGTTTTGTAGATGTTGGCTCCCATGAAAGTGGGGCGAGACGCTTTACTGCGATGAAGCTAAGTAACATGTGTAGCAAAAAGAGGGAACGAGTGTAATAGTAATGCGTTAACGCTTAAGCGCCCCACCACGCATCTTCAGTGAGGGACAAGCGCGACAGCGTCGAGCGTGTGGTGACGACGATAACGAAAGGAAAGTGAAGGCATCATGAGGTGGAGAGGCGGAGAATATGTTTTCGTTCTTTCTATAAATATGTCAATGAGCAGCGTGCGTTCTTCTTGCCGCTTTTGTGTTTTCAGAGCGAAGTGGAAGACTTAACAAATGCCAAAGTAGATGGCGACAACGAAGAATCACGTCGAGGTTGCGACGCGGGGCGGCTTGCTAGCAGTGCTTGCCCTGTGTAGCCTGTGGACTTCGCGGGGCGCGCGTCCAGATGTGGAGGGTCGAGCGAGGCCTTCGGCGCAACGCGAGCGCGACGGACTGACGACGCACATCAACCCGCTCGCGCGGCGGCAGCGAGACCGACGGCCCCAATGAAAAGCGAGACCGACGGCCCCAGTGCAGATTTCTTGTCGAGACGAACTCCTGGGGCCGGCCGGCGAAGAGACGCAGCAGAATGCCGCCGGTTTTGTGTGTCTTCCTGGACCCCGCAACCCGCCGGGGCCCCCGTGGCCAGGCCAATTCGTGGGGCGGCTTCCTTGCTTTGGCGCTGCCTTCTGGCCGCGTGTCTCCCAGCCTCCCTGCTGGCCGCGCGCCTCCTCCCGTTGGCCCCGTTCCTGCCGCCGGTGTTGCCGCGGCGTTTGGTGGAGGTGCGTGGGGGCGCTTGGCGGCGCGGCCCGCCCAGCCTTTGCGCCCAGCCATTCGCCCCCGGCCTTGCGCCGTTCACCGACCCATAGCGGCAGCTGCCCCGCTTAAATGATTATTGGGCTGTGTCTGTTTTGTTTTTCCGGCTCGGCGGAATGAGGGTCAGTTGGTTCGCGCGGCGGGTTTTTCGCTGGCGCTGCGGATGTTGACCATGACAGGGAAGATCAGTCGGCAAGATATCTCTCGTCCGGCAGTAGCGCGTCGCTCTGTTATCTGTTGACGGTTTGGCGTGATTGACATTTTGCGCGCGTTCTTCTTCGGAGGATTTTGTGGGGAGTTGAGTGCGCCAACGGCTGTTCCCCGCCCTTGCTTCGCCTTCCATGCGTTTCTTCCTGTTCGACCGTGCGTCCGCGTAATCGCAGACGGACCAAATTTCTTGTTCATCCGCGTACGCCTTTGAGCGTCAACTTGTCGAGCGTGTTTGGTTGTGCCGTCCAGTGAGTGAACTCAAATGTAGTTCGGAGCAGCTAGCAGGAGCTGCGATTACTAAGCCTCCATGAAGTTCTTGTAAGCGCTGGCGTTGCTCATTACTTTTACTCTCAGGCTCTTTTCAAGGGAGTGGCTGCCACAGCCTCAACAAGCTCTGCTAGCTAGTACAATGTACATTGAGTGATGAAATATATCTACATACTCGCATATAGATATATTGCATCAAGATGATCTGTGCTGCAGATGCTGTCATGCAACGGGGACGGGCGGCATCCTTGACTCAGACCGTTTTCGGAAGTGTGCAAGATGAACTAGAGTGAGCAAAAAGGTTTGTCTCTACGTTCAAAAAATCCAAAATGCAGGACAATTCTACTACCCAGCAATCCACCGCCTCCTCCAGCCGCCGTCCCAGCAACCTCCGGGTGGAAACGGGGCCAACAGCTTCCGGCAGCGACTCCCGCAACCGCAATGACCCCATCGAACTCGCCCTCGATGACGAGGACGACGGGCAGCACTCCGGTTCCGTCTCCGTCTACTCCGCCCCTGCGACGGTGGGCGGCGATGAGTCTCCCTCCTCGCAAAGTCAAAGTGCGGGCAGCGGGGTTCTGGGCACGTTCTTTTCTTCCACCGTGGGGATGTTGTTCGGCGTGCGGCCCGAGGGTCAGCAGGGGATGGATGTGAACGTGATACAGCAGGGAGAAGATGGGACAGGTTCTGCGGCACTAGGGACGCAGACGAGAACTGGCGCTCCTGCGCCGGCGGGGGCGACGACAAAATTGGCCTGTAATTGATGATCTTTAATCCTGCATTCAATTTCAAGTGTAGTGCTATTGGTGTTAATATACACAGCTGCGATCACCTGTTGTTGCTGTGCACAGTTTCAGTTCGAGAGCGTGGAAACGTACAGCCATTATAGTGAGCAAGTACGTTCTTGATTTCAAATTCGGAGCGAGCAAAGGGTTGATTTTAAATTCGGTTTCAAACAAACTCACCCTCAGCTCCCCAAAGCAGTCACTCGGGCAGCTCGTCCTCTTTCCACGATGCAGACGAAGGTACGGAACCTCTTCGAACCGCGTCCGTCCCCTCGTCCCCGAGCAAATCCTCCGGGAGTACGCCGAATCATGGAAAATCCGGCTTACTAGACTCCAACGTCGCCATGCCATTAACCGCACCGGCCGCCGCCGGACAAACGATGGCAAACTTGGATTTGTCGCTGACAGTCCCAGGGACGAGTAGCTCCACGAGCTTCAACGGGGCAGGAACTGCGAAGGGAGGAAGTGGGAGTTCATCCGGAGCAGTTTCTAGCGTGAAAGTAGTCTCGCCTTCTTCAGGTGTGCGATCACCCACCTCACGCACAGGAGCTGCACAGCAACTACAACAGCATGCGATAAACAAGCCCACACCCTCCTCTTCCTCCCGCTCTCCGAAGCCTGCAAGCCGCCTTTCGCCGCCGGCAAGAGGTCCTTCGAGCAGCTCTACCGTCCGGCCGCGGGAACAGCAACTGCGAATCTCCACCAGCTTTGCAACAAGCGACAACCTAGATTCCGGTCCGCAGACGGTGTCCAGTATGCATACCCAGGGCGAAAATTACGATCCGAAATCGGTTTTGAACCAAACCGCCCCGGCCAGGAGTTTGATGGCGCAGCAGATGTTGGTGGCTGGCGGAACTGCAGCAACGTCAAGCCAAGCGTACCAGAACCAAAGGTCACCTGGTAATAAAACAACTTCTCCCAATGAGAAAAAAAACTGGTCAAACGCGATGATCGCAATGGAGCTGTTGGAGGAGATTTACCCGAAAAACTGGCTGCAAAACAAAGCGTTCACGGAATTCACCAACGAGATGAACAACATTGACTTAACCGACCTGTACGACAAAACGCCGAACGCGCGGAATGACACCTTCGCGGAGTTCCGAGAAGCTGTGATCAAAACGATGATACAAAACCGATTTGGAAGTCCGGCGGGAGGAGCGAACAAGAAACTGTCGCAGTCACAGTCGCTGGTATATGAAGATTGTTTTGTCTGGTAAAGGTAACAGATGCAGAAGCATAATGTATGAAATGCGCATGGCAAACCCGATTTTTCAAAGAACGCACGCATGACAAAAACCTACAGTCCATGACCCGCGGTCAATCCCAAGACGATTCGTTTGAAGAGACGGTGAAGACGATTCGGGAGCCCTTCGACGAAACGGGAGACTGGCAGTGGCCGGTTTATCAGGTAAAGCTTGTTGATATCATGCGTAGAGCCATTCACTTCCACTAACCGTTCCTATTCCAATGCCAATACTTTGCATCGAATTTCGCCGTTCCGAAAACCTAAATTATAAACTGAAACAACCGATGAAACAACAACAACACTTTCAGCCCCGATCAGCTGCAAATCTCCCACCAGCAAACTCGCAATTTGGCTCCCTGGGTTTCAGCGCGATGAGCGGAAACGCCAATCAGCAGCAGTTCTCGCAGCAACTACCGACGATCGGTGCCGGAGGAAGCTCCGCGGCCTCCTCGGTCAACAACTTCAACGCAGGGAGCACTTCCGGCGGCGGGCAGCAGCAAGCTACCAGTCCACAGTTTTCTGCGGCGGAGCAAGCTGTTTTTCCCCAGCAGCAACAGCAGCAAACTCAGCAATTGATCCCGCTCTCCGGGTTATCTCATTCGGTCGATTACCAACAAGAGTTCCAGCAAGTCGCAACGCAACTTTACGGGTCTGGATCGCTTTTCATACCCGGGCAGCAGCAGCACGTCGGAGCGAGTCAGTACGGCGTGGCTCCTGTTGGAACTGGTACCATGAACTTCGCTACCATGACGGGCGGGAATAATCCAAGCACGGTGAACAGTGCGACTTCCCCGTCGCCCGAGCTGTTCTCAAGGGAAATATCCGGCGATGTGAGTCACGGACAGCAGTATCTTGCTGGTGCTGGAACCATGATGTATGGAGTTGGTGATCCAAATTTTCAGCAGCAACAGAGCACAAACACCGCTGCGAATTTGTACAACTACAACGCCGTCGGCGGTACCTTCGCATCACAACCTGCCACAGGGTTTGAATTGAACAGTGCGGCGAGCACTTTTGTTCCATCGTCTACTGCAGCTGTTGGCTCAACTACCTCGACTGCAAATACAGGTTTTTCCACCTCATTACGAGGTGCAGGTGGACATCATCAAAATCAGCACAGCTCTTCCTCCAGCTCGCAACTACCCTCCAACATCTCCTCCCAGAATTCCATCCAGAAGCCGCAGCGGACAGTTCTCTGCCTCGACAAACTTATCCCCGACACCAGACCGCAGTACGGCCCGAGCAACGAGATTGACATTTATCCAGAAATTATCAGACGAAAAAGTGTAGTTTACGTTAACGGCTTTGAGGCATTGCAATCATGCATGACAAATCTTCGCTATCATGCATGCTGTGCAATACAAATCTAGGCATCATTTTTCGTACATTCCTTCATGCCAAATTCCGTTAACGTTAACAATTTTCTGCTTGATAGAAATGGAAGTCGACCCGGAGACACTCCTGGTTTTCCCGGGGAAGAAACGAAAACGGAAAAGGAAAAGACGCAGCCGGAAGAAGAACGGAGCAGATGGAGGTGAGGGAAATGAGGACGACGATGCGGAGGGAGGTAGCGCGGATGACGATGTTGAAGCAGTTGGAGAGTTGGATGCGAGGGGATCGGTTTCGGCGGGTGTGAGTTCGAAAAATCTTGTGCCGGCATCGAGTACTTCTGCAGCAGCAGGAGCTACAAACAGGCAAAACGCAATGGCCGGAGCACCGGGCACTGCCACTGCTGGTGCTGCAAACAAGTCATTTCCCGCGCAGCAGAGCTCTCAGCACCAGCAACAGCAGTATCACCAATCTTCACGCGGCGCTCCACCGCAGGAGCTCCAGTCGCAAGATTCGTGGAGAAGGCAGCAATCGAACACCTCGTCGAACAGCCAGGGAACGCGACAGTACTCATCCAGCAGTCAGTACGCAACTCAGGGTGGATACAACAGCTACGGAGGAGGCGGTGCATACAGCAATCCAAATTCTGGCTACGGTGGCGGAGGGGACAGCTACAATTATCCGCCTGCTGGCCCTAGATCAGGGGGCGGGAGAAATGTTAGCGCAGCGTCCTCTTCCAGCTACAACCAGCACTACGCGACAGGACAGGACAGTTATCCGCGGCAGCACAGCGGAGCCACTTCTTCGTCAACGTATTCGCAGCAAGAAGGGTATAATGTTGACCGGATGAACAACCGCGGCCAGGAACAGCAGTCATTCAGCTACGGAGCATCAAGTGGCCAGTACGGGGGTACATCTAGCGATTCAAACCAGAAAGGCGGCGGCAGGAGCAGCGGGAGTAAGGGACATCCCAGCAGACCTCCTGGTTCTGAGCAGGGCTACAATCGTGCTGGGGGCAGCTACGGATCGTCCACTGCGTATCAGGATCAGCAAGGTTCCTGGTCTTCAGGTACACCAGGCTACAACCAGCAGCGGCAAAGCGGTGCCGGCGCGTCTTCCTCGCCTCAAACGTCAGCTGTGTCCCCGCAGCCGTACGGGTCTCCTGGGTATAACAACACAAGCAGCGGTGGCTACAACCAGTCGCATCAAAACCAGCAATACAGCCAGCAAAGTCAATACGGAAGTGGTCGAGATTCCGGAGCAGGTTCGTGGCGAGCGGGCCAGCAGGAGGATCCAAGGCACACGCCGGATAGAGGCGGCGGGGGCTACAACAGTGGTAAAGGCGGGTATGCTGGAAAACAAGGTGACACAAGCTACAGTACTGGAGGACCTTCCTCGTCGTCAAAAGGTGGCAAAGGATCTTCTGGGTCAGGCAGAACGGGATCGTGGCAGTGAGTTGTTGTTTTGTACGTTTCATCCACCGTTTTTTGCAATTGCCTGCGCCTTCAGTTTCAGAGGGTTTTTTTCAAGAAAAATAATCCACGTATCATTCCAATTTTGCGACGAATTCGTTGACACTACAACGCGCCGAATATGATTTGAGATTTTGACCACGACCGAGATGGTCAATTGACAACGTGTGTAAATGGAGATCACAAATAAAAAAAATTAAAACTTCCGGAGGACAAACTCTGCGTACTGCTGTTGGATTAAACTAGCAGCATATTATGGTTCTCGTAGCAGATCGAGACCGAGACCTAGTGTCCGTTTCAGTATGCTCTGTGTCCGCATTGCGCTGCAGATGGACCAGTGTCTGCGCTGCAGATGGACCAGTGTGAATGTTATTTCGCCGGCGTGTTCGCGAAAACGAAGTGTGTTGCGTGTGCCACGGCAGAGCGGGTAGTGGGAAGGCAATGAAGTGCCACAGCAAGAAGAAACGCGCAAGGCAAGAACGAGAGGAGAGCAGGATTGGAGTGGGCACGTAAGTACTTAGAGAGATTTCTTCGTGGGATGTGTGGCAGATATTTATTACGTCACAGACTGTCAGAGATACACGAACACGAAGTTTACAAGTGTGGAGAGTTCTTTTCTTGGATCATAGTCTTCTTGTTTATTGTTGGATCACGAGGACTTTTTGTGGCAGGAATACGCTGCTCAGTGGCGACGTGCTAAACAGTGCCCGGATGATGACGCCTGCGAGGACGGAGCACCCCAGGAGCGGCCTAGTGCTGGCCTACAGCCTCCTTCCAGGATTCGCCAGCGTTGTGGTGGCCGCCAGGCGCCGGGCGTGTCCGAGCTCGCGGCCAATTTCGGCCCCCTAGCGGGCAACGAATGCGGGGTGTCCCGACTCGCGTCCGTTTCCCCGCCGACCGGTAACCGGGCCGCCCAGCTGTTGAGGCAGCAGAAAGCCACGGGGGCCGCGATTGTGTTTCTGTGGATGACGGCTGCAGCCAATAGGGGAAAGGGCCCAGCGCCACGGTCGCGCCATGTCTCTACAAAGCGCGAACGCGGTCCGTCAACGGCGGGGCCCCTTGTTTGATGTTGTTGACCATGCTGGCGCCGCGGGTCCCCGTCCATCCTCCGCGCGCCGGCCCGCTATTCTTTTGGGGCGCTGCTGAGGCCATTGGGCGGCCCTTCGCGCGACCCCTTTTGGGCCGCGAGATGCTCGCGCGTGGCGGGCGCCTCGCGTGGAAAATTGGCCCAGTTCTGAAGGTGACTGATGGGGCCTTGCCGGTGATTTGGCAAGGCTGGCGGGGGGCCCCGGTGCAAGTGCTTTGGCCCTCGATTATCACTACCGGGGCGTGATGTTTGTGTGCCTTCCCCGCTCGCCCGATGCCCTTGTGGCTTCAGATGCAACTAGCCGGGCGCCGCCGCGTCGCCACGGGCGTGCGGCACGCCGCATGACGTTGAGGCGACGTTAGCACCCCTCAGTATCAGTAAGAGACGAGTGCGTCTTTTCTTTGTTAAGTGTTTGGATTTCATACTCACAGACGCGGCGCGCATCCCCACAGGACAGCGTCTTCAGAAGACGTGGTAGGATCTGTGTATCGGCACAGGCACCGTATGTGTTGGTGGGGGGCAATGAAGTGCGACAGCAAGAAGGAGTGCACAAGGCAAGAACGACGAGAGGAGAGCAAAAAAGCAGCTGGAGCGGGCACGTACTCAGAGAGATTTCTTCGTGGGAGGTGTGGCAGAGGCAGATACTACATCACAGATTTACACGAAGTTTGCAACAATTAGAAGTCTGTCTCTTGGATCATAGTCTTCCCGCGACTTCTCGCTTCACGTGCTGAAAGATGTCCGGACGATGCTGCCTCTGGGGGAGGAGAATTGCAGGGGCGCCCTGGTGCTCTTGGTCTGCCGGCTCTGTCCTTCGCCTGCCGGTGTGTTAGTAAGTGGCCGCCAGGATTCCGCGGGAAAATCAAAACGACCCGGCTTTTGGAAATCGAGAACCAAAAGCAAGGAAGCCTGTCCGAGTTTGCGGAAGGTCGGCGGCTCCGTCCCCAGCCGACGACGTTGCAGACCGATGAGGCACGCGCCCGCGCGCCCCGCCCATGCCGATCGCAAAAAGCCGGGCCGCCCTTTTGCTGGAGGAGGTCCCGGGCGCCGTTTGCGCCGCTGGCGTCGCGGGTCCGTCTGGTCTCCTCCGGGGGAGCGCCGGCGCGCCATTCTTCCAGCAGGGCGGGCGCTGCTTGGGCCTGCCGGCTGGCAGGCCTTACGCTCCCCCCTGCCCCGGGCGCGAAAGCCTCGCGCGCCGCGCTTTGCTTGGCGCAGTGGGCCAGTTCTGGCCTGTGCAGCCCCGTTGGTGATCGGTCCGGCGATTTGGGGTTGCGGAGTGCCCCGCCGCCACGACTTTTGCCCTCGATTACGATTGCCAGGGCGTGACTTGTTTGGTGTGTCTTTTCCGCCCACCGATCACGCCCTTGTGGATGATTTCAGATGTGGCTAGCCGGGCGCCGCGACGGGCCGCCTGCCGATCCCAGCAGCGAGCCCTCAGCATCAGTGAGGGATTATGAGTATGTGCTTTTCGCTATCGCTTTAAGTTGTACTATTATCTAGGTAACTTGCGGGTCCGCGTCGACGCTCATAGACGCGGCGAGCAATGCTATCGCGTCAGTGTCTTCTCGCCCGATTCGTGCATAGCAATCGGCACAAGGGTGTGACGGCCTTTTTTCCGGTGCCAAAACACAACGGACGCCAATAATAGCAGAGCAGCCCTGGTGCTGGTACTAGAAGCACTACTTCTTACTTGTTGCTGGAGTGTCAAGAAGCCAAAGATCATGCTTCTTACCTCCAGGTGCTTCACCCTCTCCTGGTGTACCAAGAAATCGGTTTGTTTTTTCTGAAGAATGGATCCAGGGTAGCTCCTCTAGGTTGTAGGGGCTAACAGGTGTCTTTCCAGCCACCACTTACCCTGTCGGCGTAAGTCATGCCATCTCTAAGTTCATCCTCTTCATCACAAGCAGGCGGCAAAAAACCTTCAAAGATGGACAAAACCGTTCCAAAAATCGACGACAGTGACAGCGATAGCGACACCCCGGGCTTCGGTGCTGCCGCACCGGTGCCGAAGCGAGCCAGCAATGCGTTTCGGCCACCGCCACCGCCTGGTACATTTTGCATGTTATGATGCATTTGCGACTTTACTATTGATTCAGATTCATGATGACTAGCAGTCGCAAGATTCTATGTCCACTAAAAGCGAGAGCTTGCAGCGATGGAAAAAACTCATCACAGACCCCGCACCCTCAGACGCAGATGCGAAAAAGTCGACACCGTCCGTCCCGAAGTTTCCTGGCTCGGCGGCTTCAACCGCCAAGAGCAAAACGGCGGCGAGCAATGGGACAACTGACGCGACGAGCTCCTCATCCTCGACTTCCGGGGCGACGACCACCGCCCAAAATGACTCTTCGACAACCGGAACTGGTGCAGCCGCCTCGGCTAAATCCTCCCTCTCCTTTACCGCCCCACCGAGAGGCGGTTTATCCAGCATCAAAGAGGAAACCGTTTCGGAACGAGTTTCCGCCGGCGGGCAAGCAGGCGGCGCTGCGGGCCAATCTACGAGTAAAGCTGCTGGTGGTTCTGGATCTACCACGTCGAACAGCAAACCGTTGAAAGTATCCTCCTTTCTCCCCTCTTTCCTCCGGAATAAGAACAAGATGCCGGCGCAGATGAAATACGAAATTTCGGACGAACTAAGAGAGGAGTTCGAACGAGCCCGAAGGGAGCAGCAAAGACTCGTGCAACAAGCCATTCACGAGAAAAAACAACGGGAACGGGTTTCCGACCGGGAAGCGGTCCAGCAACTACACAGAGCGCAAGCCGCGATGGGGATGCAGAAGGAAAGTTCTGCCGGTTTGCAGGGCTCCCCAACCGGCTCCCAAGTTTCGCAGCAGGAGATCTCCGACCCGAGATTTGCGTCGTTTTTCACGGATGAAAGGGTGGAGGAATTGGTGCAGTACGCGATCTATCTCGGCGTGGATTTGGAGCAGCAACCGCAATTGGTGCACGTGATCCGAGATCTCTACTACGCGCCGTTACCAAGTGGGTGGACAGCACACAAGACCAGTGAGGAGTGTGATTTTGGCTCGGGATTCACGTATTACTCGAACCAGGAACTGGGGTCCAGATGGCAACACCCGAGGGAGGAGGAACACATTGCGATTCTGGCGGAGAAAGTGCAGAAAGTCATACCGGGCAGCAGGATCTGGTTCGCGAAGAAAGTGAATGAGGAGAGGGATAAGCAACGGAAACGGTTTGCATGGTACAATAAACTACTGGGGAAGATCTAGATCTTCTTCTCCTGCTGCAGTTCAAAATGTTGAGCTACGAAGTACAACCACGCATGATGAGCAAATTTTGCGTACTTATGTTGTACATACAACAAACCACTTTCTGTTTCTCTATCATCAGGTACACAAAGGAGCTCTCCGACAAGCGCCCCCTTGTCCGCGCAGGCGAAAAGCCGCATTTCGACCCGCAAACCCAGATGCTCGACTGCGTCATCCGGGACCAATTCCCTCTCCTCCACGCAGCAGTCTTAGTTCTTTTCGCCAAGTACTTCCAAGTCAAAGACTACCCGGATTCCATATGGCGTTCTCAAGCGTTACATTCTGAACTGTTACATGAATTTGTCATGCAAAACTACTTTGAGCCGGGCGGTGGATGATCAAGCCGCTTCGTATGACAAATCTCCGAAAGGCTACGCAGCATCTTCTAAGTAAATCCGTGCCAAATCTGTGATGCGAAAGCAGCAAGCTTGCGCCTTTGATTGTTGCGGCTCTTGCATCAAACGTTTGAGAACGCCATATTCCATGGTCTGGGGCATGCCGTTTTTGAAGATCGCAGCGCTCTGCCCCATCCCCGGCCAGTGGACCTTCCGGTTCGACGACGTGCAGCAAGACGCTGTTTATGTGGAGACAAGAGGGGCGGGAAATAATACCTCGGAACATCAAACGAGGTTCTCCCGACGACATCCTTTGGACGCGTTTTTCTTCGAACTATTGAAGCGGTTGAGGAGACGGCATGTTAGATGGGTGCAGGAAATGGACCCGTTCGTCCGGGATGGAGTGGTAGCCGGGTTCGTGAACACCTTCTTGATCGACGATTCTGGTTACGCAAAGGCGACGAAAATCCCGCTGGAGCCTTTACCCTCTTTCCCGCACACAGGGGACAGACTAGTACCATTGGACGAGGATAGCGCCGTGTATCAGATGGTGACTGCGCAGGCGGAGATGAACCCTCTGTACAAACCGCAACTGAACTTACCGAGCGTGGGTGGCGGGTTGACGGAGTACGAGCAGGCGTTTCAACAGCAGCAGCAGTTATTGTTGCAGCAGCAGCAACAGGTGATTTACATTTATTTGTTGCGATGAATGGATGCGATCTGTATTGCAAAAAACCCACTATAGCTGAGCGATTGCGAGATGAAAAAGAAAAACAAAAAACAAAAATCTGTATTGCAAAAACCCCACTACAACAGCTGATGATGGCGCTTAACCCGATGATGGCGGCCGCCAACCCGATGGGCCTCAACCCCCTGGCCATGCAAATGGCCGCGGCGAATCAGCTCTACGGTGGCGCTGGCCCGGGTCACACGGGCATGCCAATGGTCGCGCCCGGAGCCAGCGGCCCGGTTGGGAGTCCGCAGTTTGGTGCGCACCAGCCCGCTTTCCCAGGTCCGGGTGGGTTGATGGCGGCAGCCGGGGCTGCAGGGTACAACCATCCGGCAACCGCCGGCGCCGAAGCGATGTACAATCAGTACGCGACCCAGCAAACCAACCCTCATGCGCAGTACGACCACGGCGCGGCTCTCGCTGCTTACGCGGCGGCCGAAGCGCGGAATCACGACACCACTCCGTACGAACAGTCGAAACAATCGCAGCTGAAACGGAAACAATACAGAAGCACATCGAAAGCCAGCCCGGATATTGGGCCGAATGGAAGTACGAAAACTGGGAATCAAAACGGGAAGACAGGGAGGAAGAGTTCGAAAGGCGACAGAAATAAGAGACGACCGGCGAGACAGGACATCAGTTCCAGTTCACCGTCGGAAAATAACGCGGACTCCGGTTCAGACACCGCGTCTGAGGACGACAACAACGACACAGCTAGAGGTGACGTCCAGGGCGCTTTCAAGAAGAAAACTGGCAGCAAGAGATCCGACCGGGATCGGGCGTTGGTCGGCGGATCTGGTTCGGCTGCGAATGTGGTGGAAAACTTAGTTTCTGGCGTCGGGAGCGCCGTGATGGGCATGTTTGGTGGGGGAGAAGAGGAGAACAGCAATAACAACGGCAATACGAAAGTGCTTGGGGAGAAAGACAATAACAACAACGTAGTGAATATGGCGTCTTTCCGGAACAAAGCGGCTTCAGGAATCAAATCTTCCGGAACTGCGACGCCGCCAGAAGTTGTCAACAACCAAATCATTCCGCCCCCGCCTCCACCGCCGCCCCAGGAAAGCAACGACGGCCAACAACGAGGCAGATCCGGGATACCGCTGGCAATTCCAAAGGTTCCGAGACCACCGCCGCAGCGGGTTTCGGCTCGGGAGTCGTCTCTGCCGCCGGTGAGGTCAAACTTGCCACGACCGCCGTCGAGAACATCCAGTGTGGGGCCACCGCCGGCCGGAAGGGATCCGGAGCTGAATAAAGTTTTGCAGGTACATACAACTGGCTACGACATGGAATCTTGCTGCCCATGACAAACGCGAGAGAAAACTCTTTGTCATGCAGAAGTGCAATTCTTCTCGTGATCTGTAATGTGAAAGTCACAACTCACATCAGGTAATCCGCGACATTGAGGACTCAGGTCAATCGCCCGAAGAAGTTCTCCCCCTCCTCAACGCCCTCCGCGATGTCAACATGACGGTGGACATTCTGAGGAAAACGAAAATCGGGGTTTTCACCCAGAAATACAAATCGCACAAAGACGAGCGGGTTCAATCCACGGTCCGTGACCTCCGGCAGCAGTGGAAGGATTTGATTCAGGTCATGGCGAAAAACAAGGAGGGCAGTCACCAGAACGCGCAGGCCAGCCCGTTGGCGGAAACGGGAGATTTGTTGAACTTACGGAGTTCCACTGGATCGTTGAATTTAGACGATCTACGTGGCTCGAACGATCGGAATTTGAAGGAAAAATTGGAATCCGCTAGGGTGAAGGCGAAAACGGGGAGTTGCTCGTCGAACGCGGGTGCTAGTTCTACTTCCGTCGCTTTCAAACTGCAACCGCGGAACAAGGAGAGGAGAAGAAGGGAAGTGGTGTCGGGCTCAGACAGATCACAGTCCGTTTCGAGTAAGGAGAGACACTTTCATCACGCCGCCTCTCGGGGTAAGGACCAAGAGGCGGAGGGACAGGCTGGTTCTGGTAATACGAAGAACCGTACTTCCTCTTCCCATCACCGACGAATTCGCGAAGCCTTCCGCGATTCATCCGCGCTAGCGTCGGCGAGAGGACAAAACGGAAAGAATTCGGCGCGAAACAGTAGTCCTTTGTCATCTTCGGGAAATGAGATCGATTCTTTGGGCCAGTCCAGGAGTTCTGGGACCACTTCGAAACTGTCCGTGTCGCCAGCCAGTCAAGACGGACTTTATTCCGATGAGCCGATAAGGCACAATAATTTTTCCAGGAAGAAATTCACGCCGACAGAACTGGTCCCTTCTCTGGGTTTAGATTTGGTAGAGATGGGCAGTGGACGAGAAGAGGTGCAAGAATTGGAAGATTTGGTCGACGCACCACAGCCCTCGAGAGGGAGCTTCCGTGTGGAGGGGCAGCATAAAGCGGAGCTGCCAGTGCTTTGTGATCACAATAACCTTCCTGTTGGACGATGGCTTCAGGAAGTAGTGGAAGGAGGCCGCAGAAGCAGTTTGCACTCTCGTTCGGGTGGCGGCGGATCCTCATCCTCATCGAGTCCTTTTTCGTCTCCTGAATTGTCAGCAGCTCCCGCGGGAACGACACCACGGCTCTCGACATCATCATCATCATCATCTTCTGGCCCATCTCTTTCGCGATCTCCACGACGCAGGCACTCTTCGTTGGGTCTCTCGCTATCACCTACGTCCTCGACTAGAAGTTCGAACTCCAGCATGTCGACACTCAACACATTCAACGACGACCAAATAGGAGATTCTGTACGAGGCTGCAGCTACGACTCGCCGGAGATGATCATGGAGTCAAATCTCAATGTCAACTTCGAAGGCGTTCACAGCATGGAAAACACTTCTACCGATCCGCACAACTCCTCCACCATCTCCTCCGGGCGCACCATCCCCAAAGCCTCCACCCCTTCTGCAGACAAAAAAGCGCAAGCGCAGGCGGTGCAGTGGTTGTGCCGGCTGTTTCTGGAGCAGCGGGAATCGCTGTACGAGATCTTACTTTCCCGGGTGCCGGAAATTGCGGAAGAGACAAGAGATGAGCTGGACATTGTGCAGTTCCGGAAAGCGGTGACAAACTGTTTCCAAACGAACAAGGACGACGACATTAAGGAAATCACGCTGGAATTGATCAATTTGGTCTTCGAGCGGCCGAAATGGCACAAAGTCGTCGCCTCCGACCACTACAACGAAATCATGGCGCTTTGGACAGAAGAGTCAACAGAATGGACGATGAAGTTACTACCGAAAATCTTGGCGAAGTTGGGAAACGCGTTGACAAGCTGCCAGAAAAACTCCCCATCGGTGATCACGGAATTAGGCGCCGCTTTTGCAACCGATAACTCCCCGAAGCAAAGAGCCATGTTGGAGAGACGGAAGGAAAGGAGTAGAAGCGCTTCTGTGAGTAAGAGCCGCAGTCCTTCCATCGGGGAGAAGAAAGATGGTAGTGGTACTTCTGCTGCTGCTGTTCCAGCGCTTGCTCTCGGTAGTTCTGCCGCAGCAGGTTTATCGAGTGGTGACAAAAACGTCGCTAAAAACCTACCCGCCCCGAAACAAACGCCGAAATTTGCCGGTGGATCTGGCGGACGAGATGAAAATTCTGGCAGTAAAGGAGCTGCTCTTCCCTCCTTCTCTTCCTCCACGCCAGCAACCTCTTCTGCCGAAGAACCGCCGCCGATTGGGGCGAGTTCGAAGGACAGTAGTACGAAATCGAAACCGCCGAAGAGATCCTTTCAGGTGAAAAAACCGGAGGATGTGCTGCAAACTACAGCAAATGTTGATCAGGGGTCGTCGCAACTGGAGCAGCTGAAAAAGATCGCGAAGGAATCGGATCGAGCGCTGATAAAGGGATCGAGTAAGGAAGAGAAGAAGTCAACTTCTTCGGCCTCGAAGAATCAAACGGAAGATTTTTTGAAAAGTACAGCAGATAACGAAAACGAAGACGACTCTGGTTTGCCGAACTTCGGATCCAGATTGGTTTCCGGGATCGGGGCGATGTTCGGCGGTGTAATTGGATCGAACACGAATTCTGCGGAGGAAGATGAGGAGACCACGGGCGCAGCTGCTGGTAAAGAAAAGGACAGGATGAGCAGAGGAAAAGGCCATCCTGCGGCAAAGCAGCATGCAGGTCAACATCCCTACGGAGGTGGCCAGCACCACAATCCCTACGCAGCGCAGCAGCAGCCACATGGGGGCACTATGCAGTACCCAGGCGTTGCGCCCCAACATCAGATGCCTGGTGCAGCAGGAGCTGCTGCCTACGGTGGTGCTTACCCAGCTCCCATGCCTGGAGCTGCACATCCTGGCGCAGGAGCAACTGCAGCGGCGTTTCCAGGTTTGGCTCCTTCCGTGCCGCAACAAGAACCCTGGAAAATCCCGTCTAATATCCCGAAAAGGCTCCTCGAAGAATACGCCGCTGTTCCTTTGGAAAATCTCGGCGACTTACTCCGCCTTTACCCCGCTGGAGCGTCGATTGTCACAGAGGGCGTTTGCAATCAGATGTCCGACGGGGAGCTGCTGTTGCTCAACGGTGTCCTGGAGCAGTTAGTTGTCGGGGCAAAGCAAATGATGAAGATAATGGTCAAGGAACGAGAGCAGCTGCGGACGCAGGTGATGCAGAGGAGAACCTGGGCGGAGACTAGTTACAACAAGATCGCGAAGTAGTGATAAAAGTTGCGGTCGTCTAAATGAAGATCAAGGTTTAGCCGACGCCGCGCAAATTTTTTCAAAATCAAAAATCGAAGAACGCAGTAGTTTTTTTTTTCCAAAGACGAAGAACTGCAAACAAAAATAGGATTCATTTTCAACAAAACCTTTATTTTGGTAGTAAGTATGCTTTTCCTTCCGGCTTGCGTTACAAAACCTTTTGGTAGTAAGTATGCTTTTCCTTCCGGCTTGCGTTACACAGACTTGTTACACGACTAGACTGTATCTGTACTCAATTTATATGCTAGAGACAATATATTATGCTGGGTTGGTTGGAGGTGGAGGTCATGTTCATGAGCACCGCAAAAACCAACTTGAAGCGTATGTATGGTACGAATTCTTTCATTCTCAAAAAAACGTTTTTTGAATCACAATCTTAATCAGTAGCTAGTAGTAGTACGAGCCACCGAGTAAATGTACAGGAAAAGTTCTGATAAGCTTGCGCTTGCCTCATTGAAACAGCACACAGTGACTACTTTACTGAAGAGTGCTGCTGTTGTATAATAGCTGTCCTACACATAAACTACCAAAATCAGGAATCTAACTGTCGATCGACGACAGAGGTCGCGTCAGCGTCTCAGTGCTTTGCGATTGCGAGGCGAAGGGGAGCTGCGGGGCCTTCTAGCGCGCTTGCGCAAAGAAGGTCTGTCGTACCCCGGTCTTGAGCAAATAAAAGAGGAGATACAGATCCAGATCAACATCGTTCCAACTCTAAGTGAATACACCTAATAAAGATCTTCTCAGATGAATAAAGCGAAAAAAAAAATGATCCCGGCGATGGAGCTGCTCACAGAGAACTTGTGATATTCGCGGAGTAGAAGGAGATCAAACAATGATTTCATCAAAGAACGCGATCGGCGATCCAGGTCCTAACGCTTATGAGAAGGGCTCTGCGTCTGCACTGTGAAGAAATTGAAGAAAATGTAGTTCTAGTTGATCTCGATGATGATCTTTGGACACAAAGCAAAAATGCACGGACGAATCGTTCTCTTTTACTTTTTCAGCTGCATCGACACAACCAGCGAACACGCACGACTCTAGATAGGTTAACATCATCTGCTCCCATCCAAGACTCGTCTGTTTTCGCGACTCTGTTTTCACATCACAGCACTAGCTGCTCTTTCCACTGAAGAAATTTCTGCACTTTGTTTGCAACAGTAACCGCGAAGAAAATCAAAATGCTCCGCAAATCCACCCGTCAGCGGAAGGAGTACCTTTACCAGAAGGCGCTGGAGGAGAAGGAGCGGACGACTTTTGACAAGAAACAGAGATTACGCGAAGCCCTCGAGGAAAACAAAGCTCTCCCGACCGATTTGAGAAACAAATCCGCCGATCAACTGAGACAGAAACTGGATTTGGACGATGACAAGACGAAGGAACAACACCAAGTCCTGGATGACGAATACGCGTATCTGGGGGTAAAAGACCCCAAAATCGTCATAACGACAGCCCGGGAACCGTCATCGAGGTTGATGAGCTTCGTGAAGGAATTCCGATTATTGTTGCCCAACGCGCAGAGGATAAACCGAGGTAAGATTGTTTTTGACAACTAGTAGATTTGTTCTCTTCATCTCCGACCTAGTGCGTGGCAGTACGTAGTCCTAGTCGTGCTCTATCACAAGAAAGCGACTCGAGGCTTCTATGATGTGGATGTGCTTGATGCATAGAAAATGTTAATGTTGGTCAACCTTCCCCAACCCATCACTAAAACTACAGGTAGCTACGTGATGAAAGACCTGGTCGATATGGCTAGGAAAAACGACGTGACGGATATCGTGATCGTTCACGAGCATCGTGGTGAGCCAGACGGGTTGATTGTTTCCCATCTTCCCTACGGACCAACAGCGTATTTCGGAATGAAAAACGTGATCCTCAGGCACGACCTGGCGGAAAAGCCAGACAACATGTCAGAGGCGGCACCACATTTGGTGTTTCACAACTTTGAATCTCAGTTCGGAAAACGGGTTTCAACGATACTTAAAGCACTCTTCCCCCCAGCCGCGCCGTTGGGAAACCGGGTGATGACGTTTGCGAACAACAAGGATACCATCCATTTTCGGCATTACAACTACGGGGATGGGAAAGAATCTGGTATGAAGAAGCGAAGACTGACCACGAATAACGATGCGGAAGTGAACAAGAAGGCGGAAGATGTGGAATTGCGGGAAGTGGGTCCAAGATTCAGCCTGCAGTTGTACAGAGTAGAATTGGGCACGTTGGATATGAAAGACTGCAAGGTGGAGTGGGTCTTGCGGCCCTACTTCAACAAACAAAAAGATGTCTTGGCATAGGATAGTTGTGAGAGACGAAACCATGTGACAACTCTGTGGCGCCCTGTTACCTCGACATGGAACGTTTTTTTACTGCGATTTGTGCTCTAGTATTAAGCCCTTGCATACAAAGAATCACGTCGAAGAACTGGCAATGTCAGAGTGACGTACAGTCAAGGCTAGGCCTAGGGCGTAGTAAATTAATACGAAATGAAAATGAATAGTTTACATTTTATTGTTCAAAGGAGTGTTGACACGAGAGAGTGACGACGAGGGAACAACAATGCTGTGGCTGTGCTGAGAGAGAAAAACTTCTGCAAAAAGGCCTGCTTTTTCGTTCTCGAGGTGTCCGATTGTTCCTTCATGTTTTCTAGTCCGCTGGATTTTTTTTGATTGTCAAGAATTGCAGCACAGCATCCCTAAGGAAAATTTACGTTTACCCCTGCCATCCCACAATGTCCGTTTCATCTGGTATTGACATCATTTGCCAGTATTAATAGGAAGCTCGAGGCGATTTAGGAAGACCAACACATCATTTACGAAGATGAACAACAGCCACCAACCTTCACCGCCAACGGGCAACGGGAATTATCCCCAGCCTCCCCGGTCCACCCCCGGCCTCAACTTCCAAATCCAACCTTTGCAATATAGCCGTCCCCAGTTTCTGCAAGCGCAGCCCCACCGAGTGTTGACGGAAGTGGAAAATCGAAACATTTTTGCTTCCGGCGCAATTGTTTTGCCGACGAATGCTGGGACGTCCTCGAGCGCTACTTCTAGTCCGAATTACGGCTATGCTAGTGGGATCAACAACAGCCTTTCCTACCCAGCTCGTAGCTCCCAGCTTCCACTCCAGCGCGTTTTGCAGCAACAGATATTAAGTCAAAACCCACAGCATCAGCCGTTACTGGAAAATGACCAACAAGTCGGAGGCACCTTGTCGTCACCTCGCGGCAGAAGTCAGCCCGCTGCTGTACCAACCTCCTTTCACGATGGGTTCCCGCAGGCACACGAACAAACAAGCAGTTTCGTCGTGGGACAACTACAAGAAGATGCACAACAAGCCGCTTTAAACGACGACCCCCTGCAAGTTCGCGTTTACAGCGATGAGTTATTGCAGCAACAGCAGCCGCGCCAGTCGAGAAAACGGTGTCGGATCTGCTTGCTGGAAGAGGGAGAAACGGAAGATACGCAGCTCGTTAACACCAACAACACGACTTCTACAGATAGTTTCAATGATGAAAACGCGCTGATCTCCCCCTGTCTCTGCCACAACTTCAACAGCCGCTTCGTGCACCGCAGATGCCTGGATGCCTGGCGCGTAAACGGAACGAGCTACAACGCCGCTGCGTTCACGCATTGTTGCGAGTGCAGTTTCGAGTACCAGCTGAGGTTAGTTACAAACGTGACGAGCAACGGAGAACGGGAGCAGGCGGAGTTTCGAAAGAAGATTCTGAAAAAATCCTGCTTCTACTTCTGGCTGTTTCAACTGGTGGTGATATTATCTGCCGTCGTTACCGCGGGTATTGACATCTATTTTCTCCACGATGAGCTCCGGAAAGCGTTTCCCGCTTGGATTCGGAGGAACAATTTCGAGGAAGAGTTTTTCTTCGGGCTATCACGAGAAAAAAGTGTTACAGTTACACATTTGTTCGAGTTTCTGCATCACAAATTTCCTCTGTGTGGCAGGGAAAACTTGCGAAGATCACAAGGGAAAACAGGAAGGAAACGAAGCTCGCAAGCATTTCCTGCATGACAAAGGTTGTCTGTCTTGCGGCTCCTGCAACACAATGTGTAACTGTAACACTTTTTTCTTGCGATACGGGCGGAAGGGAGTGTACTACGTCTATGGTTTGGTGGAGATTTTGTGCGTCGTTCTACTGGTTTACAGCGTCTACGGCTGGTATCGGTTGTTGAAGCGGCTGATTTTCGGAGTACCGTCGGTGCGCGGAGATGGACAACCACAACAAGATTCGGCGAGCGTTATGCGGCCTGTAATTGGTGGTGGGAATGGGATACTTGCGGCGTCCAATCAACTGTCACCTGCAACTCCTACTTGTATCGCGCAAAGATTGCCGCACGGGCAGGTTCCCAGCGGCGGCCAAAATGTAGTCGTGGGGCCAACACCAGAATCGAGCCGAGCGCAGGAAACTCGACGGGCCGCGGATGAACAGCAGAACAATGACCAGCACCCGCTTCCCCAACAAGACACGACCTGGCTTGGTTCGCGCGCGTTCGTCTTGCGTCCGCAGTACCAACGGTTCCAAAACCGATACCGCTGGAACAACTACCGCTGGCGACGAGGCAGGTTCTTCTGGGGCCCGCCCCGGCCCTTTTTCTGGTTTGGGCCGAGATTCCGCTTGCTATTCGCAATCCGGAGTCTGTTTTGCTGTTTCGTACCGAGGATGTGGGTCTGCTGCTGCAACTTGTTTTCCTGCTGCTGCTGCGGCACCAGAGGAGGACGTGCGGCAGCCTCCCACCGGGGCATCGTTCACAACTGCGCGCACAACACGCGGGTGCTGTTTCAGCAGTATTTCCAAGAAAACAAATTTCTCCTCCTCATCCTCGCAATCGGATTAGCGGTTTCGTTCACTTTCATGGGGTTTGTCACCGGGTTGTTTCTACTTCTTACCGCGGTGTACCAGGTCTATCTGGATTACTTGCGGATCGGCCAGATCCAGGTGCTCAGCCAGAAGTACATCGTGGAAGACTTAAGCAGGTTTCACGAGGATGAGGAAAACTTCCCGAACAACCTCGCGGAGGCGATTGGGATGGGAAGAATTGGTGGAAATGATTATACCACAACGGCGTTGGTTTCGAATCATCAAAACCTTGCAAGTTCTACTTTCAGCTCGACATCTTCACACCAACACCACCCACGCCATCCAGCCATTCTGCCATCCGGCTCTGCTCTAATACCAGACGATGGTCACGACGATGAGAACAGCATCCGCCCGTCCGCGCCGCCGATAGAAAACGAGGACTTGAATCGCCTGCAACTGATCGACCCGGTGCATCAGGGCAGATTGGTGCACGAATTCGATCCGGAAACAGGGTCGATTCAGGCACTATGAATTGCAAAAGTATCGTAGCAGTAGTAATTCTAATTGCAATACTTACAAATTCGCTCAGCGTGACAAATGGAATTTGTCATGCTGAATTTGTCATGCTGATGTGCCTTGGGAGCCAGATTTGTGATGCATGACTGCGATTACTACGAGTGCGATACTTTTGCACAGGATAGTCACGGGTGCGCTATGATTTGGAAGATTGGGCAAATGTTTTGTCGTGATGAATGCCTTCATGGGGAGAAGCGCGAGGTGGTTTGTTGAGACGCAAGGACTTACTTACCAAAAAATGCATGCAAGAAGAAGAATTAAAGCTGTCCCACACTGTATACTGTGTACCAGTTGTGAATGAATTGAATTTGAGCAGAGCTACTTTTGACCTGTACGATGAATTTTGAATGTCTATGTTCTTCCAAACGGACAAGAGACAATAGATTGATGTACGGGAAGATCAAGCACGTCCACTTGGTTCATCGCAAAACAAGGCAGGCCAGAACAAAGGAGAGGAACAACCGATTGCTATTGTGTTCGCGCGAACTACTTCTAGCGAATAGAGCAGTTGGAAAATTCGTCGCTGCACCTCCTCGTCTTCATGATCAGCAGACGACGAGTTGTGATGTGTTTTTCTGGATGTCTGTCCAGGCTTGACGTAGACTGAGACTGAGTTGTAGACATCTTTCAGACAGCCAATGCGTAGGAACAAAAAAGTTCCACCAATAAACTCATCGCAGTAGTGGAACAACAAAATGTCAACATCGACAGAACAGTCGATCCAGCGCTCCCTCGGTCCTCTGTCCAAGCAGAACCAGAAAGCGGACGCAAACAACATCGTTTGCACCATGCAACCACTCCGCCGCTGCATCGAGGAATTTCTCGGCGATCTGAGGAAATGCACGGACGAGATCAAAATCTTCGAATCGACCTGCGACCGACGGTTGAAGTACGTGCACGACAGGGAAGGTTTGGACGACGTAGACCTGAGTATTTGGACCGGGGTGGAAAGAATGTAGCAATTGCTGGCAGCTCCCTGGTGGGGAGTGTTGATTTGCTGATGATTCGACGAAGAAGAAGTATTTGGACCGGCTCCACCACCCGGCGAGCAGGGGAGGCAATCTTCAACCACAGTTACACCAAACTAGAGCTTGTTACCTGAGTATGTAGCTGCCAGCAGCGCATGAAAAAATATCGCAGCGCCGGGAGTACTTACTACACTCTTATTGCTTCGCACGAGCAGTAGAGCCTCCTGCTCCGTATCTTCACTTTCTGCGTAGTAGTGTGAGTTCGTGTTGTTTGATGCGTTTTTCGACTCAGTGGTGGGTGTTCGTCTTCGTCCTTGTCGTCGGCAATGCTTCAGAGCCCACTCATTCTTGATTGCTGCAAATAGTTGTCGTACCAGCAAGAAAGTAGAGCCTCAGCTATAGCCTCTCCGTTTCCGTATTCGTCCTTCGCTCGCGAGTAAAGAAATGTCAAGTACTAAGTCGTCCTGAAATGAAAAATTGTCGGTTCTTCGTGCAACTTGTTGGTGTCGTTCATGCTTTCAATTTTTGTGCTAGCGTCGCTCTCGTTCTTGTTCTTTTTCGTGCCTTCTTTCGTTTCGTGTTTATGCACGCGCCGAACTTGGTAGCAGCACCGTTTTGCTAATGGTAAACAATGGTTCACGTTCTCGGCATGTTCTTGCCGAATCAATTTCATCTATCTCACAATCAACACCGTCTGCAGTGTCATTAGCGTTTAGAAAGCTTGACCCCCATTTAAATGTTACCTTGTAGAAGGAACCATTTGGAACAATTTTTTACGTGACACTTCGAAAAGATTTTTTTCACCCCTTAGAAAAAACTCACCCCCAAATGATTCAAATTGAAAATTTCTAGTACCCCCTCCTCGCCGCACATTGGTAAAAGCTTTTGCAACTGCGTCGAGTAGGCTTCAACGTTGCATGCAGGTGCATCGCGCCTTAACCAACGGAAAAAAGAAAAACGCAGCGCCACAGCCATGTCAACACTGAGTAGAACCAAGCCCATTTCGATGTCGCGTCGTCCCGCAGTACTCGCGACCATCGCCGCAGCCGCGCTCGAGACAGGGCTTCTTGTCACAGAGACTCAGGCCTTCAAGATCCAACGGCAACACGCGCGCCCGCCGCTAACCTCGCGTAACCGGCAGAACCTGCCGAATACGAAGATCGACAAGGAAGAGGCGGATGAGTTCCTGTTGCAAAACTTCAACTCAACGAAACCAGACCTGCCGGTCGTGCGTTCCGCAGAAGACGATGAACGCACAGACGGTAGCGCAAATGCGATCGATTTACCGACTCACGACAAGTCCCTTTCGATCCACGATGGGTACCGATCTACGACGCAGAACTCCATGGCCCAGAAACTGCAAGCAAACGCCGGTGCCCTCCAGCACACAGGAGGAAATGGACAAATGGTGGTGGCCGACGCTTTTAACCACGCAACCGAACTGGCCCACTTTGTCCCCTTTGCGAGAACCCAGGCAACGCACGAGGTCCTGAACTTCGTCGAGCGGTCGTGGCACAGTTCGTGGAGTAATGTCATGACGCAGTTTGCGGACTTCGCGGCGATCAACTACATGTACAAAAACCAGGGCATGGGCTCGGTGATGCTCGGATTCCGGAACGACATTGCGCACTTCATCAGCCAACCTATTTTCCAAGCGTTTGCCTGTCAACTCAAGCACGCCGCGAGTCCCTTCGGCTCGGCGAAACAGGACCAGAGCGCGGAGAATCTGCTGAAGAGCATGATCGTTGCGCGCGACAAGTTTTTCGAGATCGGCAAATACGGCATGTACCAAGACGCTTACGGGAACAAAGCGAAACCGGCGGTGAAAGTCGACGAATTCCTGGGAAAAATCGTGGACATTCTGCGTCCGAAGGGCACGCCGCCGCCGTGGGAAGCGAGTCTGGAGGTTGTGAGCCAGAAATTCGGCACGCTGTTTCTGAACGGAGATATCGGTATCGCTGGTTTGAAAAACGCCGTGAACTCCAAGGGGCCGCAAGCCCACATGGCGAAGCAAGGGAAAAAATCCGCCGCCGACGAGGAGGATGTCGTGCTTGGTAGTAGCTCTTCGTCGTTTCAGCAGCATCTGGAAACCGCAGTCCAGCACATGACAAGTTTCATGGAGGTTCTCTACGACTCCGCTGTCGCGGTGATGGAGCATGAGTTGCTGAAACTCCCCGAGCCCACGCCGCCCGACCGCCAGCACCCGTGGGGATTGAGTTCCCACTCGAAGTTTCTGGCGCCCCGGAAAAAGAAGGAAGTCGTCGTGGACGCGGTGGAAGACCCGAAGAAGGTCGAGGACACAAGTGGTGCTGGTGTTGACAGCGCTGATGTTAATACCGAAAGTACTGGCAACGCGACGACCTTTTTGCAGCAGTCCGCGTCCTCCGACCTTCTTGCAGACATGAATTTGAAATCCAATAAAGCCATGATCGATGCCTTCCACCAGCACCGGACGGTCCCACAGGAACCCGGCACGGAGGGACCGAAAGTGGGCGACACCCTGACCATGGACGAGTTCATCGGCAGCCGGGGCTGGACCTCGCTGTACCGCCTCCCCCCGGGTCTGGCGCAGCTCGGCGTCGCCCATGAAAGCGTGTTCTGCCACTGGATTCAGGAGAAGTCGGGTTTTGAGGTGAACCCCTGTTCGCTGTCTGGGTCAAATCTGGCACAAGAACTCAAGAAACATCATCCTGGTTCCGGATCAAAAAATGCCAAGGCAGGGGTAGATGACGACCTGAAGTCCGCTTGGCATTTGAACCCCTTTGGGCAGACGAAGGAATTTTTGTCGTTATTGAACACGTTCTTGCAGCACGCACACTCGGTCTGGCACCTGATTGCCTCGGAAAATAAACAGGACTTCATTCCCCCGGAAACCGTGAAAAAACAAGACTTCGACCGGTTTCAGGAGTTCATGGAGGTGATTCTACCGCTATCCACAGAAAATTTCCTGTACACGTACAGATGCGGTCTCTGCATGGCAAAACTTGGCTCTGATTCTAATTTAGCATGACAAGTTTCACACTCCAAATTTGCGAAATTTGTGATGCATCTTGTACATGTACAGGAAATTTGTAATGCATAACCGCTACCTCTGCTCCATTCCGCCGCGGTGTTGTCGTCCGAAGTGAACGGCGGGGAAAGGAATGAATGGATCCACATTTTCCACCCGGGCATGCCGACGGCGAAGAAGTTCAAGATTTTGGCAAAGCTCAACGAGCAGGCGCACGAAAAGTACGAGGCCGTGGAGGGATATCAAATGCAAAAATGTCTGGGTCTGGAAAGGTGGAACTTGTGATGCTGGTTTTGGATTCCAAAAAAATCTGTGTATGTGTTGCCTGAGCAGCAAGATAGTCTAGTTTTTGTTACGCGGACAGGGTATTTCTCATGCGAGGTAGGCATCAAGAAGCACTCAGAAAATCTATGATGCTAGGGAATACATCACAGACGTCACGGGTCATGCAAAATTTAAATTGCAACCTTCCAGACCCAGACACATTTGCAATGCATAACGGGGGTCCCTGGTCCATTCCCAAATCGCAGACCCACGCCTGGATGCTACCGTGTCGCGACATGCGGCTCAGCGTCACGAACTTGCTGCCTGCAGGTGGTTCCGTTGGTGGTCGTTCTGGGACCACGAGTAGTTCCTCGTCCTTTGTGCAGCAGGGGATCAAGAAGAAGAAAGCCGGCGCAAATGGTGCAAAAATTCATTCCTGCAAGCCAGATTACGTGCAGCACGCCCGGCGAAACATCGCAAAAGACGTCGGGAAGGTGACCGAGTGCCAGTCCGCGTCCGCAAAAGCCAAAAAGCCGCTCTGCATGCGCTCGTTCTACACCGTCCGCGCGGCTCCTACAAGTGGTACTACGACGGAAACGAGCAAGGCAAACCGGTGCGGCAAAAGGCACATGATTCGCACCGTGCAGGACTGTCACAAAGCCCTGAAGTCGCTCGGGTTCCGCTTCAAGGGCAAGGAAAAGGGCCCGCGGAAGCAAGTGCGGCAGGTCAAAAACCGGTTGGACATGCCCTACGGTTGCACCTACAACGTGCGTGCCATGCGCGCTACGTTGAATCACGTATCCGAGAACGATCAATCCGCCGAGATCCTGGAATCTCTGCAGGAAGAGACGGAACTGGACAAAACAGGGTCAAACTCTCGCCGGAAGAAGTTCAAGAACTTCATTTCCTTCTGTAAAATCCCGCACGAGCAGATCCCGAACGCGTTCGACGAGGTCTTGGAAAAGACAAGTCTGCGGGAAGCCGGCGGGTCGTTCCTGCAAAAGATGCAGGTGGAGAACCGGGGGCGGAGTATGTTGAATCGGAACACGGAAGAACGGGATCAACATCGCCAGGAGGGCGAGTCTGTTGATGACGGTCCAGGTGGTGAAGGCAGCACACCAATTGCTCCCGCCCCCGTCGACGCCGCTCACAGGGCTGAAACAGCGAACAAAGATGCTGGACTGCCGGCACGGGCGGACGAAAGCGCAACGCCAATGGCTTCATCGGTCACAGCTTCCAGCACCGCTGCTGCAGGACCTAGCGGTGGTGCTTCTGCAGCGGGCAATGGCGAAACTGGCTCAACAAGAGCTCCTGGGTCGCCTGCTGAAGACGCCACAGCTTTTTTGGAAGGGAAGAAAAATGCAACGACCACATCGGGCAGCGCAGCGGCAGGAGCTCCAACATCATCTCCCTCATCCCCAACTACCGCCGGCTCCTCAACGGGACCATCTGCAGAGTTACTGCCGTCCAGTGACCAAGACCAAGACTCGCAGCAGACCCGCCAGCGGCTTTTGAAGAAGGCGGAGGAACACGATGAAAAGCCTTCGCAACTCGAAACGACACAACACAAAACCACGAAGGTACAGCTAGACCCTCTAGTAGACGGGGTTGACAACGTTCCCATCTTTCCCCTGAAGCAGCAGAGCTGGAAGTGGCTGGAAAAGCAGACTTTGAAAGAGATGGCCAAGGCGAATAACGGAATCGACCTTGGAGCAGCCTTGGGAAAAGGCCTGGCCACCGACAAAATGAGCGAAAAATGGCACTCCTCCTGCCCGGCCACCAAAGCGGAGGACGACAGCCAGCAGCGGAACGCCATCTGCAAGTCCGAGGCCGTCCGCTGTGCCTACTGCGACTGCTGTTTGCTCGGCGACAGCTGCGAGAAATGTCCCAACGGGTTCGTGCAAAACATCACGGCGTGTCCGACCACTGGCTCGCGCTGCTTGTCCTCCACGGATGATATGTCGAAGTGGAGCGGCGAAGTGAAGGAAAAACTCAACCGGAAGTTCAACGAATACAATGTGTACTATCGCCAGCAGTACGAATGGCCAGGATCATCACTTTCTTCGTCCGGCGCGAGTACTGGAGCTGCTGCAGCGACATCATCTTCTGCCCTAGAGACAAGTACATGGTCCATTTTTTCGGACGCAATTAAGAATTCGCAAGGGAAGGACAACGAGGGCAAGTGGGGCGAGGACAGGTTGTACGAGAACCTGGGAAAATGCAGGGAGCAGTGCGACATGCTGCCCGAGTGCATCGGCTTCAACTTTAACGCGGGGATCGACGTGGGGGAGGAGAATGCCGCGGACGAGGAGGAGGAGGGTGACAGCGCCGAACAACCGGAAGCAGGGTTGGACTCCGCCGCGGCTGCTGCTGCGTCATCTTCAAGTAGTAGTTCCTCTTCATTTTTGTCCGAAGAGCAGAAGGAGGCCATGCGACACAGCTCGTTTCTGTCGGAAGAACAGAAGCAGGCACAACATCACACAACGACGCAGCGGAAGATACAGAAGACGCAAAAGAAACAACGGCAAGGGCAGCAGCTTCAAACGCGGAAGCAACGGTTTTTTGGATTTGTGGCCTCGCTCGCAGTAAGAGCTGGGAGAGCGCTATGGAGACACCGCAGAAAGATCGCACACGTCGTCAAAAAAGGATTCACTGCCGTTCGAAGAGTATTCTCTTCCGCCGCAAAACAGGTCGTCAAGCACGTGGATTTTCTCGGAATTGCGAAAAGATTGAAGGAACGGCGCGAACGGTTGGCGAGAGAAATTGCGAGGAAAAAGCGCCTTGCCCAGTACAATTTGCACGAGGCAAGACTGAAAGCCCGGAACAAGCAAAAAGAAGCCGAGAATAAACCGCAATGGATGGACGCTGGGGAGCTGGACGAGGCGACGGCCGTTAGCTGTGCCATGATTCCGCGCAGAGCGGGGGCCAAGCTCGTGCCGGTCCCGGACGAGGACCTAATTGCGGAAGGCGAAGGAGGAGAAGAAGGAGGTGCTAACGGCGCAGCCGGAGGCTCATCTCCTGGTGACAACAACTCTGCAGGAGACGCCCAACAAGGCGAAACCCCCCCCGGGCCTCCGGTGTACAGCATTTCGCTCGCATTTGAGAAGTTCCAGGACGAGACTGAGCTCGAGGAAAAGGCGGGACTGCTGCTCTCGCAGCAGTTCGGTGCTGGAACAATTTCTTCTGCCGATGGGGAAGAAGATGTTGCTGTCCCGAATTCGGAAAAGTACCTTGCTTTGCGGGGCGACGGGAGCCTGATTCAGGAGCACCTCCGGACCCCGGTAGAAGTCTGCCTGCCCGTGGACCGCAAGCTCGCGGTGGTTTGCTGCGACGCGGACGAAGGGATTGATGGAAAAAGCAGTTCTTCTTCTTCCCCCGACTTTCTGCTATGCATTGCAAAAGCATCGCTATCGTACTAGTACTTGCAGCATCATAATTTTTTTTGGACGAAAATTGAGTACATCTACATTGAATTATTTGCCATGCAGAATCACGTGTTGAATTTGAAAAATAAAAAAAGATCTGTAAGGCCACAATAATCGATTGAAGTGAAGATGTTGGTACGACAACGAGTGCGATCCTTTTCTCCAGGATATTTGACGAACGCCGACAAATGCCAAAAAGTCCGGTACACAAAGTCCTTTCACGAGGCGCAGCAAATCTGCGCGGAAAATAGCATGCAGCTGTGCACACACGAACAGGTGAAGAGCGGAGAAGCCAAATCACAGCTTCAATCTTCCAAGCACCCGTGCAACCTGGACAAGTTTCGCGTGTGGACCTCCACACCTTGCACGCTCCCCGAGCGGAAGGTCTGGACGGTGGCCGGCAATCCCCTGGTCAAGGATTACCGGAACGAGGTGAAAAACGAACCTCGGGCGCTAAGCGACAAGCTGCCGTTCCGGTGCTGCGATCGGGAGCACAAGAGGTTTGAGCAGGGGAACCACCACAGACCGGAGAACAAACAGGGCGACATGATGAAATACGGAAATAAATCTACCCCTGATGAAAACAAGTGTGACTTGTTCACCACAGAGACGACGTTCGCGAAGGCCGCAGCGATCTGCGACCACTTTGAAAAGCGACTGTGCACGAAACAGGAGGTGGAGGAGGGCGTGGTTGGGGGCACGGGCTGTGACCTCGACGACGCGCGCATCTGGACAGCGACCGCCGTGGACCTCCCACATTCGAAGTACGTGGTTTTGCCGGGAAACCCGGCGTACATCAACCAAAAGAGCCACTCCATCTCCAAGCAAAACTTGAGTCCGCAGTGCCACGAACCGGAGGAATTGGAAGCGTCCGTTCGCTGCTGCCGCAAAACGACGGACCCTAACTGGCCGGCAAAGGTGAACATGTTTGCCTACGATGGCCGGGGGGCGACTACCTTTTCCGGCGCCGACATCTGCACGGATATCAAGGGAAAATCCTTTTCCGAAGCGGAAGAGCGCTGCGAAGGCACTACCACGGATGACAAAAATGAGGATGTGGACATGGGACTGCAGGTCTGCAGCGCGCTGTCTCTGGCGCAGGGTGAATCGACCGGCACCGGGTGCGCGTTCGACGTCTATCAAATTTGGACGACCACTGCTTGCGACTCCATACCCGTGGGCCGGACGCCCCGAACGCGCAAGCTGGGGCCGTCGACTTGGCGTTTTCCCCTGCCGCCTCCCTTTAAGAAATTGTACAACCCAAATGTAGGCACCCTGAACGCGGTGGCCGGCGCAGCCAAGAACGTATTTTCTGGTGCTAAAAAATTTGTGAAAAAGCACGGCTTTGTCGGTACTGCGAAGAAAGTTCTGGGCGGCTTGTTCGGACTCTCCGCTTCCTCGTCCTCCGCTCTGCAGATCAAGGCGACACAAGAAAAACACGAAAAGCCGAAAGTCGACGACTACGGTTGTCCGCCGGGGACCAATTCGGTGACTCCGTGGCGAAAGACGGACAGCGACCACGACCGAAGCTGGGGTATCCCAACGGAATTCCTGGACTCGGCGAAAAAAGGGGCAATTGCCAACAGCGGCTGGTGCGGGCTGGAGGGGTGCAGTGCCCGCTACCAGTACGCCACCATCGATTTGTGCCACGAGGCCTGTGAGCGGAATGCGCTGTGCAACAGTTTTCTGTTCGAACCGATTCCCGCGTGGGTGGAACAGGGGGGAATCGCGTCCAACCACTACCAAGACCGCGTCTGCACGCTCTTTCCCATGAAAATCCCGCCCCGCGGGCTGCTGCGGAAGGGCCTGCACTTGTTGGAAGATGATTTGAACAAGCAGGAACACACGCTGTCCGGCAACCTGATCTGCTCCGTGGAGCCCTATTCCCGGGTCGGGTGTTTCGTCGATAATGGAAAAAGGGTGTACAAGCCCCGGAAGGGTTCCGGGCATCCGGAAGTCTGCCGCAAGCACTGCCTCGAGCAAAACCCGAACATGGTCTACTTTGGCGTGCAATTTGGTGGGGAGTGCTGGTGCGGGGAGGACAAGATGCCGCACGAAATCGACCCGAAGGCGTACAAACAGGTTCCGATCACGCAGTGCAACAAGAAGTGTTCGTGGGTCCACACGAGAGGTAGATCACCCTTGTCCTATTACGCTTGCGGCGGCGCGTGGCGGAACACGGTGTACAAAGTCCGCGACGTGTGCCCACTGATCGGCGGCATTATTCCCGGCGTGAACAAAGACGTGTGCGGAGCGAAAAACCTGGGGCAGGTGTGCTCAAGCAAAACGCCGGGGAGGCTCAGTCCGTTACCGGACTGCAACAAACACACCGGGAAGTGCGAGGCGGAGATGAAGGCAGGCGACGCCCCTCACAAACTGGACTACACGCACACGGAACGGTACAGCAGCACGATGACCGATGTGTGCGGTGCCTGGTACAAGATGTATTTTGACCGGAAAAAGTCCCTCTTGCCGGTTGCGTTGCAGCACAGCGGGCATGGGTCATCTTCTAAACTGCAGCTCCCCGAGGTGTTCACGGCGCTCGCCCCCTTCCGCGAGCACAGTTTCGAAAACGTCCAATGGGACGCGCTGGAAACTGATGTCGTGACGCATTTGGGCGGTGAGAACAAAAAGGAAGACACGAAAATCATGATCGACCGGCCGGAACTCTGCGCGAATTTGTGTGCGAAGAAGCAAACCTGCCCGGGTTTTGTCTGGGCCAGGCCGAACCACTGCGGGTTAGCAAAACCCGATGCGCAGCTGGAAACGAAACTGCCCTACGAGATCCCGGGTATGGAACTGGTAACCACCACGACTTCCTCTTCAACGCCCCGCCCCACTGGTTCTTTTGCCGTTCTCGAAACTGCTAAGTGCAAAAACAACCTGGGCTGCGTGCTCCAGGGTTTGACCGACGGCGACGACTCCGCCTGCTGCCCCGGTGACGAAACCGACAAGGAGTGCTGTTTCGCCGACTCCGTTTTCGTGTACGAAAAGCGCGTTCGGGACTCCCGGGATTGTCGAGTGGAGGACAAGGACCGGATTCCCAGCCCGCTGTCCGTGTTTTTCCACGACCCCGCGAGCTGCAACCTGGCCGGGTTCTGCTACTCCCCGCGGGCGCACTTGGAAATCACGCAGTGGTGCTACTACCCGAAAAGCAAGTACTACAGCCCCTACGGAGGCGAAGAAACGACCACGACAACTACCCTTGCGCCGACCTTGAAAAATGACTTCCGCCGGGCGAGCTACCCGATGCTGGCGCTGAGTGTGATCGCGGACATGCTCATGTTTCCGAAAGAGGACACTATTTTCTTGGGAGATGATGTTGATCAAGACGCGAAGAAGATGGTCTCAGGTGGAGCAGCGCTAAAGCCTACAGCTGTATCCCAGCAAGACGAAGCGAAGCGGTACCAGGAGGCGGGACTCTTGCTCACTCTGATGATGTACGGCCGCGGTGCGTTGAACGTGCCCTCCTTTCTCTGGCAGCCGACCGCGGTGGCCCGATCTGCGTGGATGGCGCGGTTCGTTACTTTTCCAAACGATTTGGCGTACTGGAACTTCTACCGGTTCGCGTCTGGCGTCACGTTCTTACCCCTGAAAAAACGTCGGGACAACTACTCGGTGCTGGAAACCTGCAATTTGAAAATCGACGAGGTACTGGCTTTACCTCCTGTGGAAAAAGAACAAAAGGAAGACAAAAACAATTTCGGCAACACCGGCGCTCTCTTTGGGGAGGGAAACAAACCAGAAACCACGACTCCCACAACGCCGCAACAAGACCTCTCAGATTTTTCCTTGCTAGAAGACGACTTTATCGCGGAGCAGTTTGCGATTCCCATGGTGGCGCTGTTCACCATCGAACCCCTTGCGGTCGGGCGGGTGCGGTCCTTCGCGAAGCTGGAGAAAGAACTATGAGAGCCTCAGAATGGAAATCCTCAAAGTGGAAATAATTTGTGATGCATGAAATGCAAGGCAAAAAAGACTGTATTGCAGAGGACACAATGGAGGCCGACTGTTGTCCTGCTAGGGGTGAAGAATTGGGCTGCTGATTAGCACGACAGAAGGGCACCCCTTTGCCTAACTAGCATGACAGACACGTTTTGCGTGTGCGGGAAATTTGTCATGCGCCGACTACAAATGGCGCTTCAACTGGAGTCGTTTTTTTGCATTACAAATTATTTCCACTACTTTGAGGATTTCCAACCTGAGGCTTTCATAAGAACTTGACTTGCCCGAGGGCACGGTGCAGGAAAAGTGCGGAGTTGCTCCCGTGACCGACATATGAACTGCAAAAGTATCGTATTCGTATAAATGCGTTACAAATTTCCTCAGCGTGAGGGATGAAATTTGTAATGCAGATTTACCTTAACAAAAGGATTTGTAATGCATGATTGCAATACGAGTGCGACACTTTTGCACAGGATACGACAAGGATCATCTCCGTGCGACAACGACTCCTCAATCGGAAGGGGGAGGAGGAGAAGGAACGTCGCCCGCGCCGCCCTTGCAAATGTCCATCTCTGCTTCTGCTTTTCCGGGTTCCCAAAGCATCGCGGACCTGTGCGATCAGGCTCTCGTCGATGACCAGCACGCATATGAAGCGGCAGAGGCGGCGGAGCTTGAGGAGGAAAAGAAAAAGCTGGAAGAAGCGGAACAAGCGGCGGCGGCGGAGGAGCAAACTACACAACCACCTCCAGCCGCGGAACAAACAACCGCTATTACTGAAGCTCCCGCTGCTGACGCGTCTGCAACGGCCGCGAGTACTGCGTCCTCTTTCATGGAAGAGAAGAAGAAAAAAAGCGACTCCGCCACCACTTCCCTCTCCGACCAGGAACTGGCGGCGGTCACGGAAGGGTCCGCTCCCACCACCGATCCGAACGCTGTGGCCGCGAGAAAACTGGCAGGGAGTAAGATTAAATACGGCAAGGATGACGAGAGCACGTCGTGGTGCTGTGGCGGGGACGAAGAGGACGCGAAAACAACGAATTCGACCATGACAGACAGGCAGGCCAGATCCAGAAAGGAAAGCAAGCGCCGGCGCAGGAACCGCAACAATCGGCGGCCCAAGTGCAGCACGATGCACGTGAGAATCCGTGAGGACGACCACGATCCGGCAGACGAAGACTCGGAAGAGACCATCGTTGAGGAGCCAGTCCAGGCACGGTACCGTGGCAGCATCGGCCTCGACAGCTCCTCCTCGTCTTCCGCGGGGTTTCAGGGCTGTTTATCAAAAGGAAAAATCCCCCCACCCCATATCGAAATGGAAATCTCAATCTGTGATGCGGGATTTGTGTACACAAATCGGCTTTGTCTTGCAGTGGAGGACTGCAGACAGATACAAAGCGGGACTAGGGATGTTTTGGTGTAGGCACCTAGCAAGGTAGGGACGTTCTCTGTAGGCCAGACAGCATTACAAATTGCCTGCAGAACGCGGCGGGGTTCTTTTATTTGTCTTCTTGCAATACAGAGACGATTTGTGACCTCAAATCAGCATCACAAATTTTGAGAAGTATCCAGTTCTGGTATGGGGAGGGGGGATTTTTCCTCACAAAATTGTTGCGCGGGAGACCAGGGGGAGTCGAAAAACCACCGGAAGGCGGCGGAGGAGGAAAAGGCGGCTGCGGAGGGTAGTACAGCTGGTGGAACAAGCACCGGGGCTGCTACTTCTCCCACGCAAGGAGTCCCTGCTTCAGCCTCCTCGTCGTCTTTTTCGGAGCGGAAGGTCGAGGGTGAGAATGAAGCCGACGGACCGCGACTGCCTATTCTGGATGACGAGCCGCAGGCTAGTGCCCCGAACTCTGCGTCTTCTACTCCTTTACCTGTAACTACATCTTCTCCGGCTGTAAGCGCGAGCACAACGGCTGGCCCTCCCCTCTCGGAGGTGCCTATGGCATCTACCACGGGAACCGGAGGGACGACGGTAGCTTCGTTCGTCGAGAAAGAAGATGGGAAGGAACAGCACAGCAACTCTGGAGAGACGGGTGAAGCTAACGGAAACTCGGACTCTCAGAAACCCGCCCCCGCGGAAAACACTGTCGAAGGACGAGCCAATGGCAATGCCAGCAGCAGTTCGGACGCTAAGCTGACGAAGGAGGACTCTTCACCTGCTCCTGCAGAAACCTCCACGTCGCCGCCCGTGGTGAGCGAAGGCTCGGCAACGGCAACGACATCGGCTGCTTCGTTCGTGGAGAAGAAGGACGAGGATAAGAACAAAATTGATGAAAGTCCAGCAACTTCTGAAACTCCCAATGGCGAAAAGACAACTGCAAGAATGTCTACGACTTCTGCCGCGCCTCCAGTCATGACGCCCAGTGCTACACCTACATCGACTGTCGCTCCAACGTCCACTCCACCGTCATTCCTCGAAGACGCAGAAAAAGGACCTGCTCCCGGTGCAGCCTCGGCGAACGAAAAAAGCCAACAGGATTCTAGTTCTGCGACAACCAGCTCTCCGCCTCAGACGACACCGGCACCGTCGACAGACTCTGAAAAAGCCAAGAACACTTCCACAACTGATACAGCCACGACTACATCTGTGGCTGCAGGGATGTCCGCTACAGGGCCGGGTGCTTCTAAGGACGATGATGCTTCCTTCGTTCAGAAGAAATCTGAAGATGAGCTAGCAGCTGCATCTGAAGCGGAGAGCAAGTCCGTGAAAGAAGAGCTCGAGGAAGAGGAAGAAGAAGAGGACCAAGACGATTTTGACACCTCCGTTTGCGACAAAGCCCTTTACGACAACTTAGTCAAGGGTGACGCTGGGGACAAGGAGGTGCTGGCACTCCCGCCTGACAAGCCCTTTGACACCTGCATGAACCTCCTGGGCCGGGCGGACGGCAACACCTGCACGGTGGTTTTCAACTTCATGGTAGAAGCGTGCGGTGGGGAAGAATTGCTGAAGGAAAATTTCAACTGCATCGTCATTGTGGACGGGAGTGACTTAGACTGGAAGTATTTCGCCGGAATCGCAGAAACCATCAAGGAAGTCGAAAAGGATCAAGAGGGGGGCGACGTCGAGAATGGGGACGGGGACGAGACGGAGCAAGGTGCCGCGTCGATGCTGGAAAAAGAAAAGAAGAAGGTGGAGCAACATCAACAAAAACAGCAAGAAATGAAGAAGCTCTCGCTCTCCACCAGCCATGTCACCCGGGACCAGCGGCAGCACCAAACGGAACAGGCGTACGCGAAACTGATCTACGCCTTATCAAATGTAAAAATGTCTGGGTCTGAAAGATTGCCAGGCTTGTCATGCACATTTTGCATGACTCCTGATGTCTGTGATGCATGCCCTAGCATCACAGATTTTGTGAGGGCTTCCTGATCAATATACCGCATGACAAATGCTCTGTCCGTGTAGCAAACCTTGTTGGGCTCTCTTTGCTGCTCATGCAATACAGATTTTTTTAGAATCCAAAATCAGCATGACAAGTTGCATTCTTCCAGACCCAGACACTTTCACTTTTGATACGCCTATTTGCAGTGCAACGAGGTTTCCGCTGGGCAGGGCTTGAGATTGCCGTTGTTTGCGAATCAGGTGGATGATTGGAAAGAACACACGAACGGGTAAGGGTTTGTGGTTCGTGTTCGTCTTATTTCGACAATGAAGATGTTGCAGTTGCAATATGAATAAAATGAGTAGTGCGCAGCTAGCTGTAGTAGCAAACATCGCTTTCTTGATGCAGATTGATTCTAAAGAAAAACTTCTGTTGCTCGTTGTCCATGTGTTGCATGAATAACCGCCTCACGCCCATCATGACAAAAGCATCCAAATCACCTCCTTACATACTCCCACAGCTGGCCTTCCGACGAAACCGTGAAAGCAGGCGGGCTTCTTGCGAACAAGTTTGATTTGAACAACTATGGTGCCGTGCGGCGACAGCTGTTTGCGATTCAAAAAGTCGTTGCCAACCTGCCGCCGAATGCACGGAACGAACTCATCAAACGGGTCGTGAACCAGGACTCGGAGGACAACAATGACTGGCGACCGGTGTACAAAATGTTGCAGGAGCAGGCGGATGACCTTGTCGCCGTGCAGGGTAAAAACGGTGGTGCATCTTCTGGACCGTTGTCAACCATCAGCTACAACAGCCGCCTGTTGTCAGAAGACACGATGATTTTGCAGAGCCTCTTCCCCAACGCGATCAGTCTGTTTCTCTGGTGGGGTACGGACGAGCTGGCGATGACAGGAGCGTCTTCGCCCGATGTTGGTACTAACCAAGCGGAAAATGACGATGGATCCCTTCTCGGCGGGCTCGGCCCCAAAGATGTTGTGGACACCAGTGCCGGTAAGAACGAAGATGAGAAGAAAAACGCGGGTTTGAGCAATAAAGAGATTGTCGGTTTGCGCAAAACCTACGAAGCGGCTTTATCCTTCAGTAAGATCAAGGCGGTCGCGAGCCGCGACGCGGTCATCCGGCCGGGCGACTACGTTACCATTTGCCCGGCGTCGGCCCAAGGCGAGTCGAAGGAAGTTGTGGACCAAAGTGGGAGAGACTTTGCGACCAAGGTGTACTCCGGGGTCTTGCTGCAATTCAACAGCACAAAGGGGGACAACCGTTCGCTGGGGCAGTGGCTAGTACATGCGCAACCGATCAAAGAGCCGGCGGATTCAGACGTGCAACACATCTACTCGCCTGAAGATCTGCTGGACACCGCCTACGAACACATGAAAGACTGCATGAGCGTTGACGAGGTTGGCGAGGACTTTTCCGACATTCTGTTGTCCTCTATCGCGACCAGCGACGAACTGGTGCAGTTTGAAGATGATGAGGAGGAGGAGGAGGGTTCTAGTACTGTGCCGCAGGAGCAGAGTGACGTTCGGCAGAAAAAATACCAGGAAAAGCGGGCCAAAATCAACGCGGAAAAGCAAGCGAAGGCCGCGGCCCGGGAGTTAGAAAACAAAAAGCGGCGCGTGGACGACGTTTTTTCGAAATTGTCCCTGTCCATACCGTATCCTGTGCAAAAGTATCGTACTCGTACTAATTGCTATCATGCGTCACAAATATCCCTTTTTAGATGAATCAGCATTACAAATTCCATTTTTCCTTTTGAAAAAATTTGTGATGCAATTCATACTAGTACGATACTTTTGCAATGCATATCCCGTTCATGCGGTGCATTTTGCAGCCAAAAACGTACCGGGAATCGCACATGTTCAAAACCGCCGCGGCCTGGCAGGCACAGTACGGGGGCCGAGGAATTCGGAATCCGTTTTTGGAGGAGCAGGATCCGGCCCAATTGGCTCTCGAGCAAAAGAAAATGAAAGCCGCGATGTACCCAGGTCAGGAAGAGGCCGAAAAGGCGGAAGGCGCGGCTATTTTGATGGGTGCGCCAACAGCAGAATCGGCTTCGCAAGATGATGAGTCGCAGCTCACCGCAGAAGACGTTGCTGCAGCGCTGCAAGAAGACGACGAAGTTGGAGCTGACGAGGGGAACATGCTGGCGAAACAATCGATTGTCGACGACGCAAAAATGATTGAGCAGTTCGACACGGAAACACCTTATACCGTGAAAGTCGATCTCGACGTCTACGCGGAAACGGAGACTTTCTGGGTCAACGCGGAAAACCTAGTGTTCCACGGGGAAGTCTCCAGTTGCTTCGCGTCCGTCGAAACCGAAGTTTGGACGACGAAGGAACACGGGTCGGTCGAGGGGATGGACGGCCACTTCAAACCGGAGAATGTTGAACAAATGGCCGCGAACGGTGGCGACTTCGCGGGGGAGCTGGAACTGGCCGGGCAGGATGCGTTTCGCCTGCCGTCGGGGGGGGCGCGACACGCGCAGCAAACATACGAAACGCAGGATGATGATGCTCCTCCGGTACGGGGGCGGGGGCGACAGGCCGGCGCCGAAGACGAGAGTGATGGGGAGGAGTTCGACATCGGGCGCTAAGAGTAGTGGTGCTGGGCATATGTTGACAGTAGCGATGTTTTTTTGCTCAAGTACTTTATTTTTTTACTTCAGTATTCAGTACATTATTTTGTTTGACCATGTATTATTTAGATTTACTTTTACGCACTTTTTAGGCACGAAAAACATTTTCTTTTTTATTTTGCCGTCGTGGAGAAAGACGAACTGAACGGACAAAATAAACAGCGCGAATGCAAGAAGAAATCTTTCCAGCTTACTTATTAATTTACTCGGTTTCTTTGACAACACTAGTAAAAAAGTCTTTCTTTTCCACTCAGCATTTTTACGCGATACGACTATCAAAAACTTGTCTTGTTTAATTATTTTCCATGATCTTTCATCGCTTTAATGTTTCGGTTTTCTATTTTCAGATTTGCACAGCCACAAGATCTTCAACAACATCTTCTGTCGGAAGTCACAGGAACAGCTCGTCGCTTAGCGTCTCCATTTCAAATACAAATACTACTTTTGCACTCAGTTTTCCGTTTTTAATCAGAATATAACACAATTTACTTATTGCTTGAACTGCACCCGACGTTATAGCTTTTTTCAATTTGACATGAGTATTCTTTGATTTGACACATCACATCGCTGTAGATTAACACGTTTATCTTAACACGTATCATGAACATGATTTGTATAGTATTGTTTCACATTTTTCCTAAAACAAGATGGAGGTAGCACAGTAGAAATGCCTTGCGTGCGAGAAGCACGAACCCTGACAATTAGATGACTCCCCTGCTACGCCGTTTCACTTACATGTTGTAGGAACAAACAACACACACCCCTCAGAAGAACAAACAACAAACACGCAAAATCTGAAAGAACCGGACCCCGGAATGTCGTATGAAGGACAACTAAAGCATGAAAGTGAAACTATTTCCCAGAAATGAGAAAGCACCCCCATTTCTTCACGTTGTAAAGGCAGAAGAACCAAAATACGATTCTCAGCCGTATCCCGGTAAGAATACGAAAAGAGCTGCCGAAAGATATTAGACGGACTTAACTTTTAGGAACAGGAACTGCGCACACGAACCACTAGTACGAAATCACATTGTTCTGCTGCTCATACATAGTCAGAGAGAAGTAGGCTGAGTTGGCCTGATGTCGTCCCTTGTTGCGCATCAAATTGAGTTCGGTCTGGTGCCTATCGCGCAAGCAGAACAATTGTTGCCTGGAGACGAGACGAACAAACCGAAAGCCGTACGACTCGATGCATCTGGTCTCGACTGAGGTTTTCGTAGGCAGAGTTTCTTGATGTCGGGCCAAAGAAGGATTTATTGTTTTGAAGACAAGCTATAATCATTTTGCTTCTCGGTATGAAGATACAACAGGCTGCATTCTTCGGTAACTAGCTGCACATGGTTTCTTCTTCTCGGTTGCTTGTTGATGCTGCATCGTTTTCGGTCGCGTGAAAACAGCCAAGAAGTAGAAAGTTGCGTTGTGGCGCGATAGAGTTCTTGGACCGACAGCTGCGCAAAGGTAAAAGTATTGAGAATTGAGTGTATTCAAATAAAGACGAAAAGACGTGGTCGTTGAAACTGTATGTAAAGCCAAGTCACGACCACTCGAGTACGCGAGATACAAACTGCAGGAGGAGAAACTACACCTCGATCTCCCGACTTCTTCTCTGTTTCTCGTCTTGTAAATTCGTAAAGCATTTTTACTCTTACGTGCCAAAAGATAAAAGCAAAGCGAAACCCTTACTGTCATCATCAAACACCACCGAGAATGAGGAAACCTCGGAAGAACGACGAGCTGCGGCCCGGCAGCATGTTGACGACGATACTCTCATCATCAAAGGCCTCGAAAACCACCTTCCTGTGCCTCCTCCTCTCTCTTTTGCACAACCTCGAAGCGCTGGTGCAACAAGCCTCTGCGACGCAATTCGTCGAGACGGACGAAAAAGTCGAGGACTGGTGGTATGACCATTACGACAAGGGTCTCATTTTGGACTACGACTCGCATATTATCGTGAAAAAGCAGTGCCAGAAGGGACAAACATACGACATCGATTGGAGCGGAACCGGGGCGAAAATTTTTTTCCCAATTTTTTTCGCGTTCTGCATCGGGTTAGTTGTCGCGATTTCGTTCATTGACAAGCGGGAGACCAGCGATGGGCGGGTTTTGAGTCGAAAGGACATTCTGGCGGACGAAAAGTTGCAGTACTGTGATTTGGATTAAATTTTGCATTGCATGATCTACTTGTCGTTTTAAATCGAGGAACTTTCACACGGTCAAGGTCGACGCCGTGGCTTTTCTTGCACCGATAGTACAATTTGAATTTGTATTTGACTTGCGACATTTGAATTATCGTCTGACAACGTGGTTGTTCAAATAGTACAATACCGATCCGCCAGCTGCATCCAAAAATACAATCAAAAACAGCGCCACCGAGGTCCAGCCTTCTGCCGGCGACGCCACCGCGCGCATCACCAGCACACGCAAGCGCGCCACCTACCACTCCGCGGTGGAGGAAAACAAGAAGACTTGGTTGGACATATGGAGTTCTCAAATGTTACATTCTCAATTGTTACATGAATTTGCAATGCAAGAACAGCAACAGTCCAAGGAGTAAGCTTGCTGCGTTGGCATCACAGATTTGGCACAGAGACAGATTTGCATCCTGTCTAGCCCTACTTCGGAGATTTGTCATGCGAAGGCGCTTGATCATCTGGCGGCTTAAGGTAGTTTTGCATGGCAAATCCATGCAACAGTTCAGAGTGTATGTGTAACGCTTGAGAATCCCATAGGACAAGGCGGAAGGGGAGTCCCAGTCCACGGATGCGGCCGAAACCGGCTCGGACGAGAATTCTACTACTGATTCATCTGCACCACTAATCGCCGACGCCACCGCGCTCCAGAACAACTCCTTCAGCTTCGGGCTTGGTGCGCAATTGGTGTCCACGAAGGAAAACATGCGGGAAATCGGCGCGACAAATTTTGAATCCAAGGGAGACGCGAAGGAGTTTTTGAATACGGATTTGTCCGCTCGGGGGAATGGTAGTACAAGACAGTCGACTTCTTCTGTGGTGCGTACAAAATCCGACTTGCGAGAAGGTGGAAAAGGGTCAACAACAACAGCCGCTGCAGAACAAGATGATGACGGTGACACGCTCGCGAAAAACCCGCTTCCCCTGCCGATTTTCACGGATCTCTACTGGGAGTTTGTGAACCGGCCGCAGAAGGAGCGGCTGTACTTTCTGGATTTCGGAAGAACTCTCGCGATCATGTGTGTTGTGACCGAGCACGGGGGGTCAAGGGGGTACGCGGAGTGGAACGTATTCGGGGCTTTGAATTGGGTGCTGCCCTTTCTCTACCTCATCTCCGGCTGGTGCTACGTTCTTTCCCACGCACCGTTGCTTTTCTACATCCTCCGGCTCTCCGCAGTGTTCGCGATTGGGGTGGGAGCCAATTTCGTCGCGGACTGGATCAACGACGGCTCGGATGTGAAATTCAGCCAGGGCCAAACCATCTACCAGATGACGTTCGTGCTCATGTTGATCATGAACGTATCAAGTGCAAAAATGTCTGGGTCTGGAAACTTGTGATGCTGGGTGGCGTATCATGATGAGGCCACAAGTGCTGGCTCAGCATGACAAGTTTCTGAGCTTCTAGGTGTTGCCTATTCTGCATGACAAACTGCGTTTCTGCATGACAGAAAAATGGAGCTCTTGGGTAACGTGCGTGACAGATTCAAGAGTCATGCCAGACAAGCATGACAAACGTGCATTCTTCCAGACCCAGACATTTTTACACTTCATAGAACGCCATCCTGACCTACCCGGTCCGACGCATGATCCTGTGGCGCTACGCGCACCCCTTCGGCGTCACGAACGGAAAGATGATCGGTTTGACCGCGGTCTACGGGGCTATTGCGTTGGCGACCACCGTGATTTACAGCAGCGGGATTCTTGAAGACGCGGACGTCGGGGGCGCAGACACGGTGAAAACGCTGACCACCCACGCGATTGGCATGGCAGAGTTCTTCGGGATTCTGTTCCTGGTCGCGCTCGCCATGTGTTTGGGAACGACGAGACATCTCGCTTACATTCTGATCATCTTCACGTGGGTGATCCGCTGGTTTTTGCCGATGGATTTGATCGGATTCGTTCACTTGGTGAAGATCTACGTGTACGGCATGGTGATGTGTAAGTTCCTGCCCTACCACAACGACTTCATGAAAAACATCCTTTTCCGCACCTACTGGCCATTCACCTTCATGTTCATCGTCTTCCTCCAAATGCTATCCACAGTAAATTTCCCGTACACGTACAAATGCGGTGTCTGCATGACAAAAGTGGGCCTCGATCCTAGATTAGCATGACAAGTGTCACGCACCAAATTGGTGGAATTTGTGATGCACTTTGTACATGTACGGAAAATTTGTATTGCATAAATGCCGGACTACTACGGCCGGTGCGACCTCTACCCACGGTATTCGGCGTTCGAGCGGGCGCGGTGGTACACATCGGAATTGCTGATCGTCCTTTGGTTCTCCTCCGGCGCCATGAACACGGCGGATCCGTACAGACTACTACCCGTACTCGGTAACTGGGCCCTCTTCGCGTACGTGTTCCACGAATTCTTCCACCGAACCATCCCGATCCCCTACGGCGCTTTCACGGTGTTGTGCTTGATGTTTGTCTTCGTGTTCTTCGCAAAAGTGCCACTCTGCGGTGGCGGAAAGAAATCCGCGAAAGGAGGTCGAAGGAAATCAAAGGAAAATGATGAGCCGCCGAAGCCACTTAATCTCACGATTCCGCCGAAAGTTTCTATCGGGGTGGTTGTGCAAGATTTCACGGGAGAAATCACCGCGATCCAACCAGACGGCTGGGCGGCAAAAAATGGACTGAAGGTCGGGGACTCGATTCGGAAAATCGAGGCCGGGGGCAGGACGAAAACTTTCATGGACAACGTGCCGCTGGAGATGTCGAAGGAGGTGGTGGCGAAAAGAGCAATGCTGCACTACGAACGGCCGCTGCAGGTGACGGTTGCACCCTTGCCGGAAAAGCCGGCGAGAGGAGCGAAGAAGAGCGCTGGGGACGAGAAGGATGTTGAGACTCCTCCAAGCGGAGAGGGTAGCGGTAGGGATACGCAGCAAGTAGAGGATGCAGCCCAACAAGTAGCAGGAGATGAGCAAGCACCAGTCCTCAGGCTAGAAGCGGGACAGGAGATCGAGATGGCCGCAAAAGTGGATGATGTTAACGTCGACGTGGCAGATCAGTAGGGGTGAGGGTGTTGGGTTGCAGCGTTGTTCGCTTCCCAAATTTGATCTTTGAACTTGTTATGCAAGTGCGCATCTAGTTCTACGAGCATTAGCGTTAGCCTGCAGACGCAGGACAAGTAGAGCAAATGCACTCTACAACAACTCTTGTGTCTCTACTCTCTTTGTTGAGTTAGAGTTTGACCCTTGTCCGCTGTCATGGACGATTTGACCTTTGGTTTTCTGAGTTTTGTCAACGCTTTGTCACCTCCTGTAGCTGTACTAAGCTTTTTTCAATGTTTCAATGAACTACAACCTGTACTATCATGTTAGTAGCACCCGATGTATTCTATTCGATTTCGAAGTTGTACCGGTTTCCACAACGCACCTGCACCAAAAAAAAACGCATAAACTTTTTTCAAGCGGGGAATGAACCTGTCAAGCAAGAACTGCGGACACAAACCATGTATGATCAGACCCAGAGCTCCTTTCGAATGATTTGGAAGAACTTCAAGTTGCCGCCAAGACGCAACTTTCACGTCTCCTCCTCCAGGCAGCAGGCGAAAGTGGTGGAGAAGGAGGCCGTCCGCGGAGCGGGGGCGGTCGGGGAAATCAGCTGAACGTGGTGACGAAGGAGTCTCTCCGCGGTGCGGGGGTGGTCGGGACCAAGAAATCGGAGAAAAGGAACGACACGCAGTTTGAGGGGGTACACGGCGTGAAAGAAGCCAAACCGGCGACGAACCGGGGCCGAGAACGAACTGAGAAGCTGAGAGGCGTGACAAGGGAAACAGTTCAGGCGTGCAGTGGACTGACTAAACACTGACCACTACCACTGCACCAACCTGCGCCCCATTCTGACTGACACTACTGAATTGAAATGCTGAAGAAGAGAAAATGATGAATTTAGTATGTAGAATTTTGGCAGCCGAAGTAGGCACTATGAAAAAACAAAGAACACAGGGGGGGGCAGTATCCTGCTCCTCCGGGGTTGTGCGTGTCGATCCTGTCTCACCTTTGAGTAGGGGGAGATCCACAACTGGAGGGGTACAGCAGGGGCCCCAAGGCGCGCAATGGGCTGCGCGCAATGGGCTGCGCGCCTGTGACGGCCCACCCTGCTCCTCAGAGGCTGCGATGCAGCGCCAAGAAACACAACTCGCCACACCAACGACAAGGCAACGCGGAATGAAAGAAAAAGGTATTGAAGAACACCCGGATAGCGGTGCGCGCGGCAGCGCGCGCCAAAAATCTACAACATAGCCCAGACGTTCTGGTCTGATGCAGAAGAAGGTCACGGATTGGACCCCAAATTGGTCCGACCAATTTCAAACGGAATCCGAATTCCATCCTTTTTTCATCCGAGTCCAATTCCTTATTAGGGAAATGGGATTCGGATGGAAATCGGATGGGATTCGGATGGAATTCGGATTCCGTTCGAAATTGGTGTGGCCGCTCCAGGAAGCAACGGATTTGGTTTGAAATTGAAGAGGCGCCCACGGATTCAGTTTGAATTCGCGGATTCAGTTTTGAATTTCGAATGATTTGGAAGAACTTCAAGTTGCCGCCAAGCCGCAACTTTCACGACACATGCGCTGTGCCGCCTACGAGGACGGAGATGAAAAAAATTATCTCCTCGTCTTTGTTGCTAGCCTAGTCTTCGTGGTTAAATCATTCTTCTGATTTTTATTTCACTCATAATTCGTGTTTGTCGTAGTTCTTCCTGTTGCTCTTCTGCGTAGTTGTTCTTCCATCGTCATACTCAACGTACATTTTTTTCGTTCATGATCGTACACTCGTTGTGTTACTCTGTCGTCCACCTTGTCGCTGGTGCGTACACTTTACAGCTTCGTCGCACTCTCAGTCCCTCATATTCCCACTGTCCACGACTTTATGTTCATGCTCATTCAACACACGACTCTTCGCATAGATATCCAAATTTTCTATCGCACAGATATGATTCAAGTTCCTGTTTTTCAGTGTCAGTTTCAACCTCGTTAACACGGCCTGCCCATACCCCCCCTCTCTTTCAGTTTGCAAGTCCCACCTAGCTACAAACTTTTGTTTCATCTTCACAGCTCCAAACCCTCTTGTAAACTTAAAGTCACTTTTTCTTAAGTAGAAGCCCCAGGTATAGACTATGAGCGGTTTTCTTCGCTGCCTTCCCGTATGCAGCATCTGCGGCGGAGGTAGCTTGGAAAATAACTCCACAAACAGACCCGACGAGGATGCGCCTTCCGACCTATACAGGAGCAGGGGTTCTTCGAAGAGCCAGCAACGCTCCAAGCAAGGCCCAGAAGGTGAGGAAGCAAGTCAGAACAGGAATGCGCAAAAGCTCAATCCGGGGGAGGAGCAAGGGACTTCTAGTTCAGAAGATCAACTTGTCCAACTCGAAGCTGGTAATATTGTGAAAACCGATAACGGAAACAAGCAGAACCACGACTCCTCTCTCCACGACCGTGCCTCGACCAAAAACGCGTCACAAAGCAGAAAGCCGTCAAAAGGGAGCAAGCTTGCCGCGTTGAAAAAATCTCGATTTCACTACGTGGAAACCGCCAGCAGCCTGGCGGAGCTGTTCGCGGAGGACGGGGAAGACGACTTGGCGTTGAGATTTATTTCTCTCGCAAAAGCGTACAGAAGACGAGTTTTGCGATCGAGAGCAGAAAGTGCAGCGACAGAACTAGTACTGCAGGGAGATGACGAGGAGAAGCAGACAGCAAAAGCATTAGGGGAAGATAGCAGTTCCAAAAATTTTGAACCTGGCAAAAAGAACCCAAACACTATTGAGTTTTCTTCCATCCAGACTGCGTTGGATCTGCCCCGGTCCGCTATCGCAGAAAACAGTTACCCGGAGTTATTGGAACATTTGAAGATCGCGCTTCCAAAGGCAGGAGCAGGATCATCTCCATCGGCTTCACAGTCAGACGCTATCGTTTCGAACGAGGTCGACGCGGCGGACTTTCGCAAGCTGTTCCGGTCCGAGTTGGAGAAGAAACTGAAGGATAATAGTGCGTCAGAGGAAAGCAAGCCTGAGGACGACGGCGGGCAGCTCGATGACATTGACACTCCTGAAGCCAGCAACGGCGCACACAAAAATACGACAACTTCTCTGTCGACCATCGACCCAAAGCGCCTCTCGTGGTTTGCCAACGTAGAAGACGCGAGCTCTTTTCGCCAGCAGTTGTTCTCTTCCGAGGAGATCCCACCGCCGGTGGCGAAGAAGCGGGATAGTGGTATGATTCGTAACACATCTGCGGCTGGTGCACCAGGAGGAGATGAAAAGCTAGAAGAAAGCTTCTCTCTTCCCGACTACGAGATCGTTTCCGATTCCGCCATCGCAGATCTCTGTTTCTCCCTGCACGGCCAATGGTTTCTCGAGTCCTTCAGCGCAAAAGCCTTTCATGAGAGTGCCTCCAATTATGGCGAGCTATCTGTTTCCATCCCCCGCACGTTCTCCTCTTACCCGAAACAAACTGCCTACATCTGCGACTGCAGCTACCTGTCGCAATTCCCGGTGGAGGTGAACGTTGAAAGATACGGCTCCGTTGCATTCTTCGACGAGAGGAGGCAATTATTGGGCTTCTGGAACTGCGAGGCGCAGCGGTTGTTGCTGAAACCCTTAACCGTGCTAGAGCAGATGCAGGTTGCGAAGAGAAAGGGATTGGAACATCAAATTGAAATCCCGGTGACTTCTTTCCAGCAGAAGGAGGAAGATGTGCGGAAAGTTGCCGTGTGGGACCGGACGAAGTTTCATTTCCGATCGTCGCTGTATGTGACGTTATTATTGCGGAAGTTGGTGGCGGCGTTAGTGCAAAACAGCCGGATGTGCTTTTGTTTGTCGACAACGACATCATCGTCAAATACAGCAGCTGGTGAGCAAGCTGCAGATGATCAAGACGCCAGTTCTACTGCACGGAAGAACAAGCAGCAGCTTCTTGCAGCGCTATTCGAGCCCTTTTACGGCCGCGGGGAAACCGCTGCGGCCAATAACCGATCGATTGTGTCTTTGTTTTCCACTGGGATTCTGCAGAAACTCCTCGGTTTTTCCGACTCGAGTTTCGCAGAGGTTGTGACGGATTTGTTCGCCAAGGCGAAAGAAGTTGGGTATGACGACATTTCGAAAAAGTTTGCGGAGTTGCTGGCGCAGATTCAGATGAATGGGAACCGGATTACAAGTAGGACGAGTAAGCAAATTATGCCCTCCGCGGCGGACAAGAAACAGAATCTGAATCAGAAGCCTGCTGGTGTTCCTGTTGCACCAGCAGCTCCTCGCGAAATAGTTCTGGATGGTGGCCTTGACCTTGGGCCGCCGCCCATTGAGGCTGCTGTTCCTGAGGATGAAAGCACGGAAGAGCAGGTGCAACTGGAAGAGCAAGATCACGACCTTCTTCTCGACGTCGAGGACACTGAAGACGAGAAAATGAGCAACGGCCCGGAAATTTACAATTTTGTCACAGCACGACAGGAACGGGCACCTTCACCGAATTTTTTACTTCCAGGATCACCTCCCCTGATGTCGAACCAGCAGAACAAAAGAACAAACCCGCCTCCCCGTCGAATCAGCGCCAAGGACCAGTCGATCCAATCCTATGTCTTTTCCTGGCTTGTAAGCAACCACGTCCTCAGCAAAGAAGAACCAGAGCAGAATGAGGAAGAGCCGGCACATCAGGACGAGGAGGGAACTTCCAGGGGTGGAATGTTCATGTTTTCCCCCGAGATGTTGACAGGTGGTTCCATCCGTCCTTCCAGCGTCAACCTGGCTGATGAAAACGGGGAAATTCGGGTGGAAGAAGCGGTTTTTGTTACTCCGCCAGAGGATGAGGACAGTGACGATGAAAGAATCAGATTCCCATCAGAAGACTTCAAAACACCGAGAAGTTTGCCGGCTGTTTCCTTACTTCACCCAGAGATCGTGCAATTTGACGTGGAGATGGCAAGTTTACCACTAGTCACCGACGGAATGGAGCTGTACCAATGTTTCAAAAATTACGTGAAAAGTGTCCTGACTGCTTTTCGGGAAAAGACCGGGAACAGGGAAGTTTTGAAAAATTGCACCGAGTTTTTGAATTTGTACGAAACCTACGGAAACGTCGAACAGCGAGGCCCTGTAGCAGCACAAGGGGGCACTAGTTCCTCGAAGTTGATGATGAGCAAAAACCCGCCATCAAGAACTCAACCTCAAACCGCCACTATAAAACCAATCAAATTAAAGCCGATCGACGAGATTGAAACGCTTCTCACCGAGATCTTGTGGCGCCACTGTGTGATGTTCCAAGACTTAACCTACTTGACCTACGACGCTTGCGGCTCTTCTGGACGCGTTATCCGTGCCTCCGCGGTTCGGAAGGAGGGCAGCTTGCGCTTTTCCAGCATTGGGAGTGGGGGAAGGGGAAGTGGAAGCACAGCCACCAACTTCACTTTCCCGACGACCGATTCATCTTTCAGCGCAGGAGGTCCAATGACCATGACGAACAACCCATTAACCGTTCACGCAACCGCTATGCTTGAGTCGATCTCTAGCCTGTCGCCTTTCAGCGCGACGAGGGCAATGAGTGCGGCTTTTGTACAACCAGAATTGTCCCCGAGTCAAATTTCTTCCCCTTTAGGGAATCAACGCGACGCAACGAACACACTGATGGCGGACAAAGAGCATTACGCGTTGAACCTAGCTCTCAACGCTTTGCTGATACCGGAGCAGGATGAAGATACTAGCAGCAGCAACTCGTTGGTAGATGATTCCACCAACACTCGCGCTTCATTACCAGAAGAATTCCGGACAGAGTTACAGCAAGTTGCGACCCGGGTCGCAGTTAGAAATTTACGTCGCAGAGTACCGTGTTTCCTTTTTGACCCAAAGAGGCTCAGCTTTGCCCCACAGTTAAGTTTCTGAAATTTGTTTTCCAAATTTTGCTTCAATATTCAGAACGCGGACCCTGTGATTACATCCTAGTTTTGATGTTCTGTTGTCCCAGCGGTCGAAGCCGAACACATGACTTGGGAGTAGCTACCCCTCCCACCAAAATAGAAATACACGACGACCAGCTTTCATTGACCACGACCCGCCTCTGTGTATGAAAATCCAAACACAAATTTTCACTCCGAAAGATTTTTAAGATGGAACATGGATTTCAAGCGAGGTTCTTGATCTTGCGATTGCAAACCCTGCTTCATGGAAATGCGTTTCGGTGTTCTTCTTCGGCAGGTTCTTCTCCACGCCTGGAAATCAACAGGCGGCTCGCATTTGTAGATGGAAGATGTTTCCTCAGAAGAACTGGTGTGATTTTCTGTGTGTTGTTGTCGATCTGTTTCCTTTTCGATCCGGTTTCTTTTGTGGGTTCTCCCCTTGTAAAGAGGCAACCTTGATGAATAATGCTTGACACGAAAACGCTTGCGCAAGCGCAGATGATCTACCTTCTTGAAGAGACCCGTCTTTGATGTGACATCCCATCTTTGTCATCTGCGCAATACTTTACCACTTTAGGTCATGGATCAAAAGCATCGTAGGACATCAAAGAGGCTGCACAAGAAACTATGGTCTCCTACGATCGCATAAGCTACGAGCCACCTGTGCCACATATCCAGGAAAAAACACCCATCCCCATCCATTTTTTGCATGACAAATAGTGGATTTTATGTATGTTTTGCATGACAAATTGGATGGGGATGGCTGTTTTTTCCTGGATACCACAGGTTTTCGGCTCTGGTGTTGAGATGGAGCTGCCAAAGGTGAGTTTTGCTTACTTGTCATGCAGAACAACTAGAAGCCCTTCACTTTAAGATGCCAGTGTCTCCTGCCGTTTTGCAATACAGAAAATTGAAATTCATCCCACCAAAAATACCAGTTCGCCTCCTCTGAATCCAGTTCCGGGCAATTACCGAGCTCCCGCATGAAGCTCAAGGACCGACTTGCGCTCTACGAGGAGGACGACCCAGCGGTGCAAAAATGGATCTGCTGTCTCGGGATTTTTTGCCCACCCTTTATCTGGTGGATAGGCGCGCTCATGTAGAATTTACTTATGCGTGGTTCTTGCCTTTACTGCTGTTGCAATTTACACATGAGGAACTGTTTCTGTCTTGCTTTTATCGCAAATGTAATAACCTTCTAGTTCTACGGTCTTATCGCGCAATATCAAGGCAACCACCTTCACAGGCACTTCCAGACTCCTCATTCAAAAGTGCTGACCCGCGAGGCCGGGCAGAAGAACTTCACGCTAGCCGTCGCTTCCTCCTCCATTCTCTTCCTCGTTTGGGCGGTCCACCACATGATGCAATACGTGCCCCAGGATGGAAATCCTTTCCCACCCGGCATGGACGCAAGTCAGCCGCATACAATACCGAGGGTGCCTTCGAAATACGCGACCAGAGCGCCGAAGGCCGCGAAGGTGGATCACGATGATGAGGAGAGGCATGGTACTAGTCGAGGTCATCACTCCGACGTGGAAGACCACGACGAGGATCATAACCAGTCGAAATACCTGCACAAAGTCCCGTCGAGTTCAAGGACAAGTAGAAGTTCTCCTGAACAGGAATCCGCTTCTTCATCTAGTGGCGCATCTTCGTCGCGATCCAAATCCTCTTCAACTTCCGAGGGCGAAAGCGGTAGCACTACGAAGCGCGGGCACGATCATGAAGACAATGAAACCTCCGGTGGTAGCAGCCACAGTTCCTCCTCCTCCTCCTCTTCTTCCGATAGAAAGGACCATGGCTCTGTGAACTTTGAAAGTAGTTCCGGTGGGAGGGGGAAGAAAAGTAGCAGGGAAAGTGAGGGAGAATCAGTTGCAGTAGAGGAGTCAGAGTCGGGTTCTGGCTACGGCAAGAAGTCGAAAGGCAGCACTGCAACCGCTGATCCGCGGCGCACACGCAAGGGGCGATTTAGGGGGCAGTGAGCGGTTTGGGCCTGTCGTCTCGATCATCTGCAGTTTTGGTGCGTGTGTGTGTGCAGCAGGAGTGATGATGCACGTCGAAGCTGCAACAGAACGCATAAAAAGATGCTGCATAATATCATGGTACTGATGTTACAAAAACCCAGAAAACTGATTGTTGCTGAAACTTCGCAGAGTCGATCATCTGCAAGATCCTTGGCCTCCGCCGTAATAAAAAGATGCTTTGCACCAGCGCTATACCAAGAATACTTGAGATTAAAGATTACTGGTTGTAGTCACGCGCGATGGGATGCTCCTGTAGCACACCGTGCTGCACCAGCTTGTTCGCAAACGCAGCGGTGCGTCGAAAGCGATGCACTGCAATTAGGGAACAGTACTTCTTACGATAGCAATGCAGATGCAGATGGTTTATTGGCCTTTCTTCGCAAATCTTAGGGGACGACGGGGACGATGATCACAACGGTGCAGGAAGTTGTAGAGTGAGCCAAATGATACTGAGAGGAATACTTCTGCGAAGAGAGTAGTGGATGATCATGATTGTTAAGTAAAAGCGCTCTATTTTCCAGCGCTTTTACGGCTAGGAGTCGGACACTTAGAGCAAGCAAAGATAAGACAAAATAATCCAAGAAATGTTGTGACCACACATCACCACGCTCCAACACCATGTCAACCGCAGCGGTGCAGCTGCTCAGCTCTTCGCGAGCTGCCAGCAGCCGATTTTCAGCGCTGCAGCGAATCAACCCGTTGATATCCGGCTCTACTCGACGAAATTTTGGCTTCGCTGCTGGCAACGCCGCAAAAGTGGACACTTCAGCGTCTTCTGATGTGAATGCAGGGGGTGATCATGGTGCGGGAGGTTTGAAATCCGTTCTACCCGGCGCAGACCCGTCCGTGAGTCCGTATGCGCAAGGGGATGAGATTCCGTATTCTAGTTGAGACCTGTTTCATCCTGTTCTTGTTGCGACGCAATTCAAGTCTACTACTGCGAAGTTGTGCTGAACAATGATTAACAAACAAAACATGACCACATGATGATACAACAACATAAAACCACGACAGCCCCGACGGCATAAGAAACCAATCCGCTTGGAAACGCAACAGTTGGTTATGCGTTGCAAAAGTATCGTAGTAGTATAAACCGCATGACAAATTAGCTGAGCACGAGAAACGGAATTTGTCATGCTGATTTGCCTTGGGATGGAGATTTGTAATGCGTGACTGCGATTGCTACGAATGCGATGCTTTTGCACAGGATATTGGTCCTCATCCGACAACGACAAGGGCGGGTGGCGTGGGGGTGGCAAGGGCTACGGGAAAGGCGGGAACTCCTGGGGGAAATCCTCGTGGGGCGGCGGCGGCGGTGGAGGAGGTGGCTGGAACAACAGCTACAAATCAAAAGGCGGCTATGGAGGTGGATACAGTGGCGGGAAAGGAAGCTATGGCGCGTATCGTCTTTTTGCTCATGAACACGATCGTCACGACCTTTCATGTTTATGATCATATGCTCTTTCAAATTTGATACATCGATGAAGCTCTACAATCTTTGAGGATCATTGCAGATGAAAGCTTCGCAACATGTTATTGCTATCAAAACCAACAGGAAATCTTCCTTCCAGAAGAAGCCTTTTCCCCAGAAGATCTCCGGGCCGGTGCAGGGCTCAGAAAAACTAGATTTCGGCCGCCACGCAGAGAAAACGTTCCAAGAAGTGTGCACGAGTGAAGGGCAATACGTGGACTGGATGGTCAGGCAAGCTTTCGAGAAGGCGGAAAGACCACTGTCGAGTGGGCAGCTGCGATTTGTGGTACTACAACTTACATTTTTTGAAAGTAAAACTTCAATGAACAGTGTGCACTTGTTGGGAAGACATTGATGAGCAGTTGCATTCAAAGCTCTACACTTCCCTCATGTTGAATAAATCAGGCCTACGCACTCTACGCAAGACAAAACCCGGCCATGCTGGACACCGAGCCCACAGTTTTCGAAGCACCAAAGAACTTTCTCCAGGGGAAAAATATCGTCTACACGGGGGCCACTCCGTGGGGAAAGGATGTACAGTAGTTTTTCATCGTTTTTTCAACTACAGTTGTGTGCTGGACAGTGATATCTTGTTCACCTACATGAACATACATGCAGCCTGCAATGTGAAGGTCAACAACAACATTGGTGAAAAAGCAACTATCCAGGATGTCACCAAACTGTTCGAGACCTACGGAGCCAAGGTTGCAACGGGGGTTTCACGGAAAACGAGCTACTGTGTCTTGCTGAACGAGAAGACGGATAGCATGGGCAAAGACGTGAAATTGACGTCCAAGTACAAAAGTGCGGTCGAGAAGAAAATTGAGATTGTCACGTTGGAAGATTTGATGCGCAAGGCAGTAGAGGAAAACGAAAAAAAACCATCTGCGGAGAAGGAGCCATTAGTGCAGCAGGAGATGAGAATTGCGGGATTTTGAAGATTTTGCTGGGAAGCTGGCGGAATGGCGACGAAGATGAATGATACTGATGTAATCCGACTGTGTTTTTTTCGAAAACTGATTTTACACAGAAAAATTTTTGGATAATTTCAAACGGTTCTGTTTTGATGATAGCTTCTAGTTTCGATAATTTTATTTCTAGGCAAGGTTTTGATTTTGTGCAGTGGTTCGATGCCGATAGCAATGTTTCTAACTTCTAGCCGTGATAATTACTGTTAAATTTTTGCTTTGGAAGATTGATACACGAGGACTTCCGGAGGGAACAGCAAATAATTTCAGAGAAAAAGACTAACTTGCACTTGTGTGGTGTTTCGACGAGGCGCTCTTTTCCCGAAGTAAAAATGGACAGGAAACAAACCTGATGAAAGCGTGCAGCTTACTAGCTGGACCGAGTCGCCGACGTTCCTACTGCAGCAGATGACCGGCGCAGCGACTACTGATTGAACATCTAGTCTTCACGTCGGTCGCAGATCCTAGCTGAGTGAGGAGATCGGGTGCTGGAGTAGAATGACGAGGGCTACGTATCTATGTGGTAGTGCAGGATGCTACAGGAAATGAAGAAGATCAGGCTACTAGCACCATGATCAACTGTTCACCACGAGATCAAACACTGATAGTTTATTTCAGAGCTTCTACATCTTCAACTTGAAGATAGATACAAAACATGCCTCCAGCGTTTTTACCTGCGCGAAGTGCGGCTGTGGAAACCGCATCACTGCACCTGCAGCTGCGCAGAACGAAAAAGCGGGCCGGTGCCGGGATTGGGTAAAACACACCAAAGAGACACGATTGAAGCGCTGCCGTATCTTGCAGATTTGAAGTCTTCTATAAACGAACTCGAAGGCTCTTTCCTGCAAGTTGTAAACCCAACCATCGATCGTCAAAATGACGACCGTGAACCAGCTCCCCCCTCCCCCACTGAAGCTGGCCGTCGGCGCCGCGCACAGCTTCGTGATTGGCGGTAAATCGGAGAAGATTTACGCGTTTGGAAAAAACCAAAACAACATGTTTCAAGACGACAAGCAGCTCTTCAACCGCATCACCGAACTCCAAAATCTGAAATTCGGCATCAACACAAAAGTGAAGGAAATCCTGCAGGCGAAACAGGAGGATAGCTCATCTTCTTCTGGGGTTTTGCCCAACCGATTATGAACTGCAAAAGTATCGTACTTCTAGTTCTAGTACGTAATTGGAATTGCAATAAAGATCCATTTTAGCTTAGCATGACAGAGGGAATTTCTCATGCGGGTTTACCATAAAAAAAGATTTGTAATGCATGACTGCGATTACTACGAACGAGTGCGATATTACTTTTGCATAGGATACCGGTGCAAAATCTACCAGATCGCGTCTTCGGGGAACCACGCGCTGGCTCTAGTGAAAAACTCCCCCGAGGCCTACGGCGGGTACGTGATTGGCTGGGGATTTGGAATTCGAGGGAGGTTGGCGCAGCCAGACCCGGCGCTGGGAGGAGAGGGCGCGGAGATTGAGGACCCCTGGAACGCGCCGTACCCGCTACATGTCTCGATACCGCGATTGGTATTGAGAATAACGGCCGGAGCAGATTTCTCTTTCGCTTTGACGATCAATAACGAGGTCTACGCGTGGGGATGCAATTCCGATGGGCAGCTGGGCTTCGGGCATCAGTACTTTGTGTTTTGCGTTTTATTATTTCCTTGCTTTGTGCATAACAAAATTATGTTCCTATCTATCATGTCTATGTCAAGTTCCGCATCACAACCTTCACACCCCCAGAGACGACGTGAAGACGGCCCGAAAAATCCCGGAATTATCAAATGCAAAAATGTCTGGGTCTAGAAGATTGGGACTTGTGATGCTAACTTTGGACTCTAGAAAATTTTGTATTGCGTGTCCAGCAAGAGGAGTCTAGTTTGTGTTACGCGGGGAGGGCGTTTGTCATGCGGAGTAGGCATCAGGAAGCCCTCTCAAAATCTGTGATGCTAGGTCGTGCATTACAGACATCCTGGGTCATGCAAAATATGCGTGACAAGTCTCAGAATCTTCCAGACCCAGACATTTTTGCATTTGATATGAATTCGGTCTCGACAATCCGGCTATCGATTTTGCCGCCGGCGCTAGGCACGGCATGATCCTCTCGGCTGAAAGGATGTTGTACGTCGCCGGCGCGACCGCGAACGGAAGATTAGGCACCGGCTCCCGCGTGATGCAGGCACAAACGAACGTGACCAGCTGGAGCCTTTTATCAAGCAAAAAAGTGTTAACGTTAACGGTTTTCGCAGAATGCAGCCACGCATGACAATTCTTGCCTAATATGCATGTTATGCATGACAGATCTGGGCACCTTTTGTCATGCATTACTGCATCACAAATTCCGCTATCGTTAACACGTTTCTCTGTGATACCTTTGCGCCACGTTGAACACGGTTTGCTCCTATGGTGTGCAAAAGTATCGCACTCGTACTAATTGCAAATATGCATGACAAATGTTTTTCCTAAGGAAAAACAGCATCAGAAATTCCACTTGCCTTCTTGCCAAAATTTCGAATGCAATTTATACTAGTAAGATACTTTTGCAATGCATAGCTTCCAAATAGCGTGTGGCGAAGCGCACTCTGCGGGGATAGACGCAGAACGGGGTACGCTGTACACCTGGGGCGCGGCGAGCTTCGGCCGGCTTGGTCACGGTGATTGTCTCGACGGCCCTCTCCCCTCCGTAGTCCGCGCGTTTGACGAATCGGCGAAGCAGGTAGCACTCGGAGCTTTTCACACGGTGGTTTTGACCACGAAAGGGAGATTGTGGGCGTGGGGAACCGGGTCGCCTTTGGGTTACATGAACGACGGCGACAACGCGATCGTTGCGATCCCAAGGCGGATAAACTTCGAGTTCCTCGGCCCGGTTCTCCAAATCGCCGCCGGCCCGTTCCACACGGTTGCGTTATGCAGTAACGGGCGGGTAGCTTGCTGGGGAAACGGATCACACGGTAGGGTTGGTCAGGGACAAAGCACGAAAAATGTCCCGAAGCCGAAGTTTTTGTCGGAATTTGACCAATCGGCGATAAGCTCGGACGAAAACTTCTTCTCAGACGCGTTACGGGCAAATGAATTCTTCGACAACGGGGAGAAAAAACTGCGGGCGATTGCCGGGGGGAAATCCGGCCCAAGTGGTGCGGATGACGAGGACGACGGGCCCAAGGACAAGAAATCCGCCTACAAGGTGAAAACCGTGCAGTTATGCATTGCAAAAATGTCTGGGTCTGGAAGGATCCAACTTGTAATGCTAATGCTGGATCATGCAAAAATCTGTGTTGCATGAATGCCAAAAGTTATCCACTTTTGACCAAGTTGAGGGGACGTTTCTCATGCAGGATAGGCATGGCAGGGATCTCACAGAATCTGTCATGCTAGGTCCTGCATTCCAGACGACGTGGATCATCGAAAATCTGCATGACAAGTCTCGGAATCTTCCAGACCCAGACACTTTTGCATTTGATAGCAGTGTGGCGCGATGCATTCTGGCGCCTTGACGGAAGGCGGGGCTTTGTACGTGTGGGGTGCGGGGGAAAGCGGGCAGACCGGGCAGCGGGGATCCACCGCGGATCTTTGGTTGCCGAAGAGGCTGGAATTTTCTTCTCCCGTGACGAAAATCGCGTTTGGGTACGAGCACTGTCTGTGCATAACTTCCAATATGGAGTTGTACGCTTGGGGACGGGGTGGACAGGGGCAGTTAGGAATAAACCAGGCGAAGTCCACGGACAACCCCGTTTTGGTCCATCTCCCAACGGGCGTTCTCGCAAAGGAGTGCTCCGCGGGGGAAACCCATTCCGGCGCGGTTTCCCTAGACGGGCAGGCGTTCACGTGGGGCGACGCGCAAAACGGCTGTCTCGGTTTGGGGAAGGGGGTGATCTCGGGGCAACAACCCGGACCGAGAAAATTGGAGGAGAATGGGTTTAACAAGATAAGGGCTAGCAAAATTACGTGCGGGTTGCAGCACACGGGGATTGTTTCGGAAGATGGGCAGCTGTTCATGTTCGGAGCCGGGTGGTTTGGACGACTCGGATTGAACACGATGAACAATGTGTATGCCCCGACTTTGGTGCCTTTACCTCGGAAAGTGTCACAACTAGCATTAGCGGCTTACCACACGCTAGTTGTGGATGAAAAGAACGATCTTTACGTGTGGGGACGAGACCGGTGTGTGTGCGAGCCGATGGACTGCACGATGCCGAAAAAATTCACGCAGCTCGGCGAGTCGGTGAAAATCAAAACGGTCGCGTGCAGGGAGGCACACAGCTTAGCCGTGACGCAGGAAGGGGAGGTGTACGTTTGGGGCGAGAACAATTCCCACCAGCTCGGGCTGCCGAAATCCATGATGCGGCTGCAGATCCAGATGCCGTATCCTATGTAAAAGCGTCCCCACCGCATAGTCAAGATGGGAAATCGGCTAGACAAACCCACAAGTTTTCGGCTGTTTCGCATGACAAATTTGGACTCGTAGTGTAGGGCTGTTTGAGATAGTTCAGCAGCATAACAGATCTAGTATACCATGCTGATTGGAGCATGACAAATTCCAAAACGCGAGTAGATAACGCTTCTCATGGGGCTCCGCATGAGAAACATTCTCAGCATGCAGATCTGCATTACAATTGTGGGGTGGGGACGTTTTTAAATTCCAGATGCCGGAGCAGTTGAACAGTCTACCCGGGACGGTGTATCAACTGCAAAAATGCCTGGGTCTGGACGGATGCGAGATTTGTCATGCTAGCCTGGCATGACTCTGAAATCTGTATTGCGTGGCCGCAGAGACCTCCTCTTGCCTGCAATGCAAAAACGCAGTTAGTTTCTCATGCGGACTCCGCAACTCAGAACCATGGAAAAACTTGTCATGCTTAACAGCGCATTACAGGGCGCTCCGCATTCCGTTCCTTGCATCACAATTTCATCCCAGACCCAGACGTATTTGCAATGCATACGGTGGTGCAATTAGCAACCGGTCCGAGTCACTCTTTGGGAATCATGTCGAACGGAGAAGTGTACGCTTGGGGGGACCAGTCGTGCGGGCGGTTGGGATTATCCGCGATCCAAGAGCCTCGGTTTGTCGACGTCCCGACCAAAGTCGAACCGGTGTGGTCCAGCATAGAGGCGATGACAGCGGGGAGCCAGGGCAGGAAATCCCAGGGGGAAGAGGAGGATGACTCGCCCGCGGCAGAGGACGATGACAAGGACAACGCTGCGGACGAAGCGGGGATATCCACAGAAAAAGACCCATAGCCACGATCCATTTTCTATTTCTGCATTACAGACACAGGGTCTGACGCATGTTGTGCAACACAAATTGGATGGGCATGGATCTTTTTCTGTGGATAGTGCAAGGAAGGCGAGGGGGACGCGAAGGACCAAGGCCCGAGTGAGAAGGATCAATTGTTCAACGCGATGCGGGAGGGCGCGGGGATCAAGGAAATGTCCACGATCCAATCGCTGATCAAGCAAGAACCGCCGTCCGCAAAGGAAATCGCACTTGGGCAGACCGAAGCGTCGTTGAAGAAGGATTACGAGATTTTTTTGAAGGACATTCTCGTCAACGTCGCTGGGTTTGAGAGGCGGAAGATGGAGAAGTTCACGGATGTCGACGGCTCGTTCAAAACCACGACGAAATTTCTCTCCAACGTGAAGCCACCAGACACGTCGAACAAATCAACCGGGAAAAAGAAAACCAATCCAAACATGAAGAAAATAACCGCACTGTTACCTCGGTTTGAGGAACTGGTTTGGAGTTTACAGCAGCAACCCGCGTATTTAGCCGAGTTGTCGATGCACATCGGGGATTTGGAGAAGGAGAAAATCTTTTACCGATTTGTCGGCGCTCTGTACAAGGAGTTGGACGACGAGAGAACGAAGCACCTGTTCATGGCAACATTGAAGGTTATCCACAGTAAATTTCCCGTACACGTACAAATGCGGTCTTTGCATGACAAAACTTGGCTTCGATCCTAGTTTAGCATAACAAGTTTTACGCTCCAAATTGGTGAAATTTGTGATGCGTCTTGTATATGTACGGGAAATTTATATTGCATAAAGGTGATGATCAAGCACGAAGTGGAGGAATGTAAAGAACCGTCGCAAGTGTTTCAGCCAGATAGATCGCGGGTGTTTCACTTGTTCAGCCAATGGGCTCTGCAGCCGTATTTTCGAGAAGAAGTGGTCCATAGCATCATGGATTTGTCGCGGAAATCCGGTTTGATGTGCACTTTGGATCGGGGGGTTAAGGAATTGTCCCACCACTTCTATTTGACCAAAGACGAGTTCATGCAGGCGAACGCGAACACAGGCGGGGAGAAGGACGCGCAGGAATTGACCGTGGAATTCAACTATGCATTGCAAAACCAAAAGCATCGTACTAGTATGAATTGCATTACAAATTTTATCAGAAAGAAAAATGGTATTTGTAATGCTAATTCAGGTAAAAAGGTAGGTTTGTCATGCAAGATTGCAATTAGTACGAGGGCGATACTTTTGCACAGGATAGCAACGCGAATTTGGAACGGTTCCGGGAGTACGTCCAGGGGGAATTTCTGAACTGGCTGAGCAACTTGGATTTACCTATGGATATCCAGAAAATCATGTTCCACGCTTTACAGACGATCAAAGCGAGAAGGTTCACGGTGACGCAAGATGATATCACGATCGGTATTCACAGTAAATTTCCTGTACACGTACAAATGCGGTTTCTGCATGACAAAGCTTGCCTTTGATTCTAGTTAGCATGACAAGTGGCATGCTCTAAGTTGGGGAAATTTGTCATGCATTTTGTACGTGTGCGGGAAATTTCCTGTGGATAATCGGGCTGGATTTGCAACTTTGTGAGCCTTTAGCTAGGTTGTTCGTTCTCGGGATACTCCTCCCGCAGTTTGAAAACTTCGCGTTTTACTCTGGGAAGATCCAGGGTTTGGGGAATCCGGCACAGTTAGCAGTTGCGGCAGATGGCTCGATCAAGAACAATGTGAAGAAAATCTCAATATTTTTGAAAAAACTCGTGATGAAGACCTTTGTGGAAGCGACGGAGAAGCAGCTGTCGATAATTTCGCGGCAGGTGAAACCGGCGTTCTATGGATGTGTCAGAGTTGAAATCGACAAAGTTGAAATGACTTGTAATGCATAAAATCGATACCAGTTTCGAGCCCAATTTATTCTAAGCAGCGCATGACAAATTTTCCGAGAACTGGAATCCAATTTGTCATGCTGTTTGGGGACAGAAGACCGCTTTTGTCATGCTACTTTAGCAGCTCTATCCCAAACCCCAAACAAGCCGACAACCGGCCTCGCTTGCAATCCCTGCAAGACAGTCACTTCGTGCCTTGCATTTTATGCATCGCAGATTAAGTATTTCAAATTCAACTTTGTCGAGATCAATCCTGACACATCCATACGCTGCTCCAGTTCTGTAAAGAGCAGTCGACGAAATTGACCGACGACACGGACACGCAGGTGACGATTGACGTTTTCATATGCTGTGCAAAAGTATCGTACTCGTAGTAATCGCAGATATGCATGACAAATCTTCCTCCCAAGGTAAAACAGCACTACAAATCCCACTTTTCTTCTTGCCAAAATTATTTGTAATGCAATTTAAACTAGTACGTTACTTTTGCAATGCATATTTCACGAGTCACTACGACTGCCAGGAGCACTTGGTGCAACTCCGAACGTCGGATTTGTTGAATGTCACCTCATTACTCCTAGAGCACGAGTCGAAGATTGGTTTGACGGAAGAAGATTATTTGGTGATGGAATTGATCCCCCCCTTCGCGGACGTAGTGACGGAAGAGGTGATAAAATCCATCACTGCGAAACCGGACACAGATGTCATTTACAACTTCAAAATGAACGCAAGATTCCTATTGACGAGTCCTTCTATGGTTTTCTGCAAAACGAGTAAAGCCCCTGTGCCGAGGAGATTGTCCGCGGAAACGAGTTCTGGTGGGGAGGAGGATTCGATCGAGGTGGTCAAAGCGTATTCTATATCCCGTGCAAAAGTATCGCACTCGCAGTGATTGCATTTATGCATTACAAATCTCGTTGCCAAAGCAAATCAGCATGACAAATGACAAATTCCATTTGATGTCATGCTGACCGAATTTGTATTGCAATTACTACTAATACGATCCTTTTGCAATTCATATTCTATGCCCGAGGATCCGAACGACCCGAGGGCGGTGTTGCAGGATTTGTGGAACGCTTTGCCCGCGTTGGAGTCGACGAATTTTAAGGACATGAAATTGGAGTTTGAGATGCTGAAAAAGCAATACGCGAACATGACACCGCCGGATTACATATGCACTGCAAAAGTATCGCACTAGTATAAACCAGCCATGCTCCGGCTGCCGCCGGAGCGCAAGGCTGTTGGGCCGGGGCAAGACTGTTTGCCGATCGGACCACAACCCCGCGGGCCTATGCACAACGAAACATATTGCGCCTCGCCAACCCGCAGGACCACTTGCGCGCTTCCCGCGCCTGTGGGCGCTCTGCGCAGGGAGCAGCTGCAAAGAACACCGGGGGCGAACAGAAGCCGCCCGGCGGGAGAGGGTAGCGCGAGAGGGTGGCGCGAGAGGGTGCGCGAGAGGGTGGCGCAAGAGGGTGGCGCGAGAGGGTGCGCGAGAGGATGGCGCGGAAAGGCGCCGAACAAAACAGCTCCGCGAAGGAATGGCCTGCAGTGCCAAATATGGGCAGTGCCATGCGGATTCGCGCCCGCTTCTTTGTGTTTTACCCTCTCGCAGACCTCTCGCAGACCCTCTTTTTGACCTCTTTTGGGGGTCCCCGCTAATAGTCCGGCTATACTCGCGGGTAGAGGTCGACAGAGGTGGCCGAGAGGTGGCCAAGAGGGTCCGCGAGAGGTCGCCCCTTATTCGCGCCACCTCTCGCCACCTCTGTCGACCTCTCGCGCTCCCTCTTTTTGACCTCTCTGCACCCTCTGTGCCACTTAGGCGGCGCCTAAGGGTGGGCCCTTACTGCGGGCCTTATTCGCGCGCCCTCTCGCGGACCCTCTCGAACGGGGTCCCGCGCCACCTCTCCACCTCTGTCGACCTCTTTTCTACCTCTGTCGGCCTCTTTTTTACCTCTCGGCCACCTCTCTGGGACCCTCTGTCTACCTCTTTTTTCGCATTAATATAATGTATAAGTAATCGCATTACAAATTAGCTCAGCACTACAAGTACAAATCAAATCTGTAATGCTGTTTTGCCTTAGGAGGGAGATTTGTCATGCATGACAGCAATTACTACGAGTGCGATATTTTTGCAGTTCATACTACGTTTTGACGAAGAAAATCGATACCGGGATTGGAAAATTAGACGAATTAATCCTAGCGGACACGCAAACGGTGGACGTCTTCGCCTACATAGTTGAGCAGCTCCTGATGCGGGACCGACACCGGATTTACCTAGAAAACGTTGACTCCGGCCGGAGAGAAATCCGGGAAGCGCGCGCAACCTACTACGAGAAATCAGAGCGGGTTTTGGTTGAACTGGCGTTGATGAAGAAGTTCTGCACGGACCCGAAACTTCCGAAGGTCTTGACGGATACAGCCTACGAGGTCGCGGGCGCCCGGTGGAACATGAACACGGTGGCACAGAAAATCGCGACGCTGCGGACTGTGGAGCCGGACGACATCCCAGAGGGCGCGAGCTTCAACCCGCAGAAGACGTTAACTCTAGGGCAGTTGTACACGCAGAAGGTGGTGAAGTCGATCACCCATCCGGATTTGGACCCTTTGCCAGAGAAGCGGAAAAAGAAGGAGTTGCAGTTCATATGCAATACAAATTTCCCGCACATGTGCAAGATGCATCACAAATTTCGTAAATTTGCATTTGGAGTGTAACACTTGTCATGCTAAACTAGGGTCGGAGCCAAGTTTTGATTTTGTCATGCAGAGACCGCATGGATTTGCATTGCTCGCGTGCGGGAAATTTACTGTGGATAGTTCACGTTCTCGTTCAACAGCATCGCGGAGTTGGAGATCGTGGTGATTTTGAACGCACCGAAAACCACCGCGATGATCACGAAATTGAAAGTCCCCGTGACGGTGTTAACCGATTTGAACAAAAAAGCATCTGCTGCGGAGGGCGGCGGGGGTGGGAAGGAGAGTGGCGAGGGGGAAAGTGCGACTTTGGGGGATGGATTCTTGACGGTGTATTTGGCCGGGTTTGCGGAACTGCAGAGAAAGATTGCGACGTGAGGTTTTTGAAGCAGAGGACGCGCAGCGAATTGCAACTCATCTCTCTTTTCAGGTTACACTCAACATCGCACACCATTGATTAAGTAATTACTTACAACATACTTTGATGGTCATGGTACAAGAGAAGCGCAACTTCTAGCACTACAGAAGCTGACGAAGACGATATTACGGAATGCGAAGCAACTTTGTTGATGTGGGATTTCAATGCCGAGGCGATCTCCTCGCGCGCTAAGTGTTTTCTTTTCCACCATTTTCGACATCTCTTGTCCGTGTCCCGTAAAGAAGGACCTATCTGCTAGTACAGACGTTCCAACAAGTTGAAGCCGCAAGTTGACCCGCAACCAGCCATGTTCATGTGCGGACTGACATAGAATGTGAGTCGCGCAACATTGCCGCTGAAGAAAACTCACGTTGATGCGCAACGAGAGGATATAGACTTGAGAGCTCCGGCGCCAGAGAGTCGTTTGTAGAGGTAGAGAGCATGACGTTGACGCATTCCGAAGAGATGAGGTTGGCGTGCGTACTAGCACCTCGCTTTTATATACGAAAGCAAGTAAAGAAGTAGCAGGAGTAGCGTCGGACACTTGTCACGGCAAGGGATACCATTATGAGGAGAGCAAGCGGGGAGTGATGGGCGGGCGCGCCCTTTTGGCTTGGCAGACCCGGCGCGCGCGTTTTTGTGGAAACCTCCAACCAGGGGAGCAGAAAGCCCCCTCCGCCGTTTCTTGGCCCATGGGACCACCCAACCGGCCGACGCCATCGTCGCCGGAACGGATGGACGAAGACAAAGACAAGGCGCGTCGCGGGCGCCCGTCGTGGCGTATGGCTGTGCGAAGGAAGGACGGAAGCCCGGGGAAAACGGTGCAAGACAAGCGCGACGTTGATGATATGCACAACTCGACGCCGAAGCCCGGGCCCCCGATCATGTGGCAACTCGCCCCGTTCTTCGGGGTATGGTGGGGGAAACAGAAAACTCGCAGCGCGGGGCTCGTGAAAGATGAAGGGGCGTCGTTTTTCGACGCCCTTCCTTCGGTGCAAGGAGAACCCGATGACGAATGAAATCTTGTCGGAGATGCACACCACGGCGGCCCGCCACAGGATCCAGGGAGGCGGTGCGACGCGATCGCTCGAGTGTGCTGCTCTTCGCTCCGTGTCTGGCCTGCAGCAGCAGGCTGCCCGCTCCCGGATGCGTGGCGGGCTTGTCTGTGGTTGGCTTTCCGCGGCGCCCATTCTTTCGCGTTTTGCTGCCCCGCGGCGTCTGCCGGGCGCCCTCTCGCCGGCCGGCGTGGCGGTCTGTCAGTCTTCCGCCATCCTTTGCCGCCCGGGCGGGCCGATTCATCTGCCTTTGCGCGGCCCGCCATATGTTCCGGCACCCACGTCATTGCTTCCGCGGTAGCCGCTCCGGCCCCCGCGCCCCCCGGCCGTGCGCGCCGCCCCTGTATGTTCGCCGGTGCTGCCCTTGCGACTTCGCGGAGGAGCGCGCGCCGGCGCGCCCGCTTTTGCTTGGTTGGTCTTGTTGATCGCTTTGGCTTTGGTGTCGAGTCGGGGCCGGAGAATGTTTCCTCGCCCCGTGGGAGCCCCTCCGTGTGGCTGGTGACGACCGACTTGTGTTTGAGAGCCGGCTGGCGCACCACTCTGATCTATGAGTATGTGGCGTTCCGTTGTCGTTGAGCAGAGAGCCCCGAAATGTCGAGTAATAGACCTAGTCGCGGCAGTGTGTCATTGAGAGATAGTTGTTTGTGGTACTCGTAGTTCAGTGAGGCAGGTCTTCGAGGCCAATCGCGATCCCGTTTGAACAAGCTTCGCAGAGATAGGCGCAAAGCAGCATGATCATCATGAGCGCCGGAGAGTAGCATCATCATTGTGAGCATCGTCATTGTGAGTATCATCATGGAGCCGCTCAGGCAACGTGATTGTAGAATAGCATAGAACAAAAAAGTATATGCTCATCGAAACGATAAAAATGCCCACGCAGCGTCTTTCCGACCTGGCTCTCAACGCCTACTACTGCCCAAAAATCCTTCACAACAACCTCGGCGATTCCGGCGGAGACATTGGCGACGCCGCAGTGCAAACTGCAACACAAAGTCAAAGCCACAAGAAAACGCAAGCCGCTGCTGGTCGTTCATCAAAAGCGGACAGCAACAATCCTCACGCAGAGCAGAAGCAACAACACGACGAGACGAACCAACTCAACGATTTGAGAAAGCTCGCCGAGCCGGTGTATTACTACCACCGGGAGTGGACCGACCAGCAAGATCAGATGGAGAAAACGTTGCAGGCACTAACCAGGTTCGACCCCGCGGACGACAAGACTTTAATAAAACGGAAACTCGACCAAGCCGACCTCCAGTACTCTGTTCTGGCGGAGACCTACACGAGATTCCAAGGTTTGGTTGCGAACTTGCTGTCGAAATTAGGCATGAAGTGCGCGGACGCGCACCCGGTGCACATGCCGGATATTCACAAGGAGGATCCCGAGGCGGAAGCGAAGTTGGAAGAGGAAAATGCTGGTGGGGAAACGGAAGACAATGTCAATGCTGCGGGGGGTGGAGAAGCGGAAGATAAAAAGGCTGGGGAAGCAGAGGCTGATAGTACGGTGGTAGACGGCGCAGAGCCAGGCACGGAAGACGCAAACGCAACAAAAACTGCGAAAGATGAAGTTGAAGACGCAGAGGAAACTATTGAAGTTTAGCTCTTTCGTTTCGCAAGATCAATGGAAAAAAACAAAATGCCGACTGTATGATGCACTTCAATCACGGGCTCCTCTCCGCTGCTGATTGTGAGATAGCCTGAGCGTGAATGTAAAAAGAAAAATAGCAGCGGAAGCTGCACGACGACATCTGTGTCCGTGTATGGTGTTCTCCTCGTTTTGATAGATTTATTACGGTATGCGTGTGTTGTTCTTCTGATAAGAGCACTTCTGAAGCTTTTTCACCTGCCGCAGGGTCTACACGTAGTTGCAAAACCCAGAGCGTAGGCGCCTGCGAGTGATGGGCCAGGCGGGCGCGTTTTTTCTTGTTGAAGAAAAGCGCCCGCCGTGCCTCGGCGAAGTCTTTCGCGATTCCGATTGACGCAGATACAGCTCGGCGGCGACGCAGCCCCAACCGCCGCCTAGTATTGCCCCACGCCGACGCGCCAAATAGAGAAAGGGCAAGGGCTTGGCGGCCGCTATGAGTTTGCAGGCAACGAGCCGGCCGGCAGTTGTAGAGAGGCCCGCGCGTCGTGTCGTAAAGGCACGCCGGGGCGCAGCGCCCCGCCGGCCCGGCCTATCTAAGAAAGGAGCGACGTAGGTCGGGGCGCGCGCCGGGTTTCAGCGCGTCGGCCGCATTCCGCGAGCGGGCCCCGATGGGCTGCGAACCGAGAAGCCGCGCCGGCTTTCGGAGTCGCCAGCCCGCGGGGGGCCGCCCGGTGTATTTTCTCGGCGTCTGCCCGGAATGTTCGCCCCTGCCTTCGGGGCCGGCGCACGGCGGGCCCCGGGGCCGCCGGCCCCGCTCCCCCTGCGCGGCCCGCCCCATATGTGGGGGCCCAGCGCCCGCGCGCGATAACCATTGGGCGGCGTTGAAAGAATCGGGTGGCAGACCGCAGACGACGCCGCGGCGCGCAAGAATGCCCCCACTACAATATTGGCGCAGATCTTGCACACAAAGGCGACGGCGGAACGTGCGCGGAAGCCCAGGGCGGGAGGCGCGCGGCCGCTTTCTTTGTGTTCCTTTGTCTTGATACGGGCCCGGGCCCCTTGGGCCCGCGCGCCCCCGGCTTTTATTTTTTGTTTCGGCCGCGGCCGGATTGGCGCGCGCGGCCGCAGGCCCGCCCGCGCCCCCCGGCGCGTTGGTGGTTCCGTTTGCTACTCCGCAAAGGAGGCCCGCCGCGCCCCGGCCCCCCTTGGTGTATTAGTTTTCTTCTATCGCCGCCTGGGTGGTGTATCGCGGTGCATCGAACTGCGCGCAGCTCCCTCGCGTCGCGCGGCCGGGCCCGGGAGCTTCGTTTGCTTTGGGTGCGACTGGTCTGGCGCCTGTTGCCAGCCATGTCAATCTCGCTCCCTGGGTGCCTGAGTGCGTGCGCGCTACTTTGTCGCGCAGCAGCCTTTGCAGCTTTGGCCGTTCATCTGTCTAACCAAAGGAGGGCGCAGGCGGAGGCGCGTGTCGTGCGCGATGATAATTCTTCTCCGTAAGTTCTTGACTGCAGCACCTCTACGAAGCGCGTCGCTCGGTCGAAAGGCCATTTCTTGGGCCAAGGTGCGCACATGCGGGCGCGCCCGGAGATGCAGAAAGAGCGTCAGCTCACCTCCTGTTCCATAAATCTGCAAATGATGAAAGGAAGGAAAGATCGAAATCGCAAGGTGCAATGAAGGCCGATCAACTACTCGTCACAAGACATCTTCATCTAGTAAAGCTATAGTTCAATTTCAAAGTAGCCCTAGTCGCGGCACCGTAGAAATTTCATCGATCTGCCCTTTTTCATCTTCCACCACGAAATAAAAATCAAATGATGAAAATGTCGAGGTCCACGTCCACCTAACGCCTGCTCGCAGCCAGTCTTGCGGTCAATCTGGCGAGGCACAAAATTCAAATGCTAAATCCTTGCTTGATGAAGATCCACATCCATCCATCATGATCGAGTTGTTTGTTTATGACGATCGTCCGGCACCAAGAAATCATCCTTGCAACGAACAATCTACGCAGGGTGTTGATGTTTCAATTTCATTCTCTCCTAGTATATATTCACCCGACGATGACGAGTTGTATCTTACTTTTTTCTGCGATGGCATTCTCTATTTTGGGTATCCTTAGTTCTCGTAGTTGTATTTGCAGAGCAGAGCTAAATCTCTGAAAATTATACTAATTCAGCGGAGCGACAAGTTTTCAAGTGGAGTCATCATTTTCGATTTTTAGGCGACAGTATAGGTATACCCCATCGAAGAAAAGATAAAAACAAGATGCGAAAGAAAATGATTATGCCAACGCAGCGCGGAGCCGCGGGCGCCTCCGTTGCTGACATCAAGAGACCAAAACCAAAGAGCGCCCCAAGTACCACTGTCAAGAAAACGATACCACCAAAAGGTGCTGGTAAAAACGCAAGCACGCAGCCCCAACCGCCACGTGTGCAGAAGAAGAAAGGCCTTGCTCCTGAGAAAGAGGACGAAATGAAAAAGCAAAAGCAAACTTCTACGCAGCCGGCCACAGTAATAAAGGCTGCTCCAGCAAAATCTGCAGTACCAGAGCCAACTACTTCGAAAAGCAAAGCTTCGGAGACTACGACGACCACCACCCCCACAACTGCTGCTTCCCCAAAAAGTGACGATGCATCTATTGCTGACGATGACATAATTGCGGAACAAGACGCAGCTCAAGAGGAGGAGGACGAAGAAGAAGAAGAACCCTACGTCTCCTCCTACCCGAATTGGTCAATCGACACGAATGACGACACCCTCCTCGCGAACAAGCCGTGGCTGACCGAATTGGTCCGTCGGGCGGTCCGGATTGAGATGAGAATCCGGAAGAAGGAACAAAAACTCCATGCGAAGAGAAGAGAAGAAAAAAAAATCTACGAGCAGAAACTGGAGAAAAGGAAGAAATTGTTGTTGAAAGAGTTCAAAATGCAGTTCGGAAAAACCGATGTAGCGAAGGAGAAACACGAGGAGGATATCCGGATGTTCGAGAAGAAAGACCGGAGTTCCAGACTGTGGGAAATGATGGCGAAAGTGATGGCGAAAACCGGGAAAAGGGCCGATGGGGCGGCTTTGGACAACAATGGGTCGCAACAGAATGATGACGGCGACGGAGACCACGATGAAAAACCTGGCTCTACTTTCGACGCAGACCACGACGACACCACGAACCCGCCAAGAGCGCTGCAGAAGCAGGCGAATGGAACAACAACAAACAGCACTTCAAATTCCGCCGATAAAGACAAACAGAGTCAAGACCTCACCCCCGAGGAGTCCAGCATCATCGCGCGCTTCGACTACTGCTTCCTGTTTTTCGCCGTGCGTCCCTGGCACCCCTCGACGGCGACTTGGTACAGAGCTTTGACCCAAACGGAGCCGAGGTTGGATCTGTGGTTGCAGGCGGAGCAGGTGACGAAAACCTTGCGGTTCAAGTGGTTCAAGTACATCGGCGACGACCATTTAGACGAAAAGGATTGCGAAAAAAGGCAGAAGCAGCAAATCGACCAGGTGTTGAAGAAGTTACTGAAGGAGGAGAAAAAAATGTCGGACAAAAATTGCGCAAGAACAGCAGATAAAACTTCATCTACCGTCGAATTAGAGGAACAGCAAAGTGCGGAACTAACCTTACTCCAAACGGTCATCCAGAAGCAGCAGCAAGCGAGTTACGCAGAAAAATCCCACTGGAAGCAGGTCTACCACTACTACGGCCAGTTTCTGCAGCTGTTGGTTTCCAGCGACATTTCGATTGCGGAAGACGTTTTAAAATCGTTGGTAAACGCCCTGGATTACCGGGAGATGGTGCAGCACTCCAAGGGGATCGGACAGAAAATTGTAATCGAACTCTTACCGGCGCAAGATCTAGATCATGTTGCCAGTGGTGAAAGTAGTAAAACTAAAAGCAAAAAGCCAGCTTCGCACGCGTTCACCAGCGGGAAGGAGTTGAAGAAGCACTGCCGCGATTTGCTGTTCAGCGACAAGTACGAGCCGGGGGAGTATTTGGACGAAGAAGATTACCTCTTCATGAAGGCGGTGTTCAGCTACCACCCGCAGTTTTACAACGTGGAAGTTGACGGAGATGGTGCTGTGGGTAGAACTGGCAGCGAGGCGGCGAAACAGAATAAAGCCGAGTCTGCTGCTGCTGCTGGTGGAAATCAAAATCAGCAAGTTGCGAAGCAAGAAAACGATCTGAAGAACAAACCGCGCACCAGAAGTGGCTCGCAGCAAGAAATGACCCATAAGGTTTCTCGCGTCCACGTCAATCTTTCGACCAACAGTAACCATTTGGACCACGGGAAACCGCACGAAGCGGACATCAACGCGTACACGCGGATCGGGATCACGTGGCACTCCTTGCACGCAAACCAAAGATGTTTTTTCCTCCAGAAGGTGACGGAGAAACCAAAAACTGAGAAGCCGAGTAAAAATGTTGAGGCGGATGAAATGGAAGTAGACGGTGAAGATTGTCCTGATCCTGAGGACGAGCAGCAGTTCGAGGCCGAGGAGCCTTTGGAAATCTCCTACTCCCGGTCTGCGGATAATATCCCTGTGCGGGACAACTCGACAAGAAGGTCGGTCGAAAATCTCATTTGCCGCATCCTCCAGCAACGCCCGGAAACGAATTTGAGGGAGGTGATTTTAACCGAACTCAGGTTCAAATACCCGAAATTCGGTAAAATCCACCCGCCGCAGGCGCACCGGTACTACTCGCAGAGCTTGATGCAGCTCGCATTGTACTGTCAGGGATCGATGCCACAGAACCTGCTGAAGTTGTCTCTACAGCAAATGGTGAAAGCTGATAGCGATGTTAGTACCAAGGCGGAGAAGAACGCGGAGGCGGCGGAAAATAAAGGCGGGAGTATAAAATCGACAGGAGCCGAAGCAGGAGCTGGGAAGGACGAGGGTAATCAAGATGGAGAAGCCGATTCATCTGCTGAGAACCAGGCGATCAATATCCCACAGAAAAAAGCTGGCAGGTCACATTTGTAATGCAATTGCAAAAATAAATACACAAAAAAATCTGTACTGCGTATCCTAAACAGCATGCTAAGAGGCCGCCCATGACAGATTTTTCTGTGTATTTATTTTTGCATTACAAATATGCCCTGCCAGCTTTTTTCTGTGGGATAATCAAAGAAGCAGCGACGGTTGAGCACGAAGAAGACCTCGACGAGAAATCGCAGAAACTAGACGTCAGCATGCTAGCCGTTTTGGAATTCCTCGGGAACTACCTGGATACCAAGACAGCTGTGCAGCCGGATGGTGATAAAGATAACTCGTCTACTTCAACCAACTCTGCTCAACTCGCAAGAACATCTTCCGCGCAGCCCGGCGAAGGAGCCATCAAAAGTAGTGTCGTCGACAAGAATCGTAACGACTTCAAAAACGCAAAGAAAACGACTTTGGAGAAACTTTTACCCCAGGCGGGCAAAGCCACTTTAATCGGATACTTGCTCTCCGTCTTTCAGCAACTGTTTTTGGAGCGGGGGAATTTGGAAAATTCCAAAAATGTGCAGTTCGTCTATTTCTACCTGTGCAGCCTGCATCCTCTGTTCTGCGAGGAGTTCCTGCGGAGGCTGTTGACGACGTTTTACAATGGCGTAGACGGAGGGGCGTCCTCTACAAGCGGGAACAACAACAAGAAAAAGGGTAACGAGCCGCACGCCGGCCGTTCCGCTACCGCGACCATCCCCACCCGGAAGATCGCCGTGTCCTACCTCGGATCCATTCTAGTCCGCGCGAAGTTCATCTCGGTGACGTATGCGCTGAAGACCACGAAATACCTGATCGAGTGGTGTCTGGCGAATTTAAAGCGGTTCGAATCGCTCATGGGTATCGTGCGGGATAAGGAAGGGAACGAAATCAGAACGGACAGGATTGAGACGATCCACGAAGAGTGTGAATTGTTTCATTTAGCGGTCCAGGTGATCTGCTACATCATGATCTTCAAGAAAAAAGAATTCTCCCGGCCGATTTCGTCCTCGGATTCGCTTTCGAGGAGCAAAAAGGACAACAACAGCAATCGAAATGTCAACCCAGCAAAGCAGATGTTGAACCGCAGTGGAAGTAGCACGATTGAACGCACAACGTCAGCTGCATCGGCTATTTCAGCGACTGCGGCTGGAGCAAATGAAAACCAAGCTCCGAACGAAGAAATGAATAAGCCGAAAACCTACCTGGAGGCACTTTTTTTCAAATACGGGTTCATGAAGGTTCTCGACTCCCCCACCTACCCGCTCTATCGGGTGTTTCAAACTGTGAAAGAGGAGTTTTGCAGAACCTTTGGCTGCGTCCAAACCGCGGATTACGGGCTGGATCCAGCACTCGGGGTTTCGAACGCGAATTTGGTCGAGAGATTGCAGCCCGTGATTGAAAAAACCTTCGATCCGGAGCGGTATGACCAGTGGTTTACGTACAATTTGAACAGCAACAACTTCCCGTTTGACCCGTATTTGTTACGGCATAGTAAGTCCCTGATCCAGCCTTTGTACATTGACTACGAGGAACCGGACGTCATTCTTGAGGAGGAGGAGGAACTACAGGACCAAGAAGATGAACTGGTGGAGGGCGAAGTACTAGAAGGCGATATGGTAGAAATAGATGAAGAAGCGCAAATGGCGGAGGGTGAAACAGAGGAAGCCGATGGCGAGGTGGTAGAGGAAGAGCTTGATGATGAACAAGCGGTGGAGGACAAGGCCGAAGCAGATGGCGAGGAAATGCCAGTTGAGGACGAACAACTCGAACACAAGGCACAGACGCCCGAAGAAAGCGAAAACAAAGTTGAAGCAGACGGAGAACAGCAACAGCTTGAGAGCGTTGCGCTCAGCGACCAAGTACAAGTAGCCCAAATCTCGTCCTGTGACGATAAAGAAGTAGCCAACGCGGCAGCAGAGCCAGAAGTTGTTGAAGAGCCCAAGAAAGAGGCCCCCGCCGGCGACCAAGTGCTCGCTGACGATGGTGAAGAAGAAGAACGCGACGCGGCAGAACAAGCAGAAACCAAAGATCAAATGTCTGCTCTTGATGATGAAGCTGCGGAGGACAACGAAAACGCAGCGGAAATGGAAGTCGATGAAGAGGAACATCAAACACCCGTCGATGAAGATGATGTTGAAGCAGTCGCTGCAGAAACTGCGAGAGACCAAACGTACTACGTCGATGCAGAAACTTCGGTCGACGACGACGACGAGGGCGACGCATTTGCAGCAGCTCCTGTGGTTTTTCAGGATCATACCGAATTACAGGCAGGCGCTGAGGAGATTGTTCCAGCTGCGACCACCTGCAGTGCAGCAGCACCTTCGGCTGCTGAAGAAGAAATGAAGCAGGATAGTACCGTCGCGCCGGCGTGTAGTGCGTCAGTACAGATGAACCAGAAAAAGATTTTCCAGGAGGACGTGGAGCGAAAAAAGGCTGCGCGGTTGATGGAGATCAAAAAAGCGGCGCAGAAGGTTCTGAAGAAGACGGTTTTGAATACATCTGAAGCGAAGAAAACTAGTACAACGACCAGAGGCAGGGCCGGTAGCGTGACTCAAATACAACAGCAAAACCAACATCACGCCACCAGTTGCTCTTCCGCAGCAGAAGAGCAAGTGCATGGAGCAACGAAACCGATTGCAAAGAAGCGGCAGAGGGATCTCGGATCTGGATTTGAGTCCATGGACGGTGCGGCAAAGAAGAATGCCTCCTCGTCGAAAAGGAGAAAGTTGACGAGTGATAGCTTGGATTTGATGCAGGAAAATAGTACACAGCGACAGCAAGTGCAGGGAAAAAAACCGGAGCAGGACCAGGCTGCTGGAGACCACAGCGTTCAAGACGCGAACGAGATCTCCGAACATTCCTCCGACAGCGACCGATTCGCTGACGACCATGAGGAGTTCGAACCCAGTCGTGCAGCGGGAAGCGAATACGCGCCACTTGGGTACAAAAACAGTGAAGCGAGTGTTGATGAGGAAGATGCCCTCGACGAGCAGAATGCGAACGTCGAAAACGAAAGTGGATTGGGTTTGTTGCAGCGAATGAAATCAAATACGAGTGTTGCAGATGATACGCCAGTACCAGTTTCTCGTGCCGGTATCGACAAGAAAAAGAAGAGACCGAGTGCGGATCATGCGGATTCTGATTCTGAATCCGGCGACTTTTTCGATGACGCGGGCTCATCGCAAGAAGAACAAAGCGAGGAATTGTCTGACTCCGAGGAATAAACATGAAGTCAGGCATTTAGGATTTTGATCTTTGGCACTACGCATGACTGCATCCTAAAGTAGAAGCTAAACTTCTACTGATCATGAAGCGACTTACAACTTGTTTGCACCCACTGCAATACAAACATGAAGACGACACTCATTCACATTCTCACTTCGACGCGCTGCATTCAATTTCGAAGAACTGTTTGCCTCTGCTAATCCCAACTTCCACCTCCGCCACGAAAAGATGGAGTGCAATTCGCTGACGCAAGAAAGACTGTACAGTGTTCGCGCCAGAAGCTTCGAGTCGGTCATGTGAGCATCTTGTGGTGCAAATTTGTTCCCCCGGATCCTTCTTAGTGAAATTGCCAAGAAATTTGAGTACTAGCTTGCTAGTACTGCGGCCAGGCTGGGAAAAAATTTCTTCTTTAGAAATGCCCCGCCACTACACAAAGATGACAAAGATTCTCATAATGTTGAGAGAGTGAAGATGGAAGATGCCCTGGATGAAGATGTTGTCTTTTTTTCTCACGTCAGCACAGCGTGTTTTTTTTTTTCCGTGAAGTCCACAAGGAGTGAATTTTCAGATCACGATTTCTGCTGCTTAAAAGGTCCTCAAACGTCGTGTGTATTAACTACTTCTATCTTCTATTATGCCGCTTGACCGCTGCGACTGGTCGTTTGTTGAAACGCGATGGGCCTCACCTGCGTCTCTTCTGGATAGATTGCGCAATAGCTTTACTCCTCGCTATCCTGATAGCTGCATTTCTTTTTCTAGACAAAGCTTCCAACATGGAGGTAGCTGCTTTTCTTTAATGCCTGCAGCGAACAATATGGCCTCCAGTTCTTCCTCGTCTTCAAGCTCCAGCTCCTCTACAGCTCCCTCTATCCCCTCCGCTTCAACACCCGATGGCACCCCGCCCGAGGGCTCGCTGCTCGCACGAGGAAAAGCGGCGATCCGAAGCCGCCTGGAAAAACAGGGCTTGACGGGGGAAGATGTGGCCAAGATTGGCGGGCTCTTTTTGGGGGCAAAGTATAAATACTTCTTCAGCTGCTCTCGCTCTGGTTTTCGTTTTTGTGAAGCTGACCTGGCTCTTGATCTTACTGCAGTGCATGAGGAATCGTTCTCACTAATCCCCAGGGTGGCGGTGGGGTGTAGAAGTCTAGCATGCATAATATACTGAATGATCAACTTAGGTACCTCACCTACGGTGCCTTTCTCTTCCTCGGCGTTCGCTATCGCCCCTTGCTCACCTGGATCCAGCGGCAAAGACAGACGGAGTTCATGAAAATGAACCCCTTCGTGCAGGAGCGGGAGAAGTGGTTTTTGGAAAGAAGATCCGCGATTCAGAAATCCTCTACCTACGAAGAGCTGAGGGAGAGACTCCGGCGGGCGAGATCGCGACTGAGGCAAAGACGGGAACACTTGCAACAACAAATCGCGAAACGCGCAGCGGCGAACGAAGAGGCCATGGCGAACGGGGTGAAGAGTAACTCTGGGGGGCCAGCCGCGACTGCGAAAGGTGCTGGCGGTGGTGCATCGAGCGCATCATCAACCAAGGCTAGCACGGCAACAGGTGGATCCGTGGCTGCTGGAGCGGCGACAGATGCTGGGTCAACATCTTCTACTAGTGCAGGTGCCACGAGAGGCACAACAGCAGGAGGTGGTGGATCCTCTGCTTCCTCAACTTCATCCCGTAGTACTACTTTTGCCCGGAAACACACGCCCAACGTGAACAACTTTTCGGGCACTCTGATGTGGCTCATGGACCAATACTCCTCCCTCGCCGAGAGGTTCAGCAAAAAAGCAGAAGCGTCGAAAGCGGTGCAGTACTTGGCTAGGATCGTGGATAATGACCCGAGAACGTTGGCGATCGGCGTGGCGGAAGGCACGTTGTTGTACAAGTTTACGTTCCCCTTGACCGCGACAATTGAATTCTTCTTGATCTGCAGAATGTACCTCTTCTACAAAAACCAAACGCAGTTGAAGCAGGAAACGAATAAAGATCAACCTGCAGCAGCAGGAGCGCAAAAGTCATGACATTCAGTCGAGAGTGGAAATAAGCTACGCAGCGAAAGAAATGATAGAGGCGCCGCACAAGAGCGGCGAATTCTCGCGCTTCCGCTTTCGGCCGATCATTACAACAAAAATTTAATTTTTGTATTATCGTCCTACTGTTGTAGTTGTTCATGCTGGAAAACTACTGTTCAAAGTGTTTGCAAAGATCTAGATCATTTTTTTGCGCATTTGTTCTCAAGAGCGATCATACCCACAAATTTGATAGATCCACAGGCGTTGCTCCAGTTATGCCAAATTTTGTCGATCCCAGAATTATAGAAAGCAACCAATGAATACAACGAAGACGTCCTCTGATGCGCGATTTTTCCTTTTCGTCATCAGTGTTTTTTTTTGCTTATCATGCAACCAAATGGACCACCAACATAACAACCAGGCTTCGATTGGAAAAAGTAGCCTTGCCATAATTTGAGTAGAATGAAACAATAGAAGAACGACCTGCATATTAAAGTAGAATTTTCATTGCCATTGATCCATCTGTTGATGTGAATAGATTCTGCATCAAAAAGTAACAGTGCATATTATCCCAAAATGCCGATGATGCAAGAGAATGCCTACTACTTGGACGAGAGTGATCTCCCGCCCATTGGGCAGCCGAGAACATCCCTCCCAAAGGCTGCCTCTGCACCCCCGACGGCTCCCAATACTTCATCCGGAACCACACGTGAACCGCAGCAACCGAAAACGCCGTTTTCCCGGGGAGAGTCCGTCGAGGTTTTTTTTCGGTTTGCGAAGGACAAACAAGCCGGGGGGTATTTCCCCGTCGACAGTATGACGCAGGGCATGCTCCACCCGTGTATTGTCCGCACCGACGGTTGGATTCCAGCCATTGTCCAGCAGGATTGGGACCCGAGCAAACCAGTCGCGGCGGCGTCAACACAGAACAACGGCGATGCGTCGAGCAAAGACGGTGGAGCAGATAAAGGCAAATCGGGGCAGAATCTAGTGAAAATCAAGTATTCCCACCCTTTCTGGTACAACCGACAGGGGCAGATTTACAACGAAGGCGGGAAAAGAAACGACAGTGTGCCGGCGAAGTATGTGAGGAGAGTCGCGGATGTGCCGGAGTCGAAAAGGAGACCGAAAGTGAGTCTCTTTTGCGTCAGGTGGGGCGGGAAAAGAAAAGTGGAAGCCGTGACGGAAGGCATTGGCGGCTGGGGACAGGTATTCTTGATAGAGATTGATTTGTACTTGGCAAGTGATATACTTTAGGTGCTTGTGTGATGTCTCCTGTAATATGACAGATCCGATTTATCAAATGTGATGCAGTGTACATCACATGACAAAATCAAAATCCTATCAGGTCGGCAGCAATCCGTCTGACAATTTCATCAACACGCTCCTCGGCGATTTTCCGATGCAGCAGTGGGGTCCGAACTACGAAATTTGGTCTGCTTTTATCCAGTCTACGCACGAGTTGCGGGATATCCATCCGGCGCTGATAAAACAGCAAATGCGCGGACAGTACCTCGCCGGGCTTTACTTCCTGTGGCCAATCGGTATTGCATTTGATTCCTATGGTAGGCTGGGTATGTCTTCTGGATCCGGAGCTGCATGACAAGCATATGATATGCAGTTTTGTCAATTTGATCATGTTTACGCAACACGCCAAACCACCTAAAGTTACAATCCACCCTATCAGGTTTCCAAGACGGCCACGAGTTCTGTGGTTACGTGAACAACTCCGATCTGTTCAACTGCATGAGCGGCATGGAGTGCGCGGGGATTGTATCGAGATTTCCGCATCACAGCAACTTCTACCGATTACTGGCTTCGAAGTCCTGGACAGCTCCGTGGGGCTTGGTGCCGGGATTAAACACGCCTCTGACGACGAAATTAAGCCGGTCACTCATCGTCGAGAAGGTAAAATTTGTTTGAGTTGTGGCTTTGCAAGACAAATTTTGCGTCTAGCCGCGTTGTACATCAAGGTAGGACGCCTCTAATTACATCTTCATCTGCCTCTAGCCCTATACAAAGTCAAAGAAGAAGAACTTCTCGCTTTGAAAACACCATCTTCACTCGTCGTTGGACAAATAACAGGGCTACCTCAACGCTGCGCAAACTGCGATCCAGACGTTGCAGGACATGAACCGCGCAAGAACGCTCCTGTTCCCGGACGAGTACCACTTTCAGAAGAAGGAAAAAATCGCGAAGGGAGTTGCGAAGTTGGGCTACAGCTGGGAATCGATGGATGTGAACCACTGGGACTCCGTGAAGACTTTAGCGTCAGGTACTACAACTTTGCTTCGTGCGCTGGCGCATCTCTAGCCCAAATTTGCATTACATATACGTACTTCATCGATTTCGATGCAAGGAGGAGGAGCACCAGCACTATAGTGGCTATGCGTCTGCATGCAAAAATCCGCATCACAAACACCAACAGGTCTCGAGGAGCTCGTCCAGCAGCCCGGAAACCTTTCCGAATTCGTCCACGTCCAGGAGTGGGTGGATATTGATGTGGAAATGCGACATTTTGTGGTTTTACCCACCGGCCACAAAAGCATCAACATCGAGAAAATTGTCTACACCTGTTACGAATCAAAATCGGAGAATCACTTCTCCAGTTTCAACCGGTTTGACCGGGAAACGTGCTTGGTCAAGAAATTCAACGGGGACGAAGCCGCGTTGGCAGAAGCGGAAAGATTAGCAAAGGTACAGTTTGTTTTGCTGTTGAATTCTGATCTCTTTTTTCATGTTCCATTCTGCGCGCCAAGTTGTGCAAGTCCTTTTTGCGAAAGAAAAGTGCAAAGTGACAGAATTTGCTTCAATCTGTTAAACAGGCGCATGACAAACTAACCACAGGAACTCATCACCCGTCTGTACTACGCTCTCCGCGCAGAGTGTGCCGAATTCCCTCCTTGTCTCCGCTTCGACGTCCTTGCCCACAAGTACGCCCCGGGAAAAGCCCGCGTCATGATCGGGGAAATAACCGAACTCGGCGCCTGCTTCCTCGGGTGGCCAGAGGGTCCTAAAGTGGTTTTCAACGCGTTACTGCAGTCGTGCACCGGTGCAAATGACCGAGGAAACTGGAGAAGAGAAGCGTCCCCAGCAGCTGCGAATAAGGGACAGGGGAAGAACAACGAGAAAGGACAGGGGAATAACGCCAGACAAAGAACCAGTGTCCCGAAATTGCAGAATAAGGTCTTAGACGCCCCGGCGAGAACGAGGACAGATTCTACTTCCCAGAACATGAACACGAGACAGAGCTCTCCTGGTGCTGCGAAACTGGATAGTGACAGAAGCGGAGTAGCAACTACGAGCTCAACCGCATCGACAAATCCAGGCGGACCAGTAGCAACCCAGAGGACAAATAAGGCAAATAAAGCCGGCGACCCAACCATTGGTAGCCCGATGTCGGTCGATGAGGAAGAAGATGAGGAAATGGATCCAAAAGCAAAAGAGGAGTATGTTGCGAACTTCCCTGCGCTCGGCGCCACAACCACGACTGCGCAGAACAACAAGAGACAGGCGAGCAACCGAAGTCCAGCGATTCCGGGGCAGGCGGGGAATAATACGACTACAAATGTGAAGAAAGTTTACAACAGCTCCGTGGCGAAATTGACCTCTACTGCTGGGAGTTGAAGAATGTCATGAGTAAAGCAACGAGCTAAATAATTTTCTCTGTGCAGCGACCTATTGTGTTAATAGCGACAAAATTTTAGAAGTTCTTCTACGGGTTCTTGTTCTTTTTGAATAAATGACAATTATGACAAAGAAGCTCTCACTTCTCTTTTGGCGAATTTATCACAAACTTGCAACTGCCCTAAAGACTAAGCTCAAGATTTTCCACCTCCCCGTTTGCTCTTTTACGACTTCTCCGGAGAAGTGACGACTGCGTACGCAGCCCAGAGCATGTAGAGGTATGGTCAGGGTTGCGAGGAGATGAACGAAAAATAATGAATCGATGACAGAACGAAGAACAAGACGATGAGAAGCTTCCTTGTTGTCGCGGCTTCATGAAGTTAACTCCTCACTTGATCTTCCATTGCAATCAGCTAAGTAACTAAAATGTCGTTTCCAATTAGCGAAGACGAACGATATGCCAAAAGTAGAAAGTTGTCTTCTTTGAAGGTATAGGCCGCCAGCGCTAGCAAATCAATGAAAACGACGGACTAATCATGACTTCATGCAGCATCGCAGCTGCCACCTTCCGAGCCACATGGAAGTCGTGTGTTTGGTTTCCTTGCGCTTCCTCGTTGTTGGAGCGATACAATTTTCATCAGTTTCAGTATCAGTTTATCGTGCTTAAATAAAAGTGATCAGCTGCAACCCGTCTTGTACACTGACCACAGCAGACTGACTTGATAGAGGCTCCTCCAAATGTTTCACCATCTTCATCTTCGTCATTGCTTTGGTTTTCTTCTCTTTCATACTTGTTGTGCGTGTCAACAGCTTCGAATATCGAACAACATGAGTTGCGCCAAACCAGAACCACACGACAGTGTGAAAGTAAGTCGATTCAGCTGCCTTGGTATTCGGTAGCATTTTCGCGTCATTTCAAAGAGTTGCTTCCGACGAAAAAGCAAGTATGGTCGAAGGTCCCTCCCCAACCGATTCGTCGGGACCACCACTCTCCGCCACCGTCCCCAGTCCGACAAAACAACAGCAGCCCCAGATCCGCCCGCCGCCAGAAGAGGAAGATGAAGTGAAAAATTTCACGTTCAAAGACGCCGGTTCGCTGGGCGTCGAATTTGAAGACTTCGGGTACCCCTTTCGGATCATCAATCTGCACGAGGGACTCTGCAAGAAGTATTTTCCGACGACCTTTCCAGTACCGTGCGAGTTGGTTTCCGTCAATGGGGTGGCGGTCACGAAAGAGACCGACTGGGATCGGGATTTGGTATTCGTGCTAGCCTTTGAGATACAAAGCACTATGGTGCTGCAGTTGTAGTCCTACTTTCGCTTTCCTACTTACCGGTATTAATATCATCTCTTCCAGCACGACTGACAAAAAAAACTTCAGGTTCCGCAAATCCAGACCCGGCCTCTCCGTCTTGGCGTCCAGAAACGGGAAGAGGAGCAGGGTGTTGCGTCCGCTTTGTTCTCCTCCCTGTCCAGCGCTGCGTCGAACGCCGCGAGCCTTGCGAAAGATAAAATTGAATCCGCGAAACAGGATATCGCAACAACGACCGCAACCTCCTCTGTCGCCGCGAAATTGCAGAATTTGAAAACCACTGCCGCCGCGAACACAAATTTAGATTCCGCTTCGTCGGTTTTAGGAACATTTGGGAAATCGGCGCTGCAGTTATTTCAGCAAGAATCCGAAGACAATCAGGACTACACTGCGAATCCGGATGGCACGCCAGTGAACGGAACTGAAGGTGGCGCGTTTTCCGCGCTGGGGGCTCTGTCGGGAAAACCAGCGGCAGGAGAGTCAGGAGTGGCTGCGCAACCAGCTACTTCAAAGGCTGAGTTTACACCGAGCTCAAGGACCACGACGAATCCTGCAGCGACAGGCACAGCCCCGGCGGCTCCCGCCCCAAGTGTAGAGAATGCGAACAATATCGAGCCAGAGAGCAGCACCGCGAAACAAGCATTCCCGACTCCAGACTCCTCGCCTGATCTCAGCTTTTCTTTGCAGCCTGCAAATAAAACGTCGGGCCAGAAGACTGAGCCCCCTCCGGTCCTCGTTGCTCCACCAGCAGATCATGTTGTAAGCCAGAAACGCGGTGTGCTTCTCGTCGGCAACACCCCCGCGTCGTCCTCTACTAGCAGTAAAGTAAATCCGCAAAATCCTATAACCTCATCCCCGTCCAAAAATTCCACGTACGAGTACACCGCGATGATCATGGGGCAAGGCCCTCTAGGTTTGGAGTTCTACCTGATGCAGGACAACTACAACAGCAGCGACGAAGATTTCCACGGGGATCACCGAGGTTTGGACAGACGGCCAGCGCGGATTTTCGTGAAAAAATCCGAAACGGTGGATAACCCAGATAATTCGGAAGTCGCCTGCTACCGGATGGGAATTCGGTTAAACGATGAATTAACCCATATCGACGGGCAGCCGGTGGCGTTTGAATCTCTTGGGGCGTTGTATGCGGTCTTGGATAGCATGCGGCCGGTTCAGTGCTCGTTCTCCAGGATCGTTGCTTCTAGTAGTAGTACCGCGATAAACTCGGTTTCTTCATCGAGGCAGAACTCACCTTCGAAGACGAAGACGCCGAGCTTGTTGACCACAACTCCGGGGTTGATACACCCGCAGCCACCAACCGTGTCGAAAACGAGCAACACCAGCGAGGAGCTGACGTTCTCTACTTCGAAGCTTGGCGCTAATGTGTCACCGGGGAGGTCCAAAGACGCCGCTGCTGCGTCGCCAATAGCGAGAACCTCTTCTAGCGTCGCGAAAAAGGAAGCACCGAGCAGCAGTCCGCCCCCAACTACAACGGGACCACCTTCTGGTGCCGCAGCCGCGGTTGAGCATGACGCATCAGCGGCGCCAACCGAAGCCTCAACATCATCGATTCCCGAATCCGAAGCGCACCAGATGGCGAAGCACTGGGAGAAGCAGTCCAAGGATTACCACCAGCAACTGATCCAATTGACCAATGAATACAACTCCTTAGTCACGCACAACGAGGAATTAGAGACAGAAATTGAGCAAAATTGGAAGCAACGGATCACAGAGTTAGAAGACATGAACCTGAAATGGCAGACGCGGTACGAAAAGCAGAATCACGAGGTTATGCATTCCAAATATGTCTGGGTCTGGAAGGATGCAATTTGTGCTGCTATCTTCGGACTCGAAAGAAATCTGTATTGCATGACAGGCAAGACAACTCCAGTCTGTGCTACGCGGAGAGGGCATTTCTCATGTGGAAAAGGCATCAGAAAGCCGTATGAAAATCTGTGATGCTAGGTCATGCATTACAGGCGTCATGGGTCGGGCGAGATATGCATGACAAACCTGGCAATCTTCCAGACCCAGACACATTTGCATTTGATAGAGGTAGAACGACTCCAAAACTGGGTCAACGACCACCGGAATGACGCGCAGGTCTTGCAGGAGTTGAAAAACGACAAGAACAACCAGCAGAATGACTTGAAACTCCAGCAGCTAGAGGAGGACTTGGCGAAGACAAAGCAGAAATTGATAGAGCAAACCGCAGAACGGGATAATTTTGAGAAACAGGTGCTTGATTCGAAGCAAACGGCGACGAAGTTGCAGGAGGCCTTGGATTTGTTGCAGAATGAGCATATGGAGGAGCAGGACCGGCTGCAGGAATCTGTCGCGATAGCGAATAAAGCGAAACGAGCGTTGCAGATTCAGGTGGCAGAGTTGGAAGAGACGGTGCGGAAGAAAAATGAAAACGTGACGAAGGATGAAGTCAGGTAATAAAAAAGATGAAATGCATGAATGTTTGCTCTTCAGATTCCATCTGATGTCGTCGAGGATGCTTCACAGGATACGCTTCCCATGCATGTATGAAATGCCATTGCAGCCATTTATCTTTATCAGGTCCAGCACCGACAAAACACGGATAGAGGAGCTGGAAAACCAGTCTGCCGTTTGGCAGGAGTCCTGCATGAAGCTGCGGCAGGAGCGGGATCACTTTTCCAGCTTGGTGGATCAGTGCTTCGAGAAGATGAAACGCGAATCACAGGTAAGAGGACAAGTGTGCTGCGATTTTGCCTTTGCACGTCCGGTTTCTTATGCGTTTTTCAAGCATGTTGGCATTGTCGCAAAAAAAAAATCAGGACCGCATCTACCAAGTCGACCGACGGATTGTGTGCGATAGCCTCATCCAGTTTTGCAAAGTCGACAGAGTCCTCGCCCGCTCTCTCCTTGACAATCTGCTGCACGTTTCCGGCGCCGGAAGGCACAGAAAGATGCTGGAGAGCATTGACTCAGAGTACTTCGTTGTGCTTCTTTTCAAGGGCCCATCCATTATGGCAAGACATGACGTACACGTTCGCATGAGAATAACATTTCGACTTGTTTGTGGTCAGCCATGACATCAAACACGTTATACATCATGAACATGATCTATCAGGCACCACGCCCAGAAGCTCGAGCTTCTTTCCAAACTCGCGGATTCCCTCGGCTTCGACATTCAGGAGCGGGAACAGATCGGCTTGAACCGCAGTCATTTGTTCCACACGTTACAAAACGAAGCGAATCCGGTGAATTTGGATAACGACTCGCCGGAAGATGGTGTGACAGCGAACGGTTCTACTGGTCGGACGTCGATTGGTAGGCAGTTTGTCGAGTACTTGGAGAAAGAAGTTGCAGAGGCGGAGGCGGAAGAATCCCAGTACACCCAGGTGAAGAGAAACAGTGGCAGTCAGATGAACAGGGAGAGTAGTACTAGGGGCTCTAGCTCCACTGCGGCTGCAGTTTCAGCAGGTTCATCTCCCGAGGTCGGTCGAGGCAGCCTCAGTGCCGATGTTGGCAGATCGCCAAACAGATGACGATGAGTAGATGTAACAAGAAGTAATTCTGCAGAGTTTTAGGCTCTACTCTGGTTCGAGGCCGCAAAAGTAGACAACGGCCTTGGTCTAGTACGAGAGTTTATCTCTGAGTCTCATCTCAACACACCACCTCTTGATATAATACTTCGAAGAAATAGGACTGCTTAGACTTCTGACTCAGCGCAATCTTCGCAAAAGCTAGCAAACGCAAGAAGAACCGTCCACCAGCATCGACATCTTCTCTACTTTTTCAAGAAGCGAAACACCTTGAAGACCTGCTCCATTGGCGTAGTCGTGCAAATACTGTTTAATGATGTTCGTGGGTTTGCCTTTGCTGGTTTTCTCAAAGCGGCCGCAGCTGGAGTCACATTTTTGAAGCTGGGCATGTTTCGTCAAACCTGCGAGCGGCATGTAGACTTTGGCGATCGATCAGAAGTGAGCAGTATTGCGAGAGTAGTTTCCAAAGAAATTGAATTGGTGCTGCACTGCGATGATTGCTGCGAACCAAGTACTTACCTGCTCGTCTAGTCCAAAAAATTGAACGCAAATAGTGCCTTCTTGTAGCTTTGCGAAGAATTCAGCAAAAAAGCCAGAAAACAAAAAATGTTCGACTCCTACAAATCTGCGTACGACGACAATCTCGTCGAGGTAAAACGCGGTCTTGAACAACTCAACACCGCGGACACGCCCAACCCCCAGCTGATTCAATCCATCCACAAATCCTTCAAGGAAGCAGAGGACAGCCTGAGATCCCTAGACCTGGAAGCGAAGTCCCTCGGGATGGAAAAGAGGAGAGAGGTGAAGCAGTGGGTGTTGGAATTGAAGTCCTACTCCAAGGAATTCGACCAGAAGCTCGCAGTGATAAATCGAAAGGGGTTACTCGGCGAAGCCGCGCAGCAACGGGCGATACAGAAGCGGCTGGCAGGTGAGAATGAGCATGATTGCTGTTTGCTGAATTTGAATAACGTCGATTCTTGTACCGACTTCCTCCTTTGCGCCTGGTGCATCATCTGCAATACTACAAAATCTCAAGAACATGCGGAACAAGATGATAAAAACGACTACATCAGCTACAAAAATTATCCACTACAGAAACCGAGCAGCAGATCGAAGACGGGACGGAGATGGTTAAACAGGCCACCCGAACCGCGATAGAAACCGAGCAGATAGGCAACGAGATCTTGAACGATTTGTCCGTGCAGAGGGAAACGATACAAAGGACACGGGCCAACATGGGCACGGTGAGCGGGGAACTGAATCAGGCGGGGAGGACAATAACAGAAATCGAAAAACCCTGGTATAAGTTTTGGTGACAGGAGGAGTTGCAGAAAGCGAGGAAAGCTTCCACCGCGGTGCAGCCGCACAGGAACTTTAGCCACTGTGCTGCTTTTGTCAAATCCAAACCCTTGTCACGCAAACAGAAATGAAATGACATCGGATGATTTTTTTGTGATTTCATTCGAGGTTTGAATAAGAAATTCTGTCTGTGTCGTGAATCTTGCAAATGAATATCGGTTCAGACGAGCGCGTATTTTGTGATGGATACAGCTCGTGCGTCTTGATTTTGATTGCGATTCGCTGTCTTTTGTGGACAATCATCATCTTCGTGTCGGTTGATTTTTGCTTGCATCGGTCATCGTCTCTCCTGTTCAAGGAGCGTGTTGCTTTTCGCTGCTCTTTCTGCAGTTGCATCGGTGTTGCTCGCGATCGTGAACGTGAGCTGATTTGTGGTATCGGTTTATGAATGTGACCACAGTAATAAAGCAAAATCTGTGTTGTTTTAGTTTAATGTTAGTTCTTTCGTATCTTCACCTAGAACTTCTAGAAGAAGAAGTTGCTGGTGTGAGTGTAAGCCCGTCGTGATCTTTCTCGGCACGTGCCTCTCTTGTCCTCGCAGTGGCAGCTGTTTTTCATCATCCTCGGATATTCTTGGGTAACCCCCGTCGAAATGCCGACACTAGCTAAACCAAAACCTAAAGTTTTGACTTTCATCACTACTTTTGTCATACACACTCACACCTCCCAAAATGGTAGAGCAAGTTGAAGCTCCCACGCCCGCAGCTGCGGGTGAGAGCAAACCTGGGTGAAGAAGCACCAGTAACTAAAGAGGAGGTTGAACAACCATCAAAACCTAAAGAGGAATCACCTGCTGCAGTCGCGTCGCAATCAAAAGACGAAAATCAATCGCAGCCCGCGCAGGATGCTGCAGCAGCCACTGCTGCAGCAGCCACTGCCACCGAGGAGAAGCCAGCTGGAGTGGCCGCGCCACCTGCCGCAGAACAAAAACCAACAGAAACAGTTGCCGTAGCGGCAGCCGAGGAAAAACCAGTTGAGCCAGCCGCGCCACCAGCTCCTGCTCCCGCCGAGGAGAAAAGAACCACGACCGGTATTGGGAAGAAATCCTGGGGCATGCTGCGGGGAAACTTCGTAGCGCGCTCTGGTATGAGCATGCTGTCGAAAATTACAGCGAAGAAAAAAGCTGAGGAGCCGAAAGAGCAAGTGCCGGAACCTGCTAATCATGAGGAGGAGCAAAAACCCGGAGACCAGGAAAAAACTGCTGCTGCTCTTGCCGATCAAACTCAAGCTACCGGGGAGCAGCCGGTGGAGGAGGCTGAGCCACCTGCTGAAGGAGCGCAGGAGGTTAAGGAGGAAACGAAAGAGGCTACCGCAGCAGAAGCACCGGCAGAAGGCACTGCTGCAGCACCTGTTTCATCTGGAGACGCGCCGAAAGAAGCGGAGGCAGGTGTTGTTCCCGATTCTGAAGCACCAAAACCTGTCGACGCCGAAGATCCTGCAACTGCTGCAGAGCCAAAGCCTGATGAAGCTGCTGCTGTAGCGTCTGCGTCACCTGAGGCTGTTGAGCCTTCGCCAGGCCCTGTTGTTACGGAGTCACCGGAGGAGAAGAAGGAACAAGAGCCAGCTGTTGAGAAGCCCGCGGCGACAAAACGCTCATTCTGGTCGAAAACGAAGGGGACACTCAGAATGGGCATGTTCTTTGGGAAGAAAAAAGAAGCGCCTGCTTCTGGAGTTGCTGCACCGGCGGAAGAGCCAAAAGCGGTAGATGGAGACGCGACCACTGCAGAGAAAACCGACGAAGCCGAAGTCGCGGGAGAGGCAGTTGTCCCTTCTGATGCGGCTGTCCCAGTTGCACCCGTGGGAAACCAGGGTGCAGAGAATACTGCAGCAGCAGAGAAAAGTGCTGATGTTGTCGAAGACGTCGGCGCGGCCACGAAGCCTGCTGAACCAGAAGAGAAGCCGACCGATGAACTAGATCCCACCGCAAGCGCAACTCCCGGGGTACAAGAGGACGGGGAAACTCAAAAAGATGATGCCGCCACAGTTACGGCTACTGAAAAAGCGAATGAACCAGCAGACGCGCATCAGCCCCCAGCAGACGTGGGTGCTGCAGCAGCAGCTGCGTCCGCTCCCGTTGACGGAGAAGCAGAGACTGCACCACCTCCGAAGAAGAACAGACCCGGCCCTTCCCGAGGATGGGTCGCAATCAGGAGAGGTTTCCACGCCCATCTCGCTGCGAAAATCGCTCTGGAAGCGTTTACTCCGAAGAAAAAGGAGCCGGTCGAGGAGGGCGGAACAGAAGTGGCGGCGGCGGGAGCTCCTGATGACACTTCGAAGCCGGCTGAACAAGAAGAAGTTGCGAAGGCAGAAGTTAAAGCTCCACAGACTGATGAAGCTGTGGAAATAAAGCCCGGCGCCGTGGCTGTCCAAACGGATGACGTGGCGCTACCGGCTCCTGCTGTGCGGGATTTGTCAACCGAAGAAGCGAAGCCTGCAGAAGCAGAGGAGCCAACCCCTTCCCCTGCTGCGGAGCCGCCTGCTGCGGAAGAATCAGCTGCAACAGCCAAGCCTGCCCCTGGATCGTCTCCTGCCTTCAGAGGTTGGTCTCGTTTAAGAGGCGGATTCGTAGCAAGGGCGGCTTTCGGCTCTTTTGGAAAACGGAAGACGATTACTGAGGAAACTGTGGCGGAAGCGGATACCGTGGCTGATACGACACCTTCGCCTGTTGAAGCCGAGACTGCGGAAGCAGTGGTGGTGGACCAAGCAGCACCCGTAAGAACTACTACGACCGAGGAAGTAAAGCTTGAAGTAGAAGAGGTTCCTGCTTCGAAGCCGGCAGAAGAGGAGGAGCCTGTAAGTAAACCAGCAGAGACTACCGAAGCCCCAGCTGCAACCGGAAAATCACGTTGGGGCCGGCTGCGAACTCTCACTGCCGCAACGAGCATGATGAAGAAACCACTTTTGTCAACAACATCATCTGGCGAAGCTGCTGCACAAAAAGAGGACAAAGAAGTCCAAGCCCCGGAAACCAAACCCGAATACGCAGACAGAGAAATTCAAGCCCCTGAAATCCAACCGCAATATCAAGAAAAAGAAGCCCAAGCACCGGACGAAGAATTCAAAACAGAGACGTACAAATTCTCCCTGGAAGACGATTTCGCGATTTTACTCAAGCACCTGGGTTCCGAAACCGACGAAAACGGGCAGATTATCTGCAAATCATTGTGGAAAACCCATTCACTGACCGAGGAGCAGATCTCTTTCTTGAAGAACCAAAACGAGGAATTGAGTAGTAAATGCGATAAATTGGAGAAAAAAGTTGCGAAAATGACGTGGACGTATGTGCCTGATCATGTTGCATCGAAGAGACAGAAGCTGGAATCGTTCGAGAAACTGACAGAAGAGTACAAGATGAGCCGAAAACTAATCCTCGCCGGTTTGAAGCAGTTGAAAGAAGATATCGCCGCGACAGAGAAGGACGAAACGTTACAAATCGCGAACGTCCGACCGATAGAAGTTTTGGACAAGGAATTTCGAACGGCGTTTGATTTGGTTTGCAATCTAGATACAGCCGCGAAGGGGTTGGGGCTGGAGAAAAGGAAGGAAGTGAAGAAGATGACGTTGGAATTGAAGCCTTTATCTGTATCAAATGTAAAAATGTCTGGGTCTGGAAAATTGTGCTGCTAAAAATGAATGATAGACGCACTGCAGTACGCAGCTATGCATGACAAATTTTTTGGCTGCCATGTCTTACGTATTCCGCATGGCAAACTGCGTTTTTGCATGACAAGTAAGAGGGCTTTTTCGTGCCTATGCAACACAGATTCTCGAATCATGCCAGACATGCATGACAAACTCGCATTCTTCCAGACCCAGACACTTTTACAGTTGATAATCTGGGTTGTTCGACAAGGAGTTGGATTGGCTGAACCGGAAACAGTATCCTGTGCAAAAGTATCGTACTCGTAGTAATTGCAAACATGCATTACAAATTTCTTTCTCAAGTCAAATCCGCATTGCAAATTTGGTTTTTCATGCTGAGGAAATTTGTCATGCGATTTATACTAGTACGATGTTTTTGCATTTCATAAACAGTTGTTGGGAGATGCGGTGAACCAGCGGGGGATACAGAGGAGATTGACGAATTTGTTGACGGGCGATTTTTCAAGTAACGACGGGATCAAAAAGGAATTTGAGGCGGAGTACGAGATTCCTGTGATAGTACTGGAGCCCGAAGAGGGTGAGAAGGGAGGTGCGCCAAAAGTAGACTCAGTGTTGCAACCTGAGCCGGATCCGGAAGCGGCGCCAGATAAAGAAGAAGGCGGGTTCTTTTCAATGTTTTTTTGAGATAGGAATTCTGCAAATCTCAAGATCGACGGCTTCTACCGAAAAAAGGACTAGCGAGCTGTTTCTAGTACAGGTTGCTGTAGTTGTTAGAACTTCAACGTGTCTGATGTCTGTGCGGCACAGACCTGCGGCATCTGCTGTCCATATTCAGAAGAAGAAGAACTACAGAGTTGCCTCATTGGATGAGTGTTGAAGGACAGTGAATCTTTACTGCAGCGCGTGATCAGTTACTCGAACGGAAATAAAACGTGAAATTATAGGTAGTGTTTAGATCAATGCATTCACGCCTTATGGGTAAGGAACATCCGCCCCGCCCTCTCCTTTTCTCGAGGGGAGCGGGGCTCTGTTTTTCAGCTTCCTGGCCTTTGCCTTCTGCTGCTTAAACACTCGGCCTTAGGCCAGGATGTGAGTGGGACTGTTCGTCCCCACCCTCCCGAGAACTCCAGCTCCATAAAAATAAAATTTTAATATTTCGCGGATTTCGCGGAATTTCATTATTTTTATCTTGCCCTGCTTGCTCGCTTTCACGCAACCAGGGCTCCCACCTCCTTCCCCTTTCTCCTCCTTTTTTTAGGAGTTAGGCACCGCGAATTTCAACAGTCATCTCTGGCTGCCTTCAAAATTTTATGTTCAATTTATTTCCACCGTGAAAGCGGGGAGTTTAAAAATAAATTTTTGAAAATTCGCGGTTTTACCTCCCTCCCTTCCTTTTCCTTTCTCATAGTCTCCGTTACTCGTTACAATGGCATCATGTAACTGCAGCAGTCTGCGCTGCTGCTTACTTTGGTACTATTGGCGGTCGACTATGCTCTAGGATTTAGGATCCTTTTAGGCCGTCTACGAAAACTTACTTGCACTTTAAACAAGCAGTTTACGTTCGCGGTAGCTTCGGCTTTAGCGGTTTTACGAAATAGTTTTAAAACTAAAGCTACTCTTTCTAGGGACCCCCTGCGTCCTATGAAAACCCGCCTGAAAACACGGAGCTCCCCCGAGCAACATGTAGCTCTAAAGGTAGCGTAGCCGCACCTATTGCAGCTTCATGAATGTCGAGCGTAAGCTTTGCTTACGACAGCATTTTTGTTTGGCCCATGTATTTATGGTTCACCACATAACTTGAACACGAGCGAAAAGTCTAAAGAGACTCAGGATCAGAGATTTGAAGGTCGTGTTCTGCGTGCGTGAATGTCCTTTATCTGAGCAGTGTTATAAAAACTTATAGGTAGTGTTTAGATCAATGCATTCACGCCTTATGGGTAAGGAACATCCGCCCCGCCCTCTCCTTTTCTCGAGGGGAGCGGGGCTCTGTTTTTCAGCCCACCCTTTTTTCTCGTGAGTCGCAACTTCGTTGTCCCACCCAAATAATCACAGGAGTAGAAATAAAATGAAGTACGCCCAGTCGCAAGATGTCACGACGTAGCTCAGTAAACTTTGATAACGAAAAGCACGTCGAAGACCGAGTGAGAAGCTTTAGCTTTGATTCTCAACTTTCGAACCAAACTTACGCTACCATCGATCGTCAAGAAAGTTTTATTAAGTTTCACCCTTTCTCGATTCGCTTTGCTAATTCGGAAAGAACTTCTCCGATCGCAGAAACAAAGCATGTCTATGCCGAGAACCCGAAGGAGCTGAAGCATACGGATCCGATTTTCGGATCGAAAACGACCGACCCGGACCGCTCCTTCTTGTTTCCAGAAGAATATCCAGAATTCTCGGGACAGCAGCTTTTGCACGAATTTCGGAGCATCGAGCGACTGGGTAAGTCTTTGGACGCGGTGCTTTCGCCGCGAGAACTTGACCTGCGAAAGGCAAGTTTCTTCAAGCGCCACGTGTCGACGTGTTTCGCGCGCTACATCATCTGGCTCAACGTCAAGCAGGTCCAGAATAAGTCCTCGGCGGAGAAAGCCGCGAAGTCCGAAGCCCCGGAGGACCGCGGACAGGACTACGTCTTCGCGGGTTACATTACGTTTTGTTTCCGCGACTGGACGGAAGCACAACTGAAGCGCTTCCTTCTGTGCCAGGACTGCGTCGGGCGTTGTATCAGCGAGTACATTAGCGAATACTTGTCCGGAGATCTGTACGTCCGCACGGAGGACAAGGCCCTCTGCCCGTGCGCAAAGCTGCGGCGTCTTAACCGATTCGCTAGCTGGGCGGAGCCGACGGAACACGCCGACGACACTCTCCGATCGCTTTTTGAAATTTTTGACCCGGAGCTGTTTACTAGCCCGGTTAACCTCCGTGGGAAAGAGCTCGAGTCCCTCCTGGAGCACCACCTACGCCACCAAAGGCACTTTGTCCGCAGCACCGCATACAACTGGGACCAGCCGCTAAAAACTTCTGCGAGACCTCTTTTCTTGTGCTGTGCGGACGGTGATCGAGACTACACCGTCTCCCCGGAAGCTTCTTTGGGTCTCGGTTTTGACAGAAAATCCGACGGTGCGACTTGGTTCAAAAATTGCGGCCCGCGTGACAAGCCGCGGAGCACCAACGTCGCGGACTATCTCAGCGAGATCTACGAGAACGAGCCAGATACTCGCTGGCAGCGGGTGCTCTTCAACGAGCTGAAGTATCCGTACCCGCAACAGTTCGCAAAGCCGGAGTAATGTCGTGGATCTCTTTTTTGGAACAGCATCAGGCAGCTGCGCCTGCAATAGTTCCTTCGGAGGCGGTCCGCATCTACAAAGAAGACAAGCAGGTCAGGGAGGACATCGCACAACAGAAGAAGGACAACGACAAGGAGTTTTTGGCGATGGAGGCAGCTTTGAAAAAGCGCCCCACCTATCGTCCTTCCTTCTTTGATCACAGCAGAGTGAAGCGCCCGCGCCGTCCTTTCTTCGACTCGATTCAAACAGACGAAAGCGATGAGTCTGATTTTGAAGACGATGAGCTCCGGGATGCGGTACCAAAAAAGGTGTATCGGAGCAAGTGGATCCAGCTTTCGAGGAGCCTGCTGACCTGTTACTACGAGCAGATCCTCGACGACCACTTCCGCCCATCAAAAAAGACCAAGAAACAATCGGAGACGATGTTGGTAGGTCCGGTTTTCCGCAATACAAACGGGAGCGAGATCTTTTTCGACCGGCAGCAGGACGACTTACAAGAAGAACGACTGTTAGTCGACGCAATCGGCAGCGAGTTCGTCGAGCCGGCTGCTATTATGGACTGGTCTCAAGCACTGTCGTCTTCAGCTAGCGCTCATGTCGTATCCAAAAAGGCACCCCAGCAAAAACTACTGGCGCAGAATCTTGCGGCGTTCACGCAAGATAACCTGTCCTCGGGCGTGGGCAATAAGATCAGGGATCCAGCTGACGCCGTTTATCACAAACAGAAAACGACTTCTTCCTCTTCGTCGCTGCAGTTATCGACTTTTGTTCCGTGCAAAGAAGTGCCGAAGGAGGCCCGTGTGGTCTCGAATCACGGGCCAGCAGTAACTTCTTTTTCCGCGTTGCAATCGGATAACGCTTTTAAGCGTAAGCTGCACCTGATGACGCAGGCGGAACAACAACAAGATCTAGCAGTGCGCGTGACTACGGAGGAAGAAGAACTACCGGAGGGCCAGGCTCTCGAAGCCATCAAAAAACAGGTTCTAGCGGATCGCCCATGGGAACAAGACCCGCCGTTGCGCCCGCAAATTTCCGCAGCAGTTAACCAACTCTCGGAAGATGATGTAGCAAATACCCTGAAAATCCGCAACGAGTCGTTCTTGCGAAACGAAAAATCGCAGGGGATTTACCGGACCCAGCTGAAGAAGCGGCGCATCCGGTTGCTCATGCACTGTGGACTCTGTCCACTGCCTGATAGCGTGAGCAGTTATTCCATGGCGTTGTGCTGCAGCTACTTCCTCAAGTTGGACGTGGCTAAACAGAGCAGAGCCACGAACTACAGCTACATCAAGAGCCTACTCTCTAATCACAAAGCTTTTAGCTACGAGATGCGGGCCGAGTACTCGACCCACTTCAAAGCCCTCACCAAGGCTAAAGCCCCGCCCCAGCAGAAAACCGGCACTCGACTCTCTCACTTGATCCTCATCATCCAACCTTGCCAAAAACGAGACCTACCCACGCTCGGCCGGGCGGCAACGTCGGCAGGAGTGCATCCGATTAGGTTTTGCAGGTTTTTGATCGCCGTTTGGTTCGCTTTCCTCAGATTGGACGATGTGCCTAGCACTCGTCGTTTGGCTTCCGGCGGATGTGTTGAATATTGTATCTTCGCATCGAAGTCAAATCAGAGGGGGGCAAAACGCGAGGGCTTCATGCTAGGGCGTTCATGCCCCTATGCGCCAATAGTTGAGACCGACGAGGTGGACGAGAAGAATTACTTAGAATGCAAGTTGTGTCCAGCCTGCTGCTTGGGTGCGGATGAATGGTTATACTTCAGACGCTGGCCAGTAAACCGAACAAAAGCAGCCCCTAAAGAACTGCTTATCATCGCCGACAACTTCAATCAACTGGTCAACAGTGATTATATCGGTGCGGTGGACGGGATGGCGGAAGATGACTACGGTGGACATAGTCTAAGAATCGGGGGTATCCAGTCGGCACTGGAGGGCGGCATGTCCTGGCTCGACCTCCGCCGCTTATCCCGCCACGACAGCACCACAACCACCGAAGGGTACGCCGCGTTGTCCAGAAACTACCCCGACAGCGTAGCAATCTTCTGGCCGCGTTTGCGGCAACTCCACTTCGGACCTACGTCCGAATACGATTGGACGAAGAGGCTAGCATCAGGAAGCGATTTTGTTCTGAAGCGCTGGCGTTACAAGAAGTCGACTTTGTTAGCAGACCGAAACCGCCCCGCCAACAAGCTTTCCGACGGTTTCTTCGAGTACAAGAGTCCCGAGTTGGTGGCGGATGGTGATGGGCCCAGGTTGCTTCCTGGTGAAGAAAAATTTCTCGCATCCGCAATTGTCCCTCGTACCAAATAAATTCGAGTTTTTCACCAAGAAAAAGCGAGCGCATGACTGCGCGGCAGCATGCAGCTCACTTCGAAATAAATCAACACGCTCTGCGACTCCAAAATGAAAAAATCGAAAATGGAGCGCCTCGTACAAGAAAAAAAAAATTTCTGCTGTACGTCCTCGAAAAATAAGCTCTGTCTTCTCCAAAATAAATGTCGTTCGGTGTTCTGCTACACATATGGATATCGCTCGGACCGTCTGGTGAAAATTCTGGTGAGCATAGATGCGCGTCTCGTAGCTGTTGCTGCCTCTGTGTCATTTTGTCGCCGAAACCTTTTTCACCCACAGGGCCCAACTAGTGACTCTCCCACTCGAAATACAAGTAGGTCGCGCTTTCCTCAAAATTCAAAAAGCAAGTAGTTTGTTTTTTTTTCCGAAATTCTAATAAGCCTGTCTTTGAATTTACTACTTCTTTTCCACCAAAAAGAGGAAAAAAATGGCTGCTGTTCCGGGTGCTGCTGACGCCGCCGTCGCGGCTATCCAGCTGCAGAACGTCCACGCTGCGGAGCTGGGTTTCGGTACGATGGACGCGGCGCAAGCCGCGCTTCTCACCGCCCAAGCCGCTATTTGTACGACGAAGATTGATGGGCGGAAATTTCGGTACGGAACCGAACTCATGGCGAATCAGCGCTTGCGCGAAGCTTTCTCCAGTTCCACGCCGCCGACCTGTCGTATGAATATGAACGAGGCGGCTACTCTGTTCCGCTCGCTCCAGATCACCGACGACCCGCAATACCGCCAGCGCGATGATATGATCAAGGGCGCTATCTACCCGCAGCTACCTGATTTCACAGGAGCTTGCTTCGAGAGACCCCCCGGCGCTGCTATCCCTGGAACAGGTTACGAGCATCTTCTTCGACCAGATCAAGGCTTGCACTTCCTTGCAGAGTCTGCCGGTCGTCGACGCCCTCCCGGCGGAGACCTACTACCAGCGTCGCCTCACCCTCGCGCTCACCGCCCAGCTCCGCATCTGTTTTTTGCAAGCGATTCAACTGGAGCGGCGCTTGAGTACCGACGATGATTCTAAGCCTTCTAAAATTCGTCGCGCTACTAATTCTACTACCACTAAGACCACGAATACTACCACTGCCACTGGTGACAGGGTGTGTGTTAATCATCTTCGCGGTAAGTGCACGAAGACTAACTGCAAAGACCTCCATAAAGCCCCAGCTAAACGCATCAAAGCGGTCAGCCGTAACTTCCGTTTGGGTTTGACGGAGGAGCAGATGAAAAAATTCATCAAAGAGTGAAACAGCATGCGGAAGCGCAGTTGTTTTTTGTATGATTCTGTAGTGCGCTGGGTTTGTATGACTGTTTTGTAAAACTAGTGTGAAACACAGCCAGAAACAAGGTCAAACGCACACCCTAGAGTCTTTTAGAAGTTAAGTTAGAACTTTTCAACGTCGCAGTTAGCTTGTGCAAAAACGTCAATCGGTAAACGATGCCAAATTCGTACAAACTCTGTCGCTCTCAAGGTGATTTTGTGATGCCTTTTTCGTTCGGGAAATCTTGGAATACAAAACTCAGGCGTCTTACCGGTCATGGACCGACTGCCTACGTTTATGGCCGCGCGCTACCTCGCGGAACATCCACGACCACGTAGATAAATTTCTGTTCAACAAAAACAAACTCGGCGCGCTTCTCGTTCGAGCTTACAACTACCGTCGCGCGGAGACTGGGAATCGGAAACGATACCGCCTTCAAACCGCTAATACCAACAGGGCCCAAGGAGTGGACCCCGCTGTTTTTGTTGTAAATTTACGCAGAGTCACTTTAGTTCCAACTAAAATCTTACACCTTGTTTCTCTTATCCATTTTTATGAAAAAGTCACACAATTACGCCTGTAAATCTTTTACTACTATTGGCTCTTTGTTCCTTTTCTTATGCAAGTCTTACATTACAAAAAGTAACTACTAAGGCCTCCCAAACAATAAATTTCTTTTGCAAAACCCCCCTCACAAATCATGTCCGACAGAAGTTCTTCTCCCAAGTTTGCGGGGGCATCTTCGTCTTCTTCTGCCCCGCGAAAACAGTCGCCATCCCCGAAGCGCGCGTCGTACAAGGCTGCTCTAGTGCAAAAAGCACCCTCGCAGAGCAAGGAACTTTTCCTCCCCTTCGGAAAAGCGCATTCGGGGGCGCCTCCTTCACCGCGGGGCCGGCCCACCACTTCGTCCTCTTCACTCTATTTTGACCAACGCACCGCCGAGCGGACCACCGATTAAAAAATCTAAAACGGGTCCAGCGTCTCCGCGAGGCGTGAACGAGCTGGAGGCTCGTATGGGCCCGCATACCACGCTTCCGCTCGACGACCCTACGAAGGTCAAAGCGGAGAAAGTCATGAACCGCGTTCACGGCAAAGACCTGGAACCACGTCCACCGACCCCACCGCGGAAGCGGGGGGCCAGTCCTTCTCCGGGTCGCGGAACGAAAAAAGTGGGATTCAAAGAAGGTGCCGAGATCAAGGAGTTTTCCGCTTCCCCAAAAACTTCTCCGTCCTTACCGACCAAGTCGTCCGCGACTATGGAGCCACAGACTATTCTTCATCATGTGGCAGCGGCTAGCGAGCCACCGCTGTCCATTCAAGCTTCGGCGCGGGACGACCCAGACTCGACCTGCAACTTGCAGCTCGCACTGCAAGGCAAGAGTTTTCCTTCGGGTCACCGGCCGGACTGGCGCCAGGACATTGTCGCCATCAAACCGGAGTGGTGCGAGCACTACAGCGGCACGCAAGCGCCACCCGCTACGCACGCCTGCGATCCGGCACCGGAGGCGATCCAGAGTAATCCGATCTACGAGCTTCAGACGGCTTCTGCTAAACCTTCAAGCTCATCTTCAGCGGAACGCGCGGAGATGTCGCCCCAGGATTTCCGTCGTCGGGTCAGTCTTGATGCTACGCGTGAATTTGGAGTTTCGCCGGAGTACGTCCAGGTCACCGGATTCGCAGCCGAATGGCAGAAAATCCACGACGACGACACGCTCTTGGCAAAAAACCGAGAGAAAGCGCGGCAGATTCTGCATGGCCACCAGTTCTACCTGCCGGCGGAAGAGCTTTTGCGCAAGGACATGGCGCCACATCTGCAACGCCTGTACCAAGGAAAGAATTTCCTCTTTTTCCAAGCGGGGGTGCGTCGCGCATTGCAAACGGCTACTCATCTGAAGCCGCGCGAGGCTGAGATCTTGGACATTCTCAGCCAACTAATCGCGGGCTTCAAAAGTAAAGACGAGCACACTCCGCTTTCGGGCTTCTGGAACTTCCTTGCCAATGAGAAAATCACAGAGCAGCTGGAAGAAGCGGCGCAGACTCCAGTGGTGGACTGCCCTCACCCGCCAAAAACGCATTGGGCTAAGCAGCGCGAAGTCGATTTGATGTACGAGGACGCTTGTGAAATGGAGGCGAAAGGTTACTGGCGCCGCCAGGACTACACTCAGCTCCAAACTTCGCAAACGCCTTATGTCGCCGCTAAGGCATTTCCTGTTTACAAGGAAAAAGATGCATTCGGCGAGCCAAGTAATCCCGCTGAGCGTCCGCGTACTTGTATTGATCTACGCAAAAATAGTAAGCGTTTGATCGCACAAGAAAAAACGCGCCTCATCGGCGTACGCAGCACCGTGACGCTGATCGAGAAATGTTTTGCTTCTTGCCCTTCCTCGCCCAGCCTGTTCAAGTGGAAAGCAGATGTTAGGGGCGACGTGGTTACTGAGAAGGAGCTTCGCGACAATTTCGATAAGCGCCGCCAGATCACCGCTCAGTCCTTGCAGTTTGCGGGGAACAAAGTGGTGAACGATTACTACTCTTTTTGCCCGGTCGGTTGGAAGCGAGACCTGAAAAGTTTTTATTACCAGTGCGGCATAGACACGCCCCTCAACAACTGCGCGTGGGTCCCGTTGCCTTTTCGTTTGCCGAAGGAACAGCACCAACAGGAACTACCGCAAAGCGGGGCTTCCAGTAGTTCCTCGAAGCAGTCGACTCCGGTCCCCCATCCTGCCAAGGGCAAAGGCAAGAAAAAGGGAAAGAAACCGCCAGCAGCTAAAGAAACAGCACCGCCTACGGAGGAGGAAGAGCGTGACTACGTCTTGTTCTCCTCGGACTGTTGTTTGTTCGGGTCCTTATCCAGCGTCATGCAGTGTGTGGCTATTTCAGAACTTTTCCAGCTTGTGTTCTGTTGTGGCTTGCTCATCCTGGCGTTGTTGTTCATCGATGATATCCATGGAAACAGCAAGCCTGCAGTTGCCGATAGCGATGGGCGATTGCTTGACTTGTGGCTTGAACTGTCCGGCTGGCGGCAGAGCTTTCGCAAAAAGGAGAGCCAAAGCGTCCAGTTCTTGATCGTTGTGCTGGGACTCGGGTACGAGCTCAACACCAAGCTGGAAGCCATTTTGCTGGTCGTCCCGGAACAAAAATTGGTCAAGTTGCGTGGGCTCCGTGATCGTTTTCGGGAGGAAATGAAAACTAAAATCCAGCTTCGCGCAGTCCAATCCTTTGCCGGTTTGTTTCGCCACATGACGCAAATGTCGATGCGCCTCAGCTATTTGGCGCGCGGCTTCAACTTGTGGTGTGTGGATTCTCAATTTCCTCGCGTGGTCCCGCGTCCGCGCAACCGGCGGGGCCTGGCGACGCAGATTCGTTTGGCGACGAAAGTAGCTGAGCGCATCGAGCCGATTCCCATCACACGAGCCCGGGTGGACCGAGAAGTAGTCCACATCTACGTCGACGCATCCGGCTCCGACTTTCCCCAGATCGCGGAGCTGATCCGTCAAGGCAAATGCGATGATCTGGAGAAGTTTCAACTGCGAACTGGTGGCATGTTTGTTGACAACAAGAAGAGCATCGCGCTCAAAGCGCGCCTCAAGTCTGTTCCTCTAGCATGCAAGCTTGACGGTGAAGATCCTAGTGCCAAAGGTGCTTTCTGTATCGCCGTATTAGAAGTTCTCGCAGCTAGAGTTGCCGTGGAGCTTTTTCGTTCCAAAGTCCGAGGCAAACGCGTCATCATCCATTGTGATAATTTGGGTGCTTGCTTCAACCTCGGGCGAAATTCTTCTCGCAACCTGCTGGCGCAAAGACTGTCGCGCAGCTTTCACTTGTTGGCTCAGCGGTTAGATTGCGACTTTTATTTTGCTTGGCTCTGCTCGTCTCACAACATCGCGGATGTGCTCACGCGACCTGAAATTGAATGGCGCCTGCGAGCAGCTTTCCCTAATCATGTTTTGCATGAGTTAACATCAGATCAGCTTCAAAGCCATCATTTGTGGGGGTTCCACCCTCAGTCCCCAAATCTCATCGATGTGGAAGAACCTGAGATCACTTTGCCGGATTTTTCCGGATAGTGGTCGAGTGTGAGAGGTGGATGTTTTTGCTTGAGATTTCTTCATTTTTCTCTCTTTGTTCTGTATTTTTCATCCATTTTTTGTTTATTTCATCCTCTATTCCAGCGTTTTTCAAAAACAAATTTATTGTTTGGAGGCCTTTCTTACTCAAACTTACTTGCACTTTAAACAAGCAGTTTACGTTCGCGGTAGCTTCGGCTTTAGCGGTTTTGCGAAATAGTTTTAAAACTAAAACTACTCTCTCTAGGGACCCCCTGTGTCCTATGAAAACCCGCCTGAAAGCACGGAGCTCCCCCGAGCAGCATGCAGCTCTAAAGGTAGCGTAGCCGCACCTATTGCAGCTTCATGAATGTCGAGCGTAAGCTTTGCTTACGACAGCGTTTTTGTTTGGCCCGTGTGTTTATGGTTCACCACATAACTTGAACACGAGCGAAAAGTCTAAAGAGACTCAGGATCAGAGATTTGAAGATCGTGCTCTGCGTGCGTGAATGTCCTTTATCTGAGCAGTGTTATAAAAACTTATAATCGCAACAATCAGCCTCGACCTCCACCAGCCAGCACCCGACTCACCTAAGTAGAAACGCAGATGAGCCGTTTTGCTTTTGGCAGTGTTCATTTGCTTGAGAGTCCCAAGCGGAAGAACGTCCAGTGTAGCAGTGATAGTGAACTTCGTGCAAGTGAAAAACTTCCGCGCCGCACGGCCGCAGGCCCATTTTTGCAGTGCGCGCAGCAGACTCGCCAGCCACGTGCGCACACAGAAGCGCCGACGGGCGCGCCAGGCCGGGCCTGCAAGCAGGAGGGCCGGCCGTGAGCATTTCCGGCCCCCTAGACAGGGGCAAGGCAGTGGCGGCGCGTGGTCGAATTGGTTAGGGCAAGGCAGTGGCGGCGGCCGCGGTGCCTGGGTTACTTACTTTGCAGGGCCGGGGGACGCCCCGCGCCGCCCTCCTCGCTGCGCCCGACCCAGCGCCGGCGGCCCGCCCGGCGTGCTCCAAGCCAGCGACCGCCGGCCGGCGGCCTCCCTTTCCTTGGCCGCCCAGGTAGCGCGGTGGGAATCGCCGCGCGCCGAGCGGGGCCGCGGACGTTGCCCGCCCGCCGGCCCCGGCCATGCCCGCGCGCCGGCCCCCGCCCTGGCGGCCTTCGGGCAGCTTCGGGAACGTGGATCGGTCCGATCCGCGCACCGTGCAGCAGGGCGGCCCGTGGATCAAGGGCGAAGAGAAGACGAGGGCGGGCGCCTGAATCGTCGCAGGCTGGCGCGCTTGTTGGGCGGCCGGGCCTTTTATTTTCCTCCGCCTTGTTCGCAGGATTTCCACCCTAACGCAAAAAATTTCGGAAAATCCACATAGCGCAAAAACAAAATCCAAAAAAAAAGCCAAAAAAAAATTTTTGAATTTTTTTGCTTCCCCGACGGTCTGGCCGATGTGAGGCATTTCCCGAGTCTGTTCCCGCCCCTGTTTGTCAGAGGAGGGCCGGGCGCAGGTGCCGCATACTTGCCCGCTTGGGTGGTCCACATCTCTTGGCCTCCGCTGCTGGTGATGAGAACCCAGAGTGGCAAATCCGTGTGGGGTTGCGCCTTCTTCTGTCGGGGAGCAGAGGCGCCCTCGTGGCGCATTGCCGCCGCAGAAGATTTCTCTTTGGGTTTGGCCAGGAAAAATCGCAGAAAAAATTTGAAAAAAATCCGGGAAAAATCAAGAGGCGCGCAAAAAAAATTTGAAAAAAATTCTAGAAAGTGGCCAATTTGCAAAAACCAATGGGATTTTGCTAATGTGGCCGATTTTCCGAAATTTTTTTTGGCCATTTTTCGCACCTCTTGAAATTTTATCCGGCCAAATTCAAACTTTTTTTGGGCAAATCGAAACTTTTTTGAAATTTTTCTTGGCCACACGCAAAGGAAGTTCTTCACTTCAATTCGAACGCATCCGAGCGCCCGCGTTGTCGAGCAGCCACGTCCATCATGCCTGCCTGCGCGCCGCCTCCCGCGCGCTCCTGAGGCATACCGAGCCCGTGCGGCGTGGCGCCTTTGTGTTTTGTTTCATCCCATTGCGAAGCACCGAAGGCAGCGACCCAAATCCCGCCAGCCTTCTTGCGCAGCCTGCAGGACGGGCCCCAACCCGCCCCCGGTCCAAGAGCCACCCCGCTACCCTTCTCGGAAATTTTAAAAAATTTCAGAAATAAAGTGGATTTTTCGGCCCAAAAGCGTTAGGGGCAAAATCCGGCGAAGCCTTGGGTGCATTGATTTAGTGCCCTCGCGCCCCCGCGTGGCCCGTCGGCTTCGGGGGGTCGGGGGCGGGGGCGCGCTGCCGCGGCTGGGCGCCCCCCGTCGTTTCGTGTATTCAGGCAGCCTGCGCGGCTCCTAGCAAGGCCGCTGGTTGGGTGGCCCCCGTCTGTGATCTGATCCTCACCCCTTTGCGCCTGTGGCATGGCCCGCCTCTCTGTCGCGCGCTGGGTCGATGGCGCTGCTCCTAAGGAGGAGTGAGGGCGCGCTTGCTTGGGTATGGGCATGCGCCGCCCTTGCCCGCGTTCAATCATTGCGCGCGCCTTGTCGCAACATAGCTGGATGGAAGTCGCAAACGCAACGGCCGCGCTCGCAGTCGGCGCGCTCGGGAGATGCGAACTGCTTTTGCTTGGTCGAGGCCAGTGGCCAGCCCTTGTTTCTGTTCCTTCGTCGCGAAGGAAGCAAGGCTTCCGTCTATCTCTATTGTATGCTTGCTTAACGGCGCAGCGATTGTGATCAGGGTTGGTTGTCTGGTGTCTCTGCGTGCGAATTGAGTCAATAATTTCGTCTGATGTCCGTCGAGCGCGAAGGCCAATATTTCATGTGATGTCGGCACAGTCCTTACAACTTCAACTGCAAACTCTTGTCTTGGCGAAAATGTGTTGTATTTCGTCCCGGCCTGTGGTGATTAAACTCAGAATCAGAAATAAGAATAACATGGCGACGGCTTCGAGTCGCTCTAGCTGCCCCAGAAGTAGATCACATGTAGAGGGAGAGTCATCGTAGCATGTGCTAGCTGCTGTAGTTGCTGTTGCAGCTCATCGTTGGAAGATGAGCAGTAAAATCCGTGGAATTGTCATGCTTTAAAGACGTCACGCACAGATGTTGGAGCGTACGCATCTGTGCGATCGTCACGCATGAGCGCACAATCGCTTCTGAGTTGGTCGTCGGAGCAAATCTTGTTTGAGCGAAGCTTCTATACTTCTGTATATACGAATGCAATTGCTACCGCTTTCTGCTCTCACATCGAGAATAATTAAAAGAAGCTCTAGCTCACTAGATTGCTTTGATCTTCTTCTCCTAATCAACAAAGACAATTTGATACTCCGCTCCCCGGATATTTCATCTCGACCGACAAAATGACTTCCCCCGGCCCCCCTCCACCGGGCGCCATGCCCAGCTCTCCGCCGGACGGAACTACTTCCCAGAAAAGAACCGTCATCCGCTTGCTCGGTGAGGACCAGTGCATGCTGAGCAAAACGGAGAAGGAAGTGGCGAAACTGGATTTGCAATTACACTTGCTAAAAGAACGAGTAGACTTCCTCGACAAAATTTTGGTGAAGAAACCGGACCAACGAGCGTTGAAAGTCGCCGAGCAGGACGACCAAAGGCCGTTTCTGTCAGATTTCATCCAACTACCTAACGGCGTCACCATTGACAAATCTGCGGTATTGATGTAATTGCTATTGCATCGTGTTCGTGTAGTTGGGCTTGTTCTGGCGAATTGCAATTGATTCCTACTTATGCGGAGTGCAATTTCTCATGCGGAAACATCATTGCTGACGCCATTTGTCTTCGTAAAACACAACCTAATGCTGCTGAAGATTGAATGTCTATCATCAAAAACAACAGCTGGCCGATGACGAGCAGGAGCTCCGGGAAGAAGTCGAACACCAAAAGTCCTTCCCAGAATTCTACCGCTTCTGGATATGCAGTGCAAAAGTATCGTACTACTAGTATAAACTGCATGACAAATTTTCTCAAGAACAAAAATGCAATTTGTAATGCTGTTTTCCCTTAGAAAATAGATCTGTCATGCATGGCTGCAATTAGTATGTACGAGTGCGATACTTTTGCACTGGATACTGGAGTTTTTTCAGCGACATGCCATTGCAAATGGACAACTACGAGGAGAAGGATCTCTACAAACTACTTCCGGAAGAGCGCCAGCCAGCGTCTGTGGTCAAAGCGAAGGAGCGATCCGCGGTGTTAGCCGCGCAACGCGAACGAACGCCCTACTACACACCGCCGGTGTCCGCGACGCCGGCAGCCGTGACTGCTCCAGTTCCGGCGCCCGTTGCGGGTGCAGGTGGTGCTTATCAAATGCAAAAGTGTCTGGGTCAGGAAGATTGCGAGATTTGCATTTGTCATGCATATTTTCCGTGCCCCATGAGGTCTGGAATGCAGGGCCTAGCATGACAGATACTGCGAAATGGTCCCCATCATGCCTATCCTGCATGAGAAACTGCCGCTCATGTTGGTCAAAAAAGAACAACTTTTGGTGATCACGCAACACAGATTTTTGTGTGATCCACAGGACGCATCACAAGTTACAACCTTCCAGACCCAGACATTTTTGCATTTGATATTGCTGGCGGGGGGAGTAAGAATCGGGGCGGGAGTGTGTGGACTGCGATAGATGATTTTTTCAATCCGCTGGCCTGATTTGACACTTTCCTGAACGACATTAAGTTTTTTCCGCATGGGTAGCTCGCACCAAATAGAGTTGGGTAACAGTGAGTCCTCTGAGGCTATTAACACTTTTGCATTTTCTCTTTTGTGTTTCAGCAAACTATTCTTCTTCGGTGAGCATTGTGATCGAAATGAAGACCCGGCACCGCCGTTTCGAATGGCCTGTCGGTTGTGTGCACAGCTGCTGACGCAGGCGAATCGGTCGTTGCGAATGGTGCTTCTCGGTCTTCGCAGTCATAGTCATACTACTTAAGCAAATCCGTCTGCAGTGGATCCCAAAAATGCTTCTCCTTGAAATCTCGGTATTGCAGAAGCTGGAATTCGGTGACGAGAACAAGAACTTTCCTGCTGCGGTTTATCTCCCTCTACGTCGGCCTGGGTTAGCGCGTACTAGCTTCGCCGATTCTACTACTGCTGAACTCACAAACAACCCAGCTCACTTCATCATCTGCATGTTCTGACGTTACTTACGACTCATTCCACTTGCTTTAATTCGCTTTCATTCCTGAATCAACATTTGCTACGCCGAAGACTTCACCAACACTTTTCTCCGCACACCAAAGATGTTGCCAGCCCCGGCAGTCTCCTCCCTGCTCCGCTCCTTGAGCAATAGCAGTAACTCGAGCTTGCGGTCCAATGTCTCTACCGCGGGGTCCTCTGTGTCTTCTCTGGACAGCACCTCGTCCTCCAAGAGGAAGGGGAAAAGGAAAAACACCTATCGTGCTGTTAGACGTGATTCCAATTCGAAGAAGGCCGAGGCAACTACCATTACGAGCGGCGAAGAGTCTTCTGCAGCTAAGACTAACAAGAGAAAAAGAGGCCGAAGACGAACGCCTCGCTACGGTGTGTCGAAGAGAATCGCTGCGCCGTCCCCATCGGTTTCCTTGTCCGAGGAAAACTTTTATCCGGAATGGTGCGAGATCGAGTATGTGAGTGCTGCAGCTGCAGAGCATGCAACTTCCCATGCAAAACAAACATCATCGTCATCATCGACCCGTCAGCAGCCACAACCATCTCTCCTTTCGACGAAGGTCATCGCGCTTCCCACGGCAGAGTTCTTCGATCACCGGCAGGAGCCGGACCTGCATACCTTGAAGCGCTGCCTCGCCAGAAGGATCACTGACTACGAACGGCGAGAGACGACGACGAGCAGGGCCACGCCGTCTAGCGGTGTCGCATCTACCTCAAGTGGAAGTGCCTTGCGACCAAGCGCCGCTCTACAGTCCCCTTCACAACAGGCCCAGCCCAGTCTACTTAAACAGGAGAAACAGCCACCGCCCTTCAACCACTCCAAGCATTTGGGCCAGCTGACGTCCGACCGGATTAGAAGGGTTGACGAATTTCACGAAGGGTATTTGGTGAACAACGCGTTGGATTACTGCGGGTTTTGGATGCTGGATCTGTTTCTGGAAAGCGGGATGGATAGCACGTACAAGGAGATCAGTTCTGACAGAATGCTGTCAGACGCGTTGTACCGAACCGACGGCAAGATTTACAACAATGCGACAAGTCATAAAACAAAGGATAAGATGAAAGCCTCCAAGAACACCAGCGGGAAAAAAACCTCCGCAGCCAGAACCACACTGAAGATCGTCTGCAAAAAGAATCCCTTGAGTGCGGATCTGAGACAAGCCAGAAAAAGCGACGTCACCGATGAAGTTCTAGTTGCGCCTAGTGACCGAGGACCTGAATCTCGCCTGACACGTAGCGAAGCAAAAATGTCCTCGACCAAAATTCGCTACAGCTTCCCGGAGGAAGACAAAAGATTCACAAGCGACGCGTTCTGGCAGTGGAGGAGCAAGAAATTCACACCAACGACACTCTATTCCCTAGTACTCGACACCGACTATTGTGAGCACCTGCACCGACAAGAAGAAAACCCGGACGAACCACGACTGCAAATGACGACGCAGCAGAGGTTGAAAGAGATTCTGGTCCAGCACCCGGGAATAATTAAGCCAACGAGGGAGCAAAGAGCGCAATTGAAGAGCCAGAAGGCTCAAGCTCATGCACCTACTGCATCTCCCACTACAACAGCTGCGGCCACAACAGGAGTTGTCCAACCACCCTCAGCGCATCTACTAGAAACACTCTTCCTCACAAACAACTGCGGGGACTTCCTTCAACCCGACACCTTTCGCGCAATCGGAGCGTCCTCCACCCTACGATTCTTAACCCTCCGATTCGCGGACTACGGAAATATTTGGTTCTTGATTTCAGCCTTAAAAACCTCGGACATCGAGCACTTGACCCTCGACGGGTGCAAATTCACCCAGCGGCAAAACCCCATGTCGGAATTGTTTGAGAAGGATAATGGTGGAGGTGTGGCGGTTATGAACAGTGAAGCTGACGACCTACTGAATCAGCACAACAGTGACAACATGGTGAGCAACAACCAAACCCGCCTGCCCGACACGGAGCTTTTTCTGCGCGACCTGGAGAAGTTAACGCACGCCATTCACGATGGACAGACGAGGCTGCTAACGCTAAACTTGGGACAAGGACCGATCTGGTCGCACGAGCAGATGGAGGGGAGGTGTGGGTTTGTGGAGGTGGAGCATGCTCATCTTGACCAAGGACAAAAAGAAGATCCGCACGCAGACAAGATGCGCGATAGCGACAAGGCAGCTCCGACATTTCGAACTGCTACCGGGACAAATTATCATGATCCTTGCTACTTCGTCAAGTACTACAGCGCTCGGTGTGGCTGGAAGAGATGCGTTGTGAACTTTCTAGACGAAGATTATATTTTCAGGTCCTAGAAGGTTACTACAATCGCTCTGTGAGCGTCGAATTATGCGTGTGACTCTGATTTGTGTGGTGGAGGGTAAGAGTGCCGCGTTGCCAGAAAGCTTTTGAGTAGAACCCATTCCGATTGTACTTTCATCTCCCGAGGTTTAAATAATTCATTTCGACCGACAGTGCCAGTGAGCGCCTCGTGGAAGCGAAAAACATTCAACTTTCCATGCGTTCTTCAAACTCCTGCGCGTTCAAATCGAATTCAACGCCATCATTCGCTCCTGTGTAACTTTACGCAGGATGGCTACGCGGCAGAAGCGTAAGAGTAGAAGCCAAGCGCTATAGCTGGTACATCGATCCCCGTAAATAATTCTTTGCCAAGTCGCTCCTAGTCGTCGATGAGTCGGTTCGTGTTTGTGACTTCGTCGCTTTTGGATTTAAGTGAAAGCTCATCGGTTTAGGTTTTCGACTTTCTTCGTCCACAAAGTAAAGCCGATTGTTCGGTTGATCGTTCACGGTGAACGCATTTCAACATCTTCGGTATCGTCCTTCGTGTGTGTAACTTCTCCTCGTGCAGCAACCGTAGTTCACGCCTCGCTTTTCTCTTCGTGGTCGTGCGCTCTATCTTTATTCTCTTCGTTTTTATTCGTAAAGGAAAGGATAGCAATGTTTCATGATCTACCTACCAGTATTGCTTCTTTGTTTCTAAAAATGGCACCAGGTGAAGGATGAGATTTCGCACCCCGTATGCAAAAAAATATGCATCACCCATTGTACACTATCCCCCCACGATTAGAAATTATGACATGATTACTTTTCCATTTCCAAGTTAGTAGCAATAGCAGTACCAAATTTACAAACCACTTCACATATCAAAATCCACCAGTCACCATGTCGTGTTTAACGCGGCTGGTTTCGGATTTCTTCTGGCTTTCCTGCCTCCTGCAGGAGTCGATCTTCAGTTCGTCCGTCTCCCTCCTCGTCTCCTCCTACACCTATCGGGTACAGGGGAGGAAAAAGCGGGTAAAAAATGTGAACCTCGCGCAACATTTGAAATACAAGAAAAATAAGAAGAATGCAGCGGGCGCACGGACGAGGGCGGCGGAAGTGAACACGCCGGAAGCGGAGGTGGAAACGCAATACGAACACTTGACAGCTCAAGCTCTCTCTGCAGAGGAAGCGGTCGGTGTAGAGATTGAAAAAGCTGCTGCTCGTTCTGCCGAAGAACAAGTTGCAGATTACCCTGAAAGGAGCTCCGCGTCCACTTTGCAGAAACAACATTCCGAGTTGAACCTCCACGCTAGAAGGAAATTCTCCCACCAACATTCGTCCGAAAATGAGGACGGCAACACCGACGCGGACGCAGAAAACGTCACAGAAACTGTGGGAAGGGTCAAGGCGAGGACAAAATTCTCCTGGTGGTTCCGCATGGCCTTGCTGCAGGTCATCATCTTTGGCGCGTCCGTGATGCTCTGTCTGCTCACCTGCTGCGTCTGCGTCCGCCCCGTGGAAATCCCCGACACGGGCGACAGCATGAAGGGCGGCGAAAACTTCGGAACGGCCGCTCACAAGGCCTCACGCGGGAGCAAGATTGGACAAGAACGAGGACTACAACCAGGACAACAGGTCGATGTTCCTGCGTTGAATTCGAGCGGGGAAACAAGCCAGAAAACCCGGCAGAGTCAGCAAGGTGAAGTCAAGCCGGGAGTAGATGTTGTTGCGCAAGAACAAGCTGGTGCAGCAGCTACCGGCACAACTTTGAATGACCTTATTTCTGGCGGAGCGGCGGGAGCTGCTCCTACTATTCCCGCCGGCCAGCAAGAAGAGCCGCCGGTCCAGCCGGGTACCATTGCGCCCGAAGACGACGACTTTCCCGACGGCCCCGTGGTGGCCCCCGAGAGCTACGACAACCGCGGCTCCCCCGTGCTGGCTCCCGAGAGCTACGACAACCGCGCTGCCGTCGCAAATCCGTCGACCGCCTCGCCTATGGAAGCGTCCGGACTGAAATCGTCAAAATTGAAATGATTTCTCATGCATAAATTGCAAGACACGAAATGCCTCTCTTGCAGGGATGGCAAGTGAGGCCGACAGTCAGCCTGTTTGGGGTCTGCGACAGAGCTGCCAAAATAGCATGACAAAAGGCGTCGCCCTTACCCGAACAGCATGACAAACTGAATTTTCGTTTTACCCAAATTTGTCATGCGCCACTTGGAAGCTAGGTTACAACTGGCATCCATTTTATGCATGGCAAATCATTCCAACTTTGACGATTTCGATTTTGACAGTTCCATATCGCCCCCGAGCGCAACATCAAAATCTGGCCGCGGCTCCGCGACGGGCGGCTCGGCCGCGATCTCGGCGCTGGGCAGCGTGGCGGGCGGTTTTAAAGCGCTTCCGAGCGGCTTGGCAATGGCGTCGAAGGCGCTGATTGAAACGGACACAGGGGTTCCCACGAACAACGTGGAATCTGGTCAGATCACCTCCTACGCCCCCAATAAACCAGAGGAGAAGAAGAAGAAGAAAATTGTGAAGAAGAAGTCCTCGAAGCAACCACTGGACAGCGTGCGAGGCGCGTACGAGGCGGCGTCCGAAGGAGCGCAACTACTCAGTAAAAGCGGTATTTTATCGGGGGCGGCTCTCCCGAGTGGTGCGAATTCGTCTGCGGCCAAATCGACGTCGGGGTCGGCAAGCGCGAAGAAGCTTCTACATCACCAGTCTACGACGTTTCTGCACCCCATGGGGCCGTCCGAAGGCCCCGGGATGCCGTCGGGAGCCGGGGTGCTGCTCTCCGGGGCACCCATCCAGTCGGGCATGATGGTCCCCTCACCGGGGGGAGCCAAAGCCATGTCGCAGCTGGGCAGCGCCATGAAGGCGGCCCGGAAAATCAAGAAAAAATCCGCGCGGCGGAAAAAGACCCCCGGGCAAGGAGCGGGCGGCGAGACCTCGGGAGCGACCTCCGGAGCCACCTCCGTGACGGGAACCGAGAGCGGCTATAATTCCTCGAAGGGGAAGAGCACTATGCAAGTACAGATGATTTTATTTCCTGTACATTGACAAGAAATGGAAATTGAAATTATGCATGGATTAGATCATGACAAAGACAAATGATTGGAAAGAGCAAGCCATAGCCAAAAATACGAAACGGAAACCACTTGCAACGCTGAAACTGAATAGGGTACGCGCACAAACAGGGTTCTGTCATGCAATATCACCATTTGGATTTCCTCGTAATTGTATGTGTACAGGAATGAATTAATAAATTTCCTCTCGATAAGCCAAAGCCTGAAAAAGACGAGGAGCAAAGGCAAACTGAAGAAGAAACCCACCGGGGGGGACCTCTCGGTTACCTCGGGGGAGATCACATCGGGAAAGTCAGAGGGAAGCAGCAGGAGCGGGAAAAATCGCAGCATGAAGAAGAAGATCAAGAAGAAAAAAACCAATCCCGAAATTCCAGCAGAGTAGGACAAGAAGTTTTGATTGCACCGACCTCGTGCACATATGATTCACAGGTCTTTGATGCAAAACCAAAATCAGCAGGAGGTGCATGATTATAGATACTACCATTTATTTTTTACGCGCATTTTTTTTTTTTCATATCATTTCTTTTTTTTTTCATTTGTCAACGTCGAGATTGTAATATTTTTTTCTGTTTTCTCTGCAGCATTACCCCAAGTTCAAGCAATAAACCTGTACGAAGACGACCCCAGCCTGAAAAAGGTTCTTCTTTCAACCCGGTTCATCGAGTACAATTTTAGATTCATGTAGGAGGAGTAGCATGACAGCGTGCTGGCGCAAGAAAGTTTTCAGAAATTTTTTATCGCTCTGATAGACAGTGCTGAAGATGAAAATGAAAACGCTGCTTGTTTGTTTCTCCTATGGCGACCAATGCTTTTGATCAGATTCGTATATCATGAGCACGCGTTTTTTATTGAAACTACATCTTGTTGCTCCTCTGCGTTTCTTCTTTTTTTATGAACAGTTTAGCAAGTAGATTATATGGCTTCTTGACTTTGACACGACCCCAAATATGACATTTCTTTCGAAAGCCATTTCATTTTCCGCAGAAAAAGTACCTAAAAAGAACAGCGCACGGTCACGGGTGTGGAAAATCTTCGTCCGTAGGAGAAACGAATTTCATTTTCCGCTAGCCGCCGTGCTCGTCTCGGTTTTACCGTTGTGATCTGTTTTCGGTTGGATCGTCATACACATACAAAGATAAGTCGCTGCTTCTTACGCCCAGAGTTTTGCTCGGTCTAGTTTGCCTATAATTTACAGTTTTGCGTCCCCGGTCGTCTTTCGTGTCGTGACGGTCACAGATTTTGTGAAGATTCGTCCACCTCTACTTCGTGCAACTGCAAACATATTGGAGGTATGAGCAATACGTACCAAGAATACTACACTAGAGCCACCATATTCGTGTTGCTCGGTTCGACTTGAAAGCGTCGCGTTGACTTCGTTCTAGGTTAGTGCGCCATTTTGTGTCCACTGTGACTGACTTCTCTGCAATTTTTCCGAATATGGTTACACCCACACACAGGCAAAACCTCACTCCTTGTACGAACCCTGCTCAATCTCTTTCCCACATTTTTATTCCCCCGTTAGAACAAATAACATTCCCCGACCACTACAAGTACATAACCTCTAGGAGCCAGCCCCGTCTTTGATTTTACGTTTTTGTTTTGTTGTTATCCTTATCCCACTCCGCTTTTGCGGCTCCATCCGCGGAAAGTAAACCAGATAGGAATTATTCCTCCATGTTGGCGTGAAGGCGGGCGACAGAACAATCAGGGGCAGCATGATTTTTGTTTCCACCTGCGCCAAAGACAAGCAGGGACGACTCCTTGGCCCCTCCTTGTCTAGACCGCTCCGACTGCATGTGCGGTTCCTCTGCGCTCCTGCTGCGGCGGTGCTCCTGCATCAGTGTATCCACCTCAACACGTCGCTGCTTCACCGCGCAACGGCAATATCCTTGTTCGCGAAAAAGAAGACGGTGAAGAGTCGGAGCGCGGCTGCAGCTAGGTCTGGCGTTTCGGCTGGCAGCAAATTGCGCAAAATCTTCAAGAATAACAACTTGAAGTCCTCGTTTGTGAATGCGAATGATGTGCATGTTGTGCAGTTTGGTGACTACAAAGCGGCACGACCTGCGATGACGACGACATCATCATCGACGCAAAATCATGGTGAAGGAGCTGCTGCGACGAGGGACTACAATCCTGCGGGCCATGTAATTGAAGGCGGCGGTATCCACAGTAAATTTCCTGTACATGTACAAATGCAGTCTCTGCATGACAAAACTTGCCTTCAGTCCTAGTGTAGCATGACAAGTTGGACACTGCAAGTTAGCGAAATTTGTCATGCATTTTGTACATGTACAGGAAATTTACATAGCATAGGCGGTGCTGCTGGAGGTAATCCCCTCCTGCACAGCTCCGCCGAGCTGTCGGATGGGCCCGCGAAGTATCATCGTGCAAAAAAGTGCTACGTTCAAGAACGGATTTTGTGATGCACCAGTGACGCAGGAACAGAAAGTAAGAGGGAAAAGCATGATTTTCGCTCAGGAAAGCATATAACGCATGGAGGTGGTACTTTCCAGATCGAGATTCAGACGACTTGGATTTGCTTTGGGTGCAGCTGCGCCTGCACCTGACATCTTCAAAAATCTATGTCAACATTCGGTTGCTCTTTAGAAGCATGATATGGATGTGCAAAAATTGACGCCGATGAAAGCGAAAACTGGCGTTGAACGTGAGTTGCACTTTTTTGGCTCCATACTGATCTGGCCGATTTGACGATTCGAACCTATTGGAGCGCCCAAGCGCCATCATATAATTCCGGGTGCGCAGTGTATATGGAACTGTCAGGATCGAAATCGACAAAGTTGAAAGAACTTGTAATGCATAAAATCGATACCAGTTGGAAGGTCAATTTCCAAGCGACGCATGACAAATTTCAGCACCGTCTAAATCCAGTCTGTCATGCTGTTTGGGGACAGAAGGCGGCTGCTGTCGTGCTACTTTCGCAGCTCTATCGCAGACCCCAAACAGGCTGACAGTCGACCTCGCTTGCCATCCCTGCAAGAGAGGCACTTGATGCCTTGCAGTTTATGCATGACAAATTATTTTAACTTTGTCGATTTCGGTCCTGACGCTTCCATAGTGTACAGTCTTGAGCGTTTGCCCACCGATCCCGCGCTGCCAACTCCCAGTCCTTTCGACGAGCTGATCGGTTCGCGACTAGTGGCAGAAAATCAGCATCTGTTGACAACCCCGGACCTGCCGCCTCCCATGTTTTGTGCGCCAGAAGGGGCATCCACCGCGCTCGCAGGGAATCCAAGCGGAGCAGTAGAAAAGTTCCAAAATACCTGCGTATGGTGCTACAAGAGCGATCCAAGCCTAGACAGCAGGATAGGAGCTTGGTACAACAGTATAACAGGGACACGGAACATTGAACATAGTGACTACGACTACCCACACTGGTGGATCGGACCAGGCGTAGCAAACCTAGCGTTTCCAGGCTACACCGAAGTTTTGGAAACGGGGATCTGCATAAACTATGAAGAGATGGTAAAACGACATAACGGGAATCCTCAGGCGGCATGGGCCGCATTTTGCCCTTATCAAGCAGAAGGCTGGGACAATCCGTTGAAATACTACGGACACCACTGCGAACCAGGCCAAGATTGCATGGGCGGGTACAGCGCGGCATGGCTCAAATCCACTTCGACGACAACAACCACCACCGCAGCAGCCACCGTCTCTTCTACTTCATTCCCAACGCCCACATCAACAGCCGGTCCGTCAACGCAGTCGCAACAACAAGGTGGTACTGGGACTAGCACGCCGGAACCAAGCAGCACCGAGCAACAACCGCAGTCGGGTAGTTCATCTGGAGGTGACAAGAACAACACAACCTCGGGAGGTGCTGGCACGGGAGCAGAAGAGGAGGGAGGCAGCACGATTACGGTCGTTCTCATTGCCGTGGGGATCATCGCCACGGGGGGCATCGTCATGCTGTGTAAAGTGTTTGTCTGTACCGATGAAAGAGGAAAGAAGAGGCACACTACCAAGTTGACCAACGACTCTGACGAGGAAAACGATTATTCGGAGGATATCCTGTGTAAAAACGTCCCCACCCCAGAGTCAAGATGGGGATCTCGCAACACAAATCGAGAAGTTTTGGGAGTCAAGCACGACAAGTTCGCCTCTGTATTGTAGTGCAGTTTAGCAAGTACAGCGGCAGCACAAACCCATCTACTCATCCTGTTTATAGCATTACGGAGTCCACCATAGCGCGATTGGAAATGCCTCTCATGGGGATGCGCATTACAACAAATCTTCCTGTAGCTGCAAATCTGCATGACAACTATGGAGTGGGGACGTTTTTCCTTGGGATAGAGGACCACAAGAAAAAAGTTCGGGGCACGGGCTATGGACTGCCCTCCAGCGTGCCCACACTGCAGATGCCCAGCGATCTGATGCCCAAAGTTGCGGCACCGCGGAAGGAGCGGAAGCCGAGCCCGGGCGGCGGAGCCGGTACTTCTACGAAAGCGGCTGGGGGAAAGAAGGGCGACACGAAGAAAAGGAAGTCGCAAGGCGGCGCTTCGGACGACGAGGAGGACGATTACAACATGGAAGAGGCTATCAAAACCCACGGGCAGCACCATCACCACAAAGTAATCGGCGGCGACAAAGACAGGACAAGCAAAGAGCGAAAAAGCACGAGCAACCGGAAAAGCAGCCGCAAAAGCGAAGAGTCGGACGGCAGTGCGAAAGGCGGTGGTCTCCATTTGCACCCCAAAAAAGGCGGCACCGCGGATGGACGGACGAGCGCACGCAAAAGTAAACTGGACGAACAAGATGGTACAACACCTAGCGGGAGGAAGAGCACGCAGATGGGAAAGCTGGTGCACCATCATGTGCACACTGCAAAGTCAATCTTCGCGTTGAAAAATACTAAAAAAACCAGTCGCGAAGGCAGCACTCGTGGAAACAGCACGGAGGAGGACGATTAGGTCGTGTGCAATATCAAAATAGGTCTTGTTGCTTATCGAAGTAATTCGAATCTCTTCCCCCTAGCCCTACTCCGAGGACAAGTGTTGTATGTGCAAGATAATATCAGTGTAGTCATGTCGTGTCGATTTTCATCTACTGTGCTATCAGTACATTTTCCACACCGGAACAAACGCTACAGAAATTCACGAGATTGTTTGCGCATTCAAGTAATTTAAATTTTAATTTTTTTCTGTTGATTCATTTTTCATCTTCGATTTCTGTGCGAAGTGGTCTTTAGCTTCACTCTTCCGTTCTTCACAGACAAGGCCACTTTCAGTTTAAAATTTCAAGCGATAAAGATACCTAGATTTAACCGTAACACGTTGCAATTGCAAAGCACAAAAAGTAATTTGATCATAGGGGAATGATGATCCCGCAGCTCATTCGAAACCTCTTTCGCGATCGTGTTGTATGTTTTCTCTGTTTCGGAGAGCTAGGTGTTGTTCAGCGTCGTGGCGGTCCCAAACCGTCATGCCCATAGTTTCCACGCACCTTCACGGCTCGTCCACGCAATCAGCAATTTCGGTTTGGAGATTGCTTCTTAACTACCACGACGGTATGAGAATAGACCGCCAGGCGATAGGGTTGCGGCTCACTCTATGTACTCGTCAAAGAGACACGCCGTGTGCCTTCTACTGCTCAATCGAGATCCTGCAACATCATGCGTTGATTGTAATTGAAGAAGGGGGATGTTTTTGTACCTTTTGAGAGACGAGGGCTGTTGCGGTGAGTAGTGCCAGACACCACCACTACTGTTGGAAAGAGCATGAGATAAATGAGCGCTAGTAAGCATCATCTTACATTAGAATTAGACCAAAACCAACTCGTTTATATCTGCGTGTTTTTACTACCTTACTCGCACTCATCTATCTTTCGAACCTGTAGGCTTTACGGTCAGTAGGAAACAAGATGCCGGCGCTCTTGTATTGGGATATGCTGGAGGTGTGGCTGGGTGGAGCTTGTTCCGAATGATCCGCCCGCGCTCCTCCATTGTCTCGATGGGCTCGGTTGCCTAGGGCGTGATCGCCGACCGGGGAAACCAATTCGCGCGGCACCAATTTCGTGGAGCAGCGTGGCACGCGTCTCCTTCGCAGCATGTGTTGGGCCCGCGTGTTCGAAAAAACGCCCGAGCGTCACCTTACTGCAGCACATTTTCGAGCGGGGCCCGAACGCTAAGACCAACCTCACGCCTCGGGACATCGCCGTCCCCGAGGGCGCTTCGGACGTTGAGAATGTCGATGGCGTCTTCTCTGATACGGAAGACGAAAATGGCGCCGACGAGTTTCGTCGGTGGTGGGCCGGGCCGGCAAAGCCCTCCTATCTATAAGAAGAGCCACGCAGCGCCGGCGCATCTACAAGAAAGCGCCGCGCCTCTGTGTCTATGCTTCTCGCAGTAAGGCCACAGCCGCGGCCGGTTGCTGGTCGCTGTTTTTCCGCTCCGACCCGCCAAGCCAGCCGGCGAAGCGCGGGCGGCCAGAAAGGCGGGCCGCTTTCGCCATGTTTTGCCGGCGTTGCTTGTTGTCGGCCCCATTGGTTGCCCGGCGGCCCTGTTCGCGCGCCTTGCCCCCTGGGCTCCGTCCCGGCCCCCTTCTGCGCAGGCTTTGGTGGCTTTTTGTGGCAAGCCCAGACGGGCGCCCGCCGGGGGGTGTAGCGCGTAATACCGCAGCGCTTGTTGCTGCGCCCTAACCCGTGTGGCGCGGGCCCCTGGGCGTCGTCTGCAGCCCCATGCGCAGTTATTTTCTTATGCAATATGAGGGCGCGCGCGCGCCGGAATGTGAGCCGAGAGAAAAGGCCGTGGTGGGTCGTATGTGTAAGCAGTGAGTGTGTCCACCGCGAGGAGATGGGTGTTGTCGTACGGAAGTAGCGGTGTTGGTTTGTGGCAGCAGTTCTCTGCGGCACTGACTCACCCAGCTGGTTGATTGCAGCTGTTTCACTGTCAGCAGCTGGTGGATTGCAGCTTTCTAGTGTTGAGTAAGTAGCTTACTTCGCACCCAACATCGCACGCCGCTTTGAGTGAGAACGAGAAGTGACATCACATATAGTTCCAGTCTCATGCTCTGTTGAAAAGTTCTTGTTCTTCTTCCTCTTCTTCCACCATCCTGATCCCAAGTATTATGATGGACGGTCTCCTCGAACAGATCTCGCAGTTCGCGGAGAAAAAAAGGCTCGGTGCCATCCTGAGCTTACCCGCAACGCTTTCCCCCGACGACCGGAAGCAGCTGCGGGTGTTTGTGGAGGAGAATTTCTCCGCAACTTTAAAAGCGGAAAGCTATGGTGTTGGGGCGGAGAGGACAATACACGTGTTGCGGAAGCAGGATGTTGACACGGGTCGCGAAGTATGAATTGCAAAAGTGTAGTCTGCGTCTGGAAGATTGCAACGTGTCATGGTAAATCTGAAGCATGCAAAAATCTGTGTTGCATGAGTGCCAAAAGCTGTCCACTTTTGACCACGTTGGAACGGAGTCTCTCATGCAGAATAGGCATGGCAGAGGCCTCGCAGAGTCTGTCATGCTAAGTCCCGCATTCCAGACGCAGACCTCATGGGTCATGGAAAATCTGCATGACAAGTCTATACTCTTCCAGACCCAGACACTTTGTTTTACATTTGATACGAAGCAGGTGCCGGAGGTGGATCCTCACCAAATACAGCATCACCAGCTCCGCCCGGAGGTGGCGCCGACCAACAGGTGAGTATGACTGTGTCATGGGCGACCTTTTCATGATTCATAAAGAGCGAAAAGATGGAGATGGTGATGGAAACCTGTCTCATGCAGAATTTGAATGAGCCAAGGTTCAAGTGGCTCACCTCCACGTAGGACCTCCTCGAGAATCAAAATCAATCTATCAGACCTACAACCCAACGGACACTGCTTCTCTGGAGATTCGCACGAGCCCGACGGTGGAGCTGCGGCGCGCGAAGTTGCAGGAAGCCGTGCTTTTGGACGACGAGCAGACGCTGCAAACCTCGACGATCCAATCCGACTCCAAACTCCAGATGTCGCTGCCTTCCAGTCCAATTGCAATGGAACGGCAGCTGAACCTGATGAACAGGAGCGGTTGGAATAGTAAAGTCACAATCAAGAACACCTTCATCCACATCAACGAGATCACAAACGTGATGCTCTCCATGAGCGGCAACAAGTCCAGTTCTTCCGCCAGTTCGCCAAAGGGGGCAGATGGGGGTGGCTCTACTTCACAAAACGGAGCTCCTGGTGGTGCAATAAGTCCTGCCGATCCCGTGGATGTCTCCAAATCCATGCCTGCGGGGCTGTTCCTGCAAAAGTGTAATGAGGAGAAAAAGAAGCGGATATGGCTCTCCACCCGGGGCAGATCGGGAAGTTCCGTGAAGGATGGAGCCACGCCGAAGTCGACAAAATCCTATCGCGTGAAAAGGAGTGACAGCGAGCTGACAACTGGAGAAATGAGAAATCCGCCGTCGGAATTTTTCCAGACCTGGGACGGATTCGACAGCGGGGTCGGGGTGATGAGGTATTTGTGCGGATGAAGCACGGTTAGCGTGAGACTTTGACATTTTAATGTGTTTCCAACGTGTCGTTCTCGCTGCAGCATGACCCAACTTTGCGTCGTCGGATATCACCATCACAAATTATCAATTCATTCTCACAGGCTAAACACCAAAATCGGTGTTCCGGAACTCGACATCAGTCCTGGTTCCTTCGACCGGACCGATACCAACGATCTGAACCCCGCCGCGCAGGAATTCGTGCCGCCAGATCGGACGAACTCCCAAGACACAGCAGCAGGAGCAGCTTCTCTCCCGCAACAACCTGTCGTCCAGCCACCTCCGGTTGTCGTGCCACTTTTGAAAAATGAATTCCTCATCGGCCAGATCGTAGAGCTCCAGAACGTGATTTCGCCCTACAATGGGTTGAAGGGCGTTGTGTGCAACATCGTCTACGACAATCTGACGACCGGGCTACAGAATCCAGCCGGGTGCTTGTCCTACGATGTGGTTGTTTTGTCGAAGGGAAATGGGGATAGCAGTTCTTCCGTCCTCCGTGTCGGACCGCAAGAGGTGATCGCGGGGCCGCCGGGCTTGGAGGGCGTGGTGGAACAGCAGCAGTCAACTTCTGCGACGGGGGGAGCAGTAGGTCATGGCGCGGATTGGAGTACTGGAAATACGGCGACTGCTGCAGCGAACAACTACGATGGCGTCGGTAGCCATGCTGCTCAACAAAACGTTGCGGAGGACCCCTACACCGCAGCGGATTCTTTTCCAGACTGGCAGCAGCCATCCGCGATCCCAGATTTCGTCCCGGCGTCTGATCCCTGGCCCAACATCACCATCCCACAGCACCAGCTCCGTGCCATCGCAGAGCCGTTCGTCCCGAAATCTTTCGCGGCAAATGAGAACGACCTGAGCATACCACCGCCTGGGCTAGGATTACCGCTGGCGCAACAGCATTCATCAACATCGGCACATGGTGGAGGAGGTTCAAATTGGAATACGAATTTCAACAACCACTTCTACAACCAACAAAGAGCCATGAGTTCGTCGAGCTCAGGTGGTCCACCTGGCTACAACATTAACAATCACCACGGAGCGAACTGGAGCTACAACAACGGCAACAATTTTGTTTACCACAGGCCCCGGCCGATCATGTTGAACCTGCAAAATTTGATACCGGAAAACGGAGTAGAGGTGGTTTTGTGGAAGGACTTTGAAGACCTACACGCGGCGTTTCATAATGGGAACAGTGCAGGAGCGGGGACAAATCCAAACGGTTCACCTGGTGGTGGATCTTCAAGTCCGGACATGAAGCGGATCCGCCAGGAGCTGCGCGCCAGGGGATTCCTCTGGGCGGCACCCAATACAAACAACAACAGCAAGTCGCCGAGTGCGTACGGCGGGCCGCGGGATTCGAAGGACAGTGTGAGGTCGGGTGGGACGAGGGGGATGAATGGAAATGGTGGTGGGGATGTGTATGCGGCGTTCAATGTGATGGGAAGTAAATCATGAGGACGGCGATGAAGTGTTCCTATTGCAACTTTATGTTGAGCCGTTGCCGTGGGTACTATTACAGAAAAGAAAAAGTAGAACGGAATGAAGACCGGCAAGGACCTTGCAACTCCAACTGCAAGACGCGTAGACCGTCATGACCCACCTGCTGCTGCTGTTCTAATTTGCGTGACGTTTTACTTTTAGGATGTTTCTTCTCCATCTTCTTGTGGCCGAGCGTACTGTAAGCCAGTACAAAATTGAGAGGGCCTGGACCAATATTCGAAAGAGAAAAGCTGCTGAGCGCGCGTGGCTTTTCTGTAAGTTTTGCCGCTGTGTGTGCCGTCCGGAGAAGTGCGAGCGTCGTGAGCGGTGGCGCCCGGGCCCCCGCCCGTTGCGAGTGCGCTCCGGGCTGCCGCGCATGCAGCGCCTAGCGGTATCGGGGCCAGGCGTGGTCGCCCTTCCGGCGGTGTGTAGCTTGGCAGGCTGGCGCACCGTGGCGCAGAGCTGCCGCCAGGCGGACGCCGGTGACAATCGAGACCGCGAATGGATGCGGAGCGAGCGCTTCTTTCAGCGCGCCACAGATATTCCCGAGGGGTGGAATTCGGACGAGAAGACGAAAAGCAAGGGCGCGCCGCCTTTCCGTGCTTCGCTCGGCGGGCCCCCGCCTGCGTTGGTGGCCCTGCGCTGCCTATGTGGTAGCCGTGTGCCGCCCCCGCGCCGCGGGGGCGCCCGCCCCGGGTGGGTCATGTGGTTGCCTTGCCTCGGTCGCCTATTTCCGCCCTTCTTCCTACCAGCCGCAGCCCACCGCGCGCCCCGGGGCAGGGGCTGGCGCGCCTGGTTTTGGGTGGTGGCTGGCCCAACCGGTTGGCGCCTGGCGTTGTTGTCAGACAGTATGTGCCCCCTGCCTGCCGGTCGCATGTTCTTTCATTTTGCCAGCGAGCCCACCTCCGCCATGCCGCTTATTGTTTGGGCCGCCTCGACTTCGGTGTGTCCGTGGGGCCTGCTTGTCGCATAAGAAATTTCTGGCGCGCGCCGCAGCGTTCGAGGTCGTTGCGCCGCTCTTCGAGGTGTTTGTGTCGGACGCCCGCCTGAGAAAGTAGTGGAAGCGGGCGTGTGGCGGGCCGGCCTCGACCTTCTGTATCATTGAACCCGGCCCCCGTAGTAGGGCTGGAAGCCGTCTCAGAGTTGGATGGTGTATGACCTGCAGGTGGCAGCCATGATTACCTTTTGGATGGGCCTATCATTTTGTTATGTCTTCCTGCGCAGGTGGAACCGGCTAGGCGGCCCTTTCCACTTCGCAGAAGGTGTTCCTGAGAGGCGGCAAGCCCAAGCCGATACATTCTCGGCCGTCCTTGCTTCAGTGGCGAAATCCTTGCATCGCATGACATCCATAGTAACCTCCGGAAATGATGAAAAAATGCACGCCCCCCCAGTGCAGGAAAGATGATGATGATGATGATGATATAAACATTTTTATGGAGTGAAGGACTCAGGATCGGTATCCGATCGGGCTACAACAAGGTCAGGTAAGGTCGTATGCCAGACGAGCACGACCACGAGTCGGGTACTAGGTAGTATATCTGTACCCATGTAGCAGGGTCTTTTAGTGTGTTCCCTAGCAGCCCGAACAAAAAAGATAAACACGCATCACAAACCATGACAGCCGGCGGCGGCCCCCGGCTGATCCCGAAGGTGCACACGCACCGGATCGCCAAGGCCCGCTCCGCCAACGATGTGGTCAACCAAACATCACAAGCCTCCGCAAGAGGACCACTTCCCCAGCACGACCAACATCAAGACCCGACGAACTATCAACTCGACCGCACCACCTCCAGTCTGAAAGATTCCAACCCGATGAACAACAGTTGTCTTCCGCAAAACCCGAACTCCTACCTCCAAATGGGCCACCAGCACTTCGACTACACGGACGAGTGGCCGGAGGTGGAGGTGACGGTGCACGTGCTGGATTGTTCTGGCTTAAATCTAGCGCTTTCCTCCTTTGACTTGGATTTCGTCGTGATTCTCGACTGGCTCGACTTCCAACTGGTGGAGAACGAACACTTTGGGTATGACACGAGAAACGGGCGGTTTCACTTGCTGGAATCCGTGTTACACGACCCGGATTTCTTCAATCCGACGGTCCGAGTGGATAACGGCGTGGCGATTGAGTTGATTGACGGCGACTCGGATAAGTATTTCAACTTGATGATGTTATTGTTTGTCAATTTTATCTGCATCGCATTCGCAAACGCAAGGCAATCTGTGTTGCATAGCCGTGCATGACAACTTCGCAAACAAATCCCCTTCATCAGGTTCCCGAAAATCAAGCGTCTCCTCTCCACCACCAAACCCAACGGTCTCCAGGGTAACTGCGAGGTTCCCTGGCTCTCCAAGTGTCTCCGCTTCAAGGGCACGCTGGTCTGCATGGACATTGACGCCGCTTGGTTCCCACTCGACGTGCTGAAACTCCGGATCAGGCTGGTTTCTGACTTCCTCAAAGGAACGACTTCCATGGGGAGGAGAAGACGAGTGAAATTAATCGACCCGCTACTCCGCGTCGCGTACAAAAATAGCAGCTCGAACAATAACTCCTCAAAGTACACCGCGAAGTGGAGCCGGAAAATTTCCCCCCATTCCTGGCCGTCCAACGCGATGACGCTCGGCGAGATGTGTGTGACGGGTTTTGGCGGGTGTGACTGCGAGGACATCGCGTACCAATTCGACATTTTGCTCACCAGACGGTGGAAACGGTACTGGTTTGACTTCCTGATCCAGGGGCTGCAGGTCGTCTCCGCCGCGTTTTCCCTCTACGTCCCCTTCAGCTATGACGCCGGGTCCGATACTTTGCCGAACCGGTTGTCGATCACGTTGACAGTGATCTTGACCCTAGTCGCGTTCACAATCGAGCGGCCCTCGGTGATCGAATCTTTACCGTACCCGACGTTGCACGATCAGTACGAGAGAATCATGGTGGCGATCGTTGCTTTGGTCGGGATTGAAAACGTCATCGTGTTCCAAACCTGCATCGGCGCATTCCCGAAATACTTCTCCGACCCCTACAACAACGACGCACCCTTGCCGGATCCGCCGGAATTGTGCCGAGTCGGGTTCTGCGGCGCATCGAACATCGACTGTCTTTGTTTCGTCTCCGTTGTAACAGCAGTGGTGCTCGTCTCTCTAGTCTTGCTCTTCTGGGGCCAGTTTTACCGGATCCGGGAGGTCTTGCGGGTGCATAGGAGTCTGCACGAGTTTGAGTGGGAGTCTTTTACCCGGATGTCTGACCACTGTGTCCGGATGTGCCAGACGTTCGAGGGGTTCGACAAGAAGATCTGGCGAAGGCAGATTTGCGAAATCTCCGCGGTCGACGCGCAAATGTTGCGGGTGAGACCGGATTTTGTGAAACGAACGGAGCAGAACTACAATAACAGCGGGAGTTCCTCAATGAATCACGGGATGAACAGCTTGACAAACGACGTCACTTTTGACGATTTACCAGAATCAGCGGAAGAAGAAAATAACAACAACTTCATGTCTACTTCCAGTAAGTATCAGCTTTCCGGCGCTGTTGCAAACGCGATGGGGACGATGGATAATACTGACAGAATTTCGAACAACCTAGAATGGTACACGTGGAACAGCCCGCAGGCGTTGCACTTCTCCAATATGCAAGAAAAAAACTGTGTGAGTGTAACTTTGTAATGCAGAACATGCAACAGAGTTACATCTGTCATGCCAGACAACCACGAAGTCCTCTTTTCAGCTTTGTTTTCCCTTACAAGCCATGCATAACAGGTTTTCTCTGTCATGTAGAGCAAACTTGTGATGCTGTCAGCCAAAGAAAGTTACACTAACACAGTTTTTTTATTGGATATCCAACGGTCTGGAAGTAATGCCGGGAGACGCAATTCGAATGCTGAACCCGGCGGAGGAAGCGGACTATCGGCGGAAGGAGAAGAACAAATCTAGGCCTAGTCAACAGTATCAAATGTAAAAATGTCTGGGTCTGGAAGAATGCAACTTGTAATGCGTATTTCAGAACACAGAAAAGCCTCTCATGCATACGTAGCAAAAGCTCCCACTTTTTGTCAGCAAAATAGGGGACTTGTCATGCGGATTCGGCATTGCGGGAGGTTCTTGAAACCTGTGATGCTAGAGCTTTCATGCCAGACCTTCTGTGTCATGCAAAAACAGCATGACTCTTCCAGACCCAGACATTTTTACATTTGATAAACAAGGGTTCTTCCAGCGCAGCTTGACGTCGTTGGCGACCGGGTATCTGTCAACCGGAAATAATGAGACGCCCGAGAAGAAATCAAAGAGCAAGAAGAAAAACGCCGACTCGTCCCCAGCGAAAATCAAAAGGAGAAAATCCTCCTCCTCCGCGGTTTGGGCGGTGGGGAACAAATATGCATTGCAAAAGTATCGTACTCGTATAAATGCATTACAAATTTCCTCAGCATGAGAAACAAAATCTGCAATGCAGACAGACCTTAAGAAAAAAACTTGTAATGCATGACTGCCATACGACTGCGATACTTTTGCACAGGATAACAAAGTCGACAGCTCCTCGGATGTGGTCATTGTGAACCAGGAAGACTCGCCGAATTCCCAGTCCAGCGTGTTAGTCGAGATCCGTACGATAGTGCACAACTCCCCCTCCCCCTCATTTGTCATGCAAAATACCAAATCCACCCTTTCCCTTTGCCTCTTGGCACTTTTCGCATGACAGGTTCTGGGGGAAGCTCAAGCAGCACTATAGATCCTTGGCCAATTTGCCATGCAAAAGCTGTACTCTTGCCGGCGCTTGTATTGCTGTTTATGCCATACAAATGAAGGGGAGGGGGAGTTGTGCACTCTCATAATCCGCTCATTGAACCACGAGCGGTTGATTCTCTGCGGGACCGAAGCGCTGTTTCCGGAGGAAATGCGGGATTTGGAGGACATCGTGGAGGCGGTTTCGATTGTCCCCTTCAGCAAGTACTTTGCGCAGTCCTGGCTGAAGTGGGTGTTGTCGAAAGAGAGACAGAGCTTCTTGTCCAAATGCGAACTGCAAGCGGCGGTGAAAGAACTCGCCAGGATAGAGGACGACGTGGAGTACAACCGGAAAAAGCAGGCGTTGATGAAGAATTCCAGGTTGTCCGTCATCTCGCTGGATCACACCGCGGGATTAGGTTGTGCGACCCACCCACGGTTTTTGGATTCTTCCGCCTCTCATTTAGACAACTTGGACGACGAAAATTCCGACCCGAGCCGGAAGAAAGTCACTTTAGGTGATCCGCACGACCAGGTCTATGTGGTGGACGTCGGGACTGGGGAGATAGGATTTTACGTCTTTTGGCGGGATTCGGAAACTGAGGAGGTTCGGTCGAAGGTTTTCCCCAAATGGAGCTACCCGAGCAAATCGGACTTCGTCCGGACGTTTTTCAAGGCGGGGAGTGGAAAAAGGCAGTTTGCGCAGCTGCTGATGGAGAATTTTGAATTGGAGCCGAGCGGGCTGATGAGCATGACGATGACCAGTGGCATGAACATGATGATGCCGAAAGTGAACAGCCGGCCGTCGCAAGTGATAGCGAAGGAACCGTCATTGCCAGTGATCAACGTCGTGAAGCCGAAAGAGGATACTATGACAGTCGAAGATTTCGACAAAGACGTGAAAGACAACTCCACGAAGACAAAAATCAGCAACAAAGATCAACATGACAAGAGCAACTCTGTTCCGGGTTTCGTCGTCGATTTGACGAAAGACGAGGCCAGCGCAGCAGACTCCCCGGACGATGGGCCGGAGATTGAGCATTCCACTTCCACGGAGATCGGGCAGCAAACCGGAGCGGCCAACAGTTCGGCGTCGGAATCCGTTTCTGTCAGCGAGCAGGAAAATCTTCAAAATGCAGCGGGAGTTGTTGTGCTGCCAGGCGGCTCGCAGAAGCGATCGAGCCAGGGGATTGTTTTACCTCCAGTCTTCCCGCAAGCCGGGCTAGCACCAGCGGTGATAGAAACGCCTGCTGTTGTTTCGAAAGAACACAACTCACAGCCTACCATTTCCGTTCTAGAACAGTCCCAGTCCTTCCCAACCGGGATCTTTTCTGGCACAGGTCAACAGCAACAGAATTCCACCTCCTCCTCTCGCGTCCGAATCTACATCGGTTTCACCGGCCGCAACCGCGACTACTTACTTAACCACCCCGACGAGAAGGAAGATTTGGACCAGTGGCTGCAGGGGGTACAGCGGTTACTCCGCGACGAGTTCCGGATCGACCAATTAGTCGGCAGGTTGAATTTCCTGGACTTCCTCTCCACCAGGATGGGCGCCAAAACCGAAGCCGCTTACGAATTGACCGCGACGCAATTCTTACTCCAAAACGGAGACCTCGACATGGATCTCATCAACATTCCGAAGGGCCCAAAGGATACGCGCTTCGCGTTTCTGGAACTCAAATCCTGCATCGAATCGATCTTCGCCGACGGGCCGGAAAGGAACCGGCTGAGCTTCTGGCGAGAGAAGTATTTACACGAGTTCAAGGATTTCGGAATGGAGAGGTCGGATTTAGAACACTTGTGGTTGATCGCGTTGGAAAAAACAGGGTTTGAAACGCCGACGACGCCGAAGGACAGAGAAAGACTGATTTTATCTCTCCTCCAGTCGTTACTGGATGAGCCGATGTTTCTCCGGGCGATGACACGGGCGAGGCTGTTTTGCGGAACTCTATCCGCTGGTGGTGGGAGTTGCCAGGTCACCTGTCAGCCACAGGCGGGGAGGACGGAAGTGACGTATGGAAGTATTCCGTTTGGAAACCGGACGAGTTATTCGGGGAGTGAGGGGGTTTACGGTAATGGATTGTTTTACTACATTTGATGCTCTTAGCATGTAGAAGTTGTTCTGTCCATGGTCTGTCGCTTTGGAGTGTCTTATGTGGTCTTCCGGAGTTTCAAAAACAAATGAAAATTTCAGGTCTCTGCAATCCTGTCTGGGACAAGCACTGCTCCACCGTCACCACTATGCATTGCAAAAGTATCGCACTCGTATAAAATAACCAAGTCTTGCATTACAAGGTGAATCAGCATTACAAATTTTATTTCTCATGCTAAGGAAATTGCATTTATTATACGAATGCGATACTTTATTTGCAGTTCATAACCACCGAGATGCTCCACGATTGGGCGAAAATCATCAAGCAAGCGATTGAAGACAGCAAACTCCCAAAAGACGTCCGGGGCTTGTTCGTCGGCATTTCCGCGATCTACCACGCGGCGGCGGCGTGTAAGTGCGACAACAAGATTTTACCGAAAGCGGAATTTCTCTCCCGCTTGAGCCAACAGCTGGAGCTCGAGGTGTTGCGGACTTCTGTCGGGAATAAAACTACAAGCGTGATGAAATCGCCACTAACTGCGGTTGTTCAACAGCAAACCGATAATACTTTGAAGAAACCAGCAACCTCAAATTTGAATCCGAACTCGCTCTCCGAAAAGGAGCTCCGGAACATCTCGAATCTGCAACTCGTGCACACGTTTGTCTCGGAGGTGTTACACGAGTCGGCGTTCATCGTGTGCAAGAGGAACTGGAAGGTCGCGGGGGAGGATTACGTCGCGACCTGGTCCTTTGGATTTTGGTTGACGAGTGTCAGGCAGAAATCCTTCCGGAAACAAGGATCGAATTTGTCGGAGATTTCGAGCTCGACCGCGCAGGCGGGGTAATGGCGGTTGCAATCGAAGAACACGGCAAAGAAAACCACAAGAGGAGAAAGAACGCTGCAGCTCTTGCACCAAAACAACATCGACGCATTAAGTAAGTTTTCGCACAGGCTTACACGAGGAATTTCAGTTTCGAAGAATGTTGATAGCGATGCCTTCATCAAGAGATAGAAGACTTTTTTTCAAAATCGATTTTTTGTAGAATTGAACTAACAGAATAAATGTTTCGCTGGTTGAGATCCCCTCCTTACCTACCACCATACAAGATTCGCCACCACTTTTGCATGAGTACAGCTACGCCTTTTCGTGAATCAGAGCCACAATTATTTCAACACATATCATCTTGCCGATCCACTTTTGTGTGACCCATGGCAGCCTCCACAGCGTGATAGAAGCATTTGTTACATGCAGTGCCGCTTTCGCTTTTCACGAGAAGGACGAACAAAAATAACTAGTACAGATCGTCTCTCTACGAAAAGATATGCGCGAACTTTCTTTGTCGAGATGAATATCAGTATCTTTAGCACTCCTGTACGACCACGCGTGTCGTGTCAGTCCTGCTCCTCTTTGGTCTCGTGTCATCAGGTTCGTCAAAGAATGAAACGATTGCTTTGATGTCACAGCCTAGCATCGGAATCGGTCGCGCAGACAGCTGACTCAGCATGTCGATGGCACTTCGGTGGATGATTGTCCGGACTTCTGCATGAGCATGCGTCGGTCTCTGTGGAGGTCGTGTCTTTCGGTTATCTAATCGTGGCCACTTCAGCCGTGCCGCTTACGTTTTCATCGTGGTTGTCGTTCAAAGCCGTTTCGTACAAGTCGCTTACACTTCAGCTCCATTCTGTTTTCATCACAAGTGCATTCAACTATCCGTCTTCGTACAACCGTCTCATTATTTTTTCGTTGCACAACAAATGCGGTCGCGCCCATCTTCGTGCGTCTTGGTGAAAAAAATCGGTAGCACTTATTATGCTTTCTATGTGACGAGAACCTCTCCCCCGAGCCGAACTCGAACAGAATAACCAAATTGATGCACATGCAGGAACTCATCTGTGAGCACCACATTCGCATTCCGAAACCCTCACAATAATTACCCAAATTGCTCCTTCCTCCTCCAACGAACCTGTTTATTGATTTTGAAGAGATGGAAAAAATGAATCTTGTACTTTGGTAGCTCTCATGGTGATGTAATTTGAATTTCTCGAATCAGAATCGGTTCTCAAAATGCAGCCTTCCCACCGGAACATGTGCATGGATTCCTCCTCCAGCTCCGCGGAGCTGCCAGCGACAGCCGCAGCCAGTTCTTGGGCGAAAACGGGAGCAAAGGCCATCCTCCTCGGCGGCGTCTTTCTGATTTGCTTCGCCGGGAACTTCTTCGACTTTATCCATCTACAGGGCGATTTTTCATCGGAGCAATCGACTCTCGACGAAATAGAAGGCGGGTCGTTGCGTTTACTCACAAGTAATGTCACGGTGACCACGACCACTACAACGACCTCCACGACAACCCTTGTAGCCGGAGGACTCGGCGCTCAGGTCGCGATAACCGAAACACTCCTCACCACCACAACCCCCCGCCCGGTCTACGAGAGCACGGTCAGCGTGGAAGAAAAAACTACCGGGGCAACTACGTTGGTCTTCTGGCTCGTTTTCTGGACGATCGTGCTGGTCTTGATCGTCGTCTACTTCACCTATTTTGCGGGAAAAAACTCGCTCGCGCACCAGTGGCTTCAAAAGAAACGGGAAAAGAACGTGCACCACCGAGCGCGGGAGCATCATGAGGATATCCACGCGGCGATGAGCGACCCGGATGACTGGAGCCATTTGGCGCCAGGGCCGGGTTCAGCTACAGCTGCGGGGGCAGCGTCATCCTCGCGGGGCAGCAGTAGGGAGAAAAAAGTTTCCTCTACCTCTGGCAAGCAACTTCAATTGGAAGCAGGGCCCGCGCAGCCGTTGTCACTCGAGTGGGATGGAGGCGATGCTAGCTATTACGAGAACTACCCTTCGCCTCCGCCTGCAATTGTTGGTGCTGCAACAAATAAGAGCAAAGGTGGGAAAGACCAACGTAGAAGTAGTGCCGGGAAGGGATCCAATTCTAGCAAAAAGGGCATCATCAAGGGGAAAGGCAAGGAGTCCGAGCATCACGATGAGCAGCCTGCTCCGTCACAAGCACAACTTGCATTAGAGTGGGGCGCCGGCGGGGAAGACAGTGGACAGCAAAAGCATGGACCGCCAGCAGCTCACCAGCATAATGGAGCAGACCATCATGTGGACCACCACCCAAAGGCGGGTCATGAAACGAAAGGTAAAGCAGGGCATCAGCCAGCGGGTAGTGGAAGTAAAGGAAAAGCACAAGAAGGAGCAGGTAAAAAGAGTAAAGGCCATCTTCCGGCGGCGCACAGCCAAGCAGAAGTCCTTGGCAAGCCGTCGCAGTGGGACCAGTGGTGACGAGCTACATCACAAAAGGACAAGATCATATATGTGTTTTTAGATCTACCCAGCCTTCTATTTTAGCCCAGGTATGCCTATTTGCATTTTTCCCTAGGCTGTAATCTACTAGATTGAAGAGAGTTTTGCTTTCCCCTCGCTTGTAAATCAAAACGAAAATGATCATTTTCGCGCATGGTATGATCGTAACGTGCGGCTCAGCACTTTTTACACTGAATGAGAGGTAGGATAGATCAATTTTGTGTTCGTCGTCCGCATGATTTCGGATTTGCTTGAAAAACGCACAGTCTACAACCTGTAGGAAGATAATCGTTCGAGATGAATGTTGCATGCAGCAGATGATCATATCGGATTTTAACATACGTACGCCGTGCATTGCGATAATAAATTCTGAAGGTGGAACAATTTCAATTGTCGGTCGTGCAGTGAAAGAAACAAGAAACTAAAAGTCGGTAGCTCTCCGTGCACACTGTGTGACATCGTAACAACGTACAACCAGAATAGCTTCGTGCATCTCTCGTGCAAGAACGACTAAAGAGCTGCATTGCCCGCTCTCGTAAAAAGCGTAAGCTCACCACAACATCAGCTGTGAATCATGATAAAAACCTTTCAAATTTTCAAACTGAAACAGTCACCACGAGGAGGAGAAAACAAAATATCACCCCCGCACAACATATTTTGATATTGGTGGCATTGGTATCGGATCTAGTCAGTGAAAATGGCAGTATTTGTTTTAAAAGGTGGATGAACAGCATCAAGGAGTACTGCTGTGCAGTGAGTTCACTAGTAGTTTCAGCGTTATTGCCTATTTACATTTCGAATTACGAATAGAGCGTTTGTCACATCTACCATTTTCGATTTCATTTCAACAACCGCCATCTCTTTTTTTGTTATCATTCAAGCATAGCGTCATAGGAATATAAGCGACCATTTTGGCAGCAGTTTTGTTTACCTCAAGCGGATCAAATATTTCAAGCATCGTGTTAAGAAATAGTTTCAGTATTGTCTCTTTGTTTATTCCAATTTACAACCCTTTAAATCGCCAGCTGTGTAATCCAAGAGTGTTGTGATCAAAATTTTTGTCGCTAAACAAACATCGGTGTCTTCGAATTCGTTCCGGCTTCAGAGCACACCCGTTTTGACAAAGCGATAGAAAATTTCTGCTGGCGATTTACGTAGTTCTTTTTCTAGACGAGCCAGTAGTTGTTTTTCAGGATTTCATTTCCCACCCCGCTGAAACACGCGGGTGTGGCTTTTTTACCTACCCTTTTTTATCTCGGATTTTTCGCTGTTAGCTGAGATTTTCGAAAGCAGAAGATCTGCTGCAGTAAAAACTCAGCGACAGCGAGCGGAATAAATCCTCTACAACAAGAACTCTTCTATTCGACGAGCCTAAAAAGTCCTATCCCCTCAATTGCAATCGCCTTTTCATCTCGAAGCCAGCGACAATGGCGGAGAATCAGAATCACGAAGGAGGAGAGCACCACCACCCCCGGGACCGCGAGCACCACGAGGCGGGCAGGGGCCACCACGGGGATGAGGCGGGCGGGATGTTCCATTCCGTCGGCGGGATGATGGCGGCGCCCGGCGCGACTTTTGGCCGGTTATCCGGTGGGATGACAGTGATGGCGGGCGGGTTCAAACAGAAAGTAAGCAACGCGGGCAATGGCGTTTCGGGGACGTTTAAGTGGACGAAGAAATTCGTCCCCAACATCCCGGTGAAGCTCCCCGTTGCAATGCCGTTTAAGACAAAGCACGCCTTGAACACAACGGATGAGGAGAGGGAAGCGGACGAGAAGAGAAGGGAAGAGGCGAAGACCGCCGCGGACGACGCGTTTAAGAACGTGAAACCAGTGTGGTGGCGCGCGTGGCTGTATCGAAACGTCCACTTTGGCCGCTACGGGCCCTTCGATGAGGAGATCCAGAGAACCGATATCGAGTACTACAATCCGCCGTGGTATATCAAGTACACCGATAAATTTGCCCGGCGCATGGACAAGGCGGGCGAGACCATGCCGGGCGACTTACCGCCAACGTGGTGCGGCGCTATTACTTCAGTTCTGTTCACTGGGTTAGCGACGATGCTGCTGTACAACAGCGTGAACCGCTTATTCTCCGCAAACGTCACCCTCTCCGGGTGGGGCAACGTGGCTCTCAACGTGGACTACATCTGCTACCAGAACAGTATGTACTCTGGTGTCGGTGTCACCCGAGAGTACCGGAAAGAGTTCACGGACCCGTTCAACAACACCGACGCGAACGCCTTTGAGACAAGAGGGTGTGAGTTCAACCCACTCTACTACACGGACTTCCCCCGGTTCGCCGTGAAACCGTATTTGGATGTGCCGGCGCTGGAGTTTTTGTGGAAATCCCGGATTGAATTCTACGAGGAAGACGGGAAATCTTCGGTCGCGAAGGTCGTATCAATTGCAAATATGTCTGGGTCTGGAAGAATCATGCTGTTTTTGCATGACACAGAAGGTCGGGCATGGGAGATCTAGCATCACAGGTTTCGAGAAGCTTCCGCGATGCCGAATTCGCATGACAAATCCCCCACTTTGCTGGCAGAAAGTGGGCAGCTTTTGCTACCTATGCGTGACAGATTTATCTGTGTTCTGAAATGCGCATCGCAAGTTTGTATTCTTCCAGACCCAGACACTTTTGCAGTTCATAGGTCGAGTGGAAGGACAAAAACGGGATCCATTTCGGCGGAACATCCACGAACAACAACGTCCAGGTCGCGTTCGCGGCGCACGAAAAAGTCCCGATCATGTTCAACTCCTACAGTTACGGAGGGTCTTCCATTGAATCCCCAATGCCGAACGCGACCCGTTACCTCCGTGAGATGGCAGTCACTTCCTCCACCCACAACTTCGACGAGTCGCTCCGTTACGCGTACTCAGATTTGGGCTTAATGGGTGCCTCGGACGAATTTTTCGATCATGACGTCGTCGCATTTGTCCGGTTCGATCCAAAGCAACTGCGGAATGTGAAGAGCTGTCAGGTGCAAGTAGGATTAGTCTCCCGGTACCAGTACGACGCGTTGAGACCTTATCTGCTAAAATACGACCGGGAATACCAAAGGAAGACCATGATGGACACGATGGTCACCGGGAACTGGTCTTGGCACCCGGATTTCTACACGAACACAGAGTCCGGAACTTGGAGAAGACGCTCCTCGCAGAACAACCTGATGATCATGGAGTCTTCCTGGACCGCCGCCCAAATCCGGCAGTTCATGCAGAACGTAGCGTATGGGAGGTATCAGGTGAACGTGGAAAGGCGGATGCGAGACTTTGGGTTCGAAACGGGCGTGAATTCCAGCACTATGAAATGCAAGAGTGTCTGGGTCTGGAAACTTGTGATGCTGAAATGTGCATAATGAAAAACCTTCCGAATGCAGTCCGGCATGACAACTTCCCAAAACGCTTTCTCAAAGGCAATCCGCATGACAAACTGCGTTTTTGCGTGACAAAAGAGGCTGCGACTTTTGTTGTGGTTATGCAATACAGATTTTCTAGGTATGGAAAGCTAGCATTACAAGTTCCAACCTTCCAGACCCAGACACTTTTACAATCCATAAGCACGGGCGTGGTGACCAACACCGATGTAACCGTGCCGGTCGTGTTCACGGACTGGATGCTGTTTTTGAACTACGTCAACAACTTCCAGTATTCCGCGGAGCAGATCGTCTGCGACGGGAAACTCGGGACTTATTTCAACCCGGCATTACTAAGAGCGGAGCCGCCGACGAAGTATGCGCGGACCTTGATCTTGAAGATATCCTGAGGAAAAACGTACCCACACCAGAGTCAGGATGGGGATTTTGCAACACAAACCTAGGAGTTTTGTGAGTCACGCATGACAAGTTGCACTCTGCAGTGTAGTGCAGGTTAGCAAGTGCAGCCGCATCACAGACTCATCTGCTCATCCTGTTCACAGCATCAGAAATTCCAAAACACGATTGGAAAGAGCTCTCATGGGGATGCGCATTACAAGTCTTCCTGTCTTTGCAAATCTGCATTACAACTCTGGCGTGGGTACGTTTTTACTCAGGATAGAAGAGTCCGATGGTCTTGTGGACCAGGCCGTTTCCCTTCTACATCCAAGTAACGGGCGATATGGGAATGGAAAGGATGTTGGTGACAAGCAAAGTGGATTCTTACCGGGTGAAAGTCACAAGAGGGACGAGCATTGGATCCACGCGGTTGAACTTCAAAACCGACCGGCCGACGAGTTACCCGCCGGTTGCGACCGAAGGATTGTGGGTGTGTCCAGTTTCAAGATACATGGACGGGGAGTTCTGTGATTGTAACTGTGGTATGGCAGATCCGGACTGTTTATCAGGCACCCTTCCGGTTAAGTACTGTGCGGACATGGAAATCTGCAGTCCTCTAGGCCGGTGCACCACGCCGATCTATGATAGCAGTGGATTGGATGTTGCGGTGTCCGAACCCTGTACTAGCATGACCATGCCGGGGGAATTGTTGTTAAACGGGTATATCGGTCACAATGAAGATTTCCAGGCGGAGGGCGGGAACGCCTGCTGGGTCTGTCCGTACGACGTGTTGTATGGCGGCAGGACCAGCCGGAACGAGAACAACGAGTACGTCTGTCAGTACAAGCCGACGGGGGACATTCCGGCGAAGGAGGGGGCATTGGCGTATGACACGACTGTCATGCAGACGTATGGTGCGAATGGAACAGATACAACAGCACTACAATCAACGAGAATAGTGAAGGTGTTCCTCGGGCCGAAAGCGGGGTTCCCGGCCGCAGATCTCGCGGGGCAGAATTTCACGGCAGAGTTGAACTTCGGGCAGGGGATCACGGAATTAGTTTCCGGCATCGTGTCCGAGCCGGTGGATACGAAAACAAAAACGCAAATCTTGCACATCCGGTCCACGGGTCCGTCCTACCGCTACAACCACTTCGCGTCTGGGACGATGGTGTCGTCTCTCGCAGGGGATTACACCGACACCATTCTGCAGTTGGACAACCCAAATCAGCCCTTCTCCCAGGCCGGGCCGTACAGGATCATGATAGATTCGTCCGAGATGCAGATCCGCACCGGTAGCACCGGGGCTACTTCCACTACGACAACCACGACAACCACAACTGCGGCGCCGAGACAGCGCCAGTTGAAAGACGAAGGCAGTGAAGGTTATGTCTACCACAGATCTGCGTTTGAGGAAAACGACGCAGCTAACGCGGCCTTTGTCGAGATAGGTGACCCGAAGAGCAAGCAACTTCCAAAAGTCTCGAAAAGCAAAAGAACAGAGAAGCGGTACGCGAAAAATATGAAAAAGCGATCCAATTTAGAGGTTCTGGAGTCCAAGCAACGCAGGCTAGAAAACGCTTTGACCGCTGCGCAGAACATGATGGACGACATGGGTTTGATTCTCGAAACGGAAAGCGGGCAGCACCCGCTGCAAAATTCCGCAGAGTACGAGGAGAAAAGGAGAAGACTCACAACACTTTCGAGTGCACTTTCGAACCAGACAAATACCACCTCCAGTTGCGCTGTCAATCTCATGGCTGAAAGGCAGCGATTGGACATCTCGGGCTACGCGAACGGCTTGGAGTCCGCGGGCGTGAAGTCGATTTTAGCGAGGCAGTACACGGGGTCATTAGACGCATCGAAGTCGATTTACAACTACCCGAGCAAAACGGATGGGGATTTAACCGATGCTAGGAGTTTAGACTATCTGGATTCGGGCGTGAACACCGTCCCGGGCAGCACAAATTGCTTCGTAGACATCTACGACGACCCGTTTAAATCCGTGTGTAAGGTCAACGCGAGGTTATATGGGATGTACTTTGTTCTCCAAACCCCACCCAGCAGTTCTTCCGGGACTCTCGATGCAAATACCGCCTGGGCCGCTTTGACCGGTGCGAAGGATGTTTCCAACGCTGATGTTGGTTACAACTCGGATTCGGTCAAAGAAGCGATCCGCATCGCCATTGGCCAAACGTTTGGCCTCACCGGGATGGATTCCAGCGTGATCAAGCCGGACCTAGTCGCGTTGAACGACGCTACTGCCGGCGGGACCGCGATGGTGCTAGCGCCGCCAGCAAACCCGGCGGCGGGCTACGATTGGACCAGCAAGGTGACGGGCGGGTCCAGAGAGGTTTATGCATTGCAAACATGTCTGGGTCCGGAAACTTGTAATGCTAGAAGTGAATGAAAGGCCCACTGCAATACGGAGCCAAGCATGACAAATTTTTGGGCTCCTATGTGTTGCGTGTTCCGCATGACAGACTGCGTTTTTGCACGACAGAAAGGAGCGCCGCTTCGTGCCCATGCGTCACAGATTCTTGAGTCATGTCAGACATGCATGACAAATGTAGCATTGTATGGACATGCATGACAAATGGCAAAGTGTGCCGCACTTCTGTTTAGCATGACAAATGTAGCAATCTTCCAGACCCAGACATATTTGCATTTGATAAGGTTTTGCTCGAGGTGAAGTTCCGAACGAGGCAGTGGTACACCATCAATAAAATCTTCGACCAGTATATCACGGGGAACGGGGGGAACATCACTGCCTTTCCGGAGGCGACGTTGAAGACCAACGTGGATGCGCAGTTAGCCACTGCGATGGCGAGTCTCTATGCCGCAACGCAGTACGATGCGAACAACGCCGGGATAAATCCGAAAAACGACGCGGCGCAGGGGTTTGTGCTGAAGCACGCCGGAGAACTCGCCGATTTGAGCAGCACAACAACTACTGTAGCAAGAAGGCTGCAGCAGGCCAGTAGTTCTGGAGATTACGATGAAAACGGCGCAGTGTTGCAGAACGCAGGAGCGGCCTCAACTACACAGCAATATCAAAATGAAAAATCCCCCCTCCCCATATCAAAAGGAAATTTCTGATGCTGGATTTGAGTACACAAATCAGGTTTGTATTGCAGGAAAGCATTGCAGTCAGATCCCCAGGCTAGGTAGGGGCGTATGCGTCTAGTTGTTCAGCATGGCAAGCGGCTCCCCTTTAGACCCGACAGCATGACAAATCGCTTCCATAGGGGGGCGGAAGCTTCTGCCCTTGTCTTCTTGCAGTACAAATGTGATTTGAGACCTCAAATCAGCAACACAAATTTTCGGAAGCATACCTTTTCGATATGGGGAGGGGGGATTTTTGCTTTTGATAAGCAATCCTTGCTAACCAGAACAACTGGAACTTCAACCGGGACGAGCAGGGACCTCGCAGCGGAAGTAGATGTGAACAACATGCAGAAGATTCTCCGGCATTTGACAACAACTTCTCAAGCTGTGAATGCCGCGACAGATGACAACGTCAAGCTCTACGACTACTTAGCTGACTACAAAATCGAGGCGACGAAATTGTCTAATCTCACCGCCACGTCCGCTGCCACGATCGCTGCGTACAGCACGTTTTCCACCGTCGGAATGACGTCTTTCATTTACGCCACAGAAGAGCACGGGATTGCGATCGACTCACCGAACGGGTTGGACAATCTGGTGTTGAACACGTATGGACAGGATGTAGATGGTGATAATTTGAAAGCGGTTTTCCGGTTCGTTTTCGCGATTAGTCGGTACTCCGGGGACGGGCCCTATTTAGCGACGGTGACCGCGAACGATACTTGGACAACGGCTTTCACCGCGAAATTCGCAGCGGATTATCCCTGGGTCCAATCGGTGGACTCTATCACCTTTGGGCACGAGACTTTAGCCCCGCAGGTGATGGAGAGTCGGGACAGGAGTCCGCCGAAACAAGATTTCGACACGACAATCACTGGGTTTAGTACTGTCAAGGAGGACAAGCCCTGGTGCGATTATTCGACGGAATCGGGTTCCCCCGGGATGGCGGAGGACGGGACACTCTATTTGGGTAGGAACAGCATTTTCTGCGACGGGCTGCATGATGGTGCTTTGATCGTGAATTACGCGGGATTCTCCGACCCGTTGCTCGTGCCGCCAGACATTGAGATGAAAATCATTGTCCGGGGCGGTTCCGCCGACTCCGCGACCCCTTCCATGATGGAGGTCAGAACATTGCAGCGGGCCTACCAGTGGCTCTGGCCGACGGTGGACGCGACAACTGGGAAAATCACGGAAGACAGAGTCGGGATCTGGAAGTGCGAAGCGAGCCAGTGGTCCGACGGGGTTTGTGATTGCAACTGCGGTCGCGCGGACTGGGACTGCATGGGAGATAAAGGGATGCCGGAGCGGTATGTGACGGAACAGCTGGATAATCCGAACTCCCCCGTTGCGGTGAACATCAACTGCCCGGACGGGGATGAGCAATTAGTCCCGATCCCCGAACTCGCCTCCGGTAGTATGCCGCCGACGTGTGGGCAAATAAAAGCGAATCCGGATGTCTATGCGTATTGTCAGTACAAAACTGGATTACCAACAAGCATCCGGGAGAACGCGTTCACCTATGAACCCGATGGGTTCAACGGCACTTCGATGCAGAAAGCGCCAGACTACTTGAAATACCTCTGGGAAGTCTTGGAGCTGGACTGCCCGCTGATCCAGAACAGGGATATGGGGACTGTGGTCGAGACTTTAGGTGTGACGCAGACGACAGAGAATGTGTATAAAGCGGAGTCGAGAGCAGTGACCGAAAAGTACGTCGACCAGCAGTTGCTCACCATGGACTACGACACCGAGGAGCCTGCGGGCGAGGGGTACAGCATCGACCCGGCTTGTCTCGTTGAGGACGACCCGCCCCCGTTTTGCGCGGGTGGCGCGGTGGAAATCGATGGGACGAAAGTGCAAACCCAGCCGGTGGTCCGGGCGAGGACCGTTTTGACTGCGAATGTGTTTGGCCAGGGGTTAGCCGGTGGGGCAGTGCTCGCGGATGACTTGTTAAGAGATGAGGACGTGATCACCGGCTTTCAAAACGCGTTTTCCACGGCGTTTGGGGTGAAGTCCTACGAGATTCGGATTCTCTCCTTCACGTTGGCAAACCCCAGGCAGCTGTCCGAGCGGTGGAAACGACAGATGGAAATGGTTGATCAGCATGACAAAATGGACTTCGAAAGATTGCTTCCCGCCGAGAAGGAGAACATCGCTCGGATAAAACAAATCAGGAACAGCCAACTGTTGTCCAACCCGGAGGCCGTGAAAAGGAGACGAGAACTATCCACAAACTCCCACACGGCGCAGAAATTGCTAGTGCAGTTCGAAATCGCGCAAAGGACGTATGATCAAACACTCAAACTGTACAGCAAGGTGAAAACCACGCCGACTGCGATGCTGCTGGAAACGTTTCAGGAACATGTTGGTTCCATGCAAGAGGCAAATTCTCTCCCCCAGTACGCGATTTACGTTGCGCCGACGGCGGCCTCGCCCGTAGAAGCGAGGATAAAGCGCCCGGACAACAAAGCGCTGGAGCAGTTGATCGAGGCCAAACTGTCCGGGATGACGCCGGAAGACATTACCAAGCTGAAAAACCTGGTGAAAGACATCCCAGGGTTTGACCAGACCATCTTTGAAGACAGTTCCGCCGGTTCAGCCCCTGGCGGTGGTGCGAATCTGTTCGCCGGGGCGGCGACACAAGCGCCGGCGGCGCCGGCAGCTGCTGGTGGTAGTGCAGGCGCTTCGTCGAATTTCGCGACTTGCTTCGACGAGTGCTGCTTCAAGCCGACAGACGCGGAGATGGCCAGCTGTGCACAGGAAACGTGGAAAATGACCAGCGCGGAATGCTGCCCGAATGGACGGGAGACACGTACTGTTGCTTTTTGTTTTTTGTACTGAGCGTGAGCTTTTGTCATGCGTCAAACGTAGCCTCGTTTTTTCTTCTTTCTATTCTGCGCAGCACAAACTCCTAAATGACCATTTTCACAGGTACCGCCTACACCTCTTACACCGACTGGGGCTACATCTCCCCTTTCGATGACCCGTTTTACGTGGAGCCGGGCAAGTGCTGCTACGGCGCAGAGTCCACCGACTTGGCCACCAGAAACACGTGCTGCACCAACACGGTCGGGTTCCAACCCTGCTGCAAAGCGGATTACCCAAGAAGAGAACGCGTCCGTCGGCAGCTCTCTGTCGGCCCAGGAATAGTTCTTGCAAATCCCGAGTCTGAGCAGCTTTTCTCCGAGCCGCGACTCGCCCGGCCGGACTTGATCAAGTTCAAGAAAATTCAGTTCAGCCAGGAATCCACTGCGTCGTTGAAATCAGTGGAGGAGGCGGAACAGCAAAGAACAGACAGGAGTCTCTACGATAGCACAGGCTCATTGTCCGACTACGCGTACAACTTGGGATTGAGTTCCTACAAAAATGATCCGGAAGGAAGTACTGCTCCAGCAGCTCCTATCGGCGCGCGTCAGGAACATGTTGATCGGAATTCGAAAACGGTCGATGAGTTGTTCAAGCAACTCGCGTCGAAGTACCCGTGGATGAAGGAAGAAATCACGCACATGGACCGGAAAACGCAATCCACGCCAGCCATTCCAGATGCTTTGTCCATGGCGGAGAATCTCCGCGACGTCTATCAAGATAAAGATTTCCTCGCTTTGAACAAAAAACACGGCATCCCCTCTTCCGACCTTCGCTCGCTCGGCGAGGAACTCCCCCACTTCAACCGCCCTTTGACGGAAAAGGAAATCCAAAAACGCTTACTACACGCGGAGCAGGGCAACAATCATCGGAGGCGGTTGCGGGAAGCGGTGTTGAGTGGGGAGCTGAATCTCGAATCGATCTTGGATCCGCAGAGATTTGACAACCGGGACCAGCACGCGACTTTGAAGAACAGCATTCAGCGGGTAAGAGCGGCGCACAAGATGTGGCTGCAATCTGCCGCGGGCCATCAGGCGATGAACGAGGGGCCGGATGAGATTGTGCGGAAGAGGATAAAAGCAACTGGGAGTGACTCTGCGAGTGCGAATTCGAATTCTGCAATTTCTGCCGCGGAGGAGGACAACTCGAATTTCCCTGCTACTGGCGAAAACCAGATGAACCAGCCGTCTTCTTCCGAGCTACGAGATGGGCACGGCAGGCCGGCGCATGATTTGATGGCAAAGCGGAAGAAGCGGGATAGGATCAGGAGCTTCGATCCGAAAACGGGTCGGCCGGGGCGGGTTGATAGTTCCTCTGCGGGGGAGGAGGTGGTGGAAAGGCCCTACTCTGTCGACGACTATGACGAGATGACTGATCCAAACGATGTGGAAGTCACGGAGAAAACGACCACAGCCGAAACCTCTACTACGAAGGAACAAAGACAAAAATACAAGAAAAAACAGAACTACAAACGCACCCCCTCGTTGGAACAGCTCCAAACCGACTGGATGGCGATTGAGCGGGAGTTCACGAAGCGGAACTACCGGCACATGCTGGCGAAAGAAAACGAAGACGTTTTGAACTACAAGTTGAGTCAAGACCAGTGGCGGCAGTTAAACGACGTTGTGGAGGAGTACGCGACAACGATGCAACAGCTTCAGCCAGAAAATTTCGCCGCCACTGCTTCCGCGGGACAAATCAGAAGATTCCTCACCGTCAACAGCACCAACACAACCACTACAACCTGGGTCTTGAACCAGACTGACTGCACGAAGGATTGGACTGATGAATCCAACTGGCCGCCAAACGCACGAATCACGGATGTCCCGCAATGCGCGCATGGGTTATTGTCCCAGGCGCAGCTAGAGCAACTCGGGTTCTTCGACCAAATCCATTTGACCGCGGTCACAGGCGACGTCAAAGAAGCAGTGTCCCAGTTCGCAGCTTCTGTCGCCGCTTTGATCCCGAGCAAGAAGGTGGTTTCCTTTGTCGTGCAAACGATATCGCAAATAAACCTCTTCCGCGACGCCAGTGCGACTTACTTGCCTCGGGACCGGTCGGGCGAAACGCCTCTGGAAACATTTTCGTCTCCCACGATGCTGGATGCGCATGTGGCCATGTTTGTGATGCCGCGGAGAGTGCCGATCGCAGACTTGTGCCCCTCGACCCACATTGCAAACGAGCGCCTCACGAATTTCTTCGGGACCGCACAATCTGCCGACGCCTCCTTTTGGGACAAGCTGACCTTCCACGAGGCGGATAACTTAGCCGTGAAGTCGTGTAAAATTACGCCGTTCAAGGACAGTCCGGGAGGCAACCGGTGCAAAACCAAGGAGCAAATGCAAACCGACTCGGTAGACAGATACCGGCTGTTTTGCATGGAAGATTTTTTACCAGCAAATGTTATGGAATTCCAAGTCGAAGGCGGCTTAACCGGGCACTGGATGAGCCCGGACGTCAGAGCCAGCACAGAATACGAAAATAATAAGCCAGAATACATTCTCGATGTGGAGATGCTGTATCAAATGACGATCGATTCCCAATTCCTCGCAGTCGAGAAAGAGTACAAAGCCGGGCAAAAAGACTTCAAGGACGGCCAACCGAGATTATGGGCCGCGGAAGCGATGGCGAGGGGACGGGCGGTGTGCACCGACGCGATCAAAGGGTGTGCAGAGGGAATCCCCGCGAACCCCCCTATGATCCTTCCCGGGGTGTCGATCCGGGTGAACAAGGAGAAAACGACCAGCATGGTGAAACAGGTGGCGCCCTTGCATTGGCCGTTGACCACGACCCCGCAGTACGAATTGCTGTTGGAGGAATTAGACAACCTCGACTTGGACATCATGCCGGGTTTGCGTCAGTTGACTAGTGCTGAGGACGGTTACATCGGACTTAAGCCGATGACGAAGATTCTGATAAAGCTCGTCTGGCAGGTCAACCCGGTCTACAACGTGAACAAGTGGACCGGGACGATTAAACTCACCAGGTGGCTGAACTCAATTTCCGCTCTGGACATTTCCTTTCAGCAAGCGGACTACACGATGAAGTCCGCGGCGAGTGTGCGTATCATCTTCGAGATCGACGCCGCGAGCCAAAGGTTTCAGGAGTTGCCGCTGCTGTCGTTTAGTGACTTCTTGGCGTTACTCGGTGCGATGGCGGGGTACACGGGGTTGATCGGGTCCGTTTTGTTCCTGTGGCAGAAGGCGTTCAAGCCGTTCGGGTTAGTGGATTTCTACTACGCGGACAATGAGTATGCGAACGTGGTTGACAGGTGGTACGCAACGAAGATGATGCAGCTCGGGTTTGAAGTGCCGGACAAGGAGGGTGAAGGTGACGACGGTTCAGAAGGGAACAAGAAAGACGGCGATAATTCCCCCAAGTCCAAAGACGGGGATTTGAAAAATGCTATTGAGCTTCCGGACAGCTTGATGCAGGAGCACATCGAGAAGAAGTTGAAGGAAGCGAAGGAGCAGGAAGAGCGCATGGCGAAGGAAAAAGCTGAGAAAGACGCTCGAACCACAGCGGAACCGGAACCAGGCACCCCAACCGGGCATCGAACCCCGGATCACGATCAGGAAAACGACCCTTTGCCAGCCATTATGGACAAGCCGCCGACGGCCAGGCCGAGCATGGGCAGGGGCATGACCAGGGGAAACACGATTTCCATGATGAATGCCGATGATGACACGAGCCGGCCGGTAGCCAGGCCGAAGCGGATGGTTTCGACACTGGATGAGCCGGAAGGGATGGAGGACGTGACAAGAGCGACAACCGAGCCGGTTCAACGCAGGAACGTCGCTTCCATGAATATGGGCGAGCGGACCACGAACATGAACCGGGACAGCGAGTTCGGCCTGCAGTGGGCATCTGGGGGGAGGGACAGCTATGAGAGCATTGGCAGTATTGATGAGGGGCAGCATTTCGCGATGACGTCACGGTCAAGAAGCTCAGGCGGATCGAGTCCTTCGGCTGGTTCGTCGAGTTCTTCGCCCTCGACGCAGCCAAAGCGCCCACCCGGCTCCAAAACCGCATCTCCTGGCTCTCCTGCCACTGGTCGGCCCAGTCCCAAAGGCGCTAACGCAAACGCTGGTAATATGGTGTAAAAATCATAAGCACGACGACAATTAAAGTTTTTTCACAGCACGCATTTTTGTTTGAACTACCACTTCTTTTAGATATTCATATTGTACCCCAACCCGGTACTAGTTTTCAAACTGAGTAGCTTTTACAGTAAGTCGTTTCTCCCCCAAAGAAACCTCATCCATGTACAGAGATTCTTCATTGTACAGAGTTCTTTTCGAAGACCTACAGTTTTGTCAGTTCCAGTTGACTGTTTCTACAGTTATTCTACCAAAGAAAGACGCCCACGCTCATGAGAGGTGTCACATTTTTGCGCAGACAAAATCTTCAAAATTAAGTACACCAAAGTAAAAGCTGCACTTTCTCGTCGTAATATTTCTTGCTGAGTCGGATTTTTTGCTTTGATTAGCACAGCCTAGGTCTGCTGCAAAAGCAACTGTAGAGCTTGTGCTTTCTCAGCTACATTCATAGCAGAGTATGCAGAGAAGTCAGCAACTTTTCAATTAGAGTAACAAGAACAACAAAATCATTGGCGTTTCTGAAAAAAACACACACCAACACAAACACACGACATTTGAGTTGAATGCTGTAGAGAAATAGGAAAAAAAAAGCTCGTGACCTCCGCCCGGTTTGATTGCAGGGTGCTTTGTTCGCGCAACTTCTGAGGAAAGAGCGCGGGGATTCCTGTTCGCAAGGCGGGTAGGATGGATTGCGGAGTGAAGAGAGGTCTTCTTTTCATCAGGAAGAGCCTATGTCTGTGCTGGTTGGTCTTTAGAGCGGTGGAAATCAAAAGCGAGAGCGGACTATCAAAGCCATGCGCAACATGATGCACTTACAAAGACTTCAGCTTGTACTTGTAGTGGTTACACTGGTGGACAGGGCGGGAAAACAAGCGCAAGATAGAAGTAGCTCTTGCTCCCAGCACTGGCACCGGGCCATGATATCATCATGGATGTGCTGGCAAGATCATGAAATTCACGTCATGACCACAAAAAACGAATTGTAGCAAGATCGAACGTTTTGTTTGTTGTTTCCGACTTCAGTTTTGGTTTTGTGTTTTCGTCAAAAAGTTGTATCTGATACTGATTCTATTTCTACATTACCGGAAGACCGCAGCCTTCCACTGCTTTGCCCACAATGGTGGAGCACATCAAGAAGTCCCTGAAGCTGTTTCGCAAAGCCGAAGCACCGCCTATTTCTTTCGCCCAGAAGAACGCCGTCTCCACCGCCGGATTTGAAATTTTGGAATCTGAACTCTGTTACCACGTTTTGGGCATTGACGAAACGAACGACATTTTGAACAAAATCCTACAAATCACAAACTGTGCAGGAACTTCGATAAAGAACAGTGGAAGTAGTACGAGCAGCTTCCTCGTTATTCGCAGAAAGAAACCCATCGTCCCCATCCATTTTATGCATGACAAAGACTGGATTTTATGCGTGTTATGCATGACAAATTGGATGGCGACGGGTGTTTTTTCCTGGATACTCGTCGAAGTTGGGCCGCGGCAACAATTCACCTCCGCGCAGAGCACGCACTCGGTGAGCATTGCGAAGGGGTGCGGGCTAGCAGATGTGGAGCGGATCGAAGTGACGAAACGGTTTCTGGTGAAGGCACCAGAGACCTCAAGCGCTGGCGATGGTGCTGCAGCGAAGAAATTTTTCGAGTCCTTGGTCCACGACCGCATGACAGAATGTGTGTACGAGTTTGAGGACAAAGATGCTGCTGCTACGCTGTTCTCCAGCTCGTCTTCTGAAGCGACGACCGACTCTGACACCACAACCCCCTCCACATCTTCCTCCGGTGTCAAATCCATCCGGGTCCTCTCCGCGGGTACAAAGGATGCCGGGATCGCCGTTTTGAAAGCTTTCTCCGAGGAACAGTCCCTTGGTTTTGACGAGAACGACCTCTCCTACTACTACAGCTTGTACACCGAGAATCTGAAACGGGACCCGACCGACATCGAGCTCTTCGACCTGGCGCAGGGGAATTCGGAGCACAGTCGACATTGGTTTTTCGGCGGGAAAATGATGATTGACGGTATTGAGAAGGAGAAAACTTTGTTCCAAATCGTGAAAAACGCGTACAAATTGAAGCAAAAAAACGAGGAACTCGATTGCTCCACCATCGCGTTCGAAGACAACAGTTCCGCGCAGCGGGGTGCGAAGGTGAAAATCCCCCTGCCGCTGGGAGGAAACGGGATGATCTCCGCTCCGTACATATGCAATACAAATTTCCTGTACTCTTTCAAATTGCATGACAACTTGGCTAACTTAGAGTTCGCTGTCTGTCATGCTGAGTAGGATTGAAGGCAAATTTTGTCATGCGGAGACCGCATTGATTTCGATTTGTGTGGTGCGTACGGGAAATTTGCTTTGGATACTACAAATTGACCGAACAGGATTTAGACATCACCCTCACCGCGGAGACGCACAACTTCCCCTGCGGGATCGCCCCTCTTCCCGGTGCGGAAACGGGGTCAGGCGGGCGGATCCGGGACAACCACTCGACGGGCTGCGGCGCGTACGTGCAAGCGGGGATTGCGGGGTACTGTGTGGGGAATTTAGATCTCCCGAAGACGGAGAATTACGCCGGTTGTGTGTGGGAAAAGGAAGTGTTGGAAAAGTGTAGCGAATTGTCAATCTCCGATAAAACGTCGAAAAACGAGCCGCTTTACCCGGAAAACATGGCGAAACCGCTGGACATTTTGGTCTCCGCCTCGAATGGCGCATCGGACTACGGGAACAAGTTCGGCGAACCACTGGTTGCGGGGTTTACCAGGAGTTACGGATCGATCGTCGAAAGTCCTGCTTCAGAAGAAGATGTTGGGGGAAATAAACCCACAACCGAGCGCGTCGAGTGGATCAAACCGATTATGTTTTCCGGCGGTTTGGGCCGGATGCTCCACCGGCACGTGAAAAAACACGAGCCAGCACCGGGGAACCTGATCATCAAAATCGGCGGCCCGGCGTACCGGATCGGGGTTGGCGGTGGCGCGGCCAGCTCCATGGTGGCGGGCGACAACAAAGCCGAGCTGGATTTCAACGCGGTGCAACGAGCTGACGCAGAGATGGCGCGGAAGTGCGAGTGTGTGATCCGGGCGTGCTTGGAATTGGGGGAGAAAAATCCGATTTTGTCCATCCACGACCAGGGCGCGGGGGGATCTGGGAACGTTTTGAAGGAAATCGCGTACCCAGCTGGGGCGAAGATCCAGTTGGACAAAATGTTGATCGGCGACAACACCATGACGGCGTTGGAGCTGTGGGTCGCGGAATTCCAGGAGAACGACGCGTTGTTGATAGACAGCAAAAATCTGGATTTGTTTGAAAAGATCTGTAAACGGGAGCAATTGTCCTTCTCTTGTGTCGGGGAAATCACGGGGGATGGAAAAATCGTGGTCCACTACGGGGAGGAGAAAATCGTGGATTTACCATTAGAAGCGGTTTTGGGGAAGATGCCGCAGAAAACTTTTGTCTCCGACCGGATCAAACCGCGATTCCCCTACCCGATCGACAGTCTGCAACCCCCGCTCCCCTTCTGCGGCACGCCGCCGACGGATGTGCCAGCGAAGTCCCTGGCGGCGGAGTTGGCGGAGAAGGATTCATCTGGTGAAAACATCACGGTCAAACCCTCCCCAACCGCTTCCGTCGGAGCGGCGTTGGATCGCATTTTACGCTTGATTTCCGTCGGGTCGAAGAGGTTCTTAACCAACAAAGTCGACCGCTCCGTCACCGGCTTAGTCGCGCAACAGCAATGCGTTGGACCCCTGCACACACTATGGCGTTCTCAAATGTTACATTCTCAACTGTTACACGATTTTTTGTCATGCAAAATTACACTCAGAATTGACACGATCAAGCTGCTTTGCATGACATCAAATTCTCGAAGAGCCAAACAGGCTGAGAATCTGGGCCGAATCTGTCATGCAAGACGCGCAAGGTCACCCCTTTCACTTTTGCCATTCTTGCATCACAAATTTATGTAATAGTTGAGAATTATGTAACAGTTGAGAACGCCATACACACCTCTCGCGGATTGTGCGGTCGTGGCGCATTCCCCGTTAACGACGGACGGCGCTGCGGTTTCGATCGGGGAGCAGCCGCTAAAAGGTCTTTCCGGGACCATTTCCGACCTCCAGAAGCAGGCGAAACTCACTGTTGCGGAGGCAGTTTTGAATCTCATCGGCGTACAGATTGAAGGTGGGTTAGACAACGTCCGCGCAAGTGGGAATTGGATGTGGCCGGCGAAGTTTCCCGGCGAAGGGGCGCGAATGTACGACGTGTGTGAGGCCCTGTGCAGCTCTATCGAGTACCTGGGCCTCGCAATCGACGGCGGGAAGGACTCGTTATCCATGGCGACGCGAACGAAAACCAACGGCGTCGTGAAGTGCCCGGGGGAGGTGGTCTTAACCTGCTACGCGAAGGTGCCGGACGTGCGGAGAAAGATTACGCCGGAGTTCAAGAAGGCGGGGTCACGGATTCTCTTTGTGGATCTCGGGATGGAGAGAATCGATTCCAGTTCCCCTTTGGTGAAGGGGGAAATGAAGTGGAAGTTGGCCGGGACGGCGCTCGCGCAGGTCTACGACTGGAACGTTTGCGGGGCGTGCGATGTGGATTTGGAGAAGTTGAAGAAGGTTTTTGAAATTTTCCAGACGGACAAGGTGTTTGACAAAATTCTTTCCGTCCACGACATTTCCGACGGTGGGTTTTTGACCTGTTTGCTGGAGATGTGTTTCGCGGGGAACTTCGGGGCGGACGTGAGTGTGAATTGCTCAGAATCGGAGGTAAGATTTGGAATTGAAGATGCGGGTGCATGATTTCTCTTGCAGTGTTGTGTAGTAAGCATGCTTGAAGTCAGAATGCTCGTTGAAATGCAAAAATATAAATAGATACATCAAATTCATCGTCATCTCATCAGGCCCTCGGTTTCCTGTTTTCCGAAGCACCCGGTCTACTCCTCGAAGTTGACGACGAAGACGCGTTTGAAGTCATTGACGCATTGAACGCCGTCACGGTTGGAAGAACATTAGAGGACGACGTGATCATCGTTAAAACGACGCGCGAACAGGAGCTGCTCCCCGCAACCTCCATGCGCCAACTCCGCGACACCTGGGAGTCCACTTCGTTCGAGTTGGAGAAGCAGCAGTGCGAGAAAACCTGTGTGGAAGAGGAAAGGATGGGATTGCTGACGAGAACCGGACCGAAGTTCAAAATTGATAACTTTGAGAAGTTGGATTTCGACTTTTTGAAGAAATCAACCGACGAATCGCCGAAAATCCCCGTCGCTGTTCTGCGCGAAGAAGGTTCCAACGGGGAACGGGAGATGTCCTGGGCTTTATCCGCAGTCGGTTTTGAGCCGTGGGACGTCACCATGTCTGATCTGCAATCCGGAAAGATTCAACTGAACCGGTTTCAGGGTGTGATTTTCGTCGGCGGTTTTTCTTTCGCGGACACGCTCGGTTCCGCTACCGGCTGGGCGATGAAAATCAACTGTGATGAAGCGTTGAAGAAGCAGTTTGATTTGTTCAAATCCAGACCCGACACGTTTTCCCTGGGAATTTGCAACGGGTGCCAACTCATGAGCCAACTGGATTGGCTCGGGCAGGGGGTAAAACTGAAGCACAACAAATCCGGCCGGTTCGAGTCCCGGTTTTGCTCGGTGAAATGCTCTTTCCAAGAAGACGCACCGGAGGAAACAACGAAGACGAACTCTGTTTGGTTAGACGGGCTGACTGATTCGGTTTTAGGAGTTTGGATTTCCCACGGGGAAGGGCAGTTTGAGATTGAACAGGAGGGCAACGCTGTTGGTGAGAAGTGCAAGCCGTGTTTCTCCTATGTGGACGACGAGGGGAAGCCGACGGAGACGTACCCGATGAACCCGAATGGGTCGAAAAACGGGGTTGCTGGTGTTCTCTCTTCCGACGGCCGGCATTTGGCCTTCATGCCGCACCCGGAGAGGAGCTTCATCTCCTGGCAGGTTCCGATCAACAACTGTGGCGGCATGCCGACCATCGCGTCCGAGGTGAATGAAAACGTGAGCTACACACCGTGGGTGAAGTTGTTCCGGAACGCTTACGAGTGGGCTTTGAAAACGAGGAAAGCGGAGGCTGGTTGTGAGAAAAAATCGCTGCTGCAGATCATCTCGGATTCGGAGATCCCATCTCCGACGAAAAAGGCCGGTTTGATTGCCACCAGTCCGGAGTCGGAGAACGGTGCGATTGCGACTGGAAGACTAGCAACCACAACTTCGATCAAGCGATTCTACGAGAAAGCGGACGAAATTTCTGACGTAGATGCGCAAGTTGCAGTTGCGGCACCTCCGATCCTCCGCATGGCTGTCCTCCTCTCCGGTTCTGGTACTACCTTGCAAAACATTTTGGACAAAATCGAAGACAAAACCCTTCCCTCCTGCTCCGTTTCCGTCGTCATCGCTTCGCGGAAAGACGCGAAGGGAATTCAACGGGCGGAGAAAGCTGGGATTCCGGTCCATGTTGTGGAGAGCAGGAAGTACAAAGGAAATGCTACAGATGAGGATAAATGGGAAAAAATGTCGCAAGACGTGATCGAAATCCTCAATTCCAACTACCAAGTCGACTTGATCGTCCTCGCCGGCTACATGTGCAAATTCCTCATTCCCGAACAACTTCAGAACAAAGTGATCAACGTGCACCCGAGTTTGCTCCCCGAGTTCGGCGGGAAGGGCATGTACGGCGATCACGTGCACCAAGCCGTTTTGGACAATAAAAGAACCGAATCCGGCTGCACGGTGCATTTTGTCACGAACGGGGGGTATGACGAGGGGCCGGTGATTCTGCAAAAAATCGCTTCGGGGATCGATCCGGAGAAGGATACTTGTGTCACAGTCCGGGACAAAGTCCAAGCATTGGAGCGGAAAGCCTTGATCCAGGTGATTAAGTGCTGTTCGGACCTCGGTGTGGAAACGGTGGCTAGTATCGTCGCGGGGGAGCAGGGAATAGCTTCCAAATCTTCTTCCAAACAGCCCGCTTCCTCCATCTCCACGAAGGAACCCACCACCGATTCTGAAGCGGCTCCTTATCAAATCGGGAAATCCACAACGGAAATCGCGGACGACCGGCCCAAACACGAGTATCCTGTGCAAAAGTATCGTACTCGTATTGCAATCATGCGTTACAAATCTTTTTCTTGAGGCAGATCAGCATTACAAATTTTATTTCTCATGCTGAGGAAATGGAAATCAAATGCATTTATACGAGTGCGATACTTTTGCAGTTCATAACGAGTGCGGGATCGCGATGATCAAACTACGGAAGCCGCAGGAGTACTACCAGAAAAAGTACGGCATCGACAGCAAGGTCGGGGTGGATTTGATGTATGTCATGCTCGAGAAGCAACGGAACCGGGGACAGGACGGCGCGGGGATTGCCTGTGTGAGAACCGACGCGGATCCGGGGGAACCATACGTCGATGTGTGCAAATCCTGCGACAAAAACGCGATTGAACATCTGTTCGAAACCACGGTGCCGGAGTCGCAGAAGTCATTCGTAGGTGAGTTGTATTTGGGACACGTGCGGTACGGGACTTTCGGTTCTCACTCCATTGACCAACTACACCCCTTTTTGCGCGAATCCAATTGGCGGAGCAAATGCGCGCTACTGGCCGGGAACTTCAATTTGACGAATTCCGACTACTTGTTCGACCGTTTGGTCGAGTCCGGCCAGCACCCACGGGCGAAATCCGACACGGTGACCTGCCTGGAGATCATCGGACAGGAGCTGGACGCGGAGCACAACAGAAGGTACGTGAACTTTAGCTCGCAGGGACATGTCGCGAAGAAGTGTCAGGAGCTGGTGGAGGAGAATTTGGACTTAGGGTTCGTCTTACAGGAAGCAGCGAAGGACTGGGATGGCGGGTTTGCGATGGTCGGGACGCTTGGGACGGGAGATGCGTTCGCAATTCGGGATAGGCACGGGATCCTATCCAGGAAAAAACAAGCATCCTCGTGCATTTTAGGCATGACAAACACAGGACTTCATACATGTGGCGCATGACAAATTGGATGGGGATGGTCAGTTCCTTGTGGATAGATCCGGCCGTGTTTCTACTGGATGGACGAGGAATTCATCGTGGTGGCGAGCGAACGAGGGGTCATTGCGAGCGCTTTTCAGGTAGATTAGAGTGCAGCTTCTGCTACTTATGCTAAACATCAACATGACAACTGGTCGCGCTGAGTAGCTGCATGACAGACCTTTGTTTTTCCAGGTCTCACTTCTTGATGTTGAAAGTCAAACTCGATCACGCTCTGATCAACATTGTGCGATTACTTTCCTCCGCATGACAACATCAGGTGAAAGACCATGCGGAAATCCACGAGCTAACCCCCGGGCACGCGCTTCTTATGCACTGCCACGCCCGTGATCCCGCCATCTTTAAAAATGTCTCAGAAATGGCCTCGGGAATGTAAGGCGGAGGCAATTCCCACAACGCCGGCGCCCCTCATTGTGGTTGCAGGGAAGAGGGGCACACAAGGCGTCGAGCCGGGCCATCGCAAAGCAGCTTCCTCGAGACGCGGCGCCCGCTGCCGTATTTGGCGCATTTTTGTGGCGCGCAATGCGGGCCGCGGCTGGCGTTGACGTTCGGGCGCCGCCCGTTTGCCCCTTATCCCTTTGCCGGCCTCCCCTTGCATATATGGACGCGAAGTGCCGCAGCGCCACACTTGTGTCGGGCCTATCTGTGCCCGCTTTCGTTTTGTCGCAGGCGCGCCGGCGTCTTGTCCGCAGCCCGGTTCGAAGCATTGCAGGCGCCCCGTCTGCCCCTGCATTTCCGCCGCCCCGGCGGTTCAGTGCCTGCTCTGACAGGTTGGGACCTTCAGCGGGGCTGCCTCTGTAAGAAGGCAGTGTGCTGGCCTTGCCGCTGTTCCTTTCTTTGTTTCTGTGGCAGCCAGGCACGGGCCCGGCCTTGCTTTCTGCGCGGCGGACTGCTATTCTGGCCCTCCTCCCTTGTGGGCGGCAGGCACGGCCGGCCTCACCCGGGAGGGCAAGCAACCAACTGCCGGCCTCCCATTGGTTGGCCGCCTGCCGGCGCCGCTTGGCCACAGCCGGGCGCCTCGTCAGCCCATTGTCGTGGCGCATTGCTTTCGCACGCGCAGGCGCGCCCCTTGGCGCGAGGGGGATGCTGCCCTGCTTCTCTAGATCACAGACAGGGCCACCGTGTCACGCGCGTGACACGGGCGGACCCGGCTTCGTTTTTTCTCGTCTCTTGCTGGTCTTGGGTGGTTTGGTGGCAAGCAGAATTGCTTCAGTCAGTTTCCCTTCGCTTCTACCGCCAAAGCCCAGGGGACTGCCACGTGTGTGCGTCTATGATTGGCATCCAAGGCAGTCTTGGACCTGGGGCGAGGGCCTGCCTCAGCCCGCGAGCCCTTCCTGGCTTCTGCCAGCCGGACCGGCCGCCGGCCGACAACCAGGCAGGCGCCCCCGCGCGGGCCGTGTTGGCCTTGCTTGGATGCAAGTGCCGGCGAAGGCGTTGCAGCGGCTTCTAGGCAAAGCCGAAACGTATGAAGTTAATGGGGCTGCTGAACTCATTGGCGCAGCCACTGGCGCCATGTGTGGCGCCGCTCCTCTCCCTCGGCACGACTTAGGCACTCCTTCACCAACGAGAGCGGCGGCCAGCAGCCGGATGAAGCAGCAGCCGCCGGAGTTCGCGAGCGCGGCCCCAAGACCCAGAGTCCGACGATGATGAGCGTTGAGGAGCTTCAGCGCCCCGATTACAGCTGGCCCTTTGTGGATATTGCGTAGAGCAAAACTCTATTTGGCTTGTGGAGGCCACATGTTGTAAGCTATTTGGCTTGTGGAGGCCACATGTTGTGAATCAGAATCAGAAACGTCGCGAATGAGAATCAGAATCATGGTGAATCTGAATCGGGCTACGGTAGTAAAAAGATCGCGAATGAAGCGAAGAAAATTGAAAGGACCGGGCCAAGAAAGTAGGCAAAAAAAAAGGCCAAAGCGAAGCCACACGCGCTGCCGGGTGCCGCATTTCTGTAAAGGGAGGAAAAATGCCGAGGCCTTCGCATTTTTTTCTTTGGGGAAAAAACCTGAGAGCTTTTGCATTTTTTTCCTTCAGGGAAAAACCTAAAAAAGTTCGCGCGATTTTCTATTACAAAAAAACCAAAAAAGCTGCGCGCGATTTTCTACTACAAAAAAACCAAAAAAGTTGCGCGCGATTTTCTACTACAAAAAAAGAAACCCAAAAAAGTTGCGCGGGAATCCCCCCTCGAAAAAAACCAAAACCGAAGACGGGCCATTTTCTCTGCCTTTCCCCGATGGCATGAGGCCGATCAGGCCGGCGATTTTTCACATTTCTGGCCTTTAGAAAATCGCGCGCAGCTTTTTGGGTTTTTTTGTAATAGAAAATCGCGCGCAACTTTTTTGGTTTTTTTGTAATAGAAAATCGCGCGCAGCTTTTTTGGGTTTTTTCTAGAAGAAAATCGCGCGAACTTTTTTAGGTTTTTCCCTGAAGGAAAAAAATGCAAAAGCTTTCAGGTTTTTTTCTGAAGGAGAAAAATGCAAAAGCCGCGAAATTTTTTCCCCAATAGCAGAAATGGCGCCACGGTTTTCCGCGTTTCGGCTTTTTCTGGTGTTGCTTTTTTGCGGGTTTCGCAGTGCCCTTGCTGGTTTTTTTTCAGCTTTTCAGGATGCCCCTCATTCGTCTCATATATTCGGCAAGAATTGCCGCGCGGATCAAGTTCATAACGATCGCCACAGCGACCCGAGAGTAAGGGAACCGATGGCAAATCCGTCCGAGATTGATGCGACCGATCTCGGGCGCGGGCCGTTGCGCCGTGGCGAACGAGTCCGACCCTGTGAAAAAGATGCCTTTGCGTGAAGGCTGCAAAGGCTCAAAATTTCTGCGAAACTGCGAAGAAGATCCGCGGCGCGGCAGTATTGCCGTCTTTTCCGGTGTTATGTTGCAAGGCCGCGGCATCTCCAGAGCAGTTGCGGAGTGATCTACAGAGCAGGCCCAGAGCGCTCCTCGCGCTTTTGATATCTCGGATGGATGTCCTGCAGAGCACGCCCAGGCCGATTGCTAAGACTGGGCACGTGAATACTGTCGGCCGGTCCGACGGAGGGGGGCCGGAATGGGCGGCCGGCGCTTCGGGCAGTTCTTCGGGATTTGGGCGCGGCCAGTGAGCACGCAGCGAACGAAGGGGCGAAGAACTGTGGCGGGCGGAGAGTCCGGCGCAGGGTTGTGCAGGTTTTTGCGGGTAAAGAGTAGGGCTGTGGAAGCCCGGCCGGCCCGGCCGCCGGGCTCAGGATGTTTGTAGAAGCTTCGCGCGCCGCAGCTGTCGCGTGCGACCTTGGCCGGCGACACCTACCGCACTGCTTTGATGGTAGGCGGCCCGGTGTGTGCCTTTGCAGGGGCAGGCCGCTGGCCCGGCGCGCTACCTAGCTGGGCACCCAAGGCAAGGCCGCCGATTGGGGGGCCTGGGGAGGGTTGGGCCCGGTTTTTCTTTCTTCAGGGAAATCGTATTGGGGGGAAGAAGCCAGGGCCCCTCTCGGTTTTCCCCAAGGAAACCTGCTTGGCGTGTTTCTTACAAGCGCACAAGCAAAGGCGCGCCGGCGCGCTGGTTTGTATTTTCGCAGAAAGAAACTAGGAAACACGGCCCGCGCAACAGACGCAGGCCGCGGCGCGTGCTCGGACGGGCGGGCCGCACTGTGTGGGCCGCGCGCTCGCATGCGCGCCCTGTCAGCCGGCCACCAGCCGTCGCACGGATTGCCAGCCGGCCACCAGCTTTGCGCGCTGGGCGACCACCTTTGTCCTAACCAGCGCGCAACACCCTCCGAGGGGCGCTCCCCGTTTTTCCGAACCGTGGCGCCATCGTGTCACGCGTGTGACGCGAGCGGCATGCGCTTCAGTTTTGCAGCGTGGTGGCGTAGGGCGCGCGCCCCGGGGGTTCGCCGGGTCTGTGGTTTTGGGTCTATATCTATTGCCCGCGCCCAATCTTCGCGCCGGCCGGCGGTCCGCCAATGTAGGTCGTCCAGGACGGCGCAGATAATTCCCGTGGCCCGTCATTCCGCTGCTATGGCGTGCCCATCGTGTCGCGCATCAGTGATGTGCGACGTATAAATGCGACCAAGGCGATGACTCCGATGCGCGGCGATATATGCAAAGTCGGGACATTTCTGAGCAGATTCCTGGAGCATTCCTGAGGCATTTCCAGACCCCCTCTGATCACGGGCGGTCCGTGCGTAAGCTTCTCCTAAAAGCCAACGAGCAGAATTCTCTCCCCATCGAGCGCTGCATTTTGCAACCGGAAACTCCAAGAAAGTGCGTCTTTGAAAGAATCTACTTTTCAAGGGCCAACGACCCGGACATCTACAGAGAGCGGCTCGCTCTCGGTCGGGAGCTAGCCGCGCCGGTCCTGGACTCCATCGCGAACTGCTGGGAAACTTCGGTTTTGAATTTCGTTCCCAACACGGCCGAAATCGCTTTGACCGGTTTGTCGATCGAGATTAACAACTTGATCTGGCAGCGGATGAAGTCTTCTAGTCCAACCAACGCGGAATTCGGGTTCAACTTCTCGAGCAACACAGCATCGAATGCGACAAACAGCTCCAATTCCATCAACCAACGACAGCAGTGCCAGATCCCGGTGGAAAAACTGATTTTCAAGGACGCGAAGCTCCGAACGTTCATCAGCAAAGACGAGGGCAGGTGTCAACTCGCATCTACCGCGTATGAGATGACGCCGGGGATCGTGAAACGGGGGGAGACGACTTTAGTGACGATCGACGATAGTATTGTCCGCGGGACTACGCTGAAGATGTCGATGATCCCGAGATTAGACGCGTTGCAGCCGAAGAGGATTTTATTCGTGTCTTCCGCACCGCAAATCCGGTTCCCGGATTGCTACGGGATTGACATGAGCAGACTGGACAATCTAGTCGCGTTCCGGGCGGCAGTGGAACTGTTGAAAGATAAGAAAATGGAGCACGTTTTGGAGGAAACCTACCGGAAATGCGTCGAGACGCTCCGGTCGACTGAAGAGGAGATCTACAATCAAAACAGCAGCTTTTACCAACAACAGATTTCCGGCGGCAGCTTTTACAATCACGTGAAGGACATTTATTCTCCGTTTAGCGAAGAGGAAATATCCGCGAAGATCGCGGAACTCGTCACGGACAAGGATATCAAAACGCCAGTCACCATGCTGTACCAAACGGTCGAGGGCATGCGCCGCGCGATTCCGGACTCGACCGGCGATTGGGTCTTTACCGGCGATTTCCCGACGATTGGGGGGATTAGATGTAGTTTGCAAGCGTTCGTGAACTTCTACGAGGGGAGGCAGACAAGGTCTTACTCGACCCGCGGGTCGGAGCGGGAGCAGGTGGTGGTGATTGGGTCTGGAGGGAGGGAGCACGCTTTAGCCTGGCGCTTGTCCCAGTCGAAGCAGGTGAAGAAGGTTTATGTCATTCCGGGGAACGGAGGAAGCGGTCGGAAGATTCTCAACGTAGGATCTGATGTTCCGATCAACAGCAAAACCGACTTCCAGGAATTGCGGGATTTCTGCAAGCAAAAGCAAATCTCTTTGGTCGTCGTTGGCCCGGAGCAACCTTTGGTTGATGGCATTACGGATTCATTGACGAAAGAGAAAATCCTAGTTTTCGGTCCGACGAAGAAGGGCGTGATACTCGAGGAATCCAAAGCGTGGTCGAAAGATTTCATGAAGCGGTGGAACATTCTATCCAGAGTTTTTCCCGTACACGTAAACGTTATCACGGGCGCTCCTGGATGGCGATGGGACCCAATCTGAAATTATCTCCGATTTTTTTAAGATTTTTTTTTTCAAAAAAAAATTTTGCTTCGATAAAATGCTGCACGCCCGCCCTGCCAAAGCCGGGGAGCCTTTGCTTGGCGCGGCGGCGGTATTCCCCGCGAGGCGCATCGCCTGTTCTAGCGCATAGAGCCCGCGCGATTGCGCGGCGTCCTAAGGCACAGGCGGCATGACACGCTGCGCGCTGCTTCCCTGCACTATGCTGCGCGAGCTCTAGGTGTCACGCCCCGGCCCCCATTCTCCCTAGCGGTTTTTAAGTTGCCCGCGCCGGCCCTGCGAGCGGGCGTCCCGCCTAGGTGGGCGCCGCTGATACCCTGAGGGCAACGCAACATTGGGCACGCACCTGCTGCGCGCACCCTGACGGAGCCCTAAGTAGCCGCCTCGGGCATCTTGATTGTCCCTCTTTTTCCCCCTCCTTATCCGCAGACCAAAAGGTCTAGAAGGAAAAAGCTATTTTGAAGAGCCGAAAAAAGATATTTTGGGAAGCCAAAAAAAGATATTTTCGGAAGCCGAAAAAAGATATTTTGGGCGACGCCTTTTTGGCCAGAAAGTGTCGCGGAAAGCTCCGCGGAAGTATCTCGGAATATTTCCAGAAATATCTCCCGAAATATCTCCATAGCATCGGCGCTAAAATAACTTTTGAGATAGTTTTTTTTGCTTTCCTCGTCGCTCGCGGAGATATTTCGGGAAAATCCGGAGATATTTTGGGAGACGAAAAAAAGATATTTCGGAAGCCAAAAAAAAGATATTTCGGAAACAAAAAAAAAGCTATTTTTGGCCTTCGTCTTTGTTGTCCGTCTTTGCTAGAAGAAAACCCCCCGATTTGTGAAGGCGCGAACCCACCAACCCACCCACAGACAAAGGCCGGGGGCTGATCGCTTGTCGCTTCCTTCTCAAAAGATGCGGCGCCGCCTTCTCAAAGCAATGAGGGGCCACTGCATGGGCACCCACATGAAAAGCCCTAGGCAATGGCAGGCTTTTGGGCCTCTTCGAGAGGATGCGTGAGCAGGCTGCGGCAAGCTCTTGGGCGCCTAAGGTCCGGCGACCTGTGATCTAGCGGCTGTGATCGAGTGAAGAGCCGCGCGAAACATCCTGCCGACGCCCGCGGTGTGGCCGTGGGTTAGGGAGCGAGGGCCGGGAACATTCAGGCCCAGAGCACGCCCCACTGCGCTAATAGATGCTGGAGAGGGCACAAAGCCGGCTGCCTCCAAAGGGGCAAAAAAAAAATTTTCAAAAAAAATATCAAAAAAACGGACGAAATCCGGACGAAATTTTTCATCAGCTGCGCCGATTGTCCAGTAAAGATGCTGTTTCTGCATCACAAAACTTTCCCTCAACATTCTTCGTTAGCTTGACAAGTTCAGATGAAGTTCTTGGAAACTCCAAAGTGGCGGAATTTGTCATGCATTTTGTACATGTGCGGAAAATTTGCATTGCATACATTCCAACAGCGGAATACGAGATTTTCCGACGGAAAGAAGGAGAAGAAGGTCTGGAACACGGGAAGAACTACATCGACAAACACTGGCCAGTAGTAGTGAAGGCATCTGGCCTAGCCGCGGGGAAGGGAGCGATCGTGCCGAAATCAGTTGAGGAGGCGAAGGAGGCGCTGACTGGGATGTTGATGAAGAACGATTTCGGCTCTGCGGGGGAAGAAGTCGTGGTGGAGAAGATGCTGCCGGGAAGGGAATTATCAGTCCTAGCTCTCTCCGATGGCAAAAACATCAAAATCTTACCATTAGCGCAGGATCACAAGCGCGCCTTCGACAACGACGAGGGGCCGAACACTGGCGGCATGGGGGCGTTTGCGCCCGTGAACGACATCTCTTCGGGTTTATTAGAGCGGATTAAACAGACCTGCTTAACCCCCTGCGTCGACGGGATGCGGGAGGAGGGGAGGCCGTTTGTAGGGGTTTTGTTCGCGGGCTTGATGTTGTCGGGGGATTTGCAGGACGAAAGCAAAACGGTTATCAACGTCTTGGAGTACATATGAACTGGAAAAGTATCGTACTAGTATAAATCGCATTACAAATTCCCCCAGCATTACAAATTGCATTTGTAATGCTGGTTTACCTTGAGAATCGGATTTGTAATGCATAAACGCAATTACTACGAGTACGATACTTTTGCACGGGATATTACAACTGCCGATTCGGGGATCCGGAAACGCAGGCGGTGATGTATTGTGAGGAAAAATCCCCCCTCCCCATAGCGAAAGCGGAATTTGTGTTGCTGTATTTGAGTACACAAATCACATCTGTCTTGCTAGAGTGGACTGCAGACCCATATCAAGCCTGAGCAGAGATGCTTTGACTTAGGCGCTTAGCATGAGAAGCGTCCGTGATGTTGGCTCAACAGCATGACAAACCGCCTCCATAATGGGACGGAAGCTGCTGCCCTTGTCTTCTTGCAACACAAACGTGATTTGTGACCTCAAATCAGCAACACAAATTTTCGAAAGCCTACCCCTTCAATATGGGGAGGGAGGATTTTTCCTTGCGATATGATGCCGCTATTAGAAGGGGATTTCTACCAGGCGTTGGTTCTCTGCTGCCAGGGACGCCTGGATCAGGCGGCGTTGGTGGTTGCGAAGGGGTACTGCGTGTCCGTTGTCGTCGCGTCCGGCGGGTATCCGAATAGTTACGAGAAAAACAAAACGATTTCCGGGTTGGAGAAGTTGACGTCGATGCCGTCCATCTGGACCTTCCATGCCGGGACGAAAGTGGTGTCAACGTCGAATGGATCTACTTCCGGCTCCGCTTCCACCACGGCATCGGAAGCCGCGGTTAGCCGGGAAAACTCGAAACAGAGCAACACCAGTCCCAACGCGTCTCCGACCACATTTTCCTCTTCTGTGAACACCCACCAGAACAAGCAGAAGAACACGGAGACTGTGACGTCCGGCGGCAGGGTTTTAGCCGTTTCTGCTCTTGGCCGCACTTTAGAACATGCTATCAAACTCGCGTATCTCGGGGTGGAGCAAGTGCAATTCGAAAACGCTTTCTACCGGTCCGATATCGCTGCCATGGGCACGAGGCAGCACCGGTTCATCACACCATCTTGCGGAAGTAGCTCCTCTGGAGCTTCTTCTAGCAGTTCCGGTGCGAATCAGCAACAGAAATTGACCTACAAAGCGGCGGGGGTCGATATCGACGCCGGGAATGCGTTGGTTGAAAACATCAAACCGTTTTTGAAGCAGACGGCAATATCAAATGTAAAAATGTCTGGGTCTGGAAACTTGTGATGCTGGGTGGCGCATGATGGGGAGGCCACAAATGCTGGCTCAGCATGACAAGTTTCTGAGCTTCTAGGTGTTGCCTATTCTGCATGACAAACTGCGTTCCTGCATCACAGAAAATGAAAAGCGGAGCTCTTGCGTAACGTGCATGACAGATTTAAGAGTCATGCCAGACAAACATGACAAACATGAATTCTTCCAGACCCAGACATTTTTACATTTGATAGGCAAGACCGGGCTGCGAATTCGGCAAGGAATTATCCTTTGGCGGCTTCTGCGATTTGAAATCGGTGAACTACAAGGACCCAGTCCTAGTTTCCGGGACGGATGGGGTGGGGACGAAGTTACTCATCGCGAACAATCTGAACAAGCACGGCACGATCGGCATTGATTTGGTCGCGATGTGTGTCAACGACTGCTTGGTTCACGGTGCGGAACCGCTGTATTTCCTAGATTACTTCGCTATCCTGAGTAAAAACGTCCCCACACCAGAGTCAGGATGGGGATTTTGCAACACAAACCTAGGAGTTTTGTGAGTCACGCATGACAAGTTGCACTCCGCAGTGTAGTGCAGGTCAGCAAGTGCAGCCGCATCGCAGATTCATCTGCTCATCCTGTTCACAGCATCACAAATTCCAAAACACGATTGGAAATGGCTCTCATGGGGATGCGCATTACAAGTCTTCCTGTCTTTGCAAATCTGCATTACAACTCTGGCGTGGGGACGTTTTTACTCAGGATATTCGCGACCGGGAAGTTATCCGTCGAGCAAGCGACGGAAGTGATCAAGGGGGTGACGATCGGGCATGAATTGCAAAAATGTCTGGGTCTGGAAGATTCCAACTTGTCATGGTAAATCTGAAGCATGCGAAAATCTGTGTTGCATGAGTGCCAAAAGCTGTACACTTCTGACCAAGTTGGAGGGGAGTTTCTCATGCAGGATAGGCATGGCAGAGACCTCGCAGAGTCTGTCATGCTAAGTCCCGCACTCCAGACCTCATGGGCCATGGAAAATCTGCATGACAAGCCTACACTTTTCCAAACCCAGACACTTTTACATTTGATATCGGGTGTAAGCAGGCGAACTGCGCATTGATCGGCGGGGAGACGGCGGAGATGCCGGGGTTGTACAGTCCTGGGGAATACGACGTCGCTGGGTTTTCCGTCGGGATTGTGGAGAGGAGTAAGATTCTGCCGAGAACGAGCGAACTCAAACCGGGGGTTTGCATTTTAGGCTTGGGCTCGTCCGGCGTCCACAGCAACGGATTATCGTTAGCACGGAAAATCGTGTCTTCCACTTTGAACCCGGAGACCGCGAAACCGTTCACGTTCCAGGACCCAGCGCCCTTCGACCCCTTGATGTCACTGGGCGATTACTTGCTGTTACCGACAAAAATCTACGTGAAGCAACTGCTGAAACTCATGCAGGAGGAGAAAATTCTGGCCGCGGCGCACATCACCGGCGGGGGTCTGTTGGAGAACATCCCGAGAATTCTACCGGACAACATTGACGCGAAACTCTCCGCGGCGAACTGGACTTTACCCCCGATTCTGCACTGGCTGTTCTCCTCCGGCGGGTTGGACCCCATGGAAATGGCGCGGACGTTCAATTGCGGATATGCATTGCAAAAGTATCGCACTTTGTGCAAATAGCATCACAAATTTCGGAAAGAAGATGAAAACTTGAAGTAGAAGAAATAGAATTTGTAATGTCGTTTCAGGTTCGGAAAGAGTTTTGACATGCATGACTGCAAAAATTACTACAATGAGTGCGATATTACTCTTGCAATGCATATCGGCATTGGGATGGCGATCTTCGTGAAGCCGGAGGACGTGGACTACGTGAAACTGACTTTGAAAAACGAATTTAACGAGAGTGTTTTTGACATCGGGAAATTGGAAGAAGGATGCGGCGAGGTGCGGTTGCAGGACGCGGAATTGGCGTGGCAAAATGAGAAAGGCGTTGATGTAGGGAACACATCGACGATGGTTTCCCCGGACATGGGCTTCGTGGGGGCGTGAAATTGTATTTTTTGGAAGATGAGGAAAAATATGTCCTCTGTGAGTTGTGGAGCACTTTATTTTGTACGTTTCTTTTTGATTTCGTAAATTTCTTTTCTGGAAAAGTTCATCTTCAGCCTTATTCTCTTTGTTTTCCTCGTTCCTTGAGTTTCTTTTGGCTTTTCCAACAGAGAAATATTTTAGTTGCAGAGTTGTCTCAAAAGTGCTCTTCGCTGCCTACTAGTTTTCTGAAGATCTATTCACTCGAGCAAAGTTGTGTTGTTTCCGCCTGCGAGCGCGAGAAGTTGAAAGCACTACCGAACGAACTGAACAAGCTTTGACCGAGCCAAAGACATGCTTGAGTCATGCCCAGACAGGACAAAGAAACAAAGAAATTCCTTTTCGAGTTGATATTCCTGTAAAAAAATAAGTAAATAAAGTAGCATCAAAACAAGAGTCACGTCCAGCCTCTTGCTCTTAGGCATAGGCGCGATGGCATTGCAGGATCTTAAAGGCAAAAATCAACAAAACCGCTGCATCTGCAAGTACACACACAGTACCGAACAACCGGCTAGGACGATCTAGCATTTACAAACTCAACTTCTACGCAGAAGCAGGAGCTGCAGCAACTGAGACAGAAAAATCAAGTTTAAAATTGTACCAACGAGACCTGTACCAACTTGCTTGAACTCTTGTACAAATTAGACCGCAGCGCCTTCGCTTGTGCGTAGGCCGTCAGAGCGCCAAGTTCAACGGCTGAAATCAAGCGGTACTCAATATTTATATTATTGTGGTGGGTCTTCAAAAGACTTGGAATGTTGAAGACGAGGCAACTGTGCCTCTGCTTTCACTAAAATCCAACATTAACAGCACGAGATGACGAAGAAGTGTCAGGTTCTTGTGCAGCAGCAATGCAGATCCAGATTTCCAAAAGGAACACCGACGTGCTTGCTCGTAGTTGGATAGTTTTTTTTCTTTAAATTGATATGACGCATGCTCTTGTGGTCGCGAAATTGCGGCGTGCAAAATGCACCGCTCTAATGAGGCATATCTATCACGAAAATATGCAGATTTCGATGTCTTCTTATTTTGTCGCAAGTGCAACCACAAAGGTGGTTAGCTCGAAGTTGGGGCATAACACCAATTGATACTCTCAACAAATCCAAATTAGTTGATTTTGAGAGCGATCTCCGATTTTCCAAATGTACAGTACAAAGTTTGTGTTGCCACCACCTCCATAATCTTCATGAAATCAATGATATTTCAGTGAGGAGGTGGTCAAACTCAAATGCAGCAAATCCGAGTTAGAATCTCTATGGCAGCTTCACATGTGTACATGCCAGAGTCAGAGAAAAGAAAAACCTTGGATTTTTGTGGAAAACAGGAATGAGCATATGATCTACTTCTATTAGAAGGACGTCAACGCCACGACTGTTCTACCTCGCTTCAGCACTGGCACATGGGAAGATTTTAAGGTGACTCAAAAGTAGAACAAGTGTTTCTGTAACAAAGCGCAACTGCTGGATCGCCCTGCCATTGAGCAGATTTTTTGTTTTTTGAAAAGACGATGTTGAAGACGCCCCGTTTAACGGTCCAGATTTTGCTCTCCCGAGCACCTCCTATTGTTGTTGTTTGATTTTCAACATCCTTCCTCCTGTTGGAGGTGCGGGAGACAAGATATTGAAGTTCGCGCTCACGACTTTTGGAGAGCACAACGAACGTGAAAGACAAAGGTCTTGGCGCTCACCCAGGATCACTCTTTGGTCATCTACCTACGCATTTCCAATTTTAGTTACAGCTTTTTGGCCTCCGCCTCTTTTTTCTAGCGGTGCCGTAGATCTGAAAGGTCCAACTATAGAACGATCATGATGCCATTGCTTGATCTTTTATTTGATTTCTATCTTTCCAAACCAACAGCGGCACACCAGCGACCTATATGTTTGCAGCGACAAGTAGTTTTTTACTCCTTTTTACAATGTCGGCCTCGGTCTGTAAGGATAAGCAGTTTTAGGCTTTTATCCTTTCCTCTCTAAGGTCTTTACGCCTTCTTCACTTTCAACGTACATTTTTCCTGCAGGAACAGCACCTATCTAAGACAAAATGGACGTCTCAACCCGATCAATCGCGGAGCTAATCGAGACAAAGCAGTACAAGAAAGCACTGCGAGCGTCCGATCAAATCCTGAAGAAGCACTCGAAACATGGGGAGACACTTTGTATAATTTTTGCATGAATTTGATCGCTCAATGTTGACTTCATGCCGATGCGTAGTTCCTCTTCCACCTCGTCGCTGAGCTTCACAATCGCAAGTCTTACACCAAAAACCACAGGTCTGAAAGGGCTGACGCTCCGATACACGGGGAAGACAGACGAGGCTTACGAGCTGGTGAAATTAGGATTAAGCCTGCACACAAAAAGCTACGTATGTTGGCACGTATACGGGTTGCTGCACAGGCACGACAAAAATTACGTCGAAGCAATAAAATGCTACAGTATAGAACATGATGACTGTGTTGCGCTGCTGCATGATTTGGCATGACAGTCGTAAAGTGTTAGCGTGGTAAACTTTCAATGTCAATAAAACAAATGTAACCTTAGGTTTAGCGTGGTAAACTTTCTAGGTCCTAGCCGCTAGCCGACCACATGGTCGTAGAGACAATGAACCGAAAGAAACTTCCAAGAACTAGAACTACAGGACTGAAATGCAAATGCAACACAGAAAGCGCCCTGAAATTCGAGCCGCACAACCTGCAGATTATTCGGGATCTGGCGTTGCTTCAACTTCACGAGAGGGAATTTCCTGGCGCCGTGGATACCAGGAAAAAGCTTATGGGTATTGCTTAAACTTCCTCAATTTGCAATGCTGAGTTTAGAGTCGGACCTTGTTCTATTCATGCATGTTGACGAGGCGCAGAGACAGCGCATCAACCGTTCGACTTCGACGTGTGGAAGCGCATGATAAAGTAAAAGTTCAAAGCCGCAAACTCGATGAAACAATCACAAAAAACAGAGATGAAGCCCAACAACATCAATATCGTGGGCTACGCAGTGACAGCCCACATGAACGGAAACGCAGCCGGCGCCTTGGAAGCTTTATGCGATCAGTCCAAGCTCGCCGACGATTTCTCTAAGGTGGAGCGATCGGAGTTTGTCCTGTACAAAGCGGCACTGTTAGAGCAGTCAGGGCAGTGGAAGGAACTATTGGAGATGTTAGCGGACCAGGAACAGAAAATCATGGATAAGACGAAATTGCGGGAAATTAGGGGGAGGATTCTGATGTATAGACATTTCATCTTCTTCACTGATCGAACGAGTTTTTCTTTTTCCGTTAGCAGTATGGATGAGCATGACAAAGAAAGTGCGTTGCGGTTCGGGTATCTTTTGGTGCATGACAAAGTGAAAGTGTTGAAGTGGATATCACTATACGATCATCCCAAAAACATCAGGTACTGTGGCAAAATGCAGGAAGCGAATTCGCTTTACAAGGAGCTGTATATGAAAAACCCAGAGAATCACATCTACATCCTCTGCCTGATCGCCACTGACCCGCGATTTCGCGAGTTCTGGCCACCACTACCAGCACCAATAATCATCTCCCCAGTAGCCAAAAAGGAGGAGCCAACATCCGCTTGCCAAAAGGGGTGCTGCGATGTTGAGCCGGCAAAAGCAGTTGAGGCAGCGAAGAAGGAGGATTCTGAGGGCTCAACCACCGCCGGGGAAGAGACACCGAAGGACAAAGATTCTAAGAAATGCGAAAAATCCTCAAGTAGTAGCTGCAACTACGTAAAAGACATCGACTTCTCAACCATCCCGTTTGGCACAGTCCCGACGAGCAACGCACAGGCATTTCCGCCAGAAATGCACCCAGCAGGGTCCCCGGTCTTCGGCTGGCTCTGCCCGGAAAAGAATAGCTTTTTGCAGAAAGCGTGTTACAAAAGAATCGGGAAGCGAATGATGAAGCAGAAAAGGCCATACTTGAGCTTTCCCGTCGGCGGAGAACTGAGTGGGGAGAAACAGAAGGAGCTACTGGAGTACCTCGGCGAGTTAAGAGACCAGAAAAAGTCGGAATCCGCGGAAAGAATAGGACTGTTCTTCCTCAGCGGAACGTTTTTCCAGGAAAAGCTGAAGGTATAGTAGTGCGTGGATTCTTGTACTACCTGGGAATGAATTTTTCAGTTTGCAATGCAATGAGTGCTGGCTACGCCAAGTTTGTCTTGCCACGTACCAAAAGAAATATATTCATCTCAATACTAAACAGAAATTCCTTCGCCCACGGCTGCAGAAGGGATTGCCATCGCTTTTCCGACTGCTGAAGCCCTTTTACTTCTACGACTCAAGCAGATGGAGTCTCATCGAGGAAGCACTGCTGAGCCTGCTAGGTATGAATTTGATATTTACGCTTTTTTGTGTTGCAGATTTGGCATGATGTTGCCCATGAATTGGAACAAGCATAGATGTCGTGCCATGCACAACTACTTCCTCTCTCAGAATTCCAGCATGCAGCTGTTCTTTGATGTAATCGCAAAAACGACATCAACCACAGACCCACTCGAGAAGTACTACTCTTTCGACGGTTCCGATTCTGTCGACAGCACCACCCCCACGTCCCTCCTCTTCCTCTACCAATTAATCGCGGAGCATTTCAACATCCTCGGCGACTTTGGAAAAGCGCTTCAATTTATCGAGAAGGCCATCGAAATGGCGCCAACGCACCCGGAATTGATGATGATTAAGGGCAAGATTTTGAAGGACAGCGGCGATTTGTGGAAGGCCGCGGAATTCTACAACACCGCTAGGGAACTGGACTTGGCGGACAGGTACTCAACGAGAATAAAAATAGTTGTGATGCGCCAATAGATCCTCAGCACGCGCAACGTATAAGGATAAACAGCACACGAATAGTACATGCAGCTTCATCATCATCGCGCGATGAATCCAGTATCAGCCCGAAGAAGAAGCGACAGCTGATCTTTGTGATGCAATACAAAACGTTCAACAGGTATCTCAACACCCGTGCCGTGAAGGCGATGCTGCGAATCGACGACTGCAAGAAAGCGCAGCCAACGATGATTCTTTTCTCAAGAGACAGCGCCGCAGCGGGGGAGGGTGCCACAGAAAAACCAAGCGAGGCAGCGACAAACCTGCACGACATGCAGTGCATGTGGTACTCCTGCGAGGATTTTTGATTTTAGTTTTACGCCTTCAGAATTTTTTTTTTTGCTTCGTAACATACAACATCTGACGCAACATGAGAGCCGTGAGTTGCCATGATTCCCTTTCACACTTACATTTTCCTGTCCCAACCATCGAACTCAGGTATGAAGCCGAGGTTTCGCGCTCCTACGTAAGACAAAAGATCTACGGGCGGGCGTTGCGCTACATGAAGGCGACCATTAGCCATTTCCAAGATATGAACGACGACCAGTTTGACTTCCACAACTACTGCATAAGGAAAAACGGCTTGACAACCTACGTCTCCATGCTCCAACTGCAGGACAAATTGTTTTCCCACAAATTCTACCGCCGAGCCGCGAAGGACATGATCCAGCTCTGCGTTTTGCTGCTAGACATTGGCAAGAAGGGGAGCACCGGAACGAATGTTGGGGGCGGGAAGGGCGAAGCTGGTAGTGCCGAGGCGGAGGATCCAAACAGGGAATTAACCGCTGCGGAGAAAAAGAAACTGAAGCACGCAGCGAAAAGACAAGGGAAGAAGGTGAAGGAATTTGTATTCGTTGTTTTTCCAAGCACAAAGTGCAACGATCTTCCATGTTGGAACGAAACATACATTGCTATCTCCAAGAGTGCACATTTGTCCCTTCACACACGAAAAATTTTCAACGAAAAGCGAAATAATGATAAACTTTATCAGGCTGAAGTTGAGAAGGAGCAGTCGAAACAGCACGAGGCAGCGACCGTCCTTCCCTGCACAGTCGCGAAGTCCGTCGATCCGAACGGAACCGAATACCTCGAGAAGTTCGACCTGCAAAAGGAGGCGCAAGACACCGCGTTGAAACTCCAGAAATACGCTCCGCAAGACCCGCACACGTTTTCGCTCTCTTACCAAGCGTTCTGTCGGCAGGGGCAAAAAGCGATCACCTGCGCAAAGTTGTTGCAGAAGTTGGCGAATTTGGAGAGGAAGATGGAAGAAAATTTTGTAACCACTTGTGCGGACACTGGGGAGTACGAAAAGCTCGAGGCGATACCGTTTCAAACCAGGCCGAGTCGGAACAGTTATTTGCTGTCCGAGGTGTTGCCCTGCTTGACACATTTCGTCAGCAAGTACCTGTCCAATCCGGAATTGAGCAAAGTGGAATTAGATTTGGAGGTCTTAAGGCAGGAGCTGTTCTCCATCCTGTCGGAAGTTTTCGGCATAATAAGCGGGAAGAACGATGTGAAAATCAACTCGGTGGATGATGCGAAAAAGGAGCTGGCGGCGATTGTGTCGAAAATTGAGGGAATGAAGGTCAGCACAATTAAGGAGCACGAGGCGCGATTCAAGATTTGGAAGGCGATGGGAAAATCGAAGGATTTCTTCAACGCGGAGTTGAGGAAATTGAAGAACCCGGAAGGTATGAAGTTTGTTTTAGATTATTTGTTTCTGAGGCTTATTGATGAATGAAATTTGTCGACTAGAGGTGTGGGAAGTTGAAATTTTTGCCAGTACGGGAGACGTCGACACTCACTGTCTATTTTTTCTTCCTCAAGATGATCTTCATTCAATACCGCTACACAAAAATCAGCCTCCTGGGGCCCGTTCGAGCACTTTCAGAAGTTCGAGAGATACCTGGAGATGGACCTTGTTCCGAACGAGTTGGTTGATGAACCCGCCCTGAAAACCTTCGCCGACTCGTGCGCAAAACTGTTTGCGACGCCCCTGAAAATGATGCAGCAGAGTATCATGGACAGTAAATCCTCTCCCGAAGGAAGCGGGAAGTAAACATAGCGGAGCATCGGCGTAATTGCGCACCAGACGCTAACACAACATCCTCTTCGAACAATTTAGAATTACGTCACACAAGACGCAAGGCCAAGAAAAAACATTTCCGATAGAATGCAGCGAAGAACTAAATGCAGCTTGCTATCAAAATCTTTCGAAAACTAACTACATCACCGAAGGTATGATGAGATGATATGGAGCTCCTGTTTACACAATGGGAGATGAAGAATTTTGAGTTATATGCATACGCGCATCTTCTCAAAGTTACTTCTTTCGACAGGATTTGACCCTATTCATCATGGACATAAAAACACAACATAGCACATAATTGATGGCGCCGCATAGAACAATGATTTTCACGTTCACATCATCCAAAGTCGCATGTTGTACTAGTAGATCATGCGAAGTAGTTCTTATGACGCCGCGGAATGGCAGCTACAAGCGGCTTCGGCTTGAAACGAGAAACAGGAAATTGATGGTTGGTTTCAAGAAAAATGAAAATCCAAAATGACGAGGAAAGTAAAATCTTGAACGAGGTGGACCAACACAATTTGTTGGTTTGAATTGTTCGAAACAAAAAAAATAGACATTGCTCATCTCGATCTGCGGACCTTGCTCTCTTGGTCACTTGGCTCGGACTCACATCTGTCAGTGAAAATGATAAATCTCAGCAACAAGATGAAAATCAAAAATGATCAAGGCAAAAAGGCATAATTTTAATTCATCGGTAGTTGCGAATTAAGTTGTAGCGATGCGGCAAAAAAAAATCGTGAGAGAAGTAGTAAAAGTCTCCGTATCCCCCGTGTCTGTGAAAAAAACAAAGTCGACAACAGATCAATTGCACTTGAAAATAAAGAAAAGCGTGAGTGTCGGTCGCAGAATCACTTCTGGTGCTGGATCTCTACTTGTACAACTTTGGACAGATGTGGATAGTAGCTCTGGGGCTGAAGCTACGTGACTTTTTGGAACAATCGGCAAGGAAGGTCGTGATGATCGTGAAATTCTGAACAAGATCGTAGAAGTCGTACATCGGATATCAATAGCTAATGTCGAAGAGGAGCGCTGGTCGAATGTTGGATTCTGGATCTTCAAACTATAAGTATACGTGGCAACCAAGATCGAAAATCATTATCCTGCCTCCTGCAATAAATCTAAAAACAGTGACCTTGAATTGTTCCTCCTTCGTGCTCGGAAATAAATAGCTTATCCTTATTCCTCAAATCCCCTAAAGAGTTAAACCCCGGATTGCAAGTGGCTTTTTCATCGTCATAAATACAACCGCCCAATTTTTGGTTCTTCAAGCTGCTAACCAAAATCGATAGTCGACGTTTATTCACCTGCTAAGGTGAAGTTTTCGATATTTTTTTGCACCAAGCTACCTCAATAGAGTACAACTATCTAGCAGTTTTACCCTGTTACAGTTCATCTCACAATCTACAGTTGCTGAAGTAGTTGTGTTGACCCCAAGAAGTTGTGTCTAGCTTCGACCACGACAACACTTGTAAATTTACTTTTTTTTCCTCTGCACCAAACAAGTACAACATCGCCAGAAGTTTATTTGGTTTTGGACCCTTTCTTTTTCGCAAATAACCTCTCCTCGTCTGTTGACACAATTACACATCGTATTTCTATCGAAATCGAAACAAAACTCCCTCTATAAAAAATTTCTTCTCAACATCTTCATCACCTTCAAAAATCTTGCAACTGATCGAAAACCTGCTCAGAATGCCAGAATACAGACACCAACAACAGTTTTCGCAAGGTTCGTCTTGCAATATGCCCTCCTCGTCCTCTCCCCGTCGTGTAGACCACGGTGCTGCTTCTAATCGGCTGCCATCTCCGATGGCGGGGCCGCGCAAACGTGTTTTGCCGTTGGAGCAGGCCGTCTTACCTACCGTGGCCGGGCATTCGGAGCGGAGTGCTTCGTCTCGTAACGGGTCGTCTGACGACAGTTACCTGTCGGCGATGAACAAAGGCGGAACTACAGGAGGACAACGCAAGCAGGTTTTGTCTCTGGAAGAGCTTGTGATGTCCCCGTCGACGCCCAAAGTAGAACCAACGACGATGGCAGAAGCAGAGCCACAAGAACCAACGAAGCAGGACAAAAATTCCACCAGGAGCTCCAAGAAGTCCTCCTCCTTGGGCGCCGTCGCGTCGTTCGGGGGCTCTTGTACTTCGGAGCAAATTTCTCGTGGGACGAGTTCGGAACTAGCCCGAACCACGACGCATGAGAAACACTTAATGGATCAACTCGCAACCGCCCTGCTTGCCGCGCAGAAGGGAAAGGGTAATAAAGAAACGGCGGAACAACAAGAGCCGGTAGTTGTTGCTGGAAAGAATAATTACAAAGGAGGTTCTACGTCGAGTAGTTCGTCTCAAAAGTTCTTTGAGCTGGAGGAGCAGAGCGGCGAAACGAAACAAGCAGTGACGACGTTTCGGTTTCGGAAGACCACGACCCCTACGGGGTCTACTACTTCCCATAAGAAAGTCAGCGCTCCGCCGGGTCTGGACCTGTCTTCTTCTTCGGATCATGACCAGACCCCGTCGACTACTGCGGGTGAGGACACGACTATGAGACTACACAACTCCCCCTCCCCCTCATTTGTAATGCAAAATTCCAAATCCATTCTTTGCCCCTTGGGACTTTATGCATGACAAGTTCTGGAACCTCAAACAGCACTACAATCCTGGGTGAATTTGTCATGCAAAACCTGCATTCTTGCCGACGCTTGTATTGCTGTGCATGCCAGACAAATGAGGGGGAGGGGGAGTTGTGCACTCTCATAACGACTAGGAGTACCGCTCGACCGGATACAACGACGTTCTCCACGACTATGTCTTCTGGTGGAGCTGCATACTACCCGTCAACCACCACGTCTCCTCACAGCTCCGCTGGCTCCTTCGCGTCACCGGTTGCTGGCGGGAAAACAAGAAAGGCAAAGGGTAGCAGCACGCAGCAAAAATTGGCGCTGGGAAAAACTGCTGCATCTTCATCGTCGACAAAACACATTTCTTTCGAGGACCAGTATTATGCAGCAGCTACTGCTGCTGCTGCTGCCGCGGCAACTACTACAACTCCCGGCCAACTTGGGATGACCTTTCCGCCGATTTCCCCGCCTTTGCCTTTGCCTTTGCCGCCGATTCTAGAACAACAAACCGCGACCCCAGGAGCTGCAGTGCCTCACCACATGATGCTGCCTATGAACTGCAAAAGTATCGTACTCGTATGAATGCATTACAAATTTCCTCAGCATGAGAAATAAAATTTGTAATGCGGATTTGACATAGTGAAAAGATTTGTAATGCATTATTTGCAATACGAGTACGATACTTTTGCACATGATGCTGCCTTCTCAGGAGCAAATGGATTTGGCGGTTCACGTATCAAATGCAAAAATGTCTGGGTCTGGGAGATTCTCAGACTTGTCATGCACGTTTTGCATGAGCCATGATGTCTGTGATGCACGCCGTAGCATCACAGATTTTTCGAGGGGTTCTTGAAGCCTATTTCGCATGACAAATGCCTGATCCGCGTAGCAAAAATTACATTCCCTTTGCATTTGCTACTCACGCAATACAATTTTTTTTGGAATCCAAATGCAGCATCACAAGTTGCATTCTTCCGGACCCAGACATTTTTGCATTTGATATCACGCGGCGTTGTTCCAGCACCAGGTGGCGCTGACGATGTCGTATGCAAGCACGCTATCCGCGACCGCGGGTGGATCCTCGGGTTCCGCTACTGCTGCTGCTTCCCCAGCGGGTACTACGGGTAGCTCTACGCCAGTCTCGCCTTTCTTTCCGCCCAGCATGCCAGCATCACCCGGCGCGGATGTGCTTGATATGCGTGCCTTTCACAAAGCAGCGAAAGCCGCAGGTCTCTTGCACAGCGGCCACAGCTATCAAATGTAAAAATGTCTGGGTCTGGAAGAGTCATGCTGTTTCTGCATGACACAGAAGGTCTGGCATGAAGCTCTAGCATCACAAGTTTCGAGAAGCTTCCGCAATGCCGGACCCGCATGACAAATCCCCCATTTTGGTGACAGAAAGTGGGCAGCTTTTGCTAGCTATGCATGAGAGATTTTTGTGTGTTCTGAAATGCGCATCACAGGTTACATCCTTCCAGACCCAGACATTTTTACACTTGATAACAGCGCTAGCATCAGTGCCGGTCGCAGCAGCGTGGGGTCCTCCGCCTCCGCGTCGAGTGCGGTTTTGTCGAAAGAGATCAAGTATCCTGTGCAAAAGTATCGTACTCGTAGTAATCGCAGTCATGCATTACAAATCTTCATCCCAAGGCAAAACAGCATGACAAATTCCATTTGTCATGCTGAGCTAATTTGTCATGCGATTTATACTAGTGCGATACTTTTGCAGTTCATATCAAGGAGGGAAAACGTCATCAACTCAAAGAGCAGAATAATGTTAATGCGAAGGCTATGGAAGCGTCAGGTTTAAAATCGTCAAAGTTGAAATAGTTTGCCATGCATAAAACGGATACCAGTCAGACCTACAGTTTGTAGTCGGTGCATGACAAATCTTCTCGGTCCTGGAAAGGAGTCTGTCATGCGGTTTAGGGCAAAAGAGCTGCCTTCTGTCATGCTAGTTAGCAGTCCAACTTTTGAAGACCCTTACCAGGACTATAATCTGCTTCCCTTGCGTCCTCGGCAATAGAGTCACTTTTTGTAATCGCATTTTATGCATGGCAAATCATTTCAACTTTGACGATTTCAAACCTGACGCTTCCATAAAGGCGAAGCTCTCGTCGTCCTCCGGTGCAGGAACGCCGCAAGAAGCGTTGTCCGCCACCTCTTCCGTCAGCTATCCTGTGCAAAAGTATCGTACTCGTAGTAACCCCATTCATGCATTACAAATTTCTTTCTCAAGTTAAATCCGCATTACAAATTTTATTTCCCATGCTGAGGAAATTTGTATTGCAATCCATACTAGTACGATACTTTTGCAATGCATATCAGCTCCTTCGCGTCGAAACTGCGCGAAAAGGCGCATTTTGAGAAGGAACGAGCTCTGGCTTCCGCGCATATCAAATGCAAATATGTCTGGGTCTGGATAGATGCAACTTGTCATGCTGTCCTTGAATTCTAAAAACATCTGTATTGCGTAAGCAGCAAGAGAAGTCGACTGTTTTGCTACGCGGAGGGGGTATTTCTCATGCAGTATGGGCATCAGGAGGCCCTCAGGAAATCAGTGATGCTACCGCATACATTACAGACATCATGGGCCATGCCAAATGTGCATGACAAGTCTTCTCATCTTCCAGACCCAGACATATTTGCATTTGATAGCGCAGCAGAAGAAGCAGTCCGCGTATTTGCTTCAACTGCAGCAGCTGCAGCAGAAGAAGTTGAAATACAGCTACGATTTGTTCAAGAAGGAAGAGAAATTCTTCTTCGACACGGAAGCTTTTCAAAAGGAATCGAATCTGAAGAAAGCCGCCAACGACTACGACATTGTCATCGTGGGCGGCGGGGTCTCCGGGCTGTTGTCGGCGTATCGCCTGGTGCAGAGAAACAGCCAGGACAAAGAAGTAGCAGGTGGTGACGACGCTAGCGCAAACGCTGTTAAGCCAAAGCCTGCGTTGAAAATCCTCCTGATTGAGCAGAACCCGAGTAGCCTCGGCGGCAGATGCAAGTCTTTTCTATCCGCCCCGAATCTGGATATGGGCGCGACCTGGGTCTGGCCGGAGGAACAGCACCGGATCAAGGGGCTGTTGGATGAGTTTCAGGTGAAGACCGTCCCCCAACCGGGGTCGTTCACGGGGGAGGAACGGGTGGAAGGCGGTATGGAGCGATTAGTGAAGAAATTACGGAAAGCGATTGAGGGGAAAGTGGAAATCAAGATGGGCGAGCAATTACTGAGCTGTGTGGAGGAGAATGTGATGATGAAGATGAGCAAGGAGAAGGATGATGGTCGCGCATCGTCTAGTACTTCTGCCTCCTCGTCGTCAACTGATATTAAGTTGGACAACATGTTAGGCGACCACGTCGAAAACAAGGACAAAAAAGGTACAACCGCATCTCCATCTTCTTCAAGCACTCAACATTGCGACCCGGAAAAATCCAGAGTCTTCATCACGACGACTTCTCTCCTCGACCGGATCACCAACACGAAGAAAGCCACCACGGCTTTAACGAACGCAGCCGGAGAGCTGGTCGCGCCGACGCACAGCTACACGTGCAAGCAGGTGATCCTCGCCGTGCCGCCGAAGAAGGTCTTGACCGACGTGAAGTTTGGCCCTTATTGGTCCTACCCGAAATACCTCCCGCTCGACAACATCCGCCAGAAAATGGCCTCGCAGCCGATCTGGATGAGTTGCTGCGGGAAGGCGGTGTTGCTTTATTCCGAAAAGTGGTGGAATTCCGAGACCATCGGGAAAATCAAACTCACCGACAACAACTCGCCGAACCCAAACACGAAAAGATCCCCCACCGCGCAATCAATCAAGGCGGGCCTGATGGGCACGCCCTTGACACAACCACAAGACAACACGAAGGTCAACGCAATGCAGGTCTTCGACGCGGGGGAGGTGGTGATGCACGTGTCCGAATTTGCCGAGGACTGCGGGGAAGATAACAAGGGAACTTTGTCGCAGTCCGGGTCCGGGTCTGGGAGCCGGAAAAGCCGGTCTTCCTCTTCAAGGAGTACGATCAAGGGGAGTGGTAGTTCATCGGGTACCGGTTCCAAGAACAATCCTCGTTTGATTGATGACTCCGAAGACGTCGCCTCGGTGAGCAGAAATCCGGTCGCGGTGGCAGATGCTGCGAAGGAAAGGGAAAGACGCAGTGGTGCCACTGGTCAATCTCTTTCAGCTAGTTCGAAGGCTTCTACAAGCAAAGTCAAGCTGTACGCCTTGGGGTTCACGATTACGGTTGGCCGGTGCTCGGCGCATTTGACCAACACACAGGTGGCGGACCAGATCGTGCATCAGGTACTTCATCTCGGAATGCGTTTTGCTTTCAGCAGCATCGTGCGGCTTCTGCATGACAAAAGTTTCTGTAATTCAGGATGACCCCAGTAGTTTTTATGCTCCGACGAGTTGGTGAAACTGAAATTTGTGATGCATTTTGTGCGTCGTTTCTATGCCGGGAATTTGCGTTGCTGTTGAACGAGCTGAAAAATAAACTCTCTCCTAATATCGCGATCAGGTTCTGAATTCCATGCCTCTCCCAGACGGTATCTCGAGGGAGCAGGTGAAGGAGTACGAGGGCGTTTTTTTCTATGGAACTGTCAGGATCGAAATTGACAAAATCGAAAAATTTGTAATGCGTGAAATGTAGAGCACGTATGGCCTGTGTTGGGGAGCAAGCAAATGAGACCGGTGGCATGCCTGTTTAAGGGAAGGCGTTGCGCTGCCAGAGTACCATGACAGGAGCAGTCTTCTTTGCCCAAACAGCATGACAGACTGGATTTTATTAGTGCTTCCAAGATTTGTCATGCGCCACTTGGAAACTGAGGCTCCAACTGGTATCGATTTTATGCATCACAAGTTTTTCGATTTTGTCAATTTCGATTCTGACACTTCCATATTTTCAAAAACTGGCGTCGGGACGGCACGGTGAACGTGATCGGTGCGCCGGAAGTGTTTCCGATCCAACCGCGGCCGATCCACGATTTGAATAGCACGGTGGTTTTGCCAGCAATGGGTAATAAATCAGCGGAGACAGGAAAGTTGTCCAAGACTGCCAGCTATGCAGTGCAAAAGTCTCGTACTCGTATAAATGCAAGTCTTGCATTACAGATCTTTTTTTTAATGTTAATCTACATTACAAATTTTATTTCTCATGCTGAGAAAATTTGTAATGCATTTATACGAGTGCGATACTTTTGCAGTTCATACCAGCAAAGACTCGGGAGCCTCGACGGCGAATTCTGGTAGTAGTGCTTCGGACATCAATGTTGTTCAGCAGAAGATTCACAACCGCCGCATCTGGTTTGCGTCTTCCGAGGCGGCGACTGAATGGTGTGGCATGCTGGAAGGCTGCTGCCAGGCGGTGGAGAAAGTTTTGGAGAAGGTGGAAAAACAAATCGACGCAGATTCGGAAAGTGCGAAAATGATGTTAAAAACCTCCTTGGGAATGGGAGCAGAGAAGAAACAGCAAGATGAAGAAGAAGCACGAGAGCAGGTCGCTGCTTTTCCTGTCGAATCTTCGTAAGTTTTAGTTTACAAGTCAGTAGTGGAACTCGAGGCTCTGTAATAGTATGACAAGGCATGATCTTCAAATAATGACGCAGCTTTAGATGAATTTGGGTACCTAGATAGTTGTACAGTAAAGAGGTCGTCGCGGTGAATTCGCAGTTCGGCTGAATGCTTCGCAACAGGCTGTTCTACGCGTTCACTGGTTTGCTTCTGCAGACAAAATGCTGTACCTCCTTCAAAAAAATTACAGGGGGGCGCGGCAACAGCATCAGATGTCGACCGCAGTGTTGTGACTAACATACACATACTCTGTGGTGGTCAATGATGTCAACCAAATTTACTTTCTCTGTTGTACCGCTAAGATTAAGACCACATCGATTTTCTTATATTTACAAAAAACAGTCGCGCGACTATTATTTATTTATCCGTAGAGCAGCAGGGCGTGACATCACAACACACAAACTAATGACTTTGTTTAAGGCACATTCCGGGGATTTATGTTGAGAAGGAAGATCAACTCGTGAAGATCCTCGTAAACGTATGAATAGCTCAATCACGATGAGGAACAATACAAGCATGTTCTTTCGTACCGAATTCATCCCAGTTATATGCATATTCGGCACAACATCTTCTTGTCAGTGCGATCACTTGAGGCTCTCTTTTTTCCGCAGGAGCTTGTGGTATACGTATCAAATGCAAAAATGTCTGGGTCTGGAAGAATGCGCGACTTGTCATGCTGCTTTTCCATGACCCGTGAGGTTTGGAATGCAGGACCTAGCATGACAGATTCTGCGGGACCTTTCTCATGCCTATTCTGCATGAGAAACTCCCTCCCGAGTTGGTCAAAACTGGACGACTTTTGGTAATCATGCAACACAGATTTTTGCATGCTGCAGATTTAGCATGACAAATTGCAATCGTCCAGACCCAGACATTTTTACATTTGATAATACGGGTCATAGTCCAATTTATGCACCCAGCATAACTTATGGAGGCGTCAGAATCGAAATTGACAAAATCGAAAAACTTGCGATGCATAAAATCGATACCAGTTTGAGCCTCAGTTTGCAAGCGGCGCATGACAAATTTCGGGAGAACCCAAATCCAGTCTGTCACGCTGTTTGGGCAAAGACGACTGCTCCCGCCATGCTACTCTGGCAGCACATTGCATACCCCTAAGCAGGCTTACAATCGGTCTCATTTGCCTGCTCCCCAATACAGGCCTGCAGTGCCCTACATTTTATGCATCACAAATTTTTCGACTTTGTCGATTTCGATCCTGACACATCCATATAACTCCGCCTAATAGCTCTTTTGGTGCGAGAAAGGACAGCCTTTCTTGCTTTTGTGCTGCACAAGATTTTTTGGCGCAGGATTTTTTGTTTTCATCGGGGTCGATGCAAGACAAAAAAAAAGTATAGTACTGAAGTCCCTACCCTTGATACCATAGCGATATTTATAGTTCTTTCTCCTCTTTTGATGTCTTGTTGTTGGTTTTTCTGTAGTTGCACTTCATCTTCGAGTGCGACGTCAGGAATGCTTTATCCAGCAAGTCGTGGAGATTCATCGAAGTGGTGGACCTTAGTACCCCTAAGGATAGATAGATCTTCAACAGGTATAGTTACTTTGGAAGAAACTTAGTGACTCGACCTGATGCAGAGAGCCGAGGAAACTTTTTTTTTTCCAAGGATCACCTGCTCCTGCACATAGCTGTATCGCTAACCGTTAGACAAACGGGCGAACAAAGAAACTCCGTCGAGATTTTTAACCCTCTATTTTCAGCGTCTAGTAGTTTTCCGCAGGACAAAACGGACTGGAGCCGGTAGCGCACGATGCGGGTGACGTATTGTAGCTGCTTACGGTTCACCAGCTCTGTGCAATTATTTGCGGTAAAACCATGCTGACTCGTACAAAAGAGTAGAACAACCTAGAAATTCACATACCTTATCTACCAACCTTATGATTCTGATCCTGGGGTTTTAGGAGTACCATGTGACAACAATGCGAGACGGAGGAGGATGCTCCAAGCACAAGCTCATTTTTCAGAAACTCAAAAGTTGATGCTGTAGCAAAACCACAAAGTAAATACTTTTTTTTGCACAAACACAACTCTAGGTATACATAGACAAGGACTCAGGTCTTGTACGTTCTAGAAAACGAACACTATGCTACGCCTACGCAATAATGCGGTGCGTGCCGCAGCCCATGATCATGATGGTATGGCAACCACCATCAAATTACAATTAGAAGTTCCAGGAGAAGTGGTGCCATCATAGTAGAAGTGGTGCCTTCCTCATGATCCACATGATTTTGAGAGCGAGAGCACAACTACAAATAAGTGAACAACTACAAATAAAACACCTCAGGACTCAGAATTCTGGACTCCTTGATATTTTTATGTGTGTTGTTGCTACGCCCCATTAGCAACTGGCGAGAAAAATGAAATAAAAAGTAGACTACTTCTACTACCGAGGTGGGAGGTGCACGCAGCTGCCGGTGTCGTGGTAGTGACACTAGCTGCACCTGGAGCTGCGCCGGATGAAATTCCATGATGTCGTGTGTTTGATTTGGACAGTCGTGCTCAGCTCCACCCTTCTTGTGCAGAGCGACGGAGAACGAGAAGGAGAAGTGAAATTAATACCACAACCTCCAGCATGATGAACTCTCTTTCTTGGTGTTTAAGTGCGGAGGACCTCAGGCACGAGAAGTGGAGAGATTCTTGTGGTAAGAGATTTTCCGTCAGGAAGAGCTTGAGTGGTTGCGTTTGCTCTTGGAGAAATAGTAGGGAGCAGGCTGAGCTGCAATTTCTCCTCGATAGTTTCAATTTGATGTGTGGTGGCGCGTCCCGTCTCTCTTTTTGTCCAGGTTGGTATTGCAGGGCCCGGCCGTAGCGTTTTGCGCGTCACCAACCCAGTAGGAACCGCTTGCCAGCGGATGCCTCCGGTGCGCGCGAGCGTGTTTGTTTTCGCCCGCGCAGGTGAAGATGTGCGTGGACGAAGGAGAGAAACAAGGGAAAGCAAAGGCCTGGCGTTTTTCGTGGGCCCCTTCGCATAGGGGGCCGCCCCTTCGGCTTCGTCCACCGATCCCGTGCGCTGGGTTGCCCCGCGCCGCGCGCTTGCTCATGCTGGCGGACCCTGGGCAGATGATGCAGCGAGGGCCCAAAGAAACGGCGACGCCCCGGAGCTGCGCGAGAAAAAGACAGCGCCCGACGATGCCGCCCGGCGCCGCTTCGTTCTGTCTTCTTCGCTCGTTCCCGGCCCGCTGTGTGTCGATGTTTGCGCCTGCGCGCTTCCGGCTGCCTGTCTGAGTCGGGCCGGCCGCGTGGTTTGTCAACGAAACAACTACCCGCGGCGCGGCTTCTGGCCACCAGCGGGCGCCTCGCCCCCGTTCCCGTCCCAACCTTCTCCGGGGCGACCGATCATTGCCTGATGGCACGATGGCGCCCGCCGCTCTTGCTCCGAATTTTGCGCACCGGCCGGGGCGGGGGCGCGTGGGCCAAAGACAGGTGGGCGCGAGGTATGTACGTGTACCCGCAAGCCGTGGGGCCAAGGAAGGCGCGCGCCGGGCAGGGGGTGCCGCGCTCTTCGCCTCCTGCCTTTGCATTGATTGCTGCCCGGCGTGGCCGCTCACGCGGACGTGGGCGCGGGCGTGGTTGCCATGGTGCTGGGGATGCGCAAAAGACGAAGGCCGATGGTGGAATGAGGCTGGCGATGCATTGGCGACAGTCGACTTACTTACTCTGCTCGGCCTGGTGGAAGAGCAAGAAGGCAGGTGGCAGTTTTGGCCGTCGAGGAAGCCTTGCAGGTTTTGGTCGTGGTGGTGATTGTCTGTTCGGCGACGTGAGAAGTGCGGGTTGTAACTTAAACCTCCAGAAGACGTCGCTGTGGAGGTGAATGGCAGAGAGGTTCAGGGCAATATGCATCCGTCAGAGGCCCCCCTATTACCCCACCAGGAAGCCGTTCTGAGAGCGGATTTCCTTTATCCTTATGTTTGTATCTTCACGGTGCTTCCGACAATACGTCAACAGTTCGAGCAATGCAAAAGTGAGTAAGAAACAGAATCTGATGAATCAGTTCTTTTAGTTCTTTGTCCATGCTGAGATTCATGGTAGGTTCGCCTTGGCTCATTATCCTTTTCGTCCATTTTCTTTCAAAAATTCGAAAGCAGGACCACAAAGTCGTCCCCTGGTATGCTCACAACTACTTATACGGCGCGCCGCTTCATCCGCTGCGTGACTATTTTTTCAGGAGGTGTCACCAGAAAAAAATTAAAATATGTGAGAGTCAGAGATGTATAACTGTGATTATCCTCCTCCTTGTATTCGTTCCATTTGATTAGCGGCTTCCATGTAAAGTGAGACGGCATTTTCAAGGTCTTGGCCGACATGTCCTCTTCCATGCTGCAAAGTTTGCTTGTCGCGCAACAGCGCAATAGCACCAAATCCCGGTCTTCTTCCTCTGGTGCGCTTCCACAGAGCGGGAGTTTCTGCAACACGAATTACACTACCCTAGCTGCCGATCCAACGGAACAAGATGCCGATTTCAGCTTCGACCTGATCAACCGCATAGCGTGCATCGAGGCTTTTCTGCAGCAAGTGAAGCCGAATAATCAGCACGATTTTTCCCCTGATCTGGAAAAATCCAAACAAAACTTCGAGCAAGCACTCGAGAAACTAGCGAACAGGAATGGTTTCGCGGTGTTGCCGATAGCAGAGTTGGAAAAATCCAAGGAATTAGTCTTCGACGATGCGTCGGACAACTATTTGGCGGTAAAAAACGCCCACGAACGGGACAAATTGCTAAACTTCGACGAGAAGGAACATAAGTACTCGTTGGCAAATGGTGGAAATGCAGCTCTTACGGGTAAAGCTGGTGGCGGATTCCGGTCCGTCACAGCCTGTTGCGACTCGGGGCCGGGGTTTAACGGAAACATGATTGCGAGCAAGGTATTAAAAAGTCTGCTACATTTGCATACAGTTTGGTGAAGAACAGGTGCTGCCTTTCGCATTTCATGGCGATGGCCGCGTGCACGAGCATGACAAATTTTGTTCTGTAGAGCGATCTCGCAATACAAACTCCACATCACAGATCATCAAGTCCGACCGTTGGGCGAACGACCCGAGTTACGAATACTACCAGAAGACCAAAGAGGAAATCCTGAAGACCTGGGACTTTGCGAGGGACCTGGGCACCGAGCTTCACCGCGACATCGAGCTGTTTCTGAACCGGAAGGGGTATTTGGAAGACTCCTTTCTCCAGCGGCAGCTGAGCACGAGTATTCAGCTGGAAGGAGGGATATCACAAGAAAAAGTGTAGCCGTAGACGGTTTTGAAATTTTGCAACAAAAAAAAATTTTAAGTCCTCCGAAGTAGATCACGGGCAGCGTGTGAAACGGTCACCATGCTGCGATGCTGTATGGGGTCCCAGAGTAGCTGCACGCGCCTGGGCTAGCCAATGCAAGCTGTTCTCTCGCTATTGCACAGGGGCGCCAAGATCTGCGTAAGATGGCCCGCCTGACCTTGAGGCCAAATTTTGGAGGTGCCCCAAAAACCGTCTACAATGCATCTAGCCCGCATGCTATGGTCGATGTAGACGGTGAAAAAGTGGGCAAAACCATGCAAATACCACAGAAAAACCGTCTACATCGCATTTAATCTGCACGGCTTGATCGATTTGGCCGATCCAAAACGGTTCCCACCTCGGGGACCCCGTTTTGGACCGTCTGAACCCACCATAGCATGCAGTCTAAATGCGATGTAGACGGTTTTTGGAAGATGCCAACTTTTTGGGCTCAAAATGATGCCAGATGAGCAAGATTTTCCTCCGATCTGGGCCAGACCCCCAAAAACCGTCTACATGACATCTAGACTGCATGGCATGGACGTTTTAGCCTGCTCTAGGCTGGCCGATCGCTCATGTCGGCAGCGGTGGCGCTTTGTTGGGGTGGTGAACGTGTGGACAAAAGAGCCTCGGCCCAGACACTGGCTGCCGGGCGCCATGGGTCCACCACCTGCCCGGCGGGGCGGAGGGCGCCCGGATGGCAGCGGCTGAGAAGGCAGAAGGGGAAGGCGCGGAGGAGTTGCAAAGAGGCTAACGCGGAAAGAACACAGGCACCGCCGCGAAAAAGGTGCGATAATAGGTCGCAACCCAGCGCCGCCTACTCCGCGAGCTCTCACTATTTGCACTAGCGAAGTGCTGCCGGCCCAGCTGCGTTGAGACTCCGCAGGAGCTAGAGGCGCGGCCCTTGTCGCCTATGGCTGTTCGAAATGCCCATCGGGGGCTTAAAAAAAAATTCTGTTGAAAATTTCGAAAACCGTCTAAGCTGTCTTGAACGATTTCTCCAACGGCAGCTGAGCACGAGTATTCAGCTGGAAGGAGGGAGTAGTTCTTGTGCGAAGAAGAAGGAACAACAAGCGGAACAAGTATCAGCGTCTTGCTCGCCTGCTGCTGTAGCAAATACAGGAGCACCTGCGGGTGGAGCTCCCTCGCCTGTTCCAGTGAAGCCGCTTGCTCCAGCCTCGACGTCGCAGTTCATTTCCACTCCCTTTTCCGTCACAACCTCCATTGCGTCTGCCTCCTCCCGCCCCTCCTCATTCGGGACGCAGGCGTTCGGGACTTTTGCAGCAGTGCCGCCTTTTGGAAGCAGCAGTGGCTCCTCGTCGGCGTATCCTATGGGGTTTGAAGCACCCCCGGAGCCAGCTTCTACTTCCACGAACGGATCATTCGGTTTCCAACCTCCTCCGACTAGCGCACAGCCCAGATTTGACACTAGCGTTGCCGGCTTTGAACCAAAGGAGAGAGGTGGGCAAGCATCGGAGCTGCAGGGCGCGAAAGAGATGAACACGATGACAGCAGCAGTAAAGCCGGCATCATCATCCTCCTCATCCACTCAGCAACCACAGCACCTCTCCAAAATGCCGGAGGAGTTTATCGAGCGCACCTACTTCCTCGCTTTCCTCAAAGACGTGATGGAGACGCGGAAGTGGAAACCCTACCGCACCGAATGGAGAATCTTCGACGCGGACCTGGGCATCGCGGGGACCATTGATTTTGTCGTCATTGCGGATCGGTTTGTTGGTCAAGCGAGTCAACCGGTCGTGCCGGCGGTGACGAAGAAGATGAACTCGTCTGCTGTTACAACTGCGTCGAAAACAAGTAGAGCAACTAGCAAGGCAAAGGCCGGTTCGGGAGCGGCGACAACGTCGCGAAGGAAGGGATCGACCGCTTCTGCCTCGGAGACCGAGGATCCATCTGAGCAGCAGCAAGTTCTAGATGCCGCTGGTAAAAACAAAACAACTCCCACTGCCAAAGGCGAGGCAACACCACGGCCAGAAGATTTCTTCGACACGACAGAAGAGGAGCAGCAAGATCAGGAGCCAAGCTCAACAAAACGCCCCTCTGTTGCAGCGCAAAATGGGAATGCAACCGACACTGTGAGTCCTCCCGCTGCAGACGAGGAGCCAAGCACTACGTCCAGTGAGAAAGAGCCAAGGGACAGCGTTGCAACAACATCAGACAGTGTTGGTTCCATTACCACAGCGAATAAGAAGCAAGAAGTCATTCTTATCGATTGGAAACGGACGAAGCAGGTGAAAAAGCAGATTTACCGCAACCAATTGAACATTTATCGATACATTTTGGAGAAAAACTACGACAATGTGAAAGTGACCGAGATGTACGTGGTGCGTTTGCATCCGCAGAGCCCAAGTTACGACTTGTGCAACATCGATCTCATGGAGGACACGGAAGTGCAAGCCTTGCTGGCATAGGCATGATGATGAAGAGCAGTATGAAAATCAATCTTTCCCCGCTCCACGACAACTACCCGAATTCATCTTTTCTTTCCCGAACGGGCACGAGTTCGTGGTCGTTGCGCCAAACACGCCTGTCGCACATTATCGTTTTTCCTTGTTGTTCCTATTGTCGTAGTCGTTCTTGATCTAGGCCATAGTTTTGTTTTGCGATAATCACGGTACCCCATCGACCCTTTCTTCGAGTTGATCCTTGTTTTTGCTCGGTGAGTCGTGTTGTAGATGTGGATGAGAGAGCTACAACTCCTGCTAAAAGGGTGCCCGACTTCGCTTGGTATTGAGAGGCAGAGGACGCAGAGCTGTTCACCTTGCTGAGCCCTATCGAACTTACGTCGAAAACGTCAAGCCAGCTTGGATTTTGAACAGCTCCGCCCAAGAACAATGAAAGGAGCAACCTTTTTATGTGACCTTACTTCTCGTCACGACAGTAGATACAATAGTTCGGAAGCGCCGTCGCGCTTGTCCAAAAATGCGTCTCTCCTCCCTTCTCTCGAGTGTCGGCGAAGTGAGCGATCCGCTGGTGGTGCCATCTGAAGCCTACAGTGAAGGTCACCAAGCAGTCTTCGCACGGCACCGTGTGCAGCGGCCCCGAGGTAGTTGTAGTTCTTCTTCTTGCGCCGGTACTAACATGACGAGCAGTAATGTAGTCCTCGCACCATGGCACCAAGCCTGTGCGGACCTTCTGCATCGGGTGCGCAGGACGAGTAGCTCGTTTCTGTCTTCAGTTGCACATGAAGGCAGTGCGGTCGTGCAGCTGAGCGAACATGTACAACATGCTGACTCGTTTACACCGAGGGCACCGGGTAACAACACGAGGACGATCTCGTCGTCCAGTCACTCCTCGTTGTTTATCGCCACCTCTTTCGTAACGGGGAAGAAAGTCGGTAAGGGCATCGGTGCTGGTGTCGGCGGGGTGATGGCTGCAGATGTGGCGCTAGCCGTGGCGCAGCCACCGGCGATTTACCCCCCGGCGGTGGAGGTTCCAGCCTTGCCGGATCTCGGAGCACTCCCCTCTCCCCCGGCAATAGAGCCCCCGTTCGTGCCGATTATGCCGGAAATACGGGCGCCACCCATGCCGGAGGTGAAGATGCCGGCACTGACCATTGCGATTCCAGGGCTGCTATCAAACGAAAAAGTGTTAACGTTAACGGTTTTCATAGACTGCAAATACGCATGACAAATTGTGCCTAGAATGTATACTATGCATGACAAATTTGGGCACGTTTTGCGATGCGTTACTGCATGACAAATTCCGTTAACATTAACACTTTTTCCCGTGATAGTTGCCGGGAATCAGCTTGCCATCTATCCCCGGGATTCACATACCGGGACTCTGTGACGCGGTGCCGGAGGTACTTATGCCTAGCGAGCGTTCTTTTGTTTTTAGACAGACGACTTCAGCGTGGTCTGTCTCATGTGGACGTTACGGGCTGAAGTGTTGTCCTACTCTCCACCCTGTTGCGTTGTCTCTTCATGTTCTTCTGTTTCTGACATTAAGATTATAATCAAACACCAATTTTATGAGACAAATTACTTGATTAATTCAAAAACGATTCAAAAATCAGCTTTGCAATTTTCAAATGGGCTGCTTTTCATTCAGATTTGCGTCCTTTTTCCAATGTTGTTTCGTCGCCGCAGCTGAAGGTCCGGGCCGCCTGGTAAGATTTGACGTTGACAGTGATGAACCAGTCAGGGCCCCAATGTGAACTAGTTAAGGTAGTGCTTTAATGAGACTCCTTAAGAGGCTCCGCGGAAGACTGCCATCCTGCTCACTGCTACCGCCGTTGTACTGCCCGCATTTGGTGCCTTGTGGCTGACGTAAGCCTGCTTTTCATTTCGATTCGCATCCTTTTTGCAATGTTGCTTCGCCGTCGCAGATGAAGATCCGGGGAATCTGATAAGATGCGATGTCGGAAGTGGAGAACTAGCTCAGGCTCCAATCTGAACTAGTTCAGGCGATGCTTCAATGAGGCTCCTGAAGGCTCCGCGGAAGAGAGCCAGGCCTGCCCACTGCTGCCGCCGTTAAACTGCCCGCATTTGGCGCCTTATGGCTGACGTAATGGCAATGCTGCCGGGGCCCCGGGCGGGGCCCTGACATCTTGGTAGCGTGTTGACGGAGCTCTGAAGTAAAATTGCCTCTTTTTGTGATGGAAAGTCCATCGTAGCATGCAGTCGCATGGAGCTCTATTGAGAAACTCAGATTAACGATTCAAGAGGTGGCCGAAACCTCTCCAGGAAGACGCCAAAAAAACCCCCCTCTTTTCTACAGCATAGCATCGGCGAAAGCAAAGCAGGGGGCCCTTTCTGGAGACCCCTCTCGGGGGGGTCGCAGATTGCTAATCCGCATGGTACCGTGGAAGATTAAGAATACCGTCGTGGATCCAATGAATGTGAACCAAGATAGGCTCCAATGTGAACTAGCTAGTAGATAAGGAGTAAGGTAGGAAGGTGGCTTTAGACCGCTATGGTGGTGGCGCTTTCCCATCGTAGGGCCACGGCTGGAAGCGGCATTGGGCCACCCCTTCTGGCTGGCGTAATGCTGCCGGAGCCCCGGACGGGGCCCCGGCAGCATTACGCTAATTTCCTACCTCACTCCTTATCTAGCTGGTTCACATTGGAGTCTATTTTAGAGCACCGAAGGAAACACATTCCAAAAAGAGGCAACCTGTATCGCTGCGTCGCAGTGCTGGAACGGGCGTCGTTTCTGCGTCACCTTTTTGGGGGCAGCACTACGTCAGCCAGAAGGGGTCGCCAAATGCCGCCTCCAGCCGTGGTTCCGCGATGGCAAAGCGCCACCATCGTAGCGGTCTCCAGCCGCCTTCCTAAGTACCCTACTCCTTATCTAGCTAGCTCACATTGGAGCCTATTTTAGATCACCAAAACACATTCCAAAAAGAGGCAACCTGTGCCGCCGCGTCGCAGTGCTGGAATGGGCGCCGTTTTTGCGTCACCTTTTTGAGGCTATACTGGCCTCTTTCAAAATGCAAAAGCTGATTTTTGAATCGAAATTGAATTAATCAAGTAATTTGTCTCATAAATTTTAGACAGACGACTTCATAACCCAATCTGGCCTACATGCTTAGCCTAGGTCACGCACAGAAAAAACTTAAGCTACACACGACCTACTTTGCGATGCGTTATACTTCCTGTAGCTACATAAATTCCAAAAACACGACACCGCAACAGCTCTGCCCTCCCTGGCCTTTCCCGCTGACCTTTCCCCCGATGCTGCCCGAGCTCCCCGGGCTGCCCAAGCTCTGGCTGCCGGATTTACTCCGGACCTTCCTCACGGCGATTTTTCTGTTTTCCATGCGGCAATTGGCGAAGGAACCTTCGAGCAGTTTGGGCGTGAAAGAGACAGACATGCAGATCATGACGGATTACCAATCAGACCAAATCACCCACACCGACATCAACAACCCCGACCTTTTCGCCTGCGGGAAGCTCCGGCGGTCTATGCCCGTGGTTTCTGGGTCACAAGGGTCCTCCAGGACGACAAATATTCCCGGACAACAAGGGATCACCGAGATGCAACAGAAGTTGTTCGGTGCGAGCACGAAGGGGAACGTGGTACGCGCACAGCACCCGTTGCTCGAACTGAAAGACCGCCGGGACATGATCCACGTGCATTTGGAAGATTTGTCAGAGGGTAACGAGGTATTGTGGGACGCAGATTACAACCTGCGGAACACGAAGTTGCTCACCCCCTTCCAACAACCCGTCGGGGGAAGTAAGATGGATTTCGGCACGTTTTGCCCCCCTCTGGAGGATATCCCGCATCGGTACGAGCTGACTGTGACCGATCCGTCGAAAAATGGGGAGTTTATCGGGTCTATGCATTGCAAAAGTATCGTACTAGTCGGAATAGCATCACAAGTTTCATCTCCAGGAGGAAGAATGAGACACTTGTAATGCTGCATGAGCTGAGCAGCGAGATTCAGATTCGTCATGCTGTGCTGCAATTAGTATTAGTGCAAGCCTTGATACTAACTTTTGCAATGCATATCTTCGGCCATCTTGAAAACCTACTACGCAAAGCACGACCCGCTGGTGGAGCTGCCCCCGGCGAGTAACCACGACGCGTTCATGAATCTGGTGGCGAGATAGAGGATAGGAGGGAGATCAGTTATTTCATTGGGAGTCTACTCCGTAGTGCGGCGACTGTTGGAAGTTGGAGTTCGAAGAACGACGGAAAATGAAACTACGCAAATAAGGCTTTTACCAAACGTAAAGCGAAGACGATTTTTTATTTGGTTTTTCAACTTGTAGGATATTGTCTGAACGCGGGAAGTTCATCAGATCTATGTTTCAAGAATGGTAGTGCAACGGGAAGAACTACTGACGAAAACGTATAAACTATCGCTCAACAGGAGGACCACGACCTCCTGCTTTTGCAGCCAGCCTTGATGTGCCGAGGTTTTCCACCGGTCTTGCTTCTTGGCAAGTCGTGCTGCCTTTGATGGGCCACTCTTCGTGGGTCATCTTCGGTGCCATTTGTTTACACAGCCCCTTCGACGGGAGACAAGAGCAACGCAGCCCTTTTTTTTCATATCAAGAGCAGGCATTCGCTTCGACAGAGAGACTATTATTATTAAGTGGAAGAGCGGAGAAGCAGCTTTATTCCTCATCTGTTTTCACTTTCTTTCTTCACGATCACACCTCGGGAGCGTAAGAGTGGGCAGAGGCATGGATCAGCAGAAGCAGATCTTGGTACAGTGATATTTGTAATAGACACGAAAACTACCACACGTCGACGACCATTGTGTAGTGCCGTCGGAGATGCTGATGGTGCTCTGGTCACCAGGCGACATGATGATGCATTGAGGGCATCGCACCTGCAGATATAACGAACCTGAAGCAGTAGAAGTCCCGTGGTCCAAAGGCGCCTGACCGCTACTACTTTTCGGAGACGAGCGCGCTTCACGGTAATTCTAATAGCAAACGCCGCCGCCTGGAAGAATCTTCCAGGCCTAGGTACTCCACTCTTCCCTATCTCGTCCAGCAAATTCATCTCTGCGAGAACCATGGGAAACTATGGCAGTAAGAAGAAGCGGGCCTCCGCGACGACTACGCCCGCTTCGGCACAGGAATGCGGACCCGAGCAGATTGATAATGGTGGAAACCAGGAGTCATGTTGCAGTTAGCCTTTCCTTACCTTCTCATGCATGAAAAGTGAGCCACTGTTCATGTTTGTATAGGAAGTGTGTTCTTCCTCTCCCTTCTCCCGCCCACACGCATGATGTTCTCGCAACAATCAATTTCAATCAATCACACAAACAGGCTCCGCCTCTTCGTGCAAGAATAAAACGAAAAAGCAGCCAGCGCCAACTACCATGGCAGACCGAATATTCCATCCAGCAGTGCCCAGGAAAATGAGCCGAGAGGACGATGTGGTGTCACCGGAAGCGCAAAACTTATTGCTCATAGAGCCCGGTAAGCCCTATTTAAGCTTTTCATGCTTCTGGTTAGTACGGACACGAGGGGTGCCGGTGCGTAGATAAAATATTATGCAGGAGCTGAGGCAGAGGATGAGGGAGAGGCCCGAAGGCATCTGTTTCATGTTGCGACGATGTCATGAAAGACAAAGATGAACATGTAGGACTAGGAATACGTGATTGATAGTGGTAGAAGTGACCGTGCTCCCGCTCCTGCTCGTGGTGCTTCTTCTTGCAACTGGTGCACACAAGAAACGATTACCACAGTTGTATCATTTCAACTCCACCACAAATTATACCTGCAGGTGGAGTCCCGAAAAACGAGCCAAGGAAACAAAACAAGCTCGGAGGGTCGACCACGGTATTGTATCATGTTATGGAAGCGTCAGGTTTGAAATCGTCAAAGTTGAAATAATTTGTAATGCATAAAATGCATGGCCCGCGGTACGTGTGTTGCAGAGCAGGCACGTGAGGCCGATTGTAAGCCTGTTTGGGGTTACAGCTCGAGCTGCTAAAGTAGCATGAGAAAATCACTTTTGTTTGCCTAAACAGCATGACAAACTGGATTTAGGAACCGCCGAAATTTGTCATGCGCCACTATGCATGACAAATTATTTCAACTTTGTCGATTTCAACTCTGACACATCCATACATGTAATTTTTCCATGAGCTGCTTCTGCAGTCGTGCTGCTCGTGTCTTTGTCTTGCTCCTGGCTTTGCCTGTAGAAGTTGAAGTCTTGCACGAGCGTAGTACTCAGCACTTCTGATTTGCACTGCAATTGCAGCAAGAACAGTTGATCTGCATGTGCTTTATGATTGGTCCTTTCGCGGCCAATAAAAAACCACGACACAAATAATCATTTAAAATGAGGTCACCGAACAGCCTCCGGACCAAGAAAAGTCCAACGCCTCGTCCAACACAAATTCGAAGGGAGCCAATAGATCTTCTTCCTCCGGAACCTCGTATGAGGTGGACGCTTCCATACTGCAGCAGCAACAGATAATGACAAACGCCAAGCATCAGAAGTCTTCCTCTTCCTCCAGTAAGGCCGGAAATAAAGACTCAGCAGGGGCCCTTACCTCCTTCCAGCAACAATCAGTAGAAAAGCTTTTCATGCACGGCAGCATTTTGTCGCCCAAACCCAGCGGCATCAGGACGCCCCCGAAAACTAGTCTCGTGTTCTCCGGTACTTCTACAGGTGGAGCAAACAGCAGCAGCGGATCGAGCAGTAGCGCCATGACCACTAGCGGAGGCGCAGCCCCCGCCGAGGAGGTAGACCAAAACACGGACTTGGTTTACCTTGCTACCGGCCTAACGGAGTATCGGATTGCGGCGGACGGGCAAACCGTCCTGGATAAAAAAACCGGGAAACCGATTCCAAACTGCCCAACTTTGGATCTACTGGAGCAGCAAAGGTGGTATGCATTGCAAAAGAATCGTACTCGTATAAATGCATTACAAATTTCCTCAGCATGAGAAAGAAAATTTGTAATGCTGATTTACCTTAGGAAATAGATTTGTAATGCATGATTGCAATACGAGTACGATACTTTTGCACAGGATAGATGGATGCTCGGCGGGTTGGGGAACAAACGCGAGAAATCGGGTTCCAGTGACTACGAGACGAAAACTTACGAGGTTGTGGTATGAATTGAAACAGTAATAATATCGCCTCAGTAGTAATCGCAATTGCAAACTCCAACTCGCTCTCGCTCAGCATGACCACAAATGGAATTTGTCATGCCATTTGTCATAATCACGATAATATATATTATAATATATTTCACCTTGGGAAGAACAAGGTAATTTGTACTGAGGCATCACTGTATTAATTCTAGTTACTTTTGCTACGAACGCGATATTTTTGCACAGAATATCTGGACGGGAACAACAACACTAGACGAGGTATCAGCAGCAACAGTTCTCACGGCGACATCGAGTGGACCAGCACTCCGCGAACAGAACAAGAAGCGAAGGAACAAAAGATCATCCAAGAGGATCAGCAGAAAAAGCGGCAAGAATTGCGGTCGCAGTTCGTGGAGCAGAAAATGCTCGGCAAGCTGCTCTTATCGGGAGAGCGAACGACTGCTGGGCTACCACTCCCCGGTTTGAGCGACACTTCCACAGTCGATATGGACAATAATTTGAAACAGACCTCCTTTGTTGCTGGAGCAGCTGCGGCCGGGTCCGCCGCGGGAGCAAAACGCATTACCCCGTCCGGGACGCATTCCGGACCGCTCGTCGCTGGTGGGGGAACCGCTTCGCTGAGCAGCAACATCCACTCCGCGACACCCTCCACCGAATTTCGGGGTCGGCTCCCTGCAAACGCGGATGAGTTTCTGCGGCGGAGCACGGATATGCTGAGCCGGGTGAAAAACGCGGAGACCGCCGTGGATCCGTTTGATCAGTTAGGCCCGCAGGGAAACCTCCAGCAGTCCACGGCAAAACAGAAGAACCAGATGAAGATCCGGGAAATGCGGGGCCAGCGACGAACCTTCGCCAACCACAGCTACGTGACCGGCACGCAGTATGGAAGCCTCAGCTTAGAAATCCTCACAGTGAAAATAATTTGTAATGCAAAAAAACGACTCCAGTTGGAGCATCGCTTCTAGTCGGCGCATGACAAATTTCCCGGGCACCCAAAGCGTGTCTGTCATGCTAGTTAGGCAAAGGGGTGCCCTTCTCTCATGCTAATCAGCAGCCCAATTCTGAACCCGTAGAAGCAGAATAGTCGGCCTCCATTGCGTTCTCTGCAATACAGTCTTTTTGGTGTCGCATTTCATGCATCACAAATCATTTGCACTTTGAGGATTTCCATTCTGAGGGTGTCATACGCAGCCCTCCCACCGAGGCACCTTCGCAAACCACAACCCGGAATCGGTGGCGGAACAGCGGGACTCGAGCCCACAACTGGGGCAACCGAAGCGGATCCGGGCGACGTTTCAGCGTGCGCAGACCTTCCACGCAACCGCGGACGATTCGCAGGTAGGATTTTTTTTGTTTTTTTGCATAAGAAATTGCTTTGTGTAGGAGCGAAACAAACTGAAACGCGAGTTATTCTTCTTGGTCGCCTCGGCGCTCCCTTGTTCTCGGACCTGCGTGACTACAAATGTAATTATCAGGAGTACAACTATGGGTCCTCGAACATCACATAAAAAAACGCATCTCACCAGATGAACGCGCAAGCCAAGCAGCACTTTGCGGAGTCCACCGCCCAATGGCGCGCGAATATGCGTTGCAAAAGTATCTTCGTGCCAGAATCACATGACAAATTTGAATTTCGTCAGGAGGATCATGATAAATGAAATTTGTAAATGCGGACTCACCTTAACCTTCAGACTATGGCGCATGCCTACGATTTCGATTACTACGAGTATGAAGATATTACTTTTGCTATCCATAGCGCAGTTCCTCCGGCAAAGTTCCCAGAACATGACCGCGGTACTGACCGAAAAGCCGGGCCACATGTGGTCAGCGACGGACGTTTTTGACAAATCTTCGCCGGATGTCGTCTCTTATGCATTCTTGCAAAAGTTGCATCGCACTTTTCCTCTAGAAGTGTACATCGCATCTCGAATGATATATCGAATTCAAAGAAATGTAGTAAAAATGCGGAACTTGCATTTGCAATGCTGCTCCACCTGGCATAAAAAACATAACTCGAAAATAAAGGATGATATACGAGAAGTACTAGATGCGAAAAACGCTTCTCCAAATGCGATTCTACACCCACTTTTGCAGAGTATATCCACTCCTCCTCCCGCGGGGCCGGGGGTGATATGGAAGCGTCAGGTTTGAAATCGTAATCGACAAAGTTGAGAGAGTTTGTCATGCATAAAATGCAAGTGCCTGTCTTGCCGGGATGGCAAGTAAGGCCGACTGTCAGCCTGTTTAGGGTGTGAAATAGAGCTTCTAAAGTAGCAAGACAAAAGCAGTCGTCTGTGCCCAAACAGCATGACAAATCGGATTCCGGTGCTCGGGAAATTTGTTATGCACCGCTTGAAAATTGGGCTTCCAACTGGTATTGATTTTCTGCATCACAAGCCATTTCAACTTTGTCGATTTCAAACCTGACACTCCCATAGGTGACGCGGGGAGTTTTACCGAAAATGGCGTTGAAAAGTACGATATCCTGTGCAAAAGTATCGTACTCGTAGTAATCGCAGTCATGCATTGATTACAATTTGCAAATCTTCATCCCAAGGTAAAACAGCATTACAAATTCAATTTGTAATGCTGAGCCAATTTGTATTGCGATTTGTACTAGTGCGATACTTTTGCAGCGCATATACGAGGACGGGCCCGCGCCGCGGATGTCGTTCCGGGGACCGAGTGGCACACTGCAGAGCCTGGAAACCAGCAGCATTCCGGAAAATGAGCAGTTCGAGGAGAACACCAGTGCGTCGGAAGATGACAAGGAAAACATGATTCCGAAGGCAACACGGCGAGGGGGAACGGCGGACAGTTTGTGGGGAAGGTGATTGGAGGGAAGGGAAGATGATCAGGTCGACGACTAGAACTAGATCCTACGTACTTATAACGTTCTTGTGCAGATCCAGATCAAGATGACATAGAACAAAAATTACAAAGAAAAAAACACCTCCTAGGGCGGCAACTTGCGTGCTTACTAGAACAAAAAGCTTGATGGTAAAGTTAAAGTGATTGTTGATTCAAGATGATCGGCGAGTATGAGTCCTAAAAGTAGAGTGCCGCATAATATTGATACATGACAAAAAAAATGTTATTTCTTAGTGTGCTGATGAGTGATCATGTAGTCTCGCTTCTTCAATATCCCAGTTGGTTTGCGACCCTTATGTCGGACTAGTAATGACTATGACAGTTACAGTAAGTTACTTGCTACAGACGAAGCGTGCTTCTTGTTTAGTCTTCTGAGGAGCCACCTGACGAGAGAAAAATTCTTTTTTCAAGGAGGAGACGAATCACCTTCCTTGACGCTGTTGAAAAATTCAGATCAGATCAGATTTAATTTAGCATAGCATAGCATGGGGTTTGGCGTGTCGGAACTTTAAGAGTGCAGCCGACTTTTTCATGAACTAGAGCTCGACCACGCGTACTATTCTAGTAGAGGCGGCTAACAGTGATGCTTGTACCCCGCCCGCGATACAAATTCCCCGGGCCGTATAGCATGCCTATTGGGTGGGACTGGGAATTTCGGCCACTGAGCAAAACCCGACAAGCACACCGAAAGTCTTATACCGGTCGATGCTAAAGCTTCACGCGCCGCAACCAGAGCACCGGCTGATTACCCTAAACCCTGTTTAAGTTATCAAGCACTTACTTTTTACTATTCGTCTAATACAAGTTCCCATTTGCATGCATCTACACCTCGGCCTGGATCATTTTGATCTTTTTCTTTTCGTTTTTTTTTTTTATGTACCCTGAACCCCTCCATCAAACTTCCCATGTACGTGCAAATTGCCCGGCCCACACGGACGCCTCTTTTCCCTAGTGGGAATATACTCGTGTACTGGTGGGGACAGCCCGCTGCGCACTGGACTCGCCGATGGGAATTTACGATCTAGTTGCTTTTTGTTTTTCGTACGAAAACTTTTTGATCTACTTGAACTGCAGTACTGTAACGCTATATATAAAAAAAAATTTTACCACCTTCTTGTTTTTTTTTGGCCGAGGTGTCTAAGGCGCTACTAGTGCCACTGATCCGCACAGTGGGCTTCCGCGCTACGAATATTTGTAGGTCGTCGAAGGTGGGCGCTACGCGGAATGTACTACACGAGCAGGCCTATGGTGGCGGCCACGGCGATGCAGTCACGCAGACCGCCATGCAAAACTAACTAGCCTCGCCATGAGGTCCCCGCGAACGCCACGCCTGTCGCCGCATCTGCTGACGCAACAGCAGTGCGAGGGATGGACTATGCTAAGCCTCTTCGGGCATAAGTTATTCATCCCTTTTTGTAGTAGTACTACCGGTCGGCGTGCTATGTAAGGTTAAGTCCCTAGAGCACCAGGGGAGCTAAAAAACAAGTTCTTCACCGCCGGGCGCTACACTAGTGCGACAAAAACAAGTTCTGAAAGTCCACAAACGTCCGAATTGTTCGAAAACTTTCCGCTCCACCGTAGTGGGTTCACTTGCTCTTTGGAAACAGCAATGGCGTAGAGAATGATGGTAGCAAAGGAAGACTAAAGCTTACTTGTGACTAGACAAAGTGATAAAGATTGAAGAGCAGGTGCTTACGACTGGGCAATCAAAGAAATAGACAGATCTTTTATATTAACTAGAAAAAGTTTATATGTTATGTGTTTGTTTTGGCTCGGCTCGGCTCGGCTGTCGGCGAGTGGCGAGCGGTGGGGCGGTCCAGAACTTTAAGAGTACAGCTGGAGCTTTCATGAGCTAAAACTTGACCACGCTTACTGCTATAGTAGAGGCGGCTAACGATGAACCTGCGCCCCTCCCTCGTGTCATACAAAAACCCAGGGCAAATACGCATGTATATAGGGTTCCAGAACTTTAAGAGTGCAGCTGGAGCTATTCATGAGCTAACTCTTGACCACGCATACTAAGTTCTAGTAGAGGCGGCTAACTAACTACTAAATTCTAGTAGAGGCGGCTTTTTTGTAAATACTCATAAAGAGTAAGTTTACAAATGCTCGCTCGAAAGCGGCGGTAGGGACGTTGTGTAACTAGAAAAAAGCGATAAGGGAAAAGAATAAAAAGGCTGTTGCGCTTGCTTTTTGGCTTTGGCCTGGGTCGCTCGCACGCTGCTACTACAGAAACTGCCTGGCAAAGCTTTAGACTGGTCCTGACCTCAACTTTAGTACTGCTTGGCTTTTAAAAATGTTGCGCGTGACTCGTTTGCCTAACTACTGTGATGTGTGTCGTGGGCAATTGTGATGTGAGATACGTTCCTCGTTCGCCAATCTTCCTATTCTATGATTAAGTTCAATTATTAATCTTATAGAAAGACTGCACGAAGGCCGGTAAATCAAAGGCGACATACTATAAAGCTAAACTGGACTCGAATCGGATCAAACAGAAGGGAAACTGAAAAGTGAAACAGTAAAAATCTAAATTCCGAAAGAATTGATAGAAAAAAGGATGTGTGAAGATCCAGCTCGGCCAGAATATCGCGAAACCATGGCCCGGCTGAACAGTTAGCTCCTCGTATGAAAAAATATTGCTGCCGCTGTGATCCTCTGCAACTCAATATTTGACAGGGCAATATCTCTCGACAATAGGCTTTGAAACCACACAGCCTAGGGCCTTTTGTCCGAGAACGCAGCGAGTATTGCACCAGGCAGCAGATACAAGGGCTGAGTAATAAGTATTACTTATTAAAGTAAATTGGAAAAAAAATGGCTTCGACTGGCACTACAGTGTGCTAGTTCTAAAAGAAGACAGTCATGGTTTTGTTTGACACGATTCTCGCGCAACTTTCATCCAATCTTGCTACGAGGCCAGGGAAAGCGACAGCATCAAGAAATATCTAATAGTACCGTGCAAGCCCTTCAATCCCTCTTCGTTCTCGCAAGTTGAGTGGACGTCTCGCTGACCGAGAGTCTACTACTTCTGAGCCCGGTTGAATACAGAAACATCGTGTAGCAGATCTTTCTATCTTTAGCACTCTACTTTCCTTAAAAAACAACTCGGCGCGTCGAGCTCCAGGCATGTCTGTTCAAAAACTGCATAAATACTTCCGCACTCCCCTGCAAGTTATACAAGTTGCGCAACGTGAACTTTGTGCATGCAGCAACGTTTATCTGAATCGCGAGAGAGTGCTTGGGGAAAATGTAACGAGGAAGATCGGAAAATGAAACCACTCCTTTCATCTGGCTTCAGGGGCGTCGGAACCCCTTCGACATGTCCCGCGTCTTCGGCAGTTTGGTTGTTGGTCCGACGAATCGAAACTCACGTGGATCCATGGTAGGCTGGTGTGCTGGTCGGACATGCGGCACAGACCCGGCAGCAACCTCCGCTTTTCTCCGGGTGGAAGAACTCGGCACGAACAGCTCCGACTTCTTGGTAGCCACTGCTGCGCGCCGGGGCTTCAACAGCTTCTTCGCCACTTTCCGGAAATCGAAGAGCGTTTTCCCCTGGGCCACAATTTTCTTGCGGAGCGGGTCGATGGTGGTCTTCTTGATGTGACGTTGCATTCGTCCCGAGCGGCCAGGGTGCTCGACGCGCTCCATTTTCGCCTGTCTCCATCGTGTCATGAGCTGAATTAAGCCTGCCTTCTGAGCCTTCGTTCTACACTTTCGCTGCTTTTGCCAATTTTTCATTGGGGCTTTGGTGTTCATGTTCACCTTGTACCTTCTGAGGATCGCCTTTTTCCGGCTTTTGAACGCTCCTACGATTGCTCCTCGATTCCATTTTCTTTTTTGCTTCATCGAAAACTGGGTTACCCCGGGCACGCCGGTGTTGGACTTGCTATTCGCGTGTTTCGATTTCCCTGGCTGCGCTGCTCCCGACACGTTCAACGCAAGCCGTCGAAACAGCTTTGCGTCTTCTAATGCTTGGCTGCGGGGCGGCGTTCCAGAACTTTAAGAGTGCAGCTGGAGCTATTCATGAGCTATAACTTGACCACGCTTACTAGTTTTAGTAGAGGCGGCTGACTGCTTCTCGTTTTGTACGTATTTGATGGCTCCTCCACAACTCAGCTTGAATTTTCATTATCGAACTTAAATAAACAGGACGTGGATAGCTCCGTGTACATCTTGAGATTGAACTTTGAAGAAGAAAGCTTCAGCAATGTAGATTGATTTGGTTCGTCGAGCTCTGTGTTCCTATGTCGTGTCGGTTTCTCGGGTGTTCTGCTGCTGTGTCGGGATCGGGTCAGGAGAGAGACAGATAGTTGCCGTCGCGCTTGATGCATCATGTCTGTCGTATTTGTGTCCTAACTGCGAGCGATCGTCAGAACGTCCCGGCTCGTGAAGCCAGCAAGTGGCCGCTGTAGGAATGCCCGGGCCAGGCCTTCAATGTCGTCCGTGACAGGCTCAGCGGCCCCGCTTTGTGTTCGGGCTCGTCTCCGCCTTAGAGCAGAAGCGGAAACTCTCCGAACTCGCGAGCGAGAAAATTGCGAAAATGCGGGAGGACAGGGACAAAGCGGGCGCGGCGGGGCGGGCCCCCGGCCGGCTTAACGCGGTCCGGCAGGCGCACGAAGGGCGGAGCCTGCGCGCCGATTCCTGCAGGAGTGTCCTGGATTGTGTTAGCGATTACACACTCAGCCGGGGCGCGGCATCTTTGCGCTTCCTCCGCGGGCGCCTTCCCGACATGGCTTGGGGCACGCATTCCACGCCAGGAGCATCGTGGAAGCGAGGCGCTCGCGTCCAAGATGCTCCGCGCCGCCTTCCTCGACGGACCTCGGCCCGGCAGGGAATCGAATGGCCGGCGTATCGAAGACGGCCGGCCGGCATTCCGGGGGGATGGGGCAGGGCGCGCGCCCTTGGCCCGCCTGGTTCTGGTGGCAGGCTGGGTTGCGTCGTGGGGCTGTGGTGGCGCTTACATTTGCAGCGCTTCGGGCCTGGGGCGCGTTGCTGGTTCGGTGCCCGGGCTATCTCTGTCGTATTTCGTCAACTAGCACGCTGCGAGGGCGCGCGCCCTAGTTGTGCCAGCGCCCGCGAATGTTCGCAGCCACCCGCCCGGGACAGTCAGAATCCGGCGGGGCCGCGCAAAGCAATGGCCGAAGAAGCCGCGGTTGGCGCGCCCGGTTCGCCTAGTCCCGTGCGCCGTTGCCTGCCAGCTTAGTTACCCTGTTGCCCACGGGCGCGCCCTTTTCGCTTGTAAATCGGGTGCTGCCGCCAGTCAGTGGTCGGGTTCGTTATTAGGGCTCTGGCGTGCGCGTGGAAGAAGCAGCCCTTGTCATACAAACATGCGAGCGCGCGCCGCCGGTGATGTTTCCTTTCATAAATTATCTATCAGTGTGCCATTGTTATTGATCGACGCCTGCCGCCAATGTTGTAGAGGCGGGCGAAGCTATCGCTTTCGAGTTCCACGTCTAGCGTGGCCGTTGTCGTCGCTCGCCCTCGCCGATGAAGATGAGTCTTTGATAGATTTTCTTCGAGCGCAGAGTGTCTTTGTAGTGTTCGTTGTTGGACGATCGTCGACAACCACATGAGCAACATGATTAACAGGTAGGATATAGAGAACCTAAAGCGGTTGTCGGCGCATGTGATAATCCTAATCGCCTTCCTCGTAGTCATCGATCCTCATCTACCGAAGAAAAAGGATTTTTTCTCTTTTTCATCAGTCCTCTAGAGCTCGTCGCTCTTGCTCTTGGAGGCCTAAAGGTAAACTACGAGAAGCAGAAAGCTGACGCAAAATTCGCACTGAGTTTAGTATTCTGAGACGATGACAGTGTCTGTCGGAAGCTACGCCTCTCTTTCAGGCGGTCTTTTGTCCACCGAGGCACAGCAGATGTTTGGAACGCCGATGTCTTCCCCGTCACGCCTAGCTTCGAAGAGCAGCAAGGGCAGCGGAATGACTACCGTGACAGCTGAACATCTAGATCAAGTAGGAAGTCATTATTTTCACACAACAAGAAGAATCAACGCCCCAGCACGCACGAAAAGCAAGCGCTTCAAAAATACGTCCTTCTTCGTCGACTGTCGGCTGTACCGCAACCCACTGAATTCCATCAACTGGAAGGAGCGGCTCCACGCGCACTTCTACCCGCCTGAACACGAAGCGGAAAGGGAGATTTGGGATAAGGGAAGTGGCTGGACGCATTCTTGGAGATTACTCTACCGCAAAACCCCGCTGAACAAAGACCCGGACATGCTGGAAACGGAGAAGTGGAGTGACGACTTGGAAACGCAGTGCGCGCACGTCCGGGATTTGTTCCAGCGGAAACAGATCCGGTACAACGACGACGTGAAGACCGCCCCGCCGCCGGTGTTGCAGCACGGCACCCCGGTGGAATGGTTCCAGTCCATCCGGGCGGACGGGCTGCGGGGGATTGATTGGATCTACGACACGGCGAGCGACATCTGGTTCCGGTGCACCACGCACATCAAGCCGATCATGAAATACCCACAGTTCGAAGAGGACGACCAAAGGATGAACTGCTCGGTGTTCGAACCAAGCAAGCGGAAGGACGGGAAGTGTGGTTTGCTGGGTAGGTGGTGCAACTACAATTCGCAGACGATGCGGACGCAGTGTGTGGAGAAAGCGGAAAATTTTCCGGAAACGTCCATGCCAAATCCCCCGTACTGGGACAAACAGCAGTGTGTGTATTTGGGGGATCACGACGAAAGAATACCCAGAGATTGGAGAGGCGCCAATGCGAGTTACGAAGTGTATTTTTTGTAGAAGAGATGGCGGAAATAAATGGAAAGTCCTTGAGCAAGATGAACGCAGAATAAGTTGTGACGTCCTCTTGTCTGCACCATGACTGTGGTGCTATGCAAAGCATTTTTGTAGGAACTGGAACAGGGAGAGGGATATAAATTATGAACGGTGAAGTAGATCAGGATCTGTTTCTACCAGAATTTTCTTTTGCGAATTTGTACGATTAGGAACGAAGTGTGCTTTCAGTAGGCCTTGAGTTTTTGGTCTCGCCTTTCGGAAATCGTGGTGGTGAAGTTGTATGGGCCGCAGCGACAGGGGTCGTTCGCGCACCTCCTCCAGACTGCAACCTGCAGGCTCTAGTTCCGATTGCGTGTAGCTGTAGATGCTATAATCGTAAGTATCTGTAAAAGCAAGAAAGTTGTTCACTGTTCGTCGTGTGGTCAACCGCTAGGCGCAATGCAGATGCTACTGCACGTCCTCGCACCAAGGACTCACATGATTCTGAATGCGCCGTGATGCCTTGTGACTGTGAGCGACAGACAAAATGAGAATCCAAACTGGGTCGTGCGAGAGAATGTAGTAGAAAGCTTCACCGTATTGATAGAGAGAATTCCAAAGTGCGGGCTTCCTTTGTGATGCCGGAGAGCAAAGACGTGCGTGCCGGCGTACGCCGATGCGTTGTCAATAATCAAATAAAAGGCATGCTGTGGTCAAATTGGTCGCACTCTTGTGAAAATAAATAAATATTATCATCTGTTCTTTTTGAAGCATCTGCATCTGCTTTGTGCTCCGCGTTGGTGCTACAGACTGACTCTACCTGGAACCCAGCAAGGCGACAATATTTATCGCGTTCGCGCCATATTTCCATCGCAAAATGTCCACCGCCGCAATTCCCGGGTACCCGGACAAGACTCTCTTGTCGACCGAGGATGAGAATTCTTTTTCCGGACCACACCAGCAGCATAAAGCTGCGACCAAACAAGAACTATTCGCACACAACACCACCGACAACGACATCGCCCGCACCAGCAGTGCGACTTTGACCCGCACCACCACGCGGGCGTCCAGGTCTTCCTCTGAAGACGAAGGGGGTGCAACGGGAACAACTTCTTCGTCCGACACCGACGATGAAGCGCAAACGAAGTCGAAATTGAAACACCAAAACCTCTATCAAATGTAAAAATGTCTGGGTCTGGAAGATTCTGACACTTGTCATGCACGTTTTGCGTGAGCCATGATGTCTGTGATGCATACCCGAGCAATACAGATTTTCTGAGGGCTTCTTGATGCGTATTCCGCATGACAAATGCCTTCTCAGCGTAGCAAAAATTGCATTTCCTTTGGTACTCATGCAATACAGATTTTTTTGGAATCCAAATGCAGCATCACAAGTTGCATTTTTCCAGACCCAGACACTTTTACATTTGATAACCTCCGCGACACCGAGTTTTTGAAGTTCATCGAGCACGACAGCCAGGTCCACCTATCCACAGAAAAACACACATCCACATCCATTTTTTGCATGACAAACACATGACTTGATGCGTGTTCTGCATGACAAATTGGATGTGCGTGGGTTTTTTTCTGTGGATACCACCCGGAAAATTTCAACTTGGAGGATCTCCTATGCATTGCAAAAGTATCGTACTAGTATAAATCGCAATACAAATTTTTCCAGCAGGAAAAATGGTATTTGTAATGCTGACTTGGCGAAGAAGCAAGATTTGTCATGCATGTTTGCAATTAGTACGAGTGCGATACTTTTGCGCAGTATATCTTCGGAAGGCACTGCCGAAGAAGTGTTTCCAGAAGGATTTGGCGCGCTCCCTGAAGTGGATGGTGTTCGATCTAGCGGTCGTGTTTTCCGCGTTGACGGGGTTGAAGATGTTGTACCGCGGGGAGTTGGACGGTTTCTTGTTTCTCGACAATTCATCGTCGTTAATCAGCACCAGTAGTCAACAGCAGGAAAACAACAACATCAACATCAGCAGTTTCCACACTTCTATCCTGCTCAAACCCGTCCTGGCGATTTTCCTCTACTGGCTCGCGGGGTTTTTCATGTGGGCGAATTTCGTCGTCGGTCACGACTGCGGACACGGAACGTTCAGCAACAATTCAAATATCAACTTCTTCTTCGGAAACTTGACCCACGGGGCGATCTTTGTGCCGTTTCAGTCCTGGGCCCGGAGCCACCGGTTTCATCACATGTACCACAACCATCTGGACAAGGACTACAGCTTCCCCTGGGCCCACGATCCCAAGTTCGACAAGGCGTGCAGTTTATGACAGTGCACAACTCCCCCTCCCCCTCATTTGTCATGCAAAATACCCAATTTACCCTTTGCCTCTTAGCACTGTTTGCATGACAAGTTTTGGTAGCCCAAATAGCACTTTAATCCAGTGCAAATTTGTCATGCAAAACGAGCATTCTTGCTGATGCTTGTATTGCCGTTCATGCTATACAAATGAGGGGGAGGGGGAGTTGTGCACTGTTATACAGTTCGCTCGTGAAAAACTACCCGGCGATTCCCGCGGCGGTGTACCCGGTGTTTGGCTACGCGTTTTACCTGCTGTATGGGAGTGCGAGGATTGAAATCGTTAGAGTTGAAGTGATTTGCTATGCATAAAATGCAGCCCATAGAACGCCTGTCTTGCAGAGGAGGCAAGTGAGGCAGATTGTAAGCCTGTTGAGGGGTAGAAGCTGAGCTGCTGCAATAGCATGACAAGAGGAGCTCTTCCTTACCTAAACAGCATGACAAACTGGATTTCGGTTCTACCCAAATTTGTCATGCGCCACTTGGAATCTGGGCGACGGCTTTCATGTCCGTTTTATGCATTACAAATCATTTCAACTTTGTCGATTTCGATCCTGACAGATCCATATGCTGTGGCCCCAACAGTACGGAGGGGTGGACGGGACCCACTACTTTCCAAACGTCTTCAGCGGATGCAGGTTGTGGGAAAATGTGGATACGCAGGTATAAATAAAGAAGTTTTGGTCTTCGTGTGAAAGTAACTAGAGATGAAGATCGCAATGGATCATTTCGTTTTTGTATGAAGATGAAACAGCATGACAGATTCGCTTTGAGGATCGTGGTGTTTGTGAGTGATTTCGCACATCAAACCAAATATCATACCTTAAAATCAGGAACTGATCAAGTGCTGGATTTCCGTTTTCGTCGTCCTTGCTTACGGGTACTGGTACACGCAATGTTTCTTCAACGGAAATTTCTCGGAGTTCGCGATTGTATACCTTCCCGCTTGGTTCACCATGTGCTTCTACCTCTACACCGTCACCTACCTGCAGCACCACAACCCGACCGTGAAGGTGTACGACAATACCACCTGGAAATACTCGACCGCCGCGTTTGAAACCGTTGACCGCACGTTCGGGTCGGTGATTGACTTGTTTCACCACCACATTTATGCATTGCAAAAGTATCGTACTAACTCGTACTCGTGGTGATTTCAGTCATGCATGACAAATCTGGTTACTTCCCTCATTCAGCATTACAAATTCCATTTTTCCTTCTGGCAAAATTTGTAATGCTATTTCTACTAGTACGATACTTTTGCAATGTATAACATCACCGATTGCCACGTGATCCACCACCTGTTTTTCACCAAGATCCCGCACTACCACTTGAAGGAAGCGACGATTGCGATGCAGGGGTGGTTGAAGGAGAAGGGATTGTACGAGGAATTGTACCAATTTGAATACACGCGGGACTACTTCCTCCGGGTGTTCCAATACATGTACTCGCATTCCACCCGGGCGAAGTTGCTGACCAAGGATGAGAAGTTTTTTCTGGAGGAGGAGGGTGATGAAGCTGTGAAGAAGACGATGTGAACGTCGGTGGATCACCACGTGGTAGAGAAGGATGAAGAAGGGTGGAACAAGAAAGTTAAGCAGCAGAAGTAGTAGACACTTTATCTACTTGAGCTACGACTTTTTCTTACTACTATATCAATCTCAATCTCTTGTTTTTCTATAAGCGCATCCGGAATCAAATGTTGATATTAGCGCTTCTTCCATCTTCATTCAAAAACCTGAGAGCTGCAACATTCTTGTGCCACGATTCTCAACTGAGAGCAACCGTTTCTACTACACAGCTGCGATTTGTAAGATGAAAGGACCGCGATGCTTAGGGTGCTCCTCTTCGACTAAAAATATCTTTGTTTACCTGCTTTACTTTCCGCAAGGCAGGCTGTGCAGCACCATCGTTTTTGGCAGGACAAAAAACCACAGAGAACATTCTCATTTTAGCGAAAAATATGAATCGATATAATGCCTAAGACCTAAGCGTAAGAACTCAACAAACAAACAAGAATTGAACGCCACGTCGAGGCGCAATTTATCGACTATGAATTCGAACTATTTTCCTTTATTTTGAAATGTCGATTTTCATTTTGGTTTCAATTTTTCCATTTCCTGAATATCATGAGCGGATTGCTTATGTCGAATGCAGACCGACATGTCAGTTGTTTTTCACACTGACTATTCACTTGTACAGATTTTTGGCACACACTTCGTTGCACTTTTTTTGGATTGACTAGGACCAGCGAGTGGAGGAGCCTGCTCGTCGTTGTCACTCATAGCAAAAAAAAACATTGCACAGCTTCGCTTTTTGTTTTGTTAGTGTTTGACGGAAACAACGCAGAAGCAATGTACCATGAGTTAGGAGCTACATATTTCTCCTTCTTGTAACTGCAGCATTTTTTGTCTTTATTGCCGAATAGAGGCAGCGGCCGAAGGAATGATTTCATTCGACAGCTGGCCGGCCATGTTAGCAGATTGGCCCAACGAGTCGATGAAGTAGTTGTCGCTGATATTTCCAAGAAAATGTACACTCATGCGACTTCTACAGGGCAGCAAGGTAGTACCATGAAAAGCATGATGCTCAACATGATCATCAGCAACTGAATCTTCCTGAAGGAGACATTTTTTTTTGCAACCTTGAGATCATGATTGACCACACGAAAAAGAAAGTTGCACCACGAGGCAGCCGCTACAAACCAGACAGGTCACGAAATTGTGAGTCACCTTCTTGGGTGTCGTGTTTCGTGTTGGTGGCGCATGCAAAAGCAAATCTACATTTTTGTTGAGAGGTCGTTCATCAAATTTGTTCTCCTCTCAGTCGTGGTTCTAATCTTCTCTCTTCAGATACTCGAGTGGTTTCGGCGGAGATGTTGAGCGAAGAATTCTTGGAAGTGATGTGATCACGAGGAGATGAGAAAGATCATAAGCGTGTCTAACTCACTCTAAATGTCCTTCTACCCGGAGCGGAAGCTTTTCCTCCGAGACCGAGCCTAAGGCTGAGAAGGAAATAACATATATGAAAAAGTGTTCGAGTTCGTAGTTGTTGTCTGATTAGTGTGGTTATTAGTGCCGGTAGTGGTGTGGTGTTGATTGTTTTTCTTCGCAGGTCTTCTTGCTTGCGGTGGGCGCCTGCGGGATGCACGGCGAAGAAGTCGCGGCGCAGCTTGCGGAGTGGGCAGATCGAAGGCGCCGCAAAGCCGCTTCGATGAACCCGATGCCGATGGGGCAACGGCGCCGCCAAGAACCACTTCTCCACAACGCGACGCGCGCCATGCCGATGGAATCTTCCAACGAAGCGCCGCGCGCGACAATCAGAAGCGGCGCCCGCGATGTGTGGCGCCTGCTTTTCTGGTCCCCATGCCTGTGCGCCAGGGGGGTCGTCCTGCCGGCCCCGAGCCTTTGGGCGGTGTGGCCGGCCCCGCGGGGGCCCATCACGTAGCTGGGCGCCGCGCTGCCTAGATGCGGGCGCGCGCCCGCCAGTGTCTCGGCGGGTGGTTGCTTGTGGTGCGCGCCATTGGAGTGAGCCCCGCCCGGCCCGTGGCCCGCCGGTGCTTGGCGGGATTATGATTGAATGCGCCCCGTCTCTCAGGCATCCCGGCCAGGCCGGCGCTTGCGTGCCGGCTGCGGCGAGTCTCTCTGCAAGATTTGCGCCAGCACGCGCGCGCCTCGTGTCGAGGCTCGTTGCGCGAGCCTGGATGTGGCGGAGGGCCACGCGGTGTGTTTCTGTTGCAGCTGAAGTTTGGCTCATGATCATGGTGCTCCTGGGCCACGATATGCTCTGTCCTGATGAAGTAGAGTTGCAGCCTCTGTCCTAATTTGATGGCTTACGATTTGAAAAGGGCAAAACACAAGTGGCCGGCGTACTTGTTCACATCCTCCATGACGATTACAGAACCCTCTGTCCCGCAGTAGGGACGAGGGTTTTGGTACTTACTTACGTCATAGTGTCGTGAGGGATGGCTGTAGACAAATTATCAAGCCGGACTCAGCGATGATTTTTGTCCTCGAGTAAAACAAGTCCATCTGGTGAGAGCGAGAGGCAGCAATGGATGGATCACTCGTTGCAGTGGCAACTGCGGCGAGTCGAAAGCATCATCTGTCAGAGAGTACATTATCGGAGAGCTGCTTCCAAAAAAGCGTCTTGGCCTTGTTATCTTCATGTTTTGTGTTGTTCTTATTTTGCCCCTCATCTACATCTTCGTTTTCTTAGCCAGGCGACGGCCGAAGATCTGTACGGGGACGGAGCAGGAACAACGTCCTCCGTATTTACCTCGTTTACGATCAACAAGAACTACATCTGAGTGCATTTCTATCCACGACCCAGATCAACAACCAAGCAAAGATGTTGGCGAAACGGTACGCGGAGATGCAGCTGAACTCGCAGGCTGCGGTGAAAGCGAGAGCAAAGTCTGCGCAGAAGCAACGCCCCAGCGGCGCGGAGAAACGGGTGAACGTGAACCAACTGAAGGAATTATCATGTGTAAAAGCATCCCCACACCATAGTCCAGATGGGAAGTCTGCAACACAAATCTCCAAGTTTTGGGAGTTCTGCATGACAAGTTTGGCCTCATAGTGTGATCCTGTTTAGCTAGTTGAGCAGCATCGCAGATCCAGCGCAGCATGCCAATTGGAGCATGACAAATTGCGAAACGCGACTAATAAAAGATGCCTCTCATGGGGCTCCGCATGAGAAGCATTTTTACCATGCAGATTTGCATGACAACTCTGGGGTGGGGACGTTTTTACTCAGGATAGGAATTCTACCTGAAACGCCTCGAAGTGCAAAAAACCTCCCATCTCACCGGCTCTTCCGCGGCCGGCGGCGCCTCCAGTAGCTCGGCGGGGAGCTCCAAAAACGGCTTGTCGGGTAGTAGCCAGAACATCTTCGGGACTACAGGTGGTCTAACCGGCAGCACAGTCGGCACGCCAGCCAGCACGTTCGGCAGCACTGTAAGTACGGTCGCGAAGAATCGGATCGCACTGCCGAAAGCAGACGCCAATACGGAAACGGTGACGTTGTGTTTGAACACGAATACGTTGGAGACGGAAAACTCGAAGTTGTTGGGAAAGAGTGGGACACCGCTGCACTTGGAATCGTTGGTATTATACCAGCAAAATTATCTGATGTGGATGTGCTCCTGCTGCTGCGCATGACATGCGTCCATTCCAAAAAGCAAAATAAATGAAACTGATCACGGTGCGATGCAAAAAAAACCCAACATCAAAACAGCCTCCCGTGGAGCGCGTCGAGAACTACAACAGCCGGCTCTCAAATTTTGCCCAGACGCTGCAAGAGAGGATTGAGAAAAACCAGCTGAAGGCAGGAGTGACAAGGCATTTGACGCAGGTGAAATACCATTTAGAAACGGCGTATGGATTGCAAAAGTGTCTGGGTCTGGAAGAGTTATCATGCAGCTTTTGCATGACGCAGAAGGTCTGGCATGGAAGCTCTAGCGTCACAGCTTTCCAGAAGCTTCCGCAATGCTGAATCCGCATGACAAATGCCCCATTTTGGTGACAGAAAGTGGGCGCCTTTTGCTACCTATGCATGAGAGATTTTTCTGTGTTCTCAAATGCGCATCACAAGTTTGCACTCTTCCAGACCCAGACACATTTGCATTTAATACGGCGAAAGGGTGGACCATGGGGTGTGTGGACATCGGCGTTTTGTCGGAGCACACTGTGGTTTATCCAAGAAAAAAACATTGTTGGTGTAAATTTGTGATGCGCAACATGCAAGACGATTGCGTCTGTCATGCTAAGCATGCTTCGTAGCGCCCACTAAAGGGCGTTTTCGTGACGTGCTATCTGCGCATGACAGGTTTTTGCTGTCGTGCCAGACGAATTTGTAATGCTGTTCCTCCAAAAAAGTTACACCTACAGTGTTTTTTTCTTGGATATGGTGTCTTTAGCGTCCATTGTGTCTTCCGCCCTCACACTGGTGCCGCAGGAATACGTCATTTCGAAACGGTATTGTCATCATCTGTTTGTGGCGGCTATACAAGGCCAAGTGTTCGATTGTCTTGCTTGCATGTGATTATTTCGTGCATCAGCAGCTGCGACTACAGCCACGGCGAAAAAATGTCTTTCCTCCATCAAATAAACAGGGTCCACACCATCGTGCGAGAAAAAGAGAAATACCTCCGAAAATTGAAGATAGAGGCCGGGCAGTTGGCAACACGACCGGAAGACGCTGATGACCTAGAGGATGCGGATGAGGTACGACTAGGAGATGTTGAGCAACGCTTTTACAAACGTGGTCGGCTGTGATTCACATCACTGCGGCACAAGCACGTTCTGTTACTGTCTCGCATAAACACATCTTCTCTCGTCCAAAATACGCAACAGACTGACTGTCTCTAACGACAACTCTCAGGACGAACGCGCGGACGGTGCGAAGTCGGAGGTCACCTCCGTTGTCGGGTTGTCGAGTTACTGCGGTACCGAAATCTCCGCAACGGATATTACCGCCACGAGTCGGGGCGGCACCGGACTGGCGCCGCCGATAAATGACGTCGCGAATCTGTCAAGTTTGCAGACGGAGTATCATGATATTGTTGAAATTCAATGCTTTCTTTTTTTTTCGATGAGAAGTTTGTCATTCGAGGAACTACATTCGCATTCTCTAGTGCTTTTTGCAGTTTTGCAACACAAATCCCACCAGCATGAACGCCTGCAAGACGGACGAGGACAAGCGAAGATGGTTCTACTCGCAGTGTTTGTATCCAGTGCAAAAGTATCGTACTCGTATAAATGCAAGTCTTGCATCACAAATCTTGTTCCCAGGGCAAATCAGCATATACAAATTTTATCTCTCATGCTGAGGAAATTTGTAATGCATTTATACGAGTGCGATACTTTTGCAGTTCATAGCTTGACAGTGAAACTCAAGTGTACGGACAAGGACAAGGCTAAGAAGACCCTGATCTCCGACATCTACAAGACCTGCCTGGTATTGAAAAAGTTCGCTGTTGTACGAACAACTTGTCATGCGAAAAAAATGACAAATGCAAAATAATCTGGCATGCTCATGGGTCAACATTAGTAAGTCCGCCGTGTATGTTGAAATTGTATCGTTTATCAGGAGCAGAAAATTCCGATGGAGAACTGGACTGCCTGGATTCACGAGCAGTTTGGCACGGAGCAAACCCCGGGCTCCGGTGCCCAGTCCCCTGCTCTTTCCCCCCCAATGATCGTCGGTCCGACGGTTCCGCAAACCGCGCCGAGTAGCTCGAGCTCGTCTCTTCTCGCAGCGACTACTAGTGCAGCAGCAGCAGCTGTAGGGAGATCTTCCACGTCCGGCGCAGCATCGTCATCCACTTCTGCAAATGCAATGATGAATAACTACAACAACTCTGCACTACCCCCGCCCTCCACCGCCGCCGGCAGTCTCCAGAAACCGCACCGAGCCGGGAGTAAATCATCCGGTGCGGGTAGCATGATCGTAAACCCGCCAGTAGGACAAGCCGAGCCGAGTAGTGTTGTCCAAAGACAGCTGAGCGGGGCATCGCCCATCAATCCGAACGCGGAATTGACCGCATCGAACCTCAATGCGCTAAACGAAAAGCTGAACCCCCCGACGACCACTACAGACACAAACCCCACCACCAGCAGTTACTGGCAGAGCAGCGCCCGTGGGCAGCGGAAAGACACGAGTCCACTGCCGGCCCCGCGGGGACCGATCGTACCCGCGCACCAGAGTGGCACGGCAACACCCCCGGTTCCGCTGGGAACAAGTGTGCCGAGCAGAGGTGCGGCGGTGATTCCCAGTATCAGCGGGTCGGAGAATGGGAACGGAGCTGCAGGAGCAGGAGTCACCGGCGGTGCCGGCGCAGCAGCATCATCACAGCCTCAGTTTACCGGCGTCGGCAGTACAACTACAGCAAATATTAACGCTGGCCCGACTACAACGTCGTCGAACATCCGCACCACTGCTCCGACGACCGCCACTGCCCCGAGCCGGCCGCAGTTTGGGATCGCTGCTATGCATTGCAAAAGCATCGTCCTAGTAGAAATCGCAATATAAATTTTCTCAGAAGGAGAAATGGAGTTTGTAATGCTAATTTGGCTAAGAAACAAGATTTGTCATGCATGATTGCAATTAGTACGAGCGTGATACTTTTGCAGAGCATATAAGCAAGACCGATGCAGTTTGGCATGCTCCAGACGCAACCACTGCAATTCGGCACCGGGGCCAGCAGGTTCTCCGGGTTTCAACTGCCGCCGAGAACCATCGGACTGAACATGCGGCCATCGATATCCTGAGTAAAAACGTACCCACACCAGAGTCAGGATGGGGATTCTGCAACACAAGCCTAGGAGTTTTGTGAGTCACGCATGACAAGTTGCACTATGCAGTGTAGTGCAGGTTAGCAAGTGCAGCCGCATCACAGATTCATCTGCTGATCCTGTTCACAGCATCACAAATTCCAAGACACGATTGGAAATGGCTCTCAAGGGGATGCGCGTTACAAGTCTTCCAGTCTTTGCAAATCTGCATTACAACTCTGGCGTGGGTACGTTTTTACTCAGGATAATCGACGAACCCGCAGGGCGGCGGGGAGGGACCGCAGTAGACGGGGCGGGGGGACGCTGCGGTAGCGGTCAATAGGAATAGCAGCAACAATTTTTTGATAGCGCTTGAAGGCGTAGTTTTACTTCCCACGAGCAATATTGCTTGGCATGTAGTTTTTCACAGACAATACACTCACAGATAGTTAGCGAAAGATGACTTGTTTAGACATGATTACCTACACGAGAGCTAGATGAGCTACAAAGCCTCGAAGTTTCATTAGAATGCGAATTACGTGATACCTGGTTAACACATCGAAAACAGGAGTGCAAGAACTCAATGGCATGCTCAGTGTCAGGAGTCGTTTTGTGATGTACAATGATGAAAGGAGCGCACCGCAGCTACAGTGTCACCAATGTGATGAATCGAGAGGAGCAACAAGGTACTAGATGCGTCTCAGTGTATTCTAGAAAAACGTGCGGCTGTAAGAACGCTCACATTGAGACAAACAAAATAATGAGAAAGAAATGAACGTGTACTCAAAATGTTGAAACGACTTCTGCGCCAGGATGTGGACTATTGCTCCTACGTCTTCGACGACGATGCATGTCTCATAAGCACGGTAAGTTGTTTCCTCGCGCCTCTATACGTTCATCTCTCGTGCCCTTTTATCTTCACTTGAGTCGGTCGACTGCTTTCGATGATGTGATCGGTTTCGTTCAAGCAATGAAATTTCTCGTCCAACAAGCTGCAAGAAAAAGAAAAAAAAATCGGTTTCAGCATGTGCCGTTGTGATAGGCGCAAAAGCACAAGCAGGTCACTAAAAGTAAAATCGGTTGCTGTCGTGCAAGATGAAACCTGAGAAACTCCAGCTCACAATCGGTTCTACGGACTACACTCGTGCAAAGCAGCATCGTCGTGCGCTCGTTACTTCTTCCACATTAATCTTCTTGTCGTCATTCTCACTCGGTAGCCTGCATCTCACGCAGCTCGTGCCTGTACAAAGACAAACACCAACTCATCTGTTTACAACTTCAGGACCCATTTAAACACTCACCGGTGATCAATCATTACTTATTTGCCAATATCCGTATCCAATAACGGTATCGAAGCCCTCGGTCGTGTAGTACCTCCAGCCATGTTGCTGCATAGTGCATGTGAACGTGACACTCTTGTACATTATCCCCCAAATACGCCCTAATCGATATCGACCCCACATCAGTATTAAGACCATTTTCTGCAGCTTAATTCAACAAGAACTCATCAACACATAAAAGCAAATGCCCAAGTTCGCCGTGGCCGCGAGCCCGAAACGCTCGGCCTCCCCGAAGGCCCGAGCGGTGAAGAAGCGACCCGACTCGGCGAAATCGGCCGGCGATCTGACCGCCGCGAGTGGCGACGCGGGGACCGCGGGCGACGTACTCGGGACGCACGACCCGGCGGATGAGCTGCTGATGGTGAAGAAGCTTCCCGCAGCAAGGGATTTTCTGAACTCCGCCATTGTGTTCCTGAAGAAGGGCGCTCCGCCCAGGCCGAGAGTGGAGGTGGTAAAAGACCTAAGCAAATCACCACTGACGCAAGATTTCGACGCGGCACCCACTCCGGAAATCCCAGAGAGACTACCGAGAGTAGATGCTAGCAATACGTCAACGGAGAACAATGCTTTGCAGGTAGAAATTGCCTCGCCCGCGAACAAACTCCCACGAACATCAGGCGACGCGGAGGACGAAAAACGGGACCCGAGTCTCGCTTCCAAATACGAAGATTTCTTCAACCCGGCGGCCCGACCACTACGCGACTGCTTTTGCCGTGTCATCATTCGAAACGAAGACGGGCCGGAAGAGCGCCTAGAGGCGGCGGTGGACGCCTTTCTGACGGCGCACAACCTGCTAGACCCCCCACCAAAACCGTTCTTGCGGATACCGCCGTTGGAAAAGGAGCACGCACCAAATCTGTGCTTCAAAGCACTCGCAGACTTCGTCAAAGTGGTACTGAGTTTAGGTTTTTTGTGACGTGAGAATAGAAAAGTGAATTCGTGCTGCGTGTGTTGTTGTAGGTCGATTTGATGAACTCATCTTCAACGTCATCTATGCAATACGAAGGATAATATGCTCAGTCGAGTACGTGAGTTTTGCTTGACAAATTGCAAATCAAAACCGCCTTACAGAAACTGAAAATCCTGGACGGGCTGGTAAAAGCCCAGCAAGCCATGGACCCGCGCGGCCCCCTCCGCGAGGCGCTCCACGAGCACAAACTTATTCGGGAACGGGAGCAGCAAGCGGAGAAGAACGCGCGAGGAATGTGCGACTGGGCCACGAAGGCGATATCCACCGTCAGCCAAGCAGTCATGTTTAAGAAGGAGAGGGACGGAGACATAATCTCGCCCTCGGTGTCGAAAGAATCCAGCGGAAGCAACAGCGGACAAGGGTCAGCAGGGGTAAACGCAAATACCGCTGCTGGAGCAGTATCTTTCAACACATCAACATCAAAGCCAGAACCAAAATCAGCGACAACGCCGGTAAAAGACGTCAGCAGAAACAGGAATGTCGACGGTAGTGGTGCGGAAAGCTCGACGTTTGAAGGCGCCTCACCGAGCGTCGGACTGGAAACGATACATGAGACGACGGAATCGCTCGCCTCTGGAGCGGCTTCACCGGCAGTTGCAGTAGAGGTGTCATGATAACAAGTTCTGATGGCTTTTCGTAGTTGTTCAATGTGTAGCATTGTTCTATTAACATATTAGTAGGCATTTTTTTGTTCGCGTATTTTTCCCCATGTCTATCTTTCGCATTTCATTTTACTTTATGTATAGCTTTTTTTCAACGCGCATCGGCATTAACCATTATATCCTCTGTAGTCCCCCTCAAAAGAGGACGAAGTACTACTCGCGCAGTCTACTTTCAAAATTCAGGATGGAAACAATCTAGGATGGATCTACTCGCTGCAACTGCTTGTTTCCGGCGCTCACTGTCCTGTTGTAGTGCAAAAGTTCAAGTCGAACTCCGACCACTAGGGTCCTCAACACCTAAGTCTCTCTTACACATAGAATATCGAGGGACAGTAGGTACACAGCATTGCATCGGGAGAGACATGTAATTGTAAGTAGATTAGATTTTCCGCACTATGGCTCTTCGCTCACGCAAAGTCACTTCTACTCCTAGATCTGGAAGAAGTTAGTTCTTCGCAACGAAACTTGTTTTCTACTCATTTCTACTTTTTATTCTAAAAAAGAATGTGGGTAGTTGGCACTGCGGCTGCTCAAAGCAAGACGGCAAAGACTTCTTGTGCGTGATGATGTTCCTTGTTTCGTATCTCGACGTGTGAAGATCAAAAGGCTCAGCTTTGTTTTCGATGGAACCGGGTCGCACAGCAGGTCGCTAGGTCACTTTCATTTTCACGATGATGATCCCGCTGTAGTAGGAGCAGGTCGATCGCAGTACTCAGAGAATCGAGATCTGAATACAAGCTAGCTGTCTTGACGACACATCACATGCGGCCATGATGAGGCCGACTTATTTTGTGAGTGGCTGCGACGAGAAAAGGCACTAAAGGAGCAGAAAGATCAAAAGTAGAAAAGATGGTGGATCTAGGTCGACGTGTCCAATAACCAAAGCACATGCGTTGAGAGGATCTTGATGTCGAAGCAAGAAGATCGTGGTCCCTCTTGCTCTCCCAGCATTTCATCTTCAATAAAGTCCTCTACAGTCAGTCGTGGTCCTCGTCGTCTCTGTTTGATGAACTCAAAATCATAAATCAAATTGAATGCGTGTCGTTCGGATTAGTGCAACACACTTCGTACGTACTACTCAAGTCCCTCTTATTGCTCTTTTACGATCGAGTGCCAGCAGCATGTCGCTCTCGCTGCTCTCATCTTTTAATCGACGTTGCAAGCACGTCTCGTGCTTCTTTCTCGTGTGCATCTGTACTAACTTGTTTCTTGAGTTTTTTCTATACGACCTTCAGTTTTTATTCAAGAACACTAGCGGTAGCGCATTGCCTCCGCAGTGTGCAGTACCGGACGATGTCCTCTCTGCTGGAGATGCATCAAAAAGCTGCCACAGCGACTTCATTTTTACCAGGAGCAACGCAAAAAGCGGTGTAGAGCTTCGACAGGCGGCAGCCACGACGCCGCTGCAGCTGCTTCCACTTGCAACGAAACCGGCCCGGCCACGGCTTTCTGCACGACCTTTGGTATTCGTCGCTGCCCACCAATTTCGCCGCCGCGCGCACACGGGATGGCGATTGCGAGTGGATCAAGGCTATTTGAGCAATGATGACCACCTGGTCCATGAAGCTGCACACAAAACCGCTACTCCGACTGCTCGTGATCGAGATCCGGCCGCACAACCCCATCGCCAGGCTGCGGGGCCTAGTAGGTCGTGCCAGAATTTTTCCGGCAGGAGATCCGAACTACAGATGAATCATTCATCTAGGGATATAACCCCAACCTCTCGGGAGACAAATTTGACAAACAGCGCGCGGGACTACGCTTCGAATCTGCACGACGGCGAAAGCGAAACCACATCGAATCTGCTTCGTCATTTGCATCTGGCGGCGACTTCTAGCCCTCCAGCACCGATGTGCCTGTTGCCATGTGTTGGCAAGTTTTCACTGAATCTATTCCCAGATGAACCAAGAAATGTAATGGAGGTCGGAGCCGCTGTCGGTGGAGGAGGGTACGCTGGAGATGACCAGAAGCCGCGTTCTTGGGTCAACAGCAATGATATCCTCCTCGCTCCAGCACCGTGTTATTGCGTCGGAACAACGAAGATCTCCCGGTTTCCCGTTTCACCGGCTCATCTTGATCAGGAAAGTATCGTAGAAACGAAGAGCATGGATATGCTGGAAAGCAATTCGTTGCTTCTACGCAGTTTTGCTCAGAAAGCAGATGCGTTACGACTGGCGTCTCTCTCGCCGTCTGCTTGTAGTACCAGGTCGTCGGATCATTCAAGTAGTTCTTGTTTTCAGGCACAGGCCGGCAACAATCATGCTGCCTGGTGCCTGTCGTGTGCAGTAACTACAACAACATCCGGACCAAAAGATGACTCCGCACCTCAATCATCTCCTGCATCCAGCACGCCAGCTCGGCCCGACGAGGCAAACGCTTTTTTCGTTGGACGGGGGCCGTTTCTGGGGAATCTCAATTAGATAGAAGATGAGCCCCGGGATGGTAGGGAGAACGATATCACGCAACCAAAGAATTTCTGTTATTCTCTTCTTGCTAAATTTCTGATACGCAATATACCATATCATTTTTGTTTTCTATTCTGGAGAGGATATTATACGCTCCAGGTAGTTGTCAATACAGGAGTAGCTAGAAGAACAAGCCAGCAGCTTCAGTGAAAGAATGGCACTTCAAGGAGCGTACTCATCTACAAATGAACTACTCCCGAGATGACGGCGTATTTGCGAAGTAGAACACGAGTGGTCTACAGCAGCCAAAACTGGTCTGCCCTTTGTTAATATCACTGGTAGTTGTCAACAGCTAGAAAACCCGGTAAGGAAATGTATCAAGCGCGATGGTGAAAAATTGTAAGCTCAACTCGTCTTCCTCTTCGCAGAGTCGCCTGGGATGTTGATGTGAGCGTCACATATGTTCCGGCACAACCTTCTGTTCTTAGAGCAGCCGGCTTTTGAGTTTGAGTGTGAGCGCGTGAGAGTAGGAACATTCAGTGAGTTGTGAGAAAAGCGAACTCCTGCTGAGCAGCAACCACGATCATCATGAGCCGACGCACGTGTTGTCAGCGTGCAGATGTTGACGAGCAGCTTGTAGCTTGCCCTGCCAACTACAGTTTTTTCAGGACCTCCTAACTGTAAACATTTTTTGATAGAGAAAGAGAATGATCATGGTCATCATGCGCTCCTTGACCTTGACATCTTCAAACTGGTATTCCCTGTGCATGCTTCTGTCCGGCCCCTTCGTGGTGCTGTCGATGGTTTCGTAGTCATCTACTTCCGAAGTGGAGCTGGTCTTTTCAGTAATCATCATCTTACCCTATTCTATTTATCCCATTATTTTTCCGCTGTAGCCCCGCACGGCACTTGTTCGTTCCACCAGCGCATAGATAAACCTTACAGGCTTGGCCTGAAGAACTATGGTCGCCTCATCATCTCAACCAGTGCACGATGAGAAGCAGACCCTCCGGCCCATTTGTGTTGCGTTCAAGCAGGGCCGCTGCCAATTTGGGGATTCGTGCTTTTTCCGGCACGAATTGGACGATGATACAACAAAAGCAAAAAGTGACTCTTTTCAGACCACCCTCCTCATTTGTTGCGCACCATTTGCTTCTTCAGGGACGAAGAAGAAACAAAACAAAATCAGTCCGACTACAGACGGAGGCGCCGCAGCGAATTACAGTACTGCCGCTGCGGACGAATTGCTTCACTACTTTGATGAAACGCTGGATACCATCCACGAAAATAAGAACTGGTTCTTTGACGACGACATTGATTCCGAAAACGTCACGCCAAGGGTCGTTTCCCAAGAAGAGCTGAAACAGCAGCCAACCTCTTACCGCAACAAGCAACAGCAGACCGCGACACGATATTACGCACCGAAGTCCGCCGCTGGTGGTGTTTTGGGTTCAAACACGTACGAGGCGCAGTTCGCAGCAAGGGCGAAACAGAAGGAAAGGATGAAGCAGCGAATTCTGGAAAAGGAAAGCCAAAAAAATACCGGGCATGTTTCCAATGCTGAGGCGCAGCAAAAACCTCCAGGATCAGTTCGTAGTCGCGATACCACGCCAAGAACGAATTCAAAGGTCACGCCTCGATCTGATTCGAAAACAGCAGGAGCCGATAGTACTCCACAAACTGATCCGGCCGCTGGGGAAAAAGAAAAGGAAAAGCAGCAGCAGGAGAGCCAGCAGATGCTCAAGGAATTGGTGTACGACGAGAACGCAAAAGCCTACTACCACACGCCCATATCCAGGAAAAAAACACTCATTTCCATCCATTTTCTGCATGACAAGCATTGGAGTTTATGCATTTTTTGCATGATAAATTGGATGGGGGTGGGTGATTTTTCCTGGATAGCCAACTGGCTATTACTACGACTTTGAGGGCGAGCCCTTTGTGTTCGACGACTTCGGCTACCGCTGCTTCTGGGATGAAGAAATGAAGCCGTACTACATCGACGAAAACAATGACGCGTGGTATTATGACGATCACGAGGAGTACCAGGAGTATTACCAGACGGTCCGGAACTATGAGCTTTTGGAGGAGAAGCAAAAGGAAGAGGAAAAAATAGCGGAAGAAAAACGGCGGGAAAAGGAAAGGCTGGAGCAGGAGTTTCTCGAGAAGGAACGAAAAAGACGGCCGAAGTTTAAATATGCATAGGCAAACCTTGAATCCGCCCTCACGGGGATGCGTCACAACAAACACTCCAACAAGCCAAGCGAAAAACACGACGAAGGGTAGCGTGGTCAGAAATTTAAGAAATTCATATATATACATGGAGTACCAGTTGGTGTTGATGAGAGTACTAAGTCTAGAACTAATACTAAATCTGAAGTCTGTGCAACGAATGTGCCGTGACGAGTGCTAAGGTATCAAGTTTGCCATGCATATCAAGACGAAGAAGCAGATAGAGGAGGAGATGAGTATGGAAAGACAGCGAAAGTTGGAGGAAAGAAAAGAGAGAGAAAAAAATCAGCAGAAGTTTCCTTACAACTACAATTCATCCTCGTTCGACGCCGCAGGAGACGACCAGTCTTATGGTGATGCTAACACCAACACGTCGTCCCAAAAGAACGACCAAAAGGCCGGAACCAGGACGGGCTCCTACCGAAATGGAGGCAGGTCAACGTCAAACCAGCACCAGCAGCCGAGGAGCGCAACCGCAGGGAACGGCAACAAAAATCCTGGAAATAAAGCGATTATCCACGACGAGCGAAATTGATATCGATGCCCCCGTGCTGTACAACCATGCATGAGAAGACTCCATGTCCCTGCTCATTCAACAGCATGTCGCGTGCCATTTTTTTAGCATTGTGTCATTCTTTTTGTACCAGCGTGGGCGTGCCCAGGCATCGTCGCAAATTTGTCTTGCATAACGATGACGACGCAGTCCGATGTGAACGACGCACAGGTGAAAATCAACCAAGCAATTCAGAAGCTGATGAGGGAAATGAAGCAGATAAAAAATCCGAAGGAGAAGAAAGTTTACTTCAAGAAGTGTTTGCTAAGGTTTCATCCGGACAAGAACGCAGAGGAAGAAAAATTTGTGGTGATATCCTACGTAAAAAGCTACACCACCCACACGGTGGCCTCCGCGAACACGTCGGCCAGAGTTGTTTCAGTTCTTTTGTTGTGCCATGCATGGAGCCCCCCATCCTTGCATCTATGTATATAAAGTAAGTACTAGTAGCAAGAGCGTTTTCATCCTGCTGAGCTCCTTGAAGTAGACTACAGAGGTGTTTGCGGTGGCGCTTTTTCCGATTTTTGCGGAGGATAACCGACCTGCGTCTTCCAATGGCTCCAGGAAGAAAAAGAGAAGTTCTTGGCTTAAACACCAGGACTGCTGGTTTAAGCTGTTTCGAAAAAATGACTCTCGTGTATGATGTCCTCGATGAAATAATTCTAACGCGTACAGTGGGCACACCGCGGTCCGAATACGCTTTCCCGTTTCGACTTCTAAATGTTTTCAAACAACAAGCCATAATGCACATGAAATATGCACGTTGAAAGCAATTGCTCTAAACCTCTTGCCCCCGCCCTCGAAAACACTTCGGCAACTTCAGTTGTCGAAGTGGCCTCAGCAAGAGGAGCGTAGTTTTGCATTTCTGCCCCTTCGTCCTGCATTTGAAAGACGTTCTTTCTGAGCACAGGCGGCGGGGGGCGTGGCTTGTAGGTGTTCGTGTTGAATGAGGTCTAGCACTAGCCGCGTGCTCTGTTGTGATGTCGTGATCCTGGTCTGGATCATTTCTTTCAGAAAGAAATCCTTGATCATGTTGTCCTCCGAGCTGCACGCTGGATGTTGAATGGGCTTCGGGCCTAATATTGCTTGCTCCGTTAAGGATCTTCTGCCAGGATGAAGGTGGCGTGTGATGGAAGAGCAACGCATCTTCTTTCGACAGTTCGATCTCCTGTAGTTCTAGTTGTGGATCCATCTTCTTCATCTAACATCTCCGTTGATGAAATATGGAACGCTGCAACTGCTGCAACTTTTCTTTGCCATGCAGAGCAAGGAGCTGCTTGTTGTGATCGGCATTCGTAGAAGATACATCAAAGAAATGGAAATACCTAGCTGTAACTGAAGCATCACTCTTCCTCGTAATTTTTCATCCGATTCATTTTCGCGTGACAATATCTTCAAGGCCCATCAACCATTGATCAAGAACAACATGGCGAAGCAGAGTGCAGGAGCAGTGCAATGGCTGCACTCTGGCGAACCACATGCTGCAAAAAATCCGGAGCAGAGCCAGGATGTGCAGCCAAGCAATTTTTTGTCGAACAATTTCCACTGGATTCTCGGCTCTGCGTCCTCTTCACGCCGTGCCTTTTTCGAAAAATTTTTCGGCAGCACCGCTTTTCACGCGGCCGATATCGACGAAAAAGCGATCCGCGACCCCAGTCCGGAAATTTTGACGCAGAAGCTTGCCAGGACAAAGGCAGAGAAAATCATTCGCGATCTGACAACCGATAAGGACAACAACCACAAGGCTTCTCGCCTGTTTAGTCAAATTGAGGAAGGAGGTGTAGAAATTGGAGCAACACGGCCTACCGCCCTCCTCACGCTAGATCAAGTGGTCCGGTTCCGTAATGAAATCCGCGAAAAGCCCCGCGATCTGGCGGAGGCAAGGAAATTTTTGGAGTCCTACAAGCTATGCACTGGCACTGCGAAAGTATCGCACTCGTATTAGTCGCATTCATGCATTACAGAGCCCTATTGCAAGCTAAACCAGCACGACAAATTCCATTTCTAATGCTAAGGAAATTTGTATATGCAATTTATACTAGCGCGACCGCGATAGGATACTTTTGCAATGCATACAAGCAATACCCGGACGATTGGATCGAGTGTGTGAATGGCTTCTGTTATCGCCAGAAAAAAGTGTTACAGTTACACATTGTCATGCAAGACTGGCAACAGAGACAACCTTTCTCATGCAGGAAATGCTTGGGAACCTCGTTTCCTTCCTGTTTTCCCTTATGATCTTCGCATTACAAGTTTTCCCTGCCACACAGAGAAAATTTGTGATGCAGAAACTCCAACAAATGTGTAACTGTAACACTTTTTTCTCGTGATATCTGTGTGTCGGTCTTTATTGATGTACCTGGTTGTTCATCTTCACCCTCATCTTCCCAGAAGGACGAGACAGAGGCAGACCAGAAGTTCCTGCATGAACAACAGCAGAACTCAACACTTTTGTTCCGGTCCAGGGCGCACGGCTACCGTTGGACGTCCCTGCATTCGTCTGACATCAGCCGAGTGCGCAGATTACCATTGTCAGACGAGAAAATCAATTCTCTCTTGGCTTTGACCGACGCAAAGACTCTGCAGCCCCTGATCCTGCAGTCCGCCGGCGGGTTCCTTTTGGAAGAAATCTGTCGTGGGGGGCTTGGGACAGACATTGAATTTTCCACCCTAGACGAGCAATATTTCGGCGACCCGACGCTGGGAATCCGGGGCCTGCCGGTCCGGGCGATCGAGAACCTCGTGAGAGGTTTCTTTTCGACTACACCAGTTGGTACAAAAATCACCCACGTGCTTTTCGACATGGACGGATTGCTACTGAACATATGGGAGTGTCAGGATCGAAATCGACAAAGTCGAAAAATTTGCAATGCATAAAATGTAGGGCACATATGGCCTGTATTGGGGAGCAGGCAAATGAGAGCGATTGCAAGCCTGTTTAAGGAAGACGATGCGCTGTCGAAGTAGCATGACAGGAGCAGTCTTCTTTGCCAAAACAGCATGACAGGCTGGATTTTGTTGCTCCCGAAATTTGTCATGCACTACTTGGAAACTAAGGCTACAACTGGTATTGATTTTATGCATCACAAATTATTTCGATTTTGTTGATTTCGGTCCTGACGCTTGCATAGAACACGGAGGACATCTACAAACAAGCCACGATCCAGCTGTGCCGGGAGAAGTACAACAAGGAATACACGCACCGGATCCGAGAAAAGATGATCGGCAGACGAGCTTTACCCGCGGCCGAAATTGCGGTCCGGGAGTTGGGCTTGGAGGATGTGCTCTCGCCGGAACAGTTTATCAAGGAAAGAGGCGATATGGATGCGTCAGAGTTGAAATCGACAAAGTTGAGATAACTTGTATATGCATAAAATCTATACAAGCTTGAAGATGAAGCCCAATTTTTAAGCGACGTATGACAAATTTGAGTAGAGCCGAGACCCAGTTTGTCATGCTGTTTAGATGAGAAAGACGCCTTTTGTCATGCTACTTTCGCAGCTCTATTTCTACCCCGAAACTACAGGCTTACAATCTGCCTCCCTTGCCTGATCTTGCCTGCGTTGCATTTTATGCATGACAGACTATTTCAACTTTGACGATTTCAATCCTGACAGTTCCATAGGCGAGCTCATGGATGAGAAAATGAAAGAGGCGGACTTTCTGCCTGGTGCGAAAGAACTGCTGTATAGATTACAGCGCTTCAAGATACCACTCGCGTTGGCAGTATGCGAGATGAGCACAGTTGAACGAAGACGATGAAGAACCACTTACTTCTCGCACTGCCCGCTTCGGGTTTCTTCCGCCCTTTGTTTTCCAGACCACATTCACAAGTTTGAGCTAGGCAAAAGCCAAAGCATGAATTATAAAGGACAGCAATATTAGCTGTGGCAGAGATCAATAGTACCCTCTGCAAGTGCATCAAGGTAAGAGTAAGTCTTTCACAAGCATAAAGCGCGCACTTTACAACTACTGCACGGGCTTATAATCTGCACCGTGCGCCGGCTCTCCTCTATATTGCCAAGAAATGATATCAAATATGCGAATGCGTTGCAGTCGTTCATCGTTATTTGTGCACTCTCATAGCCGACCTCCAGCAGCCGACCGCTTATGATGATCAAAACGACGAAGGTGCGCGCGGTCTTCGACGAGGTATAGTCTTTTGTGTACTAAAGATGCTGAAGATGCAGGATGACCACCTGCATGAACGTAGATAAAATCGTCTCTCCCGCCTCGCAAACTTACTTTCTTCTGATGAACCTCCAACGGTCTCGTTCGCACTCAATCAGATTTTCGGTTCCAACATTATCTGCGGCGACGAGCTTGATGGCAAGGGAAAGCCCGAGCCCGAAATCTTCCAGAAGGCGTTAAAAATGATCTCAAGACCGGGAGAGGAAGTCAGCCCAGCCAACGTGCTTGTCTTCGAGGACGCTCCAACCGGGGTGGACGCGGCCCTGGCTGCTGGCATGAAGGTGTGTATGGTTCCGGATGTAGAATTGTCGGTGGGGTTGCGGGGAAAGGCTACGATGGAGCTCAGGAGTCTGGAGCACTTGGACATCGAGCAACTGGTGACGTAGACGACCTAGACACCAAAAATAGGCTGTCGGAGGTGATGAAGCCAGAGATAACTTGTGTAAGCACAGATGAAGCTGCAAGGAAACCACGACACAAAGAAAGTTTGATTATGCTTACGCGCATGCTTCGCATCTCGCAGCTTTTTTCCTGTGCTCCGATTCTTGTACAGCGGATGATCTTCTTTCTCTCGGAACTCTTGGCTGTTCGAACTTGATGGAAGTCCCAACTTCTTGCCCACCGTTTTCCTACGGAAGTTCATGTTGCTCATGGGCGGCCGCGTGGTCACGTCGACCTCTTTGTAATTGTATTTCGCGCTAATACTAGAAGAGGGCGATCACTCGATCCACACAAGAAGAGAAAGATTGGCACCTACTTGTTGGACCTGGCACCATGGTCATCTTTCACTTCATATACTTATCTTGCAAATAATTTTGATGAGGTTTTTCACGCGAAAGGAAAGAATCGCGATCCGCATTTTGTCCTTTATCTGTTGTTGACCTTCTATGGTAAATTGACGCAGAAAATGAAAGTAATCTGCTTGATAGTTGTCACCACGACACCTTTGTTGTAGTTGTTGAAGGGTACTAGGTGGAGCATTGATTCGTAAAAACTTCATCTCCATCTTCTGGTCGTGGTCGTACTGCATGGCTTCAGTTTTATTTCCGAAAGCGAAATCAAAACTGACGCTGACCTGAAGTAAAAACTAGAAAATCAAAATGGCATCAAACCTCCTCGCCAGCATTGCATCTGCCTTCAGCCCGGTGAAGAATGAGGCGAGTGTGAAGGACCAGCTTCAGAAAGGTCATGTGGGCCTCAGCGACAAGCTTGACGACGACAATACACCGCGGCTTCCCCAACGACCCATCTACAACTTCGAAGTGGGTGACACCGTGGAGGTTTACTACAACACCCACCTCCTCGACGACGGCACGTTTCGGAAGGTAAAGCTTCCCCACAGCTCCACCCGCCACGCCAAATGGAACAGTGCATCCTGCTCAAAAATGAACGCAGGCACTTTCACTTTCGGGCTGACGCAGGGGTGGGTGTTGGGGACTGTGGTGAAGAAGCATCAGAATTACGGCGAGCAAGCAGATTTTCTTCGCGACGACCGTCAGAGTAGCACGACAGCGGAAACAAATTTCATCGAGAATGACGACATCAATATCGTGTCTTATTTCTCCTTCACGGTAAAACTGGTTGGGGATTACAAGGAGCCCATGACAAACGAATTCGTGGGGGCCTACAGTCCGATCGAGCAAAACTTGGAATACATCGTGACCGATTTGGATTTGATCCGGCCGGTTGAGACTGGAGAGATTGATGCTGGTCCTCGCGATTTTAGCAAGGCAAAGAAAAAAGCTGTTGACAGCACTAGCACACCACAAGAAGTACAAGTAGAAGATAGCCGCAAGTCGACCAGCACTGCCACCGTCTCCGTGCTCATGGTGCGTTGGTACGACTACCACACCAATCAGAAGAGATCCGACTACAACATAACTTCCGAGTTTGCGATCAAGTCCCTGATAGAGGACTCTGGGTTGGTGGAGTTGTTTGGGACGCAGTTGGAGGTCTGGAGTTTGTTTGTGCGGAATGGGGAAGAATTGTTGCAATTTTACGATCAGTATCAAATGCAAAAGCATCGTACTAGTACTAGTAACTGCAATACAAATTAGATCAGCATGACGAATGGAGTTTCTAATGCTGTTTGAGCTTAGGCATGAGATTTGTCATGCATATCTGCGATTAGTACGAATGCGATTTTTTTGCACAGGATAAGCAGTACTGCAATCCGGCGAGTAAGTGGAAGTACCGCGACTGGGCGAGTGGTAGTGGAGCAATGCTGTCTTCGGGAGCTGGTGCGACGTCGGCTCCCTTGTATTCCCTGAAACAGTACGCAAACAGCAGACGAGGCGGGGGCGGCTCATCTACAGCAACGCGGCCGTTGTCCAACATGCTAAAAGTAAAAGCTACAATGACGCAACAAGCAGACCAGCTCTCTCTGCAGCACATTATGCAGAAGGCGACGAAAAGATACGGGATGTACTTCCTGTGGCCCTGCGAAAAAACCGAGAAAACGGATGGCATGATCGAGCAGACGGTCTTTTTCGATTTCGTGGAGAAGATTGAGGCCATGGGGATTCCGACGCGGTGGCCTTGTCCGGCGCGACTGTATAGGAAGCTGTGCGGAAAGGAGTATTTAGAGGGGATAGTCTCTTACGGACCGAGTGAATATACTGCGGTGGAGGCGCCGTCCAACTGCTCTCGTGTGTCAACAACATCTGCCAAGAACACAACTGCGCCAACAACAAGTAGAAACGGACCGACGACCGGGCACCAGCTGCATCCGCCCACGACCTTTTTGCAGAACAAAATCCTCCAAGTGCCCGCAACGACCCGGGTTTTCTTCTGCGACGTGTTCCAGAACCCAAGACTGGCTGCGAAAAACGCAATCAGAGCCTTGGAGCAGATTAAGGAGTGTCGGTTGATGGAAGCAGCGAGGGCGACCGCCAGTGCCAGCACCTACAATCGCGGCACATCGTGTTGGTCACCTTGTTCATCGCCTTCGCCTCGCAACAAGATTCCTTCAACGGAAAATCATTCCGCTCTCGAGCAGCTCGACGGCCAACACACGACACAAGCACGGACAAATAACAAAACAAAGGTCATTTCTGGCGTGGTAAAACTTCCCTTTTCCTGGTGCGGTCAGGACGTCCTGAAGTGGGACAACGAAGAGGACCTGGTTTCGAAACTGCAGGAAATTTTCGGGAAACAAAACGACTACGGCTACGGGTACAACTACGATGGGTACTACAGCACCGGAGGAAAAAATAACGGGAGCTACCATGCAACGGTTGACGACTTCGACACCAGAACCTCTTGTCTCGTCCAGGAGTTTATCCCGGATCGGATTGGAGAGGTGCGCGTCATCGCGTTCAATACCGGGACAACGGACCCACAAACCGGGGAAAGCATCTACGACCTACGGACGCGGTACATGCCGATTACTCGGGAGACCAGCCAGAGTTCCTTTGAGATGACGGACAGCAACAGTTTTACCAAGGAGGAGGCGTTAGAGGAAATGTTCTGCAATAATGCTAAGCTTTGCGAAAAAATTGACCACGACGCAAAAATCCTCGCCGGCTGGTTTTTGAAGTATTGGTATCCCGCACACTGGAACTCGAGGTCTTGCCCTGCGAAAGCGAGGTTCGATTTTTTGATTTCCTGTCCGCGCAGCGTTCTGCTCTCATCGTCATCCACCCAGGAGCAGCTGCTAAACAGCACCGCAAGAGGCCGCAGAAGCGTCCTCTCGGGTATTTCCACCAGCTCCACCACCGCAGATTCAGGCGGAGCTCAGCCGCTTGTCAGCCCGGCGCTGAGTAGTGCATCAGCAGTTAGTGTTAGTCCGGCTCTTAGTCCCGCTGGGGTGAGTAGCTTGACTGACGAGCTTGGAGGCGAGGAGGGCGGAACGAACAATCACGCTACGAGTGGTCAATCCAGTTCCGATGAGGAACATCAACCAGATGAGCACCACGAGCAGCAAGCAGCTGCCCTGGAGGTGGGGGTCGACGAGGTAAGCACAGACACCACCCACTTAGACGACCACGTCGTCCAGCACCAGCCAAAGTGCCAGCTGTTTCTTTGCGAACTTTCAGAATTAGGTGTGAGTTTGAACGGGCTGCCGATACAGGCGAGAAATACTGCGGTCGCGAACAGTCTACTGGAAGAGTCCGACGCAGATGAACAAGGCGAAGTAGATGACCTTGAAAAGGACAATGCTCATGCCGAAACGTGTGTTGATGGGGCACAGAACAGGTATAGGAGAACGCGTAGCGGTTTCAAACCGCTACCATGGCGGTGGAAATTAGATGAACCGTTGGAAATGGAGACTGACGACTGGGGAAATCGGTGGTATAAGTGGTGAAGAAACTGTAAAGAAATAACTTCACTAGCATGCAGGTATAAGCACGTCGAAATTTGGTCATAAAGATCACACGATCATCAGTTTTCCAAGAAAGCGACTGAGAGAAGAGCTGCGGTTACGAAGGGTTCACTTTGGGACTTTTTCAACACAGAGTTTTTCAATAGCGTTAGCGACCGAATCTTTTTTTTTGCATCATCTGCTTCTGAACGACACGACATAAAGACCTATTCCATGCAAATGCATCAACAGAGAAAGCGAAAAGAAGTATGCATTTTTTTATATCAATGACGATCATTGTGGACATAGCATGAAGAAAAAAAATAGCGGCGCCAAGGGGAGGAGATTGATTACTGCTGCAGAAGGTGTAAATACAAGATGTTCATCCTTTCGTAGGGAAGATGATGAAGATGCAGCTGCTAGAGCGTATATTTACACTCAGTTTGGGTTTGCACATTTTGATTTGTCCCCACTATAGCTGCTCTGTTAAGACTTCTGCTTTTCGTTCTTTCCATCCTCGTTGAAATCGCCCTTGGTCATCGTCACTCGTCTTTTTTCTCACTTAGAAAGCGGTCGTGGGTAGTGAAACTAAAGAGCCTTGTAGTTGAAAACAAAAGGGAATCACGCATAAGTTTTTCACAATGACCTGTTCTTAGTGTTTGCTCCAAGACCACCCTGTCGTGTTGAATAGCATAGCTTTCTTTCATCTATTTCGGGCAGCATCGTCATCGCAGTAATGATCATGATCATTCTCCTCGTTTAGCTCGGTATTAGTTGAAAGATAGTGGTCACTTTTTGCTGAGATAGATCATAATTCAATCTACAAAGTCGTGTGCTACAACTAGCAAAACTACCTCTAGCAGTTGCAGGCTTCAGGTCCTTCAAGTTTTTTTCTGGTGCTATCAGCCAAAGGAAGCAATTGCTTCTATTGTTCTGGAAAGAAATCAGTATTAGGACGCACGTTGGATCACCACGACTGACACTCACACAGAAAAACTCGTCTCCCAAATAAAGATGCCGACCGCGAAACCACGTTTCGCTCGTCTCGACAGCGACGAGGAGGACGTTTTTGTCAAGAAAAAAGACGAGGACTTGGAAAACAACAGCGATAACCATTCAGATTCGGACTCCGACTCTTCTGATGAGGAGTCTAAGTCGGTGTCGGTGTCTGTTGCGGTAAAGAACAAGCAGCCATTTCATCTTCTGAACTCGCAGAAACCCAAACCGGCGTTGAAAAAGGCCGCGCTGCACCAGCAGCCGGGAGTTGTTACCCAACAACCACAAATCTTCGTGAAGAACAGCACAGCATCGTCCTCGTCCGGTGGAAGTAGCAGCAGCTCAGGCTCGAGTGCTGGTTCGTCTTCCAGCTCGGCCAGCTCCTCCTCCGATGAACAGAGCTCGTCGGCCTCCAGCCCGGGAGAGCAGTCCCACTCTGTCGGTGAAGAGGGGAACGATGTATTGCCCGAAGATGAGGGCTGCAGTTCTAGTACCAGTGAACCGCGCAACTCCTTCGACAGCAACGCTTCCTCCAACAAGGAGCAGGTGGACGAGAAATTGCGAGCCGCACGGGAATATCAACTGTGAAAGTGTCTGGGTCTGGAAGATTGCCAGGTTTGTCATGCATATTTCTCATGATCCATGATGCCTGTAATGCATGGCCTAGCATCACAGACTTTTAGAGGGCTTCCTGATGCACCTTTCGCATGAGAAATGCCCTGTCCGTGTAGCACAAACCGGACCCCTCTTTCTGGTCATGCAATACAAATTTTTTTAGAGTCCCAAATCAGCACGACAAGGTGCATTCTTCCAGACCCAGACACTTTTACATCTGATAGGGAACTCGAACTGCAAGCGGCCCGGCGGAAATCGGAGCTGAACCGTCGCGCGGACCAGTTGGAAGCGGCGCTGCGCTCTAGCCTGTCGAATAAGGTGATTAGTTCCGCGATCTTGGAGAAGTGTCTGGAACAGATCCGACTGAACGAAGAAGCGATGGAACTGATTTCGTCCGATCTCCTGTCGCAGGGCGATGCCACAGTGGAGATGTTGAAGCAGGTGGACGGGCCGCTGACCGAGATTTTAGCACTGACGGAAACCGATTTTTTGTTCGATGAAGAATCTACTTCTCGTGAAAACAACAAAGATTCTCATTCTGTGCAACAGAAGATGAAGCAGCAAACGGAGAGGTTTGAAGCAGTTCTCTGCAACAGCAGTGCGGTTTTGGCAAAGTACGAAAATTTCGGCCGGGCGGACGAGTTGAAGGCGGCTATTCTGAGTGCGACGGAGCACTTGCTGCAGGTTTGCGAAAAAGCGGAGATGGCGAAGAAGGCAAAAGAGGAAAGGAAGAAAGTAGCCGCGACGAAAATCCAGGCGGTCTTGTACCGCGGGGCTGCTGCGAGGAAGAAGGTTGCGAGGGAGAAGGAGGCGGTTTTAGCGATTCAAAAATTTTGGAGAGCGAAGTTGCAGAAATTCCACGCGATTGCGCAACTCGTGATGCAGCAGCAGAAAGTCAGCGTCGCCACCAAATTGCAGGCCATCTGGCGGAGCAAGATCGTCCGTCGTGACTACGAGGACATGCGGTTTGCCTTCGACATGGCGGCGCGGGACGTGCAAGTGTTTTTCCGATCGAGGGCGTTTTTGCAGAAGATCCGGAAGGCGGTGCAGGAGAAGAAAGCGGCAACGAAAATCCAAACGCAGTTTCGCGGGAAAACGGCCAGGAAAGAGTTGGCAGACCGATTGGACGCGAAGAAGGCTAGAGAAGCGGAGGAGGCAAAAAAGCAAAAGGAATCCGATGCGGCGATCTGGATTCAATCCAAATTTCGCGGTGTCGTCACGCGGTTACTGGTACTGCCGAGATTGCGTGCTGCGAAGCAGAAGAAACTTCAGGACGCAAAGGAAGCGCAGGCCGCGAGGGTTTTGCAGAGCTGCTATCGAGGAAAATGCGCAAGAGGAACGGTCGCAAAATTGCGGGAAGAGAAGGCCAAACTCGAACAACAAGCCCTGGCCTCAGTGAAAATCCAATCGATCTATCGCGGCAAGAAGCAAAGAGGCGAAACAGCGGTGCTGCAACAGCAGATCGCGGGTGCGAGGAAGGTTCAGCAGTACTGGAAAAATGTCACCCTCGTGCGCAAGGCGTTCCTGGACCAGAGAAAAGCAACTTTGCAGGTCCAGACACAGTGGCGCAAGATGCAGGCGGTGAAAGAGGTGAAGGAAAAGCGGAAAGAGCTTACTGACCTTGTCATCCCCACCACCATCCGTTTGCAGACTGCTTTCCGAGTCCTGCAGGCGAAAAAGAAGTTCTTGCAGCAGAAGCAAAGCACCGTCAAGGCGCAGAGCCACATCCGCAAGTTTCTTGCGGGAAAGAAAACCGAGAAGCCGCTGGCCCTGCAGAAGCAACTCCAGGCGTATTTTGCAATGACCGAGATGGACATTTGGGCGACTGCGGATCGGAGCGAGTTCCAAAGAATTCTCGAGGAGTACAAGAGCAACGAAGTGCATTCCGTTTCTATTGCGGAAAAAGCAAGCCTGTTTCTCCAACAGTGGGGCGAGAAAATCCGACTGGAAACCGACTTGGCGACAGCTTTGGAAGACATGAAGAACGCCGAAGCGGTCGCAGGAGGAAATGCAAATGGTGAAGAAGATTCCACCAGCGTCAGGGAAGAAGGAAACGCTAAGCAAGGGCTCGAGATCGAGTCGCTTCTGGAAAAGTTCGCGACGCTCCTATCGAAGGCGGCAAACTTCAACGCGAATGCGTGCGATTTTCAAAGCCTCCGCATCGAAGACGTCGAAGAGCTTGAGGCACAGCACGCTGCGGCTTGCCGGCGGTACGAAGCAGGAAACACGCTGGCGCTCGCTCTGAAGGCCGCCTTTCCCGCCTGGCTCATCGACATTTTTCAGCAGTGCAAGAACCCAGAAGGAGACGACGACGAGAAAAAAACAGAAGACATTGTTTCCGCCACTGAAAAAATCAACTTCGTCCAGACCTCCCTCCTTTCCCAACAATCAGCTGAAGAAGAGGCTCTCGACGAAGCCAGTTTAGTTGCGCTGACAACTGCGATTGAGAGTGTGGATTTGTCGAAGCAAAAGCGGGAGGAGGCGTGGACATTGTTGCTCCACTTTGTGCTCATGAAGGCGAATTTCGGGATTTCGGAATTATCAGACTGCTTGTCTGCGTTGAAGAGTTTGGCATCGTCTACCTGCAGCGAAAACGACACGAATGAGCCGGCGGAGGTCGCAGATGTGCTGGGAAAAAACGAAAAGCTCGCGAACTTTTTCAAGCAACTTCTCTTTGGCTCCGAATCGACAACAGCGAAAGCGACACGATTTGTGAAGAAGCTGTGGCGTAGTGTTTCGCCGTTCAAGAAGCAGCAGAGCAGCGCCTCGGGCACGAGAAACAGTTCTGCTGCGGGTGAAGATGCGCCACTGAATGTGCTCCGAGAGGAGACAAGGGATAGCCTGAAGCAGCTGGGAAGGAAGGTATGACCTCTCGACTGTGTCGAGGGAACTTGAGCTTCCTTCATCTTGCACTAACGTATGGAAAGTTTTCGATGATCAAAGTCATGCTTCACTCGAATTACTTTTTATAGCAAGCACCTCAAATTTTTCATCGCACTCCAACAAGGTATCCGAGCTCCGTTTTACCCTGACAGAAAAAGCCAAGCGGACCGCCAGCCGCAACGCCTTGCAGAAATTTGTGAACGATGTCACTCTCAACACGGCCAGCTTCTACGATTTTCAGGCGGCATTCGACACCCACGCACCGACGTTGGAGATGAAATACGAGGCATCTACTTCCTCCTCCGACGATGAGAACAATGCGAATGCCACTTCGTCCTCCAACAGTGCAGCTGCAGGAGTCGCTCCTGAACAAACAAATTCACTTGACTCAGACTCGAAAATGAAAGATATCGAATTGATCGAAAATTGCAAACAACTGCTGCAGAAGTTGAGTGGCGTTCTGGAGATCGAAGAGGAGCTGGAGATCCTGTTGAAGCAAGCAGTGAACAAAAAGAAGCAAAAGCACGAGGTTTTGTTCCCAGAATTCATCGAAGCGTTCCGGACCTACGCTGTTGTGACGAGCAGCAGTTCAACTCCTTCGACGTCCTCTTCCGCGTCATCTAGTGCCTCTAGTGGAGGTGGGCAGGAACACCTCAACGTCGAAGCCCACGCGGCCCTCACCGACGACGCGCACCTGGAATTTGAGAAGTTTGCGGACCCGGCACGGTTGGAACGGATGAAAAACGCGATTGTGGAATTTGAAGAGGAACAAACGGAGAAGAAGCGGATTATGATGAAGAAAAAATGGGACGACAATTACATCTGCTTTGAGCAGGACGTTGCTCCAATCGCAGCCGCGTTGAACAGTAAAAGCAAAAGCGGATCGAAACGCAGGATGACCATGGCCGGATTTGACGTGGGCGCTGTGGCGCTGCGGGAGGTAAAACTAACTTAGATGTTTTTAGGTGGTGACAAGTCTGATTCTAGTGCTAGTTGTTGCGACTCTACTGCCATTATCAATAGCGTATCAGGTCATAAAAAGGAACTCTGCCATGCAAAATGAAAAACGTGCAAAACAGACCACCGCGCCGACATCCGCCCGAAAGGCCTTGAAATCCCAGTCCTGCTTGCGTATCCGCATGGCGTACCGCCGGAAGAAGCTGTCGTGGGACAAGAGGGTCTTGCGGTTCAAAAGCAGAGTGAACAGAGGGAAAGCAGTTCTGAAAACTGGTGTAAACAAGTGCTTCGAAAAGTTGCTCTTCGTCGCCAGCATCGCGAAGGAAATCGCGTTTGTGCTGCTCTTGGTGTGGTTTGCGTATCAGCAGTTTTTTTCCATCCGGACGAGCTCGTCGCCCAGCAGGGAGTGAGGAACGACTGTGGGTACGAGCAGAACTACGTTAATACTGTGGTACAGAATTTTTTGAATCACGGATCAATGTTAAGATCTCAAGCTAGCAGTAACGGTCCCGCTTTCGCACAAAAATAGAGGTAAGTATGTGTCAACACATCTCGTCAATCTGACAAGAAAACATGTAGGATATTGTAAGACCACTGAGGCAGCACCAGCAGGAGCCTATAACATGACTACCTTTATGCTCAGCATGCAGTAGCAGTCGTATTTGTTTCGTTTTTTCCTGCAACCAGAACCAGAGCTGATTGAATGATTTGAAAATTACCTTGAAACTCGCAGCATATTGGCGCTAGTGTCGTGCCATCGGTTCAGTGACCCGGATCTATCACTACGTATCAGTCCTCTCTTGAACTTGGAGCAAAAGTAATTTTCGGTAGGTCAGGCAGTGATGCGGCAACGTCTCCACCACATGTCAAGAATCATTGGTGCCTTAAAAATCAATCTTATGTCAACATATTTTGGAAAATGAAGGAAGCTTTTAAGTGTTATGTTATCTTTGGAAATTATTGGTCTGCGTTGATGTTGAAGTTTACATTTTTGAATTGTATTATGGACCTGCTTGACAAATATTGATATTCTGGTCGAGTTGGAGACAAGAATGACAACCACAACCACCATACACTTAAACTTCAAGAAGAAGCGATGTTGATGTAGTTTCATGCATCGATCGCCATGTGACGAGGAAGAGGACATCACGACTTCCAATTCGACACATGATCGCTCTTCGTCGTCTTGTCGGAGTTAAATCTAGTACTTTGTCGCATCTATTTATGTCTTTATCGGGTCGTACGATGTGGGGTCAGACGCTCTTGGGGTGCTGCATGCTGTCGAGGTGTGAACTTTCGTGGTGAGTGATATCATGTGTTAGGGTAATCAAAACATAAACAAGTCGATTAAGAAGGATAATTGTTTGCGACTTTGCTTGCTGTCTATGTCTATCGTATCGACCACTACACTTACATGCACGTAGAAGCCACCTTTGCTGTTGTTCATCGTTTTTCTTACAGCTCCTGAACCAGTTACAACACCCTTCCCACAGTGACAGTGAGTGCCTAGAAGTAGCTAGCGCAGCCCAATAAAAGTAAAACCTAAACCACTTCTGAGCTGCTCCCAATTAAAATTATATTCGGCAGACAAGATGTTCTTCGCGGCTTCCGAGATCATCCACAAGAAGCAGCTGCTTCTCTGTGTCGCGGTCTTAACCGCCTCCTCCATCTTCAACACCGCCGGCGTGCAAGGACTAGTCCCGACTTCCACCTCCAGCACCAGCGCCGAGTTCTCCGATGAAGCCGTGGCCGTGGCACGGTCCGACATGAAGGACGACGCGCCCCCCCCCCCCCCCCCGCAATCTGGCCGTGATCGGCAGCGACGGAGATGCTACGGCCGGGACGTATTTGGAAGAAAAGGAAGGAACACCGACCGGCTTGGCGATGTGTGTGGTGCACCACCTGCTCAAAGCCGGGTCCCACCGAGCAGCTATCGAAGCGATCGAATGGGCCGCCCAGGAGATGCGGAATGCGCGGAATACGTTGCGGGGGACGCCGGATTACTACCGCTGTGTCTGCAATAGCGGCGCGGGCTACAGGATCCAAACCGCCCCTACGGCCGCGGACGTCGAGTGGTGCAGCGACTTCTACTGTGCTGATGATGAACCCGCGCGCATCGAGGCGTGCTACAACGAGGGGGAGTGATTCCAACACAATGGTCGCAGCTCGTGAGCTGCTGTTGACGGTTAGTCGACGAGTAAACACGACTCCACCTCTCCAGCATCTTCATCTTCTGGAGGCGCAGTTGTTGCGAGATGAAGTCGGTGTCAGAGCTGGGGGGAACGAAAAGTCTCAACTTCGAACAACAAGCTGTAGCTTGAGTATTTCTACTTGAAGAAAAAATCTCTACAAGTAGTTCGCTACTGATTTATCATTATCTACTATCAGCAATGAAAATATAATAAATTACCCGCGACGAAATAACTGCAAACTAAAGATTCTCAAATGATTGGCATTGATTCAAGAATTACAACGAACGAATTACAATCGACACTACAAGTATCAGCCACGAAGAACGAATCAAAAGCGAAACTAATCCTAATGTTAATGTAACAAACCTGACCCGCCTCCCAGTTTTTCCTTTTCGCTGTATCAACATAGGCAACATCAAGGGAAAAAGTCCTTATATAATATCGACGACGACGACGACGACCTTATATAAAATCTTAGCAATTATCCTACCGCTACCACCAATCAGGCACCATGATCTACAGTCGCAGGAAGGAGGACTCCGGCACTCAGGTATTTTTGGTTAGCCGCAGACTTGTGGCAGTTTGTTATCGTTCTCGATCTCGTTGTCTGAGGAATCATGCAGCAAGATGTTACAACTTGGGTCTGAGTGAGGAACTATGAAGTCTCAATCAACATCTCCAGAATCTTGAAGACATGAATGTTTGGCTTTGGCCGGAGGTAGAGGCGAGGTGTGCCCCAAGTATCAAAAAAAAAAGATTAGTCTTTCTAGTGAGAATGAGTGATGGCTGCATGGCTATATCGGAGATTGGTCAAGCATACAGAGCGAAGGGACAAAGAGAGGGTATGCCTATGCATGTGTCGTATTCGTTCTTCTATCGAGATGGTTTGCGTACCAGCAGTTTTTTTCCATCCGGACGAGATCCGGTAAGGAGTGAACGCCAGGCGGAGGAAGATGGTGCTTTTAAAGGCGTTTCTGCGCAACAACTTTTTGAATGATAAATCTCAAAAATGTCAATCCTGGTTACGCCCTGATCTCGAGAAGTCGTTAGCCGCGAGAAAAATTGCGCTGCATTTCGAAAGAATGTAGAATGAAACAGCCAGCAGCCAGAACGTCTATCATTGACATGGTCATCTTCTTTGGAACTTTGTTTGGCTTAATTGCCTCGGACTCAAAAGAAGTACTCAACTAAGTAAAAAAAAATTTATCCATTGCACGGCTGAATTGGCGTTGGCCCATATCTGTTTGATATTGAATTTGAAGTAGTTTCTTGAAGGAGGATAAGTTCATGTATTTGTAGTTTCTCAGAAGTGTTAATAATGTTTAAAATTTTTTGGATACGAAGCGCGAGGAGCGCTACCATTACTAGATGTTACGATATCGTTGGAAAAAAGAATTTGGCTTTGAGCAGTATTAGAACTTCACACAATAGAGTAGATTTTTGCTGACGCCTGTATCATTTATCTTGAGACACAACATTCTGCTGGTCGAATTAGAGACCGCTATGCAACACCAATATCGGAGAGCCCCCCGTGAAAAAAATAGCTTACTCGTCACATCGTTCTGTTCTCCATCGTCATATTGTCGAGCTTTCGCTGCTCTGGAATTTTGGTCATAGTCGTTTCCTCGCCAGGTAAAGCAATTCGGGGAGGTCGATGATTCGTTGATTCTGGTTCATGTTGTCAAGAGTAGAAGAAATAATGTTGCAGAAGTGAGTGATTGTTCAGGGAAACGTACACCTAGACGATTACGAGGTGAGAGCTTCGCTGTGCTTATTTCGCTGCCGACCTACTTCTCGATTCGTCGCGGTCAAATGGAGAGTTGTCTATCGTCATTTGGTGTTTAATCACCGTCTTTTTCCGGCAACCGGTTCAGTTTCTTTGCTCCTATTGTTCCGCAACAAAATTAATCACAGACAGCAATAGCAAAATGGACCGTCTCGTCCTCCCAACCGGTGTCCTAACCGGCACCAGCCCGGCAACTTCTTCCTCTTGCACAACGAGGAGCCAGCTGGACTCCACGTTGTACGCGTCGCAAACACCATCAAACAAGAAGTACTTCGAGGGTTCTCACCAAGCCATGTCCCCCTCCAAAACGGTCATGAATGAGGACCCGGAATTACCCTATCACAAGAAACAGTATTAACGTTTACGGAATTTGTGATGCGGCAATGCATCACAAAACTCGCCCAAATTTGTCATGCATAACATGCATACTAGGCTAGTAAGGCTAAATTTGTGATGCATCGCTGCAATCTGTGAAAACCGCGAACGTTTACGCATTTTCTTGTGATATACCCGTCTCTCGCTTCATGAACCCCAACGCTTACGCCATGTTCCTCGGCTTGAACCTGAAACAGTCCAGAAAGGATCTATGAGAGGGCACCACTCCCCTTCCCCCTCATTTGTATTGCATGAACAGCAATACAAGCGTCAGCAAGAATACAGGTTTTGCATGACAAATTTGAACAGAAGTGCTGTGCTATTTGGGCTGCCAGAACTTGTCATGCTAACAGTGCCAAGAGGCAAGGCGTAAATTAGATACTTTGCATGACAAATGAGGGGGAAGGGGAGTTGTGCACTCTCATAGGATCAAACCCTGTTCCAAATTCTCAAACCTGTACTCAACTCCCAGCTCCCGAAACCCTGGTCGGCGAGAAACGATATGCGACAGGATAGGGTGTACTTCTGGGACTCTGCGCTGTTGGAAGCGAGCTATCGGCACCCGTTGGAGCGATTTTTTATCGATTTGATGAGGATGCTGAAGGAGAATTTGTTTCTCGATGACGGGAAGGAATCCGTGAAGAAGTGCTTGCTGGAGGAAATTGAAAACTGCGGAAAAATAAACGGGGAGGAGCTGTTCGGGAAATGGGAACAGAAAAAAATTGAAGGGAAGGAGGTACAGATTATTTTATTTCGGGTTTATCAGGCATGATGAAAAAGTTCAGTTTTTGTTGTGTTTGAAGAGCCTCTGGGCACCAGAGAACACATGGTAGCTATGCTCATGCACATTTTACTTTATCAGGGATTTTTCTACGTCGAAGTGCTGCAGCAGACCGCTCTGAATTCCACCGATTCCTCCACAAAATTCCACCTCCGCACTCGATTCGACAACGTCGAGATGACGATCGCGGCGAACATCCGGCTCCGGCTGAAGCTGCTCCAGCAGGTCTGGCTCGCGGTCTTTTCCCCGATCCAGGTGGAAAACGCGTTTCCGTTCGACAATGAAGAAGACATGGACGATATCCTGAGTAAAAACGTACCCACACAAGAGTCAGGATGGGGATTTTGCAACACAAACCTAGGAGTTTTAGGAGTCACGCATGACAAGTTTCAGTCCGTAAGGTAGTGCAAGTTAGCAAGGAAAGCCGCATCACAAATCGACCTTCTGATCCTGTTTACAGCATCACAAGTTCCCAAACACGATTGAAAATGCCTGTCATGGGGTTGCGCATCACAAATGTTCCTGTCATGGTAAATCTGCATGACAACTCTGGTGATATACTGATGTATAGAAGTTAAATTATTATTGGTATAGGCTGGCACAAGACAGAAAGCGAAGACACTAATCCTTCAGTGCACCGCACAGCTCTAGACGCGGGCTCGTCGGGCACAGAGCACGCAGGAAGTGGGCAGAAAGAGCGACGATGTGGGTCGTGCCTCTGTTGGCAATGGCAGCGATACGCGCGGCTGTAATCAAGCGGCTCGAGCAGCTCGCCCCCGTCCCAGAGGCGCCAAATGCCAACGTGGGCGACGGGCCGCCGGGTCTCCCGCTTCCGGCGGTAGACGAGGACGCGATCCCAGATACATACGTAGCAAACAAGGCGTTCGTACTAACGCCGGCGTTTCTTCCAGCGGGGTCACTGACCAAACTGCAAAAAGTGGCGCGCATGGTACCGAAGCACACAGCAGCAGCATTCCGTTCTGCACAGCGGCACAACTTACTACTAGAATGTGGCCCGCATTGCCTTGCGGAAATGTCGCGCCCGGCGAAGGAGGGGGAGCGCGAGTCTAAGAGGATACAGGCTGCAGAAGAAGCGCTTCGCCGAGGGGTGTGCATACCGGGGGGTAAAAAGTTCTACGAAACAGAAATTCCGCTAGCGGTATGGCGGGCGACCTCCTGCCGCGAGGGTCCTCTCGCAGAAATCCCAGACTGCTTCCCGGATTACGCCGGCGTCTGGCCGCTATCGAGTGCAGCCAGCGACGGTGTAGCTCTTCGCCGCACAGACCACGGCATCAGAATCGATCCGCGCCGCATGCCGAGGCGCAAAGGGGCCGCGGCTATTCACAACTACGGCGGCTTTACAACCTCGGACTGGTGTGACCGTCCGCCAAACCCAGAGGCGCTCATCAGCGCGGGAATCAGGTGCGTAGACAACGACGAGGACAAGGCAGTGGTGACGAAGGGCCACGGGTGCCTGAAGCGGCAGATCGAATCAGCGGCGCCGGGAACTTTCTTCTGGTCAATGCACGACCGGCCCGCGGCCGACGCTTCAGAGGTCGAGGACATGATCTGCGCACCAACGCGGGGCCTCAGCCGGTGGAACCTTGCCGTAAACAAACTCGAACAGCATGGGCGTTGTGCGGAATGCGTGCGAGCAGCAACGGGCCGGCTAGAAGCCACACAGGCGAGCAACCCGATGGTCCACCCGTACTTGGCCTCCTTTTTAGAAGTCACTCGGGCGCCACCGGACGAGCCAAGGCCGACGAAATGGTTCCCGAAACCCGGCGAAAGCGACTCCCCCGCCCCCTCCTCAGATTATCCGGTGTACCTCCGCGTTCCGGTTAGCCAGTCCCAGTCGCAGATCGAATTTCAGCAGCACGCGCTCTACGTCTGTTCACATTGTGGAGAAGAAACTGCACAACCAGCGTCACTGCTGGCACATGTGATATTGTGCAGAATCGGGCGCCACGGCCGCTTGCAGAGCGCGATGCTAGCGAAGTTAGCGGAGCTGGCGCAAGGAGTTCTGGCGCCGGGCGTTCGCAGGGGGGAAACAGACAATAGAAGGGAAATAACTACATCGACCGCGTACCACTTGGCCAGCCTCCGACTGAACTTCACCGGCGGGCTACCCAAGCCGGACAAGGACTGGTCCAAAGGGCGGCGCTTCGTGATCATGGCGATAAACATGTCTCGCGCGCTCACTTCACAGTGGCCGTTGCTGGTGCATGAGATCAACGCGTCGCGGGCGCTGGTAGTCGTCGTGTCGGAATCCGACACGCCGACTCAAGCACTGCAGCAACCAATCCGGGACCTGATTTACCGCACACTCCTTGGGCGGTTCTTCATCTGGTCCGCCCCCCGAGCCATGGTGTTAGTGGCGCACTCTCTCCGGCCTGCAGACCACGCAATCGCAGCGGCCATCCCAGGGGCACCGAACATGGCCTGCATCTTAGTAGCCCACGAGGACATCGCGGGGCGTCTCTTGGCCGGCTACATTCCTCCAGCCTCATGCAGCGTTCCAGAGTTACCAGTCCGAGGGCAGCGCGAAAGCCTCATGAACTTCGCGAGAAGCAATGCCGCGGAGGTGGTAGGCATCGCCGGGGACTTAAACGCCAGCACGGGCCCTGTGCTAGCGGACACACCCCGCGGGAACTGGCTGCAAAGCCAACTGTCACAATTCGCGACAGCAGAAGGGCTCACCTCCGCACTGCAGGCGGACGATGTAACTTTCCCCTCCGGGGAATCCCAGCCGGACGTCGTCCTGCTCAAGCCTCGGACCACGGAAACGGTGCTATGCACGCGGCTCGTCGAACCGCGCTACCTTACGATGAACGGGGCCGCTCATCTTCGCATCGATTGCGAACTGCGGCAGGATGGGTCGGCCCTAGGCGCCAACGCAGACGGGTGGCAAGAAAAGCAAGACCGGCCAGACAGCATCTCCTGCCCGCAATCGCTCACCCGGCGAAAGGTATTCCACTGGAGCAGCATAGACCAGGAAACGCTGGGCCAGGTTCTCTCCGATGCATCCGCGGCTGCGTCGGGGCAGGAGCCGTCTTTCACGGGTGACACCTTGGCGACAGCACTTGATCGGGCAAAAGCCCCACACAACAAGTCCCGTCTTCCCTCCGTTCACCTCGCATTACTACGTGGGGATGGATCCCTCACCGCGTCGACAGAAGAGACGATGAACCAATTCCGAGTGCGGCTATGCGAAAACAAGCCAGCCGGGCTGTTGCGCACCCCAGAAGAGGAGCACGACGTGGCGGCGGCCGCGGCGAAATTAATCGCAGCGGCACCATCTAGACCGTTGAAGCCTACCCGTGACATGGCGATGCGAGCGCAGAAGCGGCTGAACCCCCACGCCGCCGCAGGCAGCAACGGCGTCCCGCCCGCGCTGCTGCTCGCCTCCCTAGAACTCTGTGTCCTTCTGTGCGATATAGTATGCCGCGCCCTCAACGACTACCACGACCCCCCTACCTGGACGAAACAATACCTAGTGTCTTGGCTTTACAAGCACAACAAAAAAGGGGCTTCGAAGTTTTTGGGTCGCTATTGGCGGCCTATTTCGATGCTGAATGTCGAAGATAAATTCACGGAAAGCATCCTGCACGGCGAACTACAGCAGTCTCTCAATGTCTTCCGAGACAATACGGCATTCATTCCGGGGCTATCCCCCGCCGTCGGCCTGCTGCGAGCCCTGATCCGCACCATGCAAGGGAACGCCAAATACGTCGCGGTGATAGTCGCGGACGTTACGGGGGGCTTCGAAAATTGCAGCCTCCTCGAAGTCCTTCAGGTTCTGTTAGAGCGGGGGGCATCCCGGCAAGTAATGCAGGCAGTGTGCTACTGGATGACTGGGCGAACGGTGCGGATTGCCGTGGACGGGCTGATGGGGGTGGCGTTTCCTATCTGCGATGGGTTGGGCCAGGGCACATTGTTATCGCCTGCCCTCTTCCGGGCTTGTGTGGAAAAGCACCTCATCGCCGCCGGCCTGTATTCCACGCTGGGGGAGTGCGTCGCGGCCTACTGCGACGACATCGCAATTTTCGTAACAGCAGAATCCGAGGGCGAGATGGTGAAGAAATTGCAGGACAGGGGCAACAAGCTCTTGTCAATCCCCTACCCGGTCTCGGACTGGAGAATGGCCGTTCTTCGCTCGCCAGAACATGCCGCCGGTGACGAGAAAAAACTGGAGCAGTTTTTGAAGCGGATTCGTGTTACGCTCAGCAACGGCGTGACGCTCTGCCCACCGGAAGTCGAGGTGGAACTGGACCCCGATGCGCCGAAGTCGGTCCGGCTTCCCGGGCTGTTTCGTAGGTATAATAAGGCGAACTACATCACAGTCCTCGGGATGCCACTTACAGTAAACCCCGAGGCTTGGGAGCAACACTTCGAGGACCAACGCCGCCGAGTCCTCTCATGCTCGTCCACAGACGAGGACGCCGTAGATGCGGCAGCCGCCTCCCCGCTTGCAGCAATTAACAAATACCACGAGAAGGCATTCAACGCGCTGCAGTACATGGCAAGCGCAAAGTCGCTCCTGTGTCCGGGCGCGTTGATCAAACTGGACGACATCGCGGAGACAGCGTTGCGCCGCATGCTTCGCATCTCCTTCACGGCTCCGACGTACAGCACCTTCATCAGCGCGGGGGCCGTAGTGCCCTCCACAGCGGCGCTAGGTGAGCGCACTACCCTCTGCGTGCAGGCGATAGGCCTGGACGACGCGGAGTTCGCCCGGTCATCAAAGGTGCAGGATGTCTTCAACATGAGGCGAGAGGGTTGGGCGTCACTCCCTATTTCGCACAACCTCATCCCAGCTGACCCCCTGCCAAGCAACGTCCACATTCTTCCTGCGTCCGCAGTCTTCCAAAAATACGACCTGGCGCTCAGTAAAGCTAACACTCCAGAAGTCGCGGCCCGGGTCCGCGACGAATTTCGAGGCCTAGAAAGGTCCCTGGGGCCCGCTCTCCTCTGGGTGGCAACGGATAGTGGCGACGATCCGGGTGCAGAACCTGGGCCCGGCCCCAAGCAGCGCATGGGGACGGTGGTCATGAGGAGGGGTTGCGACGAAGAAGGTAAGTTTGCTCTAGCAATGAGGTTGCGACACACACTGACCACGTTTTGGGGTGAGTCAGGCGCCCACGCAGCGGCAGTTCTGATGCTGGCGGACAGCTTAGACGAAGACTTGTCGCCGATTTGGGACCCGGCCCTGAGGTTCGTGATCTTCCAGTGCGATGCCAGCCCGGCGCTGGAGAACATTCAGTCCCTCCGCACGGAGGAAACATGGCAAGAAATCCGGGCGGCCATCACGAAGCTAGCGGACCGGCGCCCTGACATCACCTTCATATTCCACTGGTGCCCTGGGCACTCGGGGATATCCCCGCACAGCGAGGCCGACATCTTGCAGAAGTCTACATTATTGCCGAGTGAGCCGCTGACGAACTACGTAAGCCTGCGCGTTCCGCTACGGCAGTTGCGGGAGTTCGCCCGCAAGTGCCTGCGGGCGGAAGTAGCGCGGCAGCTACAAACTCGGGCCGCTCAATCAAAAACAGGAGCGTGCCGAGGGAGAATCGCCTCCCAGTTAGGAAACGCCCGCCGTGTCCTTCGCGGCCTCACCCCCACGTCGCAGTGGATCGTATGGAGTCTCTGCTCGGGCGACGGAAGGGAAGCAGCGCGTGCTGCCAGGAGTGTAGTCGGCTCCTCTCACCTAAAATGTGGCTTATGCAGCAAGAAGCTAGATGCTGCAGTGTGTTTCTCGCAACAGATGTATGCAGAGTCGCAGCACCCAAGCCAGGGCGCGGACGACATGGCGGTGGACGAAGAGGAGTTTGGCTCGATAGATCGCGCGGCGGCTGCGTTACAGGAGCCGACGAGCGAATCCCCTCCGCCGTCTCCCCCGGAGGCCGGAGAAAAAAGGCAATCTCAGTCGCAAGGCCGGCAAGTGTTGATCTCGCAATTTGCAAAGCATGTGCTAACTCTGGAGTGCAAGGCCATGTGCGACAACTTTCCGCTGGAGGCGGGAGAGGTGCTGCCATCGGTCTCGAAGATCATGAAAAAGCCGGCTGAGGTGTTGAGGGTGTTCCTCACCCTCATAGGTCTTCCCCCCCCGCCCAAAGGAACGTGGCCTGTCGAAGCCCCCGCTCGCCAGCCTCGGGACGATGTCATGCCAGACCCCGAAGTACAGAAGAACATCGACCGGGCAGCGGAGGTATTTCACAACATGGTGGAGGCCTCGCGCATGCGTGCGCCGCCACCCTCAGCAACACAAGACCCGTCCGCGGTTCCGGGTCTCCGGTCCCACGTCCCACCAATGGTCCACCGCATGTACACAGCGGAGCCCGGGCACACGCAAGTCCCGGAGGCAGAAATCGAAGATGTTCGCGCTAGGCTCTGCTGGAAGAGGCCAAACAGGGCCGCGCCCGGTGGCCCCCGTAAAGTCGCCGATTGGCGAAACGCCGACTCCCGTGTCAGAAGCCGCTCCAGGGAGCGGCAAGCACCATCACAGATGCAGCCCCCAAGCCCAGCGGTAGCAACTAATGGGGGCCCGTCTCCCCCCCCTGTCCACGAGTTCCAGCAAGTGCGCCTACCTCCCGGTCCACTGCACCTAAGTCGGCCGCAGACGATCCCGCAGCGGGTTTTCGGTTCCAACATTCCTAGCCAGGATGCAGCACTTGGGAAGCGATCGGCGATGGATCAAGCTGTGGAGATCTCCCTCAAGGAAGCTGAGGCAGACGCGCGACTAGAAGCCAGACTACGGGGACGCCTCGCAGGGCGGGGCCTCCGCCTAGACAAAGTGATCGGCGATGGAAACTGCATGTGTCGGGCGGTTAGCAGAATGGTTACTGGGTCAGAAGCAAACTACAACCATTTCCGGCGTCGTGCCATTCAGAGCCTCATCCTCCGCCGCGCACACTATCAGCCGTTCGTCGGCTCCGACAGCGAGTGGGCAGAGTACATCCACCAGCATTCCCAAGACAAATGTTGGGGAGATCATGTAGTGCTGGAAGCACTTGCTGCTGAAGTATCAGCATCAATACTCCTGATTACCACAAATTCTGACAATACGCCAATTCAAATCCTAGGCCCGCTGGACGCCGCCCCACTGAGGGAAATCGTGCTGGCGCACAAGACATACACTCACTACGACGCCACGGCGCCGGTAGAGCACGCAACATAGCCCCCGCGTCGCCAAAAAGAAATCACAATGGACGCGCCTACACGCGTGGGCGAACCACGACGAGCCTCGAGTTGGGCATTCAGGTTGTGCGAGATGCGACCACCTTGTTCCCTGCCAAGCAAAGCGGCGTGAAGAGGGGCAGTGGTCGGCTCCGGAGGCATTTCCACGAGAGATAAAGATGCGAGGTCTCCGCTTCCTGGCGAAGTTGCCTCGCCCGCGTCGTTGAATGATAGAAGAAAACTTCTTCTGACTCTCCCGACGCTCGTTGCGCGTCGGGCCTCTCGTCCAGAAAGGGTTAGTAGCACGACCGGGGTGGCGGCACGGCCCTCGCAAGCAGCAACGACGACAGGCTCCGTGCAGACGGGCTAAATTATCCATTCCCCCTCAGGCAGAACGCGGGAGATGTAAGGGTCGCAAGATGGTAGAAGCTCGACGTGCTCTCTTGTCATGCGGTTTTCGCTATGTTCTGCATCTTTTGGCGTTGCGTTGCGGCATTGCTCTTAGGACGCTATGCTGCAGGATATGCAAACTCTTCCCATGCGCTAGGAAGGAGGCAAGGCCACGCCAGGCCCAATCAGATACACTACACCCTCGTAAGAGCAATCCCGCCGTCCCTGATAATGCAAGCACGTGAGCAAGTGCCCACATACATATAAAAATCTAGCGACAAGATCCCATGCGTGTTCTGCCTCCTCTTTCAGATGAGAATACGCCATCATACTATGGTCGACGACGAGGGCCGTGCTGCGGAGCGGCGGAGCAGTATCGTGGTGTCAGTCGCCGCACCAGAGGAGAGGACGTGCGTTCAGCCAGGGAGGACGCCCACTCAGTCCTCAGATCCTCCCCCAGCCTCCCCGCCTGGCCCGATGTCCAGACCGCCAGCCCCCCCCGAATCAGTCTGAGTAGTCGCTCAGTAAAAGGCCTCTCAAACATGTCCATGTAGGTTTCCGTGAGCTGATAAGTTTTGGTATTCCACAACGCGCAACACGAACCAAAAGCGGCGTTATTATTGGATCCATCCGTCTCGCCTTGTTCCCGTGCTAGGCTGGTGCGTTGCTCATTTCTCCTAAGGTTTTTGAACAGAAGCAGTTCATAAAAAGACAGCGAGCAACAGGCTTTACTGCATCCGTCTCGCCTGGTCCCCCTGCTAAGCTAGTGAGCTATGTAGTTTTTCTCTAAGATTATCTTCCTCCAATCTAGGCGCGCGGACAAGAGCTCACGATAACAGAACTTTGAGGCAAGGTGTAATGCAGCTCCGTAGGAGAGGCGCTACTGCGATGCAGTAGGCTGGCGACTACGTGCATATGTGTTGAAGGGCAAGGCTCGGGTCGCACCGGATCGCCTCCACCTTAGAACGGGCCGGTGGAAGTCGCATGTTTCACCTTCGGATGGCACTCGCCTAGAGTATACGGAATACGAGGACTCAGGCGGTATTCGCGCGAGGGTGTCGAAGCCGGGGTAGCGAGAAGCCGCCGAGGGGCGGCGCGCGGGCAAAACCACTTCCCCCGATCTCCGGCTGTCGCGGGTTCCCGAGCTGCACGAGTTTCAGTACTTGTCGGCGGAGACGCAAGTACCCGGGACGGGTAGCTAGTCGGGCGCCGCTGAGGCTGTGAACGACGCCTGACTGGATCGCCTTCGAGTTAGCAGCCCCTGACAACGATCCAAGTGGGTGCCCACGAAGCAGGAAACCGATAATAGACCCGGTGGTTCCGTGAGCCCAGCGGTTCGGGTGCAGAGTCATTTTCTTCTTGTGCTGCCTGCGGATTGGGTGCAGAGTCGTGTTCTACTTGTGCTGCCTTGCCAATTGTATTTCTGTGCCTCGAGCTTCCGGTCATGTGGAAAGCATGCTTCTTGAACGCCAAGTCTAGCGATCAGGAAGATCAGTATTCAATCTCGCATCTTTTACCTTTAACTTGGTTGTTTAAACGTCACTTCAGGCTGGCGCTTGTCGCTTAGTGTCTCCAGTGAATGCATTCATCCAGACAGGAATTACGGGTTTTGCCGCAGGCTGCAGCTTTTTCTTGTTGTTGTGAGCCTGGCTGTATACTCCCGTTATAGTGGTAGCGAGTTGGAAGTTTGCGAGAATCAGTGGTAGGAATTGTTGGCATAAAAGTGAGGCGTTGTTCTGTTGGCAAGTTGGCACAAGTTGGCACAGTATGGTTGTTGGCGCAGTATGGTTGGTTGGCGAAAACAGAGTTGGGATATAGTGGCCGGGAGATGATGGTGATGGCATTTCGGTGTCCGCCTGACCCACCCGCCCTGCGTGGCAAGCCATCTGCGGCCATGCTACAATGGGGGGGCAAAGTGTGTCGCATTTTGTTTAGCATGACAACTCTGGGGTGGGGACGTCTTTACACAGGATAGACGAGGAAAGCATCAAGCGGGCGAGGGAATGCGTCGTCTACATCCCAGAGCCAGTGGTGATACAGCAAAAAGTAGGTGGACCACCGACCACGCAACAAGTGAATCTAGTTGATGGAACAGTGGGCGAGCAGTCTGGCGACTTCCAAGCGGGCGAAATCCGGGACCTGTTGGAGAAAGAAGCAGGAGATAAACCAAGCGATTTACCCGAGTCGCAGCGTCCTTCCACCCAGGTCACACCCGCGACGGACAAAATGGAGACTCCAACGGACCAGGACCAAGTGCTGCTCGTCGGACTGAGGGCTTTGGACAACGCGATAGAGTCCTACGTGGAATCACAACCCCATCCGGGGGATCTGCCGGTCGAAGTCCCGGAAGTATCCGTGGAAGAGGTTGTGAAATCCGAACTGCCGAAATCTCTCATGCTAGACGGGAGCACCGCGGGAGGTTCTGCAGCGGCTGCTGGACCTGGAGCAAGTGAGAGCAAAAAACCGGACTTCCTCGCCGATTTCGCGAAGTGGCGGTTAGTATCAAATGTAAAAATGTCTGGGTCTGGAAGAATGCGCGATTTGTCATGCTTGTCTGGGATGACCAAAAAGTTTGTGATGCGTGTCCAAGAAGACGCCCTTTTGTTTGTTATGCAAAAACGCAGTTTGTCATGCGAAAAACGCAACACAACGAAGCGCAGATATTTCTCATGCTTGGCTGGGCATTACAGAGCATTCACTAGTCCCAACGCAGCATTACAAGTTTCCAGACCCAGACACTTTTGCATTTGATAGTTAGAGAGTCGGGAGAAGTACCGAACTGCGAAATACGAGGGTCGAGGAGTTGTTCTTGTTAGAGAGGACAAATCAAAAACAGCACCATCCTCCATTGACGTCACCACTATGCAATACAAATTTCCCGTAAATGTACCAGATGCATCACAAATTTCACTAATTTGGAGCGCAAAACTTGTCATGCTAAACTAGGATCGAAACCAAGTTTTGCCATGCAGAAACCGCATTTGTACCTGCGCAGGAGGAAATTTACCGTGCATAACCAGCTTGGCGCTGCAATTCCAACAGTCCGGTGCTGCGGATACGTTGACCGCCCCGATAGAAGCGTGGGTAGATGCGGAGGATTTTAAGCAGTTCTGTGAGGAACAGACGAATGACGTGCAGTATCAAATGTAAAAATGTCTGGGTCTGGAAGAATCCAACTTGTAATGCTGATTTTGGATTTTGAAAAAATCTGTATTGCATGAGCAGCAAAGAGAATCCAAGTTTTGCTACACGGAAAGAGCATTTGTCATGTGGTATAGGCATCAGGAGGCCCTCACAAAATCTGTGACGCTAGGGCATGCATCACAGACATCAGGAGTCATGCAAAATGTGCATGACAAACCTGGCAATCTTCCAGACCGCCCAGACGCTTTTGCATTTGATATGCAGGGGCAATTAACCACGTTGAAAGAAGCGAAGGAATCTTCTGAGGAGAGGAGAAAGGAGAGGAAAAGACTTGTGAAGGAAAGGATCGAGAAGCACAAGAGCGCGATTTTGGAACTGCGACTGCAGGAAAAAAAATCGAAAATGAAAATCGAGGAATTAGGGAAGATGCAAGTTTCCAAGTTGGAGGCGAGGTTGACGGAAGAACTGGCTGCAGTAGTTGGCGGGGATGCTAATGTTAAACCTGTTGCAAAGAAAGCTAAGTCCTCTCCGGACGACGGTGACGAAGGTGCTGCGCAGCAGGACGAGGAGCCGAAAGAGCAAGATGCGGAGGAAGAGACAAAGCAGTTACTCGATCACGCGGTCATAGAAGTGAAGTTAGACGCCGAAGAAATGGAGGTGGAAAAATCTGCTTGGGAAATTCAGCAATTGGAAAACGCAGAATCCGATCCAGAAGCAGTGGTGGAGAAAGCGAAGACGATCTCCGAAATGAACAAAAAAGAGAAAAAGTCAGCAATTTCGTCATTCTTTTCGCAGGAGAATCTCGGCGAAGATCACGACCCTGCAGCCACTGCGGAGCAGATGGCAGACGCGGAAGCTGCTAATCCTGCTGCAGGCGATGGCGACGCGAACGGAGCAGAAGCTGGTGGTCCTGCGGATGCTGCTGCAGCAGCAGCTCAGGGCGAAGCTATTGAAGCGGAGGAAGATCATGCGGCAGAAGACGAGAAACCTCTCGATACCGACGAGGAGTACCGACAAGAGCAGGAAAAACTCCTCTCCTCCCTCATGTCCGACGCAAAACGAGAGGAAGAAGCGAAGCTAGCGGCAGAGGAAGCAAAAGCAGCGGAACAGAAACGCCTCGAAGCGGAGAAGAACTCCCACTTCTACGAATCCGAGTTGCAGAAACACGCGGATCACGTCGAGGAGGAAAGACATCGGTTGGAAGCCGAGGAGAAGGCGCTCCGGGGAGAAGGAGATGACCAAACATCAGCGTATCACAGGGAAAAGTGTTAAGGTTAACGGAATTCGAATTTGTGATGCAGTAATGCAACACAAAAGGTGCCCAAATTTGTCATGCATAGCAAGCATATTGGGCAAAAACTGTCATGCGTGACTGCATTCTGTGAAAACCGCTAACGTTAACACTTTTTCTTGTGATACAGCGCAGCAGCTTTTCATGAAACACGGGATCTACGACTCGGATTCCGGAGCTTCGCAGTCCTCCGACTACTATGGAAAATTGAACCAAACTCAAAAAGACACCGGATTACCAGAGAAGCCGATCAAGAACAAACGTTTCATTCCCAAACCGAGCTGGGACGTGTTTCCGCAATTGAAAAATTTGATTCCGGAAAGAGACTCGTTAGACTCTGTCGTCGAAAAAGTCCACACAACCGACCCCACGGTTTTAAGCTACACGGAAAAGTTGAACGAAATATCTGCCGTGTGGAACAAGCATCTGAAAGCAGAACGGGATGTCAACGACGTCGTACCGGAAGATGCGAAAGAGCACTGGAAGAAGCTGATTTACCCGAGTCACAAGCCACAAGTAACTGGTCCAGGTGCGGTGGAGGATAGTGCTTCTGCTGTTCTTCCGGATATGAAGCAAATTGAATTTTTCTCCGAAGAAATCGATAGGGAAATCCTGGACTGGCCGGAAGTGACCAGGGAAAACCGCGCCGCGATCGTGCAGTTCGGGTTGTTTGGGGAAGACTTACCAACCGCGGACCGGTGTTTTGGGGACGAGGCGGCGAATATCCCGCTGCAGGGGTGTGCGGGGAGGTGTCCGAGCCCGCGGGGGGAGGAAGAGAAAGAGGATGGAGGTGCGGATGCCGCTGTTGCTGTTGGAAAAGATGGAAAACCCGTAGACGATCTCGAAGCAGCGAATTCGCCAATCACGAAGCAGAAGACCGCGCCGGCAAGCAGTCTCGCGGCGCAAGAGAAAGCGAAGCAACTCGCGGCAGAAGTAGAGGCAGCTGCACTGAAGAAAGCCGAAGCGGAGGAAGAAGCAGGTCGCAATTCTCTCCCCCACGACGTGCACCGGCAATTTCTACCACCCTATGTCGCGAAAATTCACGAGGAAATCAAGCAGGAAAGAATTCTTGCCGATCAGCTCGGCCTGCCGCCGCCGAAGAAGCCGAAAAAGCAGCGGCCGCGGTCGGCGGACGGGCGGTTTCAGACGGAATCGATGTTCATGGATTCGGAGAACAGCTGTTACTGCTACAGCAAGGAAGTAGAGGAGGAGAACAAAATCTTGAAAGACAGCTTGAAAACGAGAATCGCGATGCACAAGATGAAGTACGATCCGAAAGCCGAGCTCATCGACTTAGCGGACGACGAATTACAGAACGAATTGGACGACGCGCGGCTCTACCTGGAAAAACAGATGAAGGTGATCAACAGGAAGAAGTCCGGCAGTTTCGCCACCGCCTCGGAAGAGCAGGAGAAATTACTCGAGCAAGCGCTCGGTGCGGCGGAAGAGAAGAAGGAAGAGAAACCAAAATGGGAGAAGATGCCCCAAATCAAGCGGTACAAAAAGACGTTGGAAATTCTCGACGCGTTACCGCAAGACGCAGCGGTCGCGGGCTTCGTGCCAACAGATCTGAAAGCGATGCTGGTTCCCGCGCCGGGAATGACGGATGACCAGGCGACGTCGTACGTCAGAGCGGTGCACAAGCTGGAAAGGGCTGGTAGAATATTAATTCCTGTAGTTGCCGCCGCGTTTTGTCATGCAATTTTCCCATGGATTCGTTGTCGTTCCCATCTTTTTCGTGCAGCAACAACCAGTCTCAGGTCGAGCAAGTTCTTACACACCATTTTCCTGTCAGGTATGCTGAACCGGTACGGTGAAAAATCCGGAAAGACCGTCCCTAAACACATTCTGGAAGAAGAAGAGGCGGAAAACGAACTCCTCAACAACGGCGACTACGAATTTGTCCCGGACGGTGACTGCGAAAACGCCGTTTCTTACCTCTCCGACTTCCAAAAACTCTACATCAAGCGGCTGGCGAACGCGGTATACCGGAAGAATCAGTTCCACAGTACCATGGATTTCGATTCGAAAAAGCTGTTTCAATTTCACGACTTGGCGAAAACCGGATTGCCGATTATCCACAGAAAAAACCCATCCACATCCAATTTGTCATGCAAAAAACGTATCAAGTCATGTGTTTGTCATGCAAAAAATGCATGCGGATGGGCATGGGTTTTTTTGTGTGGATACAGATCTCGACGGAATTATCCTCCTTACAGGATTTATCCGCCGCGAACGCAAACAAATCGGCGAATGTGAACAAATCAAGGCATTTGAACGTGATAAAACCGATCCAATCCGCAAGGGGGAATCTTTACCCGTTGTCGCAATTAGTGAAGGAACTGAAGCCGAACTACACTTTATCCACCTGGTGTCGTGCGGTGGAAAAAGCGGGGTTTTTAGAACGGACAAGGAAATCGGGGAACAGTGAGGGAGGGTCGAACGCGGGGTTTATCATCAAACACTTGAAGATGGCGTGCGGCGGATTGGCCAACGCGTTTTTCAGCCTGAATCAGAGCACTTTGGGCAGTCGGGATATCGTGTGCAACTCCATGGTCATTCCGAAAACCAGATTCCAAATGAACTGGAGTATAATTTGTTCTTTTGTTGTTTTGGTTTTTGTTGTTGTTCTTTGTGATGCGATTTGCTGCACGATTGTGTGTGGTTTTGTCTTGCGTGATTCTCATTTTTTAATGTAAGTATCATCATGGAGGCCGTACTATTTACCAAATGAACTACTATCAGCCCCCCTGATGCACGGCCGGATCGATGTGGACTCTGACCTAGCGTTCGAGAAAATCGCCACCCCGGGAAACCAATTCATCACCCCGATTGACCTCTGCGGGCGGCAACTGGGCCAGCAAATCATGAGGTTTATCAGTACGAGGCTTCGCTGGGCGTTGAACAAACCCTGTTTGAGTTTTGACAAGGATTTCAAACTGCGAGACAAGAAAACCGGGGAGATCGAGTTGAAACCTTTAACCACCGTGGAACTGGAAAAACGCGGGGAACGGAAGACGGAGCTCGACTTGATCAAAATCGACCCATTATTGGTCCGACCCTTGAACGACGAGGAAGTTATCAAATGCCAAAGTGTCTGGGTCTGGAAGATTCTAAACGTGTGATGCTGTGTTTGGATTCTAAAAAAAGTTGTATTGCATGACCAGCAAGATGAGGACTCCTGTTTCTCCTACACGGAGAGGGCATTTCTCATGCGGTAGAGGTATGATCACAAAGCCCTCTAAACATCTGTGATGCTACGGCATGATGCATCACAGACATCATGGCTCATGGAAAATATGCATGACAAATCTAGAAATCTTCCAGACGACCCAGACACTTTTGCATTTGATAGAAGTCGCGGAGTTGCAATTACAACAGGACACGCTGCAGGCGAAGAACGAAAGGAAACTCGCACTGCAGAAAGAGGAGCAGGAGAAAGGGCAGCCAATCGAACACCAGAAAACGCTGGAAGAGTTGTCTTTGAAGCTGGCGCAAGTGCCGAAAGTGAACAAATTTCAAGTCCCGAACGACGAATTACAGGAGCCGAGATCGGAACTGTCAGCGGAAGATCAGTTGATCGAAGAGTTGATCATGGACGTCATTGATGAGTTTGAGAACGAAATGGCGGAAACACCAGGAATGACCTCAAATTCCTCTCCCTTCGCCGTCGCCGCTGACGGCGATCATGCAGCTACGGGTAACCCGCAGGAGAATGACGGGAACAAATCGGAGGAATCGGAGCAACCGACGGTCCTCCTCTCCCAGGACCAAATTGAGCTGCAGTTCCTCTACAAAAGGTCCCGGGAAGTGAAGAAAAACAACAAGCCGGAGATGCTGGAGAAGATTGGAACCGATTTCCAGCTTGCAACCTCCTGGAACGCGTCGAATCTGATCGACCAAGCGGTCGATGGACTGGCGAAAAACGTGGTCAAACAGGCACTTACCCTGTTCGCGAACTACGCGGTGGCGGAACTGTACCCGACGAATGTGCCGAAAATCCCGACATTGTCCACATTTCGCATGCTGGTGAATGCGCGGACGAGAGAGACCAGAGATCACTTGATGGAACGGAAGAGGGAATCTCTGAAGGAGCGGGGAGAGGATTTCGCGAAGTTACAACAGATGCTGCAGGACGTTGATGCGGAGATGTTAGATGAGGAGTCTGTCGTATCGTTAGCGGAAGAGGTGGAACGGATGTACGAGAAGATCTTGACGAAACGGGGGATCAATCCGAAGAAGAAACCTTTGAAGGACGAGTTTGCCGACGACCCTTTTTTCCACATTCTCCCCCCCGTCATGCGCGCGATCGCAGACACTACAGTGTACCGGACGTATAGCAAGGTGTTTCGGGAGATCGGGTGTAAGCCAAAGGATTACAACGCCCGGAAAAAGGAAATGGAGGAAAGGAAGAAAGCGTACTTAGAAGCGAAGAAGGAGAATAAAACCAACACCGGGTCCATGAGCCGGACGTTTTCCTCTACGGATAAACTCACGATGAATAGTCAGCAGTTGTCAAATTCCTTCGATTTTTCCCAAACGTCCAACAGCTTCAACACAGCGAATTCCGTGCAGCACAACCGGTCGACGAGCAGCAGTGTTGGCGGGGGAGTGTCGACTTTGTCTAGTAAGGTTGACAAGGGGACGAGGAGTACGTATTCCATGTGGAACGCCGGGGTGGATTTGAAGACCAACAGCACCAGCTTCGGCGGGAAAAAGAGCTTGAAGATATGACAGCGCACAACTTACCCTCCCCCTCATTTGTCATGCGAAATACCGAATGCGGTGCCCTTTTCTCTTTGCACTTCTTGCATGACAGGTTTCGGAAGCCGAAACAGGACTAGAATCCGTCGCGAATTTGTCATGCAAAAGCTGCATTTATGCCAGCATTTGTGTTGCTGCTTATGCCCTTCAAACGAGGGGGAGGGGGAGTTGTGCACTCTCATAGAAGACCAGGCCTATGGCAAACACGTTTTCCGGTGCGGGAGGTGCTGGATCGGTGCAGAGTGGGGGACATGTATGCAATACAAATTTCCCGCACATGCACAAAATGCAACACAAATATCACCAACGTAGAAGAGCAAGCAACTTGTCATGCTGATGAGGTTTGAAGGAAACGCCTGTCATGCGAAAGCCACATTTGATTGTGCATGTGCGGGAATTTTCCTGTCGATAGCATGGTCGGGGATTGAACAACACTTTTGATGGAGATTTCCGGAGTGTGCAGGTACTAGTGATGGCGCGACGAGGCTATTTGTATTTTTACGTTTACCTTGTTAGCACCAGAGGTCTGCACCTGCAGCACATTTTTTTCTGCATATGCAAATCTCCATGACAAGCACTGTCATCAAATTTCACAACAGCTCGGCGAAGAGGGCAGCGTCTTGTCCCCCGGTACCTCGACCTGGTTGAACAACTCCACAAACATGAACGACAGTTTCCTTTCCAACTCCCCGAGTTGGTTCCAATCGCAGGAGTCGGAGTTTCAAAACACACTGAGAAAACTACAGTCAAAAAAAGTGAAAAACACATTAGTCGCGGTTTCCGAGCAGCACAGACAGGAAAAACAATTTCTGAACGAGATGATTCTCGGGGTGGGGGAAGAGCAACGAGCGTCGTCGCCGCAAGGGCTTGGAGCCAGAAAGTTCGAACGGTTTCGGTGAAGGGAAAGGTCACTCATTTTATTCCCGCCGGCGTGCTACTCGTACTGGTTGTGTCGTTTTTCCATCAACTCTCTGATGCAAGAGCACGCTGAAGCTTCTTCATGTTTATCGTGCTATCGCATCAAAAATACGATGTCTAGTCTCCTTGATTTTTGGTCAAATAGGGTCAGCCCCCAACCTCAGTGCTGAGGCTGCCTCGTACAATATCCGAGTTTTACTTCATTATCATTCCGACTTCCAATTGTGCTGATGAACGAAATAAACAAGAGCTAAGTTTTCCCTGATCGAGATCTCCTGATCTCTGGAGATGTTGAACCTGTAAAATTATTGAAGAATGTATGAGAACGTAGAGTGAGCTATGGTAAGACTAAGATTTTCAATCGGATGGACCCGGCGAGGTATTCACCTTTCGTAACGTTTCAGTCGTATTCGACAGCACTCACAAATAAAAACCAAAACGCTTTGCTGTACCAACCGAATGATGAAAATAGTCCAAATATGCCCTCCCCGTCCCCGTGAAGCGCAGATGAAAATGAATGAACACACATGATAGAAGAAGGCTGATGCCAAAATCAAGTACTCGCTCAGATGAAAGTCTTGACCTGCCGAGCTTTAGAAGAACGAGAACGAAAAGAACAAAATGCAAGCAACTGTGGTAAACTTGAGTAATATGTCGCGTTTGTGGTTCTCGTCACCTGATTGATATGGACTCGCTCCCTTTTCAGTTTCCTGATCCTCGATTTTTTGGTCACTGGGGCATGGTTCCATTTGCATTTCTCTCTTGTGGATCGTAGATTTTCCGATGTTGAAGTCGTTTTCAATACACTCACCATGAAGCGTCCGCTTCAGAATCGCATTGGCATTTATTGCCATGACATGAAAATGATCAAACTTATTTCGACCATTAGCTTTACCTGTTTGCGCTTTATTCGAAGTTCGATGCAAATATCGACTTTGAAATAAGCTCGATGTGGTAAGTTTGATGCTCCTCTGAGAAAGAAAAAAAGATCATGACTACAAATAAAGCGAATTCAAAAAACAAATTCAAGATGAGATCGTCTCCAGTGTTTCGTTGTCTTCTTTCTGTTTCGCTCGTCCTTCAAACCAGTCTTCACCTTCTTTCCGAGCAAGGCCAGGTTTTTGTCCACGCGACATCCGATGACGAGGCAATCACATCGACTCCGTCTCGGCCCAAAACCGGCCGTATCTGGCGGTCCGGTTCCGGCCTGAAACGCTCTTCCAACTCGGAGGATGGAGTTTTGTCGGCCGCTTCTGGAACAAGCGCGGGGAGCGGCGCTGGGAGCAGTGGCGACGTTGCGATGGAGGACCAACAGGAGAAAACGCGAAGCTATCGCCCCAACGGTCCGGTGGTGTTTCCGAGTGGAAGAAAGCCGCTGGCGTTTCGGGGTACAGTTGCTTTTCGTAGATAGAAGATCCAACCGCGCCTGGCACGACCTTGTTGATGTGCGGTGTATCCCCTGTATGATGCATTTACATCATGATCAATTTTTCAAAACACACGGAAAATTTCTGCTGCTTGCAAATGCAAGACTAATATCGAATCTCAGATACGCAGAGCGGTGAGGGAATCTCGAATCGTGTTCAGTCGTCTACTTCTACCTCTGTCGCGCGGCGGCAGTCAGCGTTTCAGAGATTTACAAATTCCCACAAGCTTGCGCAACGTGCTGAGCACATGCAAGGAGGTACTATCGACGACTTGTCAAGAACTACATGCGTTCTATTTACTCGTACACACGACCCCTCACATAGGTTTGCTAACTCGGGCGGCCGCGTTTCATCACGCTAAAAGTACAAGCTGCAAGGATGAGCAGTCTGCTGCACTTTCGGATGAACATCAGATGTTGCAGCAGTCTAGCTTGCTCGGCAACCGCCGCCCGAAAAGCTGCCCGGACTATCTCTTTATGGCTGCTCCGCTCGGCATTATCTATCGGGGTATGATGTGTCGTTTGGGAATAAAAACAACTTTGCCATGCCGTGTGGTAGACTGCACATAGAGATACACTTCACTTCATCAGAAAGCCAGACAAGCATACCATTCCTCAAAATTTCTTCTTGACAAAACATCAAAAATACAGGCCCTGGACGCGAGGTCAACGAGCGCACGACCACAACAACATATACGGGAGATGATTACGCGCAATCCGAGCCGGATCGCCTCCGGGATTTGAGTAGATCACCAGAGCCGGTGGAGGACGGGCCGCGCTCGCCGCGGTTTGGAAATGACGACGATGAAGAGGAAGCTGCCTCACCGGAAGCCGCTGGAAAGCCGAAGCTGATGCTCAACAAAAGTGTCGCTCCCCCAGCGGGGCAGCTATACAACTTTGGCTCGTTTTTAGAACTATCGAGTTTGCAAACTTGGAGTTGTCACAAATCAGAATCACTCTCTCTCTCTCTCTCTCACGGATGCATTTTGCATGTGATTTTCCACATTCACTCTTTCTGTGGTGTGGGAAGATGTAGTTCTCCTTGCTTTGATGTATATGACGAATTGAACTTGACTCCAGCTTTTTTTGCTACGATAGAAACCCTTCTTGCCGCTGACGTCGCTGGCACACAGAAACCCACTTTCTCCCACTCCTGCCTCCGCGGTTCACGAGATCGAGGATGTTCCGCCCCGAGGGAACAGGATGTACAACCAGCAGAACTATCCGCGGCCAGCGGCATTCACTAGTACCGCCGCCGGTAGCACTGGAGGAGCATCATCATCTTCTTCTTCTCGCCTACTCCAGCCCACGACTCCCACACAGAAGACGTTGAACCAATCACGCTTTCGGTCTCCTTCCCCCTTTGATGGAAGTGACACGATGGAGATTCTGAGACAAGGAATTTGGCGGGGGTTGTCCCCCTCTCCGGTGAATGCTGCTAGCAAGAAGGAAGAAGAGCAAAACGCACCATCGCCACGGGGGAATGCGAATCAACGCGGAGGTGCAACTAGTACCTCAGGTAATGGTGAACCGAAGCCTGAGCCGGACAGCACATCTGACAACAAGAAGATGAAAAGCGGCTATTCCAACCACGACAGTAGCTCTTCGGATGATGAGAACAAGACGAGTGCCAGCGACGCCCCAAGCTCCGATTCAATTGGGACGACTCCAGGTGCTGCGGTGGGGAACGATGTTGACGAGGAACTGCGTTCGACTGTGGAAAAGCCAGATGCTGGTCCTCAAACGGCTGGTCTTTTCTCCAACCAGAATTTCCGGGACTGTATGCTGTCGCGCTCATGTTCGCTCTTCCCGAATATTCTGCCGCTGAACGCGGAAGCTGCAACGAAGAACCTTGCGGCCAGTAGTTCGAACACGGCTCCTGCGGCAGAAGATGAACAGCGATTGCAGCAGGAGAACGCTCAGGAAGATGGGCAGCACTCGAAGCCGGAAGCCTCTGACGAGGTACGAAGTTATCGATTCGTAATGATCGTACTCATGATTGTAATATCCTGTTTCAAGTTCTTGGACTCCTTTGAAGGAATAGAATGATCTGTCCACTTTGCATGTCTGGTAAAACTGGATCTCAATCACGACAGGAACACCGAAAGGATGACGTGGTAAACCACGATGATCCCATGGAGGTTGATTCATCATCGGTGGCTGAAGATGACTCGAATGCGTATGACCAAGAACCCGCCGCTGTTTTGGAAGCTTCCACCTCTCCGGACCAGCACCGTGAAGATGACCCCCAGAGGGCGTTACACCCCCACCAAAACCGGCCTTCCACCACCACGGAGCGTCATTCTGCCGGAAGTTCAACGTCCGCTAGCTCCGGCACGCTGATGGCCCGGGAGATTGGGAACAACCGGTTTGCGATTTTTGAAGATGACGAGGACTTTTCGGTTTTGGAGAGCCGGAAACCCGGGCCGCTGACAGCGTCTGATGGAAATACTAACGTCTTGAAAATCGTGGTCACGCCGCCAGCCGCGCTTGCTGCAAATCAGAACGCTAGTAACGCAGGAGCTGCGGCATCGTCATCGGCTGCTGCTGCTGCTGAATCGAGCGGAGCACCTCTTTCGCCTCGAGGGAATGTACCGCAAGAGGCCGTCTCCCAGCAGCTTCATCTACCCACGACAGGGGTCGAAACGTTCGACTTGGCCACACCGAGACGACAAGCCTCTCCTTCCCCAACCAGGTCTGTTGATGCGGGGCAAGAGTTTGATGCTGCTTTCGAGAATGTGCTGAGGTCATCTACCAGGGATAAAGAGAACCAACAACCTCCGCAGCAAGGGGAAGCAGAGTTCCATCGAATTCACACGCCGCGGACCGGGAAATCCCCGATACGGACTCCCACTGCTCGTGCTGGCCGCACGGAACTTCACATACGAGATGAGAACGCACGCGCAGGCAGTTCCGCCGATGTTGTTGGCGAGACTGCTGCTTCATCTTCCGCAGGGGAAGCTCACTTCCTGGCGCCGTCGAGGGTTGTTGCGGGGGGAGATGGTACCTACATACTCTGCACTGCTCATCATGATGTCTTGAAGATGATCATTACATCGCTTCTTGAGCTTGTTTACATATGAGCATTACGAGTACAATCATGTTTCCGCAGATCATATTAATTCAATCGCATGAGCCAGTGAAAGAAAAGAAGAAGATGAACCAATTTGTACAGCCGTGGGCGACTCTGCACTCGCTTCACCTGCCACTCAGCATCAGCAACCCGCGAGCTCAACTGGTTTTGTGGTCACATCACCGATGTCTCCTTCTAACGCGCAGCAGCAGCAGCAGGTCCTCGACGACCGCGACGATGCTTTGCTGCAGCAAGCAACTCTAGATGACTTGTATGAACTGCAAAAGTATCGTACTCGTATAAATGCATTACAAATTTTCTCAGCATGAGAAATAAAATTTGTCTTGCTGATTTACCTTAAGGAAAATATTTGTAATGCTACAAGACTTGCATTTATACGAGTGCGATACTTTTGCACAGGATGACTTGACCAACAAGTTGAAAGAGCTGGAGATCGAGAGAAACTTGGAAAGCGAGAGGGAACAACTGCGGCACACTGCTGAGCAAGAAACATCGCGGACAAACAGCCCCCCCACAATGGAGGAAATGATGGAAAATCTGTCGAATGCCGAAGCTAGTAGGACTACACGGGGGCACGAACATGAAGAGATGTACTCCGAACTGAGGAAGGAGCAGGATGCGGCTTGTGCTGGGGGCAGGTGCGTTCCTGTAGTTTTCATTTGTTGTTTCGAATTCTGATTGGATTTTCTTTGCCTGTTACACTTTCCCCTCGTCAAAGAAACGTGTTCGTAATATTGTCCAAATTCTATTAGGTCGACCGCGCACGACCAACTAACACCCGACTCGCGCGGCTCGAACCTGCCCTTACACGACCACGTTATCTCCCAGTCCAGCTGCTCCACGCCGCGGCTCCCGTCCAAATCTCTCCGCACCCAGTTGGATGTCGATCTTGGATTTGGCGATATAATTTCGTCACCAAAACACGATGACGCGAGAGCTCCTGCAGCGGACGGAGCAGACGAGCCTCGCTCCCCTACATCCCCAAGCCACGGCCTGGCTTCTCGCACTGTTTCCACGGGCGAAGAGGTCTTCTACCCGCCAACGCCAGAACCAGAGACGTACCACGTGGCGAGCACCACAACCCGTGGGGATAGTGATGAACAGGTTGGGACCAACTCCAATACCGTCGGTGCTGCGGACCATATCGATACAGATGACGAAATCGAAAACTACGAGCAGTCTTCCCCTTCCCCACCCGGAACAGTAGACCAGCAAATGCTTCTCCGTTCCCCCGGCGCCGGGTCAAGTTTTAGCTTAGGAGGTGGAAATGCCCAAGAACAACCACAGCTGATGACGGACGAGAACGGTAACCCATTGCAGGCCTGGGTCGGCGTTGCCGTCCCGGCGGTGTTCGTGCCGTATAACGCGAGCTCAAGCTGGATGACCGCGCCTTTTGAGTGGCCACAGAACTTCTTCAATAACGGCACTACGGGTCCCGCGCCGGGGAATTGGACGACGGGAGCTGGTGGGTTTGGGTTTGGTTTCGATAATTACACCGGAGCAGGTGGTGCTGTTCAACATTCTGATGGGCATCATCTTCAGGAGCACGATTCCAATTCTCCGTGGCCGGGCCACGGTAGTGGTCCTCACGAAGCCAGCCCTGAACAAGGCGTTCCGTCTTTCGGCCCGAGCGATGGGGATTTCGGCAGTGGGTCAGGACCTACAACAACCGGGCCTTCATCCTCTACTTCTGGCTGGAACAAGTTTGGAACACATAACCGGCGGAACAACAAGCAGAGTCAACAGCATTGGAACAAAATGCCAAGCAATACCGCCCCCGCTTGGCACGAAGGGTCTTATTTCAGGAAGCCAAGCGACAAAAAACGGGCGAAGAAAGTCGCGGAACACTGGAAGGAACTTGCACGCACTCCAAAAAATAATCGTGTGGACCACGACCAAGACTTTTTTGATTTCGAACAACACGCCTTGAATTTGGCGGAAGGAGGAGACAGAGACTCGGATAAGGAGCAAAAGCGCCATTTCAGCTCGGCTTCCACTTCTTCGAATGACCAGGAAGGTACAACTTCTAACCGGGCATATCACCCGGGTTGGAAAGGAGCCGGGCGAGGAAAAGCTGCGTCTTCGAGCCAGTACGGAAGCGGAGCAGGCAGCAGTAGTTCATCGAACCTGCTGAAGCCGCCGGGAACTTTCTATTCGCATCAAAATCAACACTCTCGAGGAAATGGAAATGCTCCGGTCGACCCGAAAGAGTACGACGATAAAGCCGGCGTCACCCGACGTCAAGAACCGTTCCGCCCGCCGGTCAGCCCGCGGACGAGGACCTTTGCGGACAGCCTTTGGATCCCGAGCGACAAAACTTCTATGCTGCTGGAGAATTTGGAGAAGCAATTCTTGCAGGATCTGCCCAAGCCGGCGACGGAGAGGTCTGAGACTAGTGCCTCCGCGCCTTTGATGTTCCCCGGGCCGCGCGGCGGGGTTACCGACGATGAAGCTGACGCATCTGGAAGTTCTGCAAGAAGTAGTTCTCACACCGAAGATTCGGACCGCGACGACTCACTGCATGAAGGCGGAGCGGTCGCAAGAAAGGCTCTTCCCCCGTCTTCGGATGAGGAGCGTCTTGCTTCTGACGCAGAGGATGTCATCGCCCGCTGGAACGCTGCCGCGGAGCACCAGAGAAGACTACTATACGACATCCAGCAAGGGCGGGTGGATGAAGTCGGTGAGAAAGCGGAGCTGCTAAAGACGATCGAGAAGATGACGGCTGCAGGAGAGGAGGTTGCTGACACTGAAACTCGTGCCAAAAAAGCAGGCACTAGCAAACAAGAACAACGCAGCGAAAAAAAAACCAAGTCGCGGAAGTCAAAGCTATCAAGCAAGCGAGAGTCCTTACTGTCCCCGGACGAGTTGCAAGATGCGAGCACGATTTCGATTCTTGAGGAGGCGTTGTTGCCCCCGGAGTCTCCGGCTAATACACTGCTTCCGGGCGATCTGCTGGCTGACAAAGACAGCAAGGAAGATGTAGATGCTCACTCATCTGGCGAAGAATTGACTGCACACCCACCACCCCCGGAATCGGAAAAAGGCGATCTTCGAGATGGTGATGTGGTCATGGAGAGTTCAGAAGATGATGATGTGAATGATGTTGATGGCAAAAAGAACCTGGCTGGCGCTGGAGAAACAACATCAACATCCAAGACTGCTCACCCTGAAAACACACCTGAAGTCGATCAGCAGCAACCGGTAGAAGTCGACGAATCTGCCTCGAGTACACAGGAAGCTGCAGCAGCTGCTGCATGGCAGGATACCCTCTCTCCGGCTGCGGAAGCGGCTGTGGAAGCGTCTCGTGGCTTGGAAATGGAAAACGCGCAAGAAAAAGCGCCAGCCACAGCAACCGCCTGTGCCGAACCAGACTCGCAAGACATCGTGGCAGATGGCGCAGCGGAGAAAATTCAGCCGACTAAAAACGCGAGACCATCGAAAATCAAGTGCAAATCAGCTAAAAAGCCAAAAGCTGCAGCTTCCAGCAGCAGTGCAGGAACCTCTGCCTCTTCCACGAAGGAGAAGCAGTCTACGAAAGAGGAAGGATCGCCAAAGCAGACTTCTCCTGGACAGTCGCCGAAGCAATTTTCGCCCAAACAAGAACAATCTCCCAAACAGTTACCAAAACCTTCAGCTTCGAGCGGCAAACCAGCGGCACCAACTCCGCCGCGAGGCTCGTCAGTGTTTGTCCGCATGCGAAGTTTCCAGTCCGATGATGAAGAGGAGCAGAAAAGCGATCGAGATATGCTTTGCAAAAGCATCGTACTAGTACTGGAAATCACATTACAAATTTGGTCAGCATGACAAATGGAATTTGTCATGCTGTTTTCCCTTGGAACGGAGATTCGTAATGCATGATTGCGATTACAACTACGAGCGCGATACTTTTGCACAGGATACGAGAACATGAGGAGCAACCTGAAGTGGAACCAGCACTGGAAAGTTTCACAGGAGCCACAGACGATCCCGCTGGTGCAGCTGCATCAGAGCTACAGGAAGAGGAGGAGCATCAAGTTGAAGATAACTTTCACGAAGACCAGGCTGACGCTCCCCCACCACCAGCCGTACCCCCGCCAGAGCCTGAAGTAAATCTGACGACGAAGCCAGGGGAAATTGCGGACATTATGGAAGGGGAATTACATCAACACGCGCAGTACGAGGATGATTCCGACCCGGAAGCCGCGGCCGCAAAGCAACTGGCGAAAGAAGCGCAGGAAGAACTGGACATGACGTTGGAGAAGGTGATGCAGGAATTCCAGGGCATGGGAATCCGAATCGATGCGAAGCGGAGAGATGAAGATGACGAAAGTGATTCGGAGCAGCAAGACTCTGGTTCGTCTCTTGCTGGTCGTAGTGCCAAAAAATCCTCCCTACTCGCAAGCGAGACTGCCATCCGGGCTCTAAGGGGAGACACAAACGAAGTAGACGAAGTTGATCCACAATTAGTCGTCGGGAACATCAGTGCGGCGAGTGCTGCTGCAGGACCTAAGTCTTCTTCTCAAACCTCGTCGCCATCTGGATCAACCACCAGCAAGTCTTCGCTGAATAAGTTCCGAGCGTTACACCGGCTGGAGATTCTGCCGCCGAGCGAAGGTGGGGCAAACGACTCTCCCCAGCCGGAGGAGAGTCCGTCTACTTTGGAGCATCTTCAGAAGGATCACGAGGATCTTAATGCCGCCTCCACTCCCGCGTCCCGCACGGTGACGCCCGGATCTACAACTTCCTCACAAGGTGAAGACAACCACAACGCCATTGTTAGTGGAACTTCGACTAGTACTTCGGAACCCTCTTCTCCAGACGGGACGACCAAAGCTAGTACGGCAGGAGAACAAACGCCAACAACAGAGCCCAAACTGACCCCGACCCAGCTGAGACGAAAGCGATACAAAAGCAAGAAGTCGCAGAGTATGAACTCTTTGTACGACGAAGACAGTGGAACTTCGCCGGAAAACAAAATCGGCGCGTCCTCGTCTGGAAGTAGTAAAACTTTCTCCGTGAAGAAAGTTTTCCAGAACTTGTTTGCACCAGGTCCAGGCGGGGTTGGAGGTGGCTCTGGCTCAGCATCTTCCTCCAGCGATAAAAAGCAAAAGGCCACCACGACAACTAGTCGAGGAAAAGATACAACGGAACAAGTCGAGACTGAGGTGATCTACTTTCCAAAAGCGACAGCCAAAGGCGGCACCAGGTTCCAACTGGAAAAGCATATTGTACCAAAGTCTTCTGTGACTGCTGCGCGCCGTGCTGGCGGTTCAACATCTGATATGGCATTCTCAAACGTTACATTCTCAACTGTTACATGAATTTGTCATGCAAAAGCACCTTAAGCCGGCTGATGATCGAGCTGCTTCGCATGACAAATTCCGGAAGGGCTATACAGCATCTAAATCTGCGCCAAACTTGTAATGCAAAAGGCGCAATCTTCCTCCTTTCACTTTTGTGAGTCTTGCATTGCAAATTCATGTAACAGTTGAGAATGTAACACTTGAGAACTCCATATCTGATGACGAGGAGTTACTCTGTCCGCCCAATCACAGCTCCATCCTCACCAAGGCTGGAAAACTCGCCTGCTTGACTGCCGCCGCCGTCCCGTTGGCCTTAACCGGAACACATCTTGCGTTGGGCCCGAGCTACGCAACGACAGGGGAGCTTTTGCACAATACGCCCGCTCCACCTGGGTGCTACTTGCACAAAGTACCTTACCAGGACTCAGGAGTTCGATACGAATGTCCCGGAACGCTGTTATCCAAAGAAAAAAACCCATCCACATCCAATTTGTCATGCAAAACATGCATAAAGTCCTGCGCTTGTCATGCAAAAAATGGATGTGGGTGGGTTTTTTTCTGTGGATAGCTGTTCCATGGAGATTACGACAGTCTGGAAGAATTTGAGTCCACTTTTGTCCCTCCCCGGTGGGCTGCGAAGTCGGATGAGATGCAGCTGCATCGTGCTCCTTTTTTGCCTTATGAAGAGGATGTCGATGTGGACGATCGCGCAATTAACCAGCCTAGCACGACAATCGTCCCAGCAGAAGACAATTCTGCTACCAGTGATTTCTCAACCAGGCTTGAAAATGCGACACCAATTTCCATTCCCTCCGCAGCACCAGCGGTATCGTCGAAAGCAGAAGCTGCTGCTTCCCCTGCTCAACAACAAACGGAGTTCGCGAAGCTTGCAGCTCAGCTAGATAAGGCGTTAGGAAACACGAAAACCGGCGGGGGCGCGAAAAAAAGCACAACGACGACACCGTTTCCGCAGGTTGTAGTACAAGCTGCACAACCCCTGTTCGACGCGGCCAGCAACACACCTGACCAAAAGTACGCCGCGGTTCGCCGCCCGAGCAAGCTTCAACTGAGACAGCGCAGCAACACCCCGCCCGGCGAGACCACAAGTGTTGGCTCTACAGATAGCGCAAGCTCTGCCGCGCCTTCTCGAACAGCGACGAGAATTTTGGGTCCGGTACCGGTCTATCAAATGCAAAAACGTCGTCTGCGTCTGGAAGGTTGGAACTTGTAATGCTGTCTTTGGATTCCACAAAAATCTGTATTGCATGAGCAGCAACAGGAGTCCGGTTTGTCCTACGTGGAGAGGGCATTTCTCATGCGGAATAGGCAACAAACCTGGCAATCCCAATCTTCCAGACCCAGACACATTTGCAATCCATACGGTTCCGGCTTTTTCGCCAAATCAACCGAGATTGGATGGCTTCCGAATTATTCCTGTTCAACAAGAATACCAGAAAAATAAGAACATCAACCCGTTCAAAATGCACAATTTGGCAAGCACAGCATCCTCTTTGGGAGTCTTTGACGACGAGCAGGTGGTTGGAGAGATGAGAAAGGAATCTGGTGAAGAAACCACTTTCAAGAACGATATCAAGAAGCTCTCCCCGCTGGATCTGGCCGTTTCCAAACGCATTCTTGCGAATCCGGATCTTCGTGGCCTGCTTTCGAGAACTACACTTCCGCTGAGCAATCTCGCGTCGACGCTGTCGCTGTCGGGAGTCGCGTCGAATAAAGCGCCAGCTGATAATCATCTTGGCGACAGCAGTGGTCTCGCTAGTTCCTTGTCATCTTCCCTGTCGTCCATTGACAGCAGAAATTCTGCGTTGGCACGGATTGGCGCACAAGCACGCGGCGCCGAGAAATCATCAGCGGACGTCGATGAAAATGGCTCACAGCAAGATCGTGCGCCTCGCGATCAGGATCACGCAGCTGCACCAGACGCAGAAGCCGTTCCGCAGGACGAGAAAATCAGAAATCACCTGCCACGGAAAACGCAACTTCCAAAACCAGGTGCGTACTTCGGGAGTCCAAGAGAGGTAGTTTTGGCAGCTCCGACGTCGAAAGCTAGTGCAAGCAGAACTTCTACTACGGGGCCGACATCTTCACTAAAACTAACTGAAGCGATCACTAATCCTGCATCTCCTTCAACATCGGCACCAGGCTCGCCGGCCCAGGGCCCCGCCGCTGAAGCAGCTGCACTGCATCCTTTTTCTGGTCTACTTCCTTCAGGACACCAGCAAAAATCTTCTGAACTTCAACAACAGCACACTCCCCCAGCTTCTGAAGCAGAATTCGCTGCGTCCATCCTCCATCCGAATGTGCACGACTGGTTGCACAGCACGGCGGCAAAGAGAGCCTTCGCTGACAACATTGCAGCTTATCAACTGCAAATATGTCTGGTTCTGGAAGATGATGAATGCAAGTTTGTCATGCGTGTCTGGCATGACTCTTAAATCTGTGATGCATGAGCAGGAAAAGGGCCTGCTCTTGCCTGTCATGCAAAAACGCAGCTTGTCATGCGAAAAACGAAACACACAGCAGCGCAAAAATTTGTCATGCTGGGCCCCATATTGCTGTGCGCCGACAATTCGTAGATTTGCATCACAAGTCTCCTGAGCCAGATGACATATTTGCAATGCATAGAGCTGTTGAAGAAGCGAAAGCAACGCTTGTTGGACACGAGCTTGCGGTATCAAATGTAAAAATGTCTGGGTCTGGAAAGAATGCAACTTGTCATGCTAAATCTGAAGCATGGAAAAATCTCTATTGCATGATTACCAAAAGTCGTCCAGTTTTGACCAATTCTGGAGGGAGTTTCTCATGCAGGATAAGCATGAGAGAGAGCGCACAGAATCTGCCATGCTAGGTCCTGCATTCCAGACCTCATGGGTCATGGAAAATCTGCATGACAAGTCGGGCACTCTTCCAGACCCAGACACTTTTGCATTTGATATGCGGACGAAGAGGACGATATGGAAGTGGATCTTGCGGCAGATGAAGACAGTATGCAACAGCACCACAACCCCAAGAACCTCCCGCCAGAGCAGTCGCCAACCCTCTCTCGCATGACTCGCGGGCTGCTTGCGGTAGGCGCAATGGCTGCGCACGCCGTGCTGAATAATGGGGGCGGGGGAAATTACGACTTGATGTGAAGACATGAGTTGTACTAAGAGGAGCTCGTCCTCATCTGAGCGTCAACGTCTGACAGTCTTGGTCGTGGCTTTTCGTTTTTGAATTTCGATCTTCTTTTGAGAATTCAGTTTTGCTTTTCTTGTATCAGATAAGTGCTTATTTGTTCACATTTCTCGGGCCCCGCCTACTGTATCTTGACTAAAAATAAGTAGATGAGTTTTCACGTCGCGCCAACCTGTTGAAGATTTTTCTTCTTCTGCGAATATCGGAATAAAACTTGAACTCGTAGTACACAACCAAATAAAAATAAACTCATTGAAAGGATTAGCACTTCATCAGCCTATCTCTTTTGTCGTGGAAAATTCGTTCTTGATTTTGGACACACATTTTCTGTAAGTTTTGCATGAGCTTGATCGATACGGATACCTTCTCTAGATTTGAAGTCTTGCACTTGCTGTATGTCGTCTACTACATCGTCTTTGGGAATTTAGTAAAACGCAAACTCCTTTTGGTTCTCCTTTACTTTTGCATGCCTTTCTCATTCCCGAGGCTGCAATTCGAGGAGAACTACAATCTGCTGACGAAAACGCAAAACAAAATTACTTTTTGAAGATCTTGTTGTAGTGAGCATCTTCACGCTGGGGCCAGATAACTATCTAGTAGTGTGAGAATCAGTATCTGAGAAAATGAAACTATTGTGCTGTCAGCTGAATAAGTTTTCGAACAAAGTCTGTCTGAAAAGGAATTGAAATAAGAACAACACCGTTAAAGAATCTGTCCTGCTAATGTCTCGCTGTTGATGACGACGCATTTCGCTGGAAACGAAACCGCGTGTGGTATCCAATGGCGTACAAGCAGTGGAGCAGCTGGAGTGTCGCGCTTTCCAGTTTTACGCCGCCTTCATCTGCTAGTGAACGCTACTAGTGCACTGGCTGGCCCAGAGAGAGGGCACTGAGTTGTGCGGCACAGCGTTGGAGGTTCTGGTCACAGCCACGATGAAGCTGTAGTTCCATCGGACACCGCGCAGCTGCGAGAGAAGAGAGAGAGTAGAAAACTCGTCTTACGACCGCTTTCAATAACACGGGTGGCGAAGTTTTTCCTCGTGGTCCTGCTGTCTTGTCAGAACAATTTACTTGTTTTGTCAAGTTCAGGAAGCACTTTCTTTGTGCCATGCTGGAGTTCCTTGCTAGCTTGTAGCAGGCACCATAAAGGTAAAATCATGAGTTCCATTTTCCACCTGACCCTCGTTGCTTCGGCCTCTGTGGTAGTGGGAGTACAGGAGCTCGCCCTGGATGCTAAAGACGTCGCCTCTCCCGCACCCGCTCTGCCGCCGCCAAAATGCTGGCAAGGTCGACCTTTCCCCTACGATTCCGCGGATAATGTACAATTTCAAAAACAAAACGTGAAAACCCTTCTCCCCTACCAACGACTACAAGAAGATTTGACTCTTCTTTCCGAAACCAACCAGTTTCTCCTCCCCTCCGAATTTTCCTGGCGCGAAGTGGAGTGGAGCCACGTTTTGAAGACCAGTACAAGGGAAAAGCATGACACACTCCAGGGGAAAGAGGAAAAAGCGGGTGAAAGAGCGAACATCGAGGAGATGAAAGAGCAGAATCAGGAAAACGCGGAAGACGCTGCGAAAGCGGAAGCAGCAGCAGCAGCGGGTAGTTCTAATGGGGACGGTGGGAGTGGTCCACAGAATAACAAGAATTTGTTGCTCAAGGCAAAAGCCGCCACGGCAGCTTCGACGACCTCCGCATCAGCACTACTACAGGAGGAGCTCTTGTTCCAAAACGGGGAAAACGATAACCGGGTCGACAATTTCAACCGTTTCGACAAGATTCTCCCCCGCGTCGTCGGAAACATCACGAAACACGTGGAGCACTACCTCGCACCGGCGAAGTTCAGCCAAAAAATCTCCATGCTGACCCCGATTTGGAACCAGCACATCCCGCGGTATTGCGGCGCTTGCTGGCTGCACGCGGGCATTGCGGTGATGAATGACCGCTTGAAAATCGCAAGGAAGGGCGTTGGCGAGGACATTATTCTCAGTAGACAGGTGGTTTTGAACTGTGGCAAGGAGACCGCGGGGAGCTGCCAGGGCGGGTCGGACGTGACGCTGTTTGATTATGTGATGAAAAACGGGATTCCGGACGAAAGCTGTCAAGTGTACGAAGCGAGGGACTATGAGTGCTCGGATTTCAGGACGTGCATGAACTGCGATCCAAGCGTGGCGGGGAGGAACGGTATCATGTGCACTTGATAGCTGCGGTCGTTTGCTTGGGACTGTTTGTCAGTCGCACTTGTACACCGGCACAGTTGTGCAAGTAGTAACTCCACCAACGCATGAACAAAGCATATGACAATTTTCCTCAAAACTTTCTCCAAAGGTATCGTCAGTGACACGGGTTGCTACGCAGTCAGAAGATTCGGGAAGTATTTTGTGGAAGAGTACGGCTTGCTGGACGTGAACCAGATCAAGAAGGAGTTAGAACAGCTTCCTAGCAATTCAGCAACCCAAACACACATCCAATCCTCTATCGCCACCGTCCCCTCCACCTTGTTCCAAACCGTCCGACAAACTCCCATTCCACCAACCCACCTGGAGATGATCCATAGGATGAAGGCGGAGATCTTCCTCCGCGGCCCAGTCACCTGCTCGGTCGACTCCGATGTGATGCTGAAATTCCCCAGAGGGCATGTGCTCCTAGCGCAGGAAAACCGAGACTGGGAATTTGACCACTTGATCGGGGTCGTAGGCTGGGGGATGGTGAATAAAGTCCCCACCTGGCCGATTGCAAAGCAGGTGCAGAGTGGTGCTTTGCCGTTCTGGTTGGTCAGAAACTCCTGGGGGACGGCGTGGGGGGATAACGGTATAAGAAAAAAATTCGGCTTATTTCTCATGCGTGTTAGAATTGTTCTCGTGGTGCTGGTGCATCATGATATGCATGACGCAAACCCGCATAGTGCTCGTGTTTTGCATAAGAGACTGATTCAACTGCAATTTTTCCACAATGATAATTATCAGGTTGGATCCGCGTTGCAATGGGCGCCAACGTTACCGGCATCGAGTCGCAGTGTTCCTGGGTGGTCATGAATCCGGAACCGAAAGTGGAAAATTACGGACCGGTGGAAAGTCCGAATCACGCGTTTTTGTCGACGACGGAGCTAGACGTGGATGCGGACGCGGTCTTGAGCAGTCCGAATGCGGCACAGCAGAGGGAAAGGAGAAGTGGATTGAACGAAATTGACCCGGTGGAGCCGACGTATTTGTTTCAGTAAAAGCTTCTTGCTTTGATACGACGTGACCGTGAGAGTGACGAATGTGAAGACTGCACACAGCTGCTGGGGTGAAGTGTCTTTATTGATGTGTAAACAAAACTACTTACTTTTACTTTACCCGCCCTGCCTTGTATGTTGCAAAGAAGCGTCACAAAGTCCGCACAATTATCGCTGTTTCTAGGTTGGTTTCGAACACGATGAACAACACAGATGCTATTATAGATACGTACCGGTACCGCTATCATGATTTCTTCGTTGAATAATAGACTCGAAAACAACAGAAATTTTGCATTGTCCTGCATTCGTGCAGTCGACACACCAAAACGAGTGGCCTAGGGATAAACAAAGGTTGACATATTTTTTCAAACTAGATGTAGAAATGGACAGGACAACTGTACGTAGCATGTTATCCGGACAAGGAATGCACAGATTCTGAAACAGTAAAAAGTAAACAGACCGAATTAGTACACCATGACAATCTACGGACATCAAAACACGACCGGGGGGACAGTACCATTATGGAAGAACATGCACGACATGCAGAAGATTTTACAGCAACTTGTTTTGCATGCGTGTTCGTTGCAGCAGGTTTTTTCCTTTCCTCCGCAGATGCGACCGAGGTCGGCTTTGTTTTCTTTCGTGACCTTTTTTCTCATCCGATCTGAAAAAGAACAGCACGGCGGCTGCATGTAGACCGAGGATGACACAACAGTCCGGTTTTTATCCACCCTCGAGCGGCCGAGCGTGAGAGCAGGAGCACCAGCTTCTGACTACCAAGGCACCATATCATCAAATATTCCTTCAACGCCTGATCTTCTTGCAATTACTGACATACTTACAGGACAAGAAGAGGTGCTGCAATCCGTACATCATCACGCAGCTTACGTGTACAATAAGCATGATGTGTTGGAACTAGAGGAGCGTCCTTGGTGCGACAAAACACCGCGAGTGTCGTGTACTCAAAAAGGATGCTCGGTTCGTCTGCTGCTCGGGCGTTGTGCACCTGCGCAACCCCGAAGTACAACAACTCTGGTCCCTGGCACATCCGAGAACAGCAGGAGAACGACGATGATAGTTTGCAAGAAGACAGCGGCAGGCCGACACACGATTTCCATTTCGGTCGAACACCTTCGCAATGCAGCGCCGCGGCCACAGCATCTACATCTTCATCACACGCATCCCGTCCCGCTGAAAGATGGAGCGTGTACCTTCCACCTGCCGATGCCTCTACTACGTCCGGCCGCACCATTTCTGCTCTTCTTCGAAGACTCAACATCATTCCATCCGCTCTGCTCGAGCAAGACCTCTGCCTGTGTGAACAAGCACAAGCAGGTCGAAGGGTGTCTTCCCGCAGTCGCAGATCTGTCTCCCCGCAGCAAAAGCAATCCATCGCCGATTTTTACAAAAAATACGAAATCCAACGCGGAAAAATCACAAACATCCACAACCTCGGGGAAGGCGCGTTCGGGTCGGTGATGCGCTGTCAGCACCGCCAGAGCAAGGCGAAACGGGCGGTAAAGGTGGGGGATGCGGAGGACTTGGACAGCTTCAAACTCTGGTCGCGATTGGGGAGACATGAGAACGTGGTGGAACTGATAGAACAGTTTGACTCATCGACGACAAGTACAACTACCGGGTCAATAGACGGAATAAACGGCGGTCCACCCCCGGGCGCCTCAAATAAGGGAAAAGCACCCACCGACTCATCCGACAAGAAGCAGATCGCCGTGATGACGCTTTGCTACGGGTCAGACCTCTGCGAGTGGTTGTTGAACTACCTGGAACAGCACGCGCACGACACGACAAACGACCGGAGACTGCCAAGTTATTCGAAGATTTTGAAACTGTTTCTCCAAATGCTGGCCGCCGTGGAGCATTTGCACAGCAACAACATCGTGCACCGGGATATCAAATTAGAAAATTTTCTCTTCGAGAACGCGGCGGAGGAGAAGTTGCGACTCTGCGACTTCGGGGCTTTGGTGGAGTTGGAATTGGAGGAGGAGAACGGTGCACAAAATTCATCTCTTGGGCTTCTTCACCCGTCGGATAACAACTCCACCCAGTTCTACCAGGAAAAGAAAGACCTGGTCGGCACCATCCAGTACCTCGCTCCGGAGTGCATTCACGCCGGAGTCTACAGCAAGAAATCCGACGTCTACGCTTTGGGCGTGGTTCTCTTCGTCCTAACCACGGGCCAATTCCCCTACGCGATCGATGAGAAGAGGGCGCTGAAGGAGAGGGAAAATTTCCAGTTTCCGGCGGTGAAATGGAAGAAGATAAAGGATTTCGGGAGAAGTAGTTCTTCAAGTTCGTCCTCCTCCAGTTCTGAGTCGAAACAGGCTGATCATTTGAAGAAAATTCTCCAGAACATGCTGAACCCGAATGTTGAGAAGAGATACGACCTCGAGCAGGTGAAGCAAGCGGTTCTGCGGGAACGGCATTCCATCGTCCGACGGTATTCGAGCGAGAAAATCGCAGAGCAGGAAACGCAGATCCAAATCGCGAAGTCGGACCGGATTCTGGACAATGAAATCCTGAAATCCGCGAGAAGTCGGAAACGGTATTTGAACCTGAAGCCGAACGAACTACTGTTCCATGAGGGGGACAAAATCGTTGATGAAAGTCTCTTATGCTGTGCAAAAGTATCGTATTCGTATTGCAATCGTGCATTACATTAAGTCGAATCCGCATTACAAATTTTATTTGTCATCCTGAGGAAATTTGTAATGCATTCATACGAGTACGATGCTTTTGCATTGCATATCTCTACGTGATCCAGAAGGGGCAATTAGAGATCCAGAAGCAGGGGGTGCTGATTACGAATTTGCAGGAAGGGGCAGTCGTCGGCGAGATGTCGCTGCTTTTGAATAAAACGGAAAGAACCGCAACGGTAACAGCGGGGTTGCAGGGAGCGCAGTTGTTGAAGGTGGAAGCGGAAGATATTCTGCACCATGAGGAAGGTAGAACTTGTGTTGCAGCTGCTGCTTGTTCTTCAAGTTATGTCTTACGCTGGTATGACCACCATGATAATCTTGATCTTCTTCTTCGTTTATCGCTCATGATGTGTATTCACACGATAAAATCCTCATTAGGTAACTCTTCCCATTCCCTCCGCATGCGCGCCTTGGCCGAGATGGCAACCGTTCGGCTGTCGCAAACCGAAACGCTGCAGTACCTGGAAAACGTCTTCCCAGATTCCCATCCGGATTTCGTCCGGAAACTGCTGGTTTTGTTCGATAGGCAGGAGAATTTTGTTTGTTTCCAACCAGGTGATTTCCTGTTCCACGAGGGGGATACCGAGGACCACGCGGAAGAGGAACATAATCAGCATCATGGCGCTAAGACAGTAGATGCAGCGAATAGGAATAAACCACATTCCGCTTCTCCTTTCCGCAACACACAACTCTACAACGCGTTCGCAGCGAGCCGCAAGCACAGATACGTGTACTTCGTCAGGTCGGGGGAGCTGGGTGTGTATCTGGGAAGAGATGAAAATCTGCAAAATAAAATCGCGACGGTGAAACAAGGGTCTGTCATAGGGGAGATGTCGGCGGTTTTAGCCAATCTCTACCCGGAGATCTACGGGAAAAAACGAACCACGAGTGTGAAAGCTCTGACGTTTGTGGAGCTCAGCATCGTCGATTTTTCCGAGATAGAAAAACTCCTGGACGAGTTTCCGGATGAAAGGGCGAAATTTGAAAAGCGGGCGGAGCGGAAACACCAGGAAAATATAGCGAAGTTCGGGAAAACGGATTATGTGAGGAGGACGAAGGAGTAGACGGATGGCTGTTCTGATTGTGGAGCGGCGAACTTTTGTTCCACAACTGCAGGCAGTACCACAAGTGTTTCATAATGACGTCGAATGTACAATTTTACTTCGTCAATAATGATGATGTGTTTCAAAGTTTATGTCATAAACTGAAAGACAAAGAGTGGATTGCTTTACGAGAAGCGGCGACATTGCCGTGATCGATCAATGTACAATTAACAATCAGGACGAGTGCGTGTAGAATTGATAAGCTACGAACACCAGAATAGACACACAAGGCTAAAATCATAGTGCCTTTTTATCCCGCAAATTGTCTTAGGCTGAGGCTGAACAGCTTCACTTTGACTTTCGAGCGCGAGTCAGTGCGTGTTGGTGCTGCCAGCACCTTCTAGTTCCACCAGTTTCGGCGCGCGTATTTTTTGAGTCATTTTCTTTTTCATCTTCGAGCAGAAGACTTCATATTGTTTTTTGCGACTGTGACTTTTGCGGGACCGCATATTCTCGTGTTTGAATCAGTCTCGGGGTACTTAATTTAAGAGATCCTCACAACTCGCGAACGCAAAATCGTTCGCGTGGTCATCTAGAGTTGGCGAGCTAGCACGGACATTATCGAGCGGGGGAGAGCTGATTGACAGATGGGCATCTTGATCGAGGTAGATCCCATGAGGAGTTTTTTGTGCAGTGCACACAGAAAAATCGAAAACTTGTCGCTACGTCTGCTGTATCTAGTCAGTCGCAGTAACGTCTTTCTGAAATTCACGCACTTCTTCACTTTTTCATTCAATGACTTTCTTCGCTCTGTTAAAATCTAATTTGTTTGTGCAGAGGGGAGGAAAGCAAAAGTATGAGCGGCAAAGACAAGACCGATCCAGACTCATTCTTGCCGAAAAATGGTGGGCGCAAGGGACCGCAACCTAGTTGGTGCAAATTCGATCCACCACAACCGGCCACGAGAACCAACTTTAGCAACCACGGACAGGACGAGCCGTCTGCCGGGTTCGCGCCTTTTGGTTGCACGACAGCAACCACTTCGACCTCTGCCATTGCACCTGCACCAACAGGTTTTTCCACTGCAGCTTTCGAAACTCAACAACGTCAAGAAGAAGTGCAGCCCCCGAGTGCGGCTACCTCCGTCGTGGTTCCAGGAGCAGCGGCTCGTCCTACAAGCGCGACGACGTCTGGAGCAACATTTTCTAATTCTATGAGTTTCCAAAATAGAACAGGGACAGGCATTGGAGTTGGTTTTTCAGCACCCTCGACGTCATCTTTCTTCGCTAGTCCTGCGGCAAGTGGCCGGTTTTTTGGTCAGCGACATCAACCTCAGTTTTCCACATTGCAGCATCATAAGCCAACTTCCGGACCCGCTTTTGAATACCCTACGCCCACTCCGCCAAGTTGCCCAAAGGGTGTCTCAACTGCTACTCCGGTTCGACATGAATTTGAATTGGTAGCGGCTTCATCACAGATCGAACTCGCCGCTAGAAAGTTGTTTGCGTCACAATCACAATCACAATCACAGCCGATCCGGGTACAACCGCCTACCTTCTCGCAGTTTTCCGGGTTCGATGCTGGTAGTGCTAGTGCTAGCCTCCCTAATAGCATTCTGCCAGCCCCCCTCCGTCAACAGTCGCAGTTCTCATCCAGCAATCAGCATCAGCAGAACGATCTAGCGATCGCGGGCTCTTCTGCTTCCTCGTCCAGCAGCACAAAAGACGACGCTAGAAAGAAGCACTTCGAGCCCACTGACCAGCAGAAGCAGCTTCGTGATTTCGTGCCACCGAACCCCGGCGACAACATTCGGGCGGAAGCGTTGGCTGGATGTGGCAAAACAACTACTGCCAGCCTGATTGTGGACGCATGGAGAAAAAGGGTCCCCGGCGTCAGGCTTGGCTACTTCGTGTTCAACAAGCAGGCGGAGCAAGATGCAAAGAATTCCGGAAAGTTTCCGAAGCAAAGTGTTCAAATTTGGACGACGCACGCCTTTGCCATGTTCCGCCTACTTGGCTTGGCGGAGGGCAAGCAGCGGCCCATCGGCGACCCGAAGAGATTCCAGGTGGAGGCCTTGCTGGGCAACACCATGGCCTCGGCCTGTATGGAACGCGTCACGCATTCGGGTTTCGTGAAATCGGCGGAGCGGCCGACCAGAGACAGCTATGTGTTCGAAACGGAGGAGGAAAAGCTGGATCTGCTGCGGGATAAGAAGCGGATGGAAAAAATCACAGCAAGCATGACCCAGTTTGTGATCAAGACTTTCCGAAAATTCTTGCAGAGCAACAGTGCGCGGGTGCGGGACAAGCATGCCTTCGGCGCAATGGTGAAGTTGAAAGTATGCACACGAGATTTGGTACCGCGCACGTAATAAATTATGCAACTACGGCATCACATATTTATTACACCGAAATTCGTGCTGCATGACATTGACATCAATGTTCCAACACTCTAGGCATGAAGGCCGTGAATTTGCATTTTGTACATGCGCAGCGGACGCAAATTTCACTTGCATAGAATGACATCCGGTCGAAGAAATCCAGGTGGAAGAAAGCGTTCCAGGAGGACTCGACCTTTCTGGTCCGACGAGCGCAGCAGCTATGGAATTTCTACGCACACAAGATCGCTTTCCTGATGCCGCAGCACTGTAAGGATAGATACCCAAACCCGCTTCCGTTTCTACCGCAGAAGGATCCGGCACACGAAGCAAAACAGCAAACCAATGTCGGCAATCTGTCCGGGGCGGCCGACCTTGACGATCCAGATTTTTTCAAAGACATGAACTTCGGGAAAAACGCGGAAACGAATCCGCCGGTTCCATTCGATGCGTTTCTGAAGGCGTATCAATTCCTCCAGGAGGATTTGGGCACCGGCTTTGACAGATATTGTGTAGAACATCCGCAAACGAGGATGATACCTTCGGGGCGGCCGGGTACTAACAAAACCAACGACCCACGATGCGTCACCTGCCCGGACGAGAAAGGCTGTAATCGGCAGCAATGGGACGGCTTTCATGCCTTGTTGGTGGACGAATGCCAGGACCTCACACCCTGCCAAAGCGACATCTTCTACGGACCACGCCAACAGAACGTCTGCTCCTACCTCTTGGGCGACAAGCACCAGCGGATTTATGCCTGGCGGGGCGCAGGAACCGACTTTGAGCGGGCGCCGGTGGTGAAGGAGTTCCCACTTTCGAACTCATGGAGATTTGGTCCCAAGATTGGCGCGGCAGCCCAGCTTCTCCTGAACCACGCGAGCGGTGGGCCCGGTCGAGCGGCAACCATTCGCGGTGCGGCGGAGGTCAGCGACGAAAGTGTCGAGCTTGCAACGGTAGATGACTTGGCTGCGCACATACGAGGCGGCGGCAAGGCTGTTATTTCTTGCAGGAGCAACAAGGGGATGCTCGATGATTTGATGGCGCTTCGTGCGGTTTTACAGGATGTGCCGAGATTCTGTATGATCAAACAGGACGGAGCGGGCGCCGGCGCAAAGACGAACTCTTCAAGAAGCAAACATCTCCAATGGGATGACCACTATAAGAAGTTTTTCAAGCTCTACAAGCAAACCAGGGAGAAATTGGACGAAGAAGCCGAGAAAATGAGGCGCGAAGGGCAACACGGAGGTGATAAAGATGACGCAGTACTACCCGCACTACTCATAACTGGCCTTGACCTGGTCGAAGTACAGGAAGACGCTGCCACTGCTGAGCAACGGCAGCGTAAGAAAAACCCAAATAAAGACGAGCCGAGCCCGAGAAAAGGTAAAAAAAGCAAAACCTCCACCTCTAAGGAAGACGAAGACAAGCCCTGTGACTTCGACGGAGAAAGGTTCGACGATTTTTACGAGCTGGAGGACTACTGTGTGGAATTTGAAAAGTCGCTGGAGTTGACAAAGTTGAAAATAATCCAGGAGTACGGGTACGAGGTGAAACAAGTCCTGGAGAGCGTCGGAGCTGCGCAGCGAGATCCAGGATCTGACGACTGGCAGGTAAAACTGGGAACCGTCCACACAATGAAGGGCATGGAGTTCGGCGAGCTTCTGTACATCGGGTCCGATTTTGCGACCATTGTCACGACGCCGGACCAGGAAGACAAAAAGACGAAAAGGCTGCGGAACTTCTACCAGTGGGACAAGTTGTTCGAAGAACCGGATGAAAAACAAAATCCCGGTTCCGAGGACGACAAGAAACCCCGAAAGAACGCATTTGCCGCTGGTGTGAAGCCGACCGACGACCCGGCCGCTGTAGCGGCCAAACTGAAAGCGGTGGGGATCGGCATGCGACAGTGTCGAACCTGCTTCGACACGGAGGCAATGAACCTGTTGTACGTAGCAGTGACACGCGCCAGGCGCACTTTGAGGCTGTCGCAAAAAGTCTGGCTCTTTCTCATGCTGATAACGGCGCAAGAGGAACAGCCGGAGGAGGAGGAGGAGGAGGAGGAGGAATCAGAGCAGGAGCAAGAGAACTTCGACAACTTTGGTTTCCGGGGGCCTTTCGGCGGGTTCGGCTTTTCTGCCGGCGGTAGTAGATGGGGGCAGAGCAGACCCAGGGAAGGCGAGCAGCAGCACAGCGGCCGTGAACACCAGCAGAACAACTACCAGAAGGGGCCCAACAATGGCTACAACAGGAATCGCAGCGGCAGAAGTGGCGAAAGCAAGCACAACCACCAAAGAACGCGCCCGCCGTTTCGACCGCCGCAGCCACCCCCTTCCTCTGCTCACCGTTCTCCAGACGACATCGACGAGAAACGGAAAAAGCATTTAGCTGACTGGACAGAGTGGAAGAAGAAGGTCTTCGCGAATGAATTGGAGAAGATGAAGGCGATACCCTGGCCGGAGAAGGATCGAAAAACGGGGCTGCGGGATCCAAGTTTGTACCTCCATCCGGAGGTGGATCCGGACGAAACGAAAAAGTTTTTGCAGCGGTCTTGTTTGTCGATATGACGTGTAAGTATGACTGGGTCTTGACGAAAGGATGTTGTGACGGGAGGTTTGGCATGAGACATTTTTGTATGTTGATACATAGATAGGCATCAATCTGTGACTCATGGTCATGTGATGTCACCAGACAGACCAGCGTATTAAGATGATAAAGAAGTCTTGCCACATCTATCCAGAAGAAAGAGACCCAGGCGTCAAATTTGCTTTGGATAGATTTATCATCCCGACAAATGGCAACAGGACCTACGAAAGGCGAGAGCCAGTTTGCAGGCTGTTGCAGCAACGAATCCGACAGAGGCAGAGAAGGATCAGAAATTTTTGGACGACATTCAAGAAAGGTTCAACAGGATAACGCAGCTCCTTATCCATTGCAGATGACGTGTCGGGGTCTCGGGAGTAGGTTGCGACGATGAAAGTATGCGGCGCGCCTCAAGTGCGCCGCGCGGCATGATTCTGGCACCACAAACAATGTTGCTGCTCGATGGTCTCCTACTCCTGTCATCATGCAATATAAATTTTCGAGGGTTTGCATCTCTATGCCTATGGTATGCTCCCAACAAGAAATACAAATACAGGTCTACTTCCTTTGCTCTTTCAGATCCCGACACGACCTTGCGCTGCATACTCCTAACCGAAGCGCTGCGAATAGCGCAGGAACGGGGAACCACTGATCCCGCTTGCGACAGAGCTTCCGGAACGAAGGCGCAGCGAGGTGGCGGGTTTCGCTCGGCCGGTGGCAGCAAACCGCGCAACGAAAACGAGAACGCCGGGGGCGCCAGCTCCAAGCGGCGACGAAATTTCTGAAGATCCATCTCCTTTCCTCCAGCATGACCTCTTCGCATGCTGTCTCTATCGATTCGCACTTCTGTAGAGAATCATCCGTGACGAAAAGTCATTTTGTGCTGGTGAACTCATCGGTCTTGCCCATGCCGTCTGCAGAAGACGAAAAAAATGTATCTACAACATGTTTGCCGTCACCTCCAAAGAAACAATAACAAAGCATGTTGACTAAACGAAACACATGAGCTCCTGGCTGTGGCGCAACCATCAACCACGACGACGACATGCTGCTCGATTACACCAGGTGGTAGAATGCTGCTTTTGTTCGAGTAATTCGTTTTCCACGTTTTTATGCAGATCCTTTCTCGTATGTGGTGTTGTATGAGCCGCATTTATCCACCGCTCTCTTGTTGAACAGACTCGAGGAGTACTAGCTTCGCATTGTCCAATGAATAAGTTAGTAAGTAGATCATTCGTTCGAACGTGAGGCGAAGAGAGATGAGCTTGAGCACTCCTGGTGCTCTCGGAAGACGTACGATGAGCGGCTTCGAAAATTTATCGCTTCGCACAGCATCCCAATACCATTCGTAACTTTCAGAAGTGTATGTTTTTCAACCACATATCTGGTTTCGTAGATATCCGATACCGTTCCTAGTTCATCTTCCAAAAACACTACCATAGAAGCACGGCTTTTGAGAAGTAGTGAACTCCTCAATCATGGCCGAGCCGGGAGAATCTCCCGAGGAGCTCGCGGCCTGGTCGGCCGAACTCGGGGAGAAGGGAGATGCCGCTGCGACGGCCCTGCAATCCCGCATGCGCGCAAAACAGGCCAAGAAGGAAGTGGATGAATTGAGGAAAAAGCTGGCAGATGTACTGCGAATATTTTTTTGTTGATGTTGGATGATGGTGTTTTCCATGGTCATGGAACATTGGGAACTTTGTGAAGCTTTTCTTGCATGAGTGGAACAGAAACTTATCTGCACTATCAGGCTGAGAACACGGCCATGGTAGCAGCCGATGCCGCGGAGGGCTCCTCAGCCGCCGGTGACGGTGAATCACCAGAGGAACTGGCAAAATGGACTGAGGGTCTCGGCGAAAAAGGCAACTCTGCTGCAACGAAGATGCAGGCCAGACAGAGGGCAAAACAGGTATTGTTTCATTTGCATCAACACAACACTTTACAAACATGCATGGGTCGTGTGAAATGTGTACGTCCTCGGGATCATTGAGATTTTGAAGAAACGCGAACCTAGTATTCTTGTGTGTTGTGCACCACTCCCATTCACACGTCATCAATTATCAGGCCAAGAAAGAAGTCGACGAGCTGCGCAAGAAGCTTGCAGACGCCCAGGCAGAAGAAACCACGGCCGTAGACAAGGCCGTCACGGATGCAGCGGCCGCGGTCGATCCAGACAGCCCCGAGGAACTCGCAAAATGGACCGCCGAACTGGGGGATAAGGGTGACGCAGCAGCCACGAAAATGCAAGCGAAGATGCGGGCGAAACAGGCAAAGAAGGAGGTGGCGGAAATAAGAGCAAAGATTGCGGAGGTACTTATCATCATCATGTGACGTAGACGTGGTGAATGTAGTTTGTTGCAAATTTTATACTGGGCTTTAGCTGAAATTGGAATTGGAATCATGAGCATGCTCATCTTGATCGTGACACCAGAGACTGTTTAAACGCATCACTTCACAGGCTGAAGCAGCGGCCGCTGGCAGCGCTAGCGCCGACGGAGGGGACGGCGAATCACCTGAAGAGCTGGCAAAGTGGACAGCAGAGCTTGGCGCCAAGGGTGACGCTGCTGCGACAAAAATGCAGGCTAGGCAAAGGGCAAAGCAGGTATTGCGAATCATCATCATGCAGCGAGATTCTTTGTTGTCATGTTGCATAACGTTAATACGTAACCCTGTGTTGTACTATACCAAAAACAAAAACTCTGAATTTCACACCCTACCACAGGCCCGCAAAGAGGTCGAAGAGCTGAAAAAGCAGCTGACGCAAGCCGAGACGAAAGAGGAAACTGCCGTCGCTGAAGCAGTAAAAGCTGTCGAGGTGGACCCCGAATCCCCCGAAGAGCTCGCAAAATGGACCGCCGAGCTCGGTGCCGCGGGAGATGCCGCTGCCGCGAAAATGCAGGCGCGACAGCGCGCCAAGATGGCAAAGAAGGAGGTGGACGCGCTCCGGGCGCAGCTAGTTGCGGCGGAGAAGGAAGAGGAAAAAGCAGAGGAGGATGGCGATTCACCAGAATCTATCCTGAGTAAAAACGTACCCACACCAGAGTCAAGATGGGGAATCGGCTAGACAAATCCACAAGTTTTGGCTGTTTTGCATGACAAATTTGGATTCGTAGCATAGTGCTGTTTCAGCTAGCTCAGCAGCATCACAGATCTAGCATACCATGCTGATTGGAGCATGACAAATTGCAAAACACGACTAGAAAATGCTTCTCATGGAGCTCCGCATGAGAAACATTTTCAGCATGCAGATTTGCATTACAACTCTGGCGTGGGTACGTTTTTACTCAGGATAGAATCCCTAGCTGCGTGGACCGCAGAAATGGGGGAGAGGGGAGATCTATGCATTGCAAAAGCATCGTACTAGTAGTATAAATTGCATGACAAATTTTGGCAAGAAGGAAAGTGAAACTTGTAATGCTGTTTTGCCCTAGGGAAAATATTTGTCATGCATATTTGCAATTCGTACGACACGAGTACGATACTTTTGCACAGGATAAGATCAAGCGGCGACGGCGCTGCAGTCACGGATGCGGGCGAAACAAGCGAAAAAGGAAGTGGCGGAATTGAGGAAACAGTTGGCAGATGTATTATTTGTTTTTATTAATACGCAATGTGTTGCAAAACATGCAAGACAGACGACCTCTGTCATGCGCAAAATGCTTGCGAGTATTAAAGTAGGTGATATTACAACTAACTAAACTTAGTGCACCCTACTTGACTGCGTGGACACTCATGGTGCACCTGCCACGCGCATAATGGATGCAACAACAATTCGATCTTCTAGTTCTACTGCAATATCATTTTCATCATGCAATTATTCCACATGACAAATTTAGGCCGCCGCAGCCGAGCAAGCGGCAGAGGCCCAAGCGGAAGCCATTCCGAGTTCCGACGAGTCACCGGAAGCGCTCGCCGCCTGGGCGGCAGGGCTGGGTGCGAAGGGCTATGAACTGCAAAAGTATCGTAGTACTCGTATAAATGCATTACAAATTTCCTCAGCATGAGAAATAAAATTTGCCATGCGGATTTACCTTGAAAAAAAAATTTGTAATGCATGACTGCAACACGAGCACGATACTTTTGCAGAGCATAAGGGCGACGCCGCGGCAACAAAGATGCAGTCGATTCAACGCGGAAAAGCCGCAAAGATATCCTGTGCAAAAGTATCGTACTCGTATTGCAGTCATGCATTACAAATCTTTCTGTTAAGAAGGCAAATCAGCATTACAAAGTTTCTTTCTCATGCTGAGGAAATTTGTAATGCATTTATACGAGTGCGATAATATTTTGCTATGCATAAAAGAAAGAGGTCGACAAAAAGAGGCAAGAAAAAGTTGGAAGCACAGTTAGATACCCGAATCCAGGTACTCTCAAATAAATTATGCTTTCTTGCTTTCATTCATGTAGGTACCTCCAGCATAGGTAATCTGACGATATATTTGTTGTGCACGTTCAGCTCACTCAAAAACGAAAACAAGTAGAAGAACGGCATGCAGACGAACATATTGCAATAAAAAACCCGCATGATGATCTTCACAAACCACTCCACAGCCGAGGGCATCCCAGAACCCACCGTTCCCGAACTCCAGAGGATACTCGAGAAATCCGTTTCCACCGGCAAGCCCTTCGAGGACCCCCGCTTCCCCCCGGCGGTCAGCTCTCTGTACACCTGCGAGGCCAGCCTAAAATCCGGTGAAATTGACAGTTTCACCCGGTCACCGCAGATACTGCAGAAAGAGTCCCCAGTCAACATCTTCCCCGACAAGAAGCCGTGCAGCGACGCACCAGCACACTCGCTGCAGTCGAATTGGCTGAAAGCGGCGATTGCGGTGATTTCTACCAGACCGGACTTGCTCGGCAGGATATGCACGGCAAAAGTATCGTACTCCTACTCGTATAAATGCATTATACAAATTTTCTCAGCATGAGAAATAAAAAAATTTGTGATGCGGGTTTACCTTAAGAAAAAGATTTGTAATGCGTGATTGCTATACGAGTGCGATACTTTTACACAGGATACAGGATATTTTCCAACGATTTAAACTCCCACTGGAAGCAGAGCGGATTGCTGGTTTTGTCGCTGTTTTACGGGTTCGAGTGGAAGTCAATAGCCTTGGACTCGTTCATCCCCTCGGATTTAGAAACGAATGGGGCGCCGCCGTCTGAACTCTGGGCCGTGTATCTGGAGAAGGCCTTTGCGAAAATGCACACCAGCTACGAGGCGATGGTGAACTATTTCGATGCAAATGGAATGACGGGTACTTATCTTCCTATGTTATTGTAGATTACTCCACGTAGAAAATTTGCATGAACGCTTGTTTTGTAGTACGATTTCAATTTGGCATCAGCACCACGACCTTCACTTCTTCCTCTTCCGTACCCAACATGATCATCCAAACAACCAGCTTACGAAGCCGCCCTCGTCCAAATGTCTGGCGGTGTTATGGAGCGCCAAACCGACCCGGGCGCGAAGCTGGATTTCGCGAAACTGCAGGAGAAGTTTTTCACCGGATCTTTAGTGTCTATCTACTGCAAGGAGAAGGGGAACACTTTCGGCCTCTGCCCGGGCTGCCCGTACGGGATTTTGGATATGGTGGAGCAACAGGGATTTCAGCTGATCCGCCTGAGAAATCCCTACGGTGCGAGCGGGAAGTATGCATTGCAAATATGTCTGGGCCTGGAAACTTGTAATCATGCTAAAAGTGGATAATAGCTGGACTGCAGTACGCAGCCAAGCATGACACATTTTTGAGCTGCTATGTGTTGCGTATTCCGCATGAGAAACAACGTTTTTGCGTGACAGATAAGAGAGCCTTTTCGTCCCCATGCATCCCAGATTCTCGAGTCATGTCAGACATGCATGACAAATGTAAGAATCTTCCAGACCCAGCCATATTTGCAATGCATAGAAAGTGGCAGGGCGCGATTCCGTTTGGGAAAAAAACGGAGTTGCGGGACAAGCTAGTATCAAATGTAAAAATGTCTGGGTCTGGAAAAGTGTAGACTTGTCATGCAGATTTTCCATGACCCATGAGGTCTAGAATGCTGGACATAGCATGACAGACTCTGCGAGGTCTCTGCCATGCCTATCCTGCATGAGAAACTCCCTTCCAACTTGGTCAAAAGTGTACAGCTTTTGTGCAACACAGATTTTTGCATGATTCAGATTTACCATGACAAGTTGCAATCTTCCAGACCCAGACATTTTTGCAATTCATAGCTAGGAGCGCACAACAAAGCGGATGATGGAACGTTCTGGATCCACTTCAAGGAGTTAGTCAATTTGTTCGACGGGGGGATGATTTCTATCTGCCGGCTGTTCAAGCAGGAATACCGTACTTTGTTTTCGATTTTTTATTTTTGCACTTTCTACTCTTTCTCACATGCAGGTGGAACTCGAACGATCCTGAGTCTGACCTGAGGATCCTGGATCCATTCACGAAGAAATAGCAGCACATATTCGTTATGGTCATCGTTTTCGAGCACTGGCTGCTGTGCATTTTTGGTAATTCTACGTCAATTTTCAATTTCCCTCAACGACAACTTCACACAGATCAATACGCGGTCCTCGGTAACTTCGAAGACGCCAGGGGTTCTGGCCCCGCGGATCCCGAATTCTGCTCGAATCCGCAGTACAAGCTCACGATCAACAAGCCAACGACCATCTCCGTTTCTCTCCTCCAGGACACAACGTTGATGGCCACGGGCGGAAACGCGATCGCCGAGCAGGAGCCGATCTCCTTAGTCATGTACAAGGCGAAAGGACAGCCAATCCTCTGGGAATTTCCCGATGAGGAACTCTGCGCGGTCGGGACGAGCTACATCAACAACGCTCAGGTGAACTTCGAAGCGACGATCGACCCGCAGTCCCTCTCCTGCTCCCAGTTCATGCTGGTTCCGTTCCAAGCAACCACGAAGCCAGAAACCGGGAAGTTGTTCTGCTTGCGGATTTTCGCCGACAGTGAGGTGTCGATAGAGAAGTGCGCAAAATTGTGCAAGTACCAATTCCCGTTAGAATTCACGAACCAAAATTCCGGGGGGAAAAGGTCGAAAAAGATAGAAGTCCCGGTGGAGGAGGGCGGAACTAGTCCGACCGCAGCGGCTGGGAAGGCCGGGGAAACCTCAGCCGCGGCCGGCGGCGGTGGGGGCGCGACAAGTAGTAGTGCCGCGGCAGCGGCAGCCGGGGGGCCGATGCAGACGGTGGTGGTGGATAACCCAGCGTGGGGGAAAAATCCGCAGTTGGTGCTTGGGTACAAGAAACCAGCGACGGTGAAGGTGGTGATAGAGAGAATAGTCGGGAGGAAAAAACCTGTGGGGGAAATCGGCGCGACGGTGTGCAGATTAGTCCCCGCGAGTCAGCCGGATACCACATTGCAGCGGGTAAAGAAGGGCAGGTTACCGGACGAGTCGGCAAATTCGAAGGCAATGAACGAATTGGACAACAAGTTCTTGAAAAGTATACGACGATATGCATATGATTTATTTTCTTTGTCTTTGTCATGCAAAATGCTCATTATAATAAATTCCGCACCTTCACACTTTCTTCATGTTGTCGCATGACAAGAAAATCGGATACACGAAATTCCTATCAGGAAAACTGCAAATCCTCCCGAACGACTGGGTAAAGGAATGCCCCTATGTCGAGGACAGAAGTGCGGTTTTGTGCGCAACGACACCAGTCCAGGGGCCACTGTTGGTTGTGCCCAGCTTGAGTGAGGAGGGGATCATCGGAAACAGCATGCTGACGGTGTATTCGGATAAGGAAATCTACAAGCACGCCAGGCTACCTGACTCACAGCACCCGTTAATCTGTATAAAGAGATGTCTTTTGTTTTCTGCTAATCTTGATACAGATGAAGATGAAGATCATGCCGCCGAGACCGAGAGTCGTGGTTTTATTGTTCTTTTTGTCTTGCCCTGCGTGTGCGTAGGCGTTCCCACCCCCAGCATGAAGCAGAACCGAGGATACCTCCCTTGCAAAAATGTAAATGAATACCACCAATACAACAGGTTCCGTATGGATTGCAAAAATGTCTGGGTCTGGAAGATTGCCAAGTTTGTCATGCATGTTTCTCATGACACATGACGCCTGTAATGCATGACCTAGCATCACGGGTTTTTAGAACCCTTCCTGATGCACCACCCGCATGAGAAATGCCCTGTTCGTGCAGCACAAACTGTACCCGTCTTGCTGGTCATGCAATACAAATTTTTTTGGAGTCCAAAAACAGCGTCACAAGTTACATTCTTCCAGACCCAGACATTTTTACATTTGATATTCCGAATGGACCCCCGATTCCGCCGGCGGTTGCCACATCTACTACCCACCGTATGAGCCCCAGAAGACCGCGACGTGGGGCAGGAATCCCCAGCTGTTCCTGAAAGTCCCACAGAGGACGAAGAACGCGAAGATCACGCTCGCCAGGTGCGAGAAATCCTGGCGGCAGAAAATCGTGAAGGACCCGGTGGGTTGCATGCTCGGGTTTTATTTACTGAAACTAGTATACGATCAGCACAAGCAGGTCGTGATCAGCCGGGACATTTTGGTCTACGAAACCACCTTCTCCGCCTCCCACGAGATCGCGCTGAACGTACCCCTAGACGCGGGGTTTATCGAAAGGAAAAATCCCCCCTCCCCATATCGAAAACGAAATTTGTGATGCTGTATTTGAGTACACAAATCGACTTGCAATGCTAGAAGGCCAAGAGACGCAGCTTTGGCCTCGTTTGCAGGCAATTTGTCACGCTGTTTCCGACTTCCAGCTGCCCCCTGTCATGCTGAAGATGCAAGGCGTTCCCACGCCAAACAGCACTACAGTCCGCATCTTTTCCCTTCTAGCTTGACAAAGCTGATTTGTGGCCACAAATCTGCACGATCACAAATCTCTAGTTTGAGTATGGGGCGGGGGGATTTTTCATTTTGATAGGGTTTTACACCATCCTCCCCTGCACCTACGATCCGGGAAAATGCGGGGAATTCGTCGTTTACGTGAGCATATGAATTGCAAAAGCAACGTACTAGTATGAATTGCAATACAAATTGGATCAGCATGATTACAAATGCAATTTGTAATGCGGATATGCCTTAGGAACTAGATTTGTAATCCATAAATGCAATTAGTACGAGTGCGATACTTCTGCACAGGATAGAGCACGGAAGATGAGGAATTAACGATGGAACTAAGCAGCAGGCCGTTCGCGATCGAGTAGCTGACGCGGTCGGGGGGATAGGATTTTGGAGAGGGTTCCTGGCAGGAACTCGGTTGATGAAGAAAAAGGAAGATAAACATGAGCTCTAGCAGCTGTAGCGACACGTATCTCTACTCGCACGTAAAAATTTGAATCCAGGTACAAAAATCAATATTGATACTCAAGCAGTAGAAACGCCTTCACTTGGAAAGGTCGTATCGTCACAGAAATTAAGATTAGCATCGTATTTGCAGCTCCAGTTTCTTTTTCTAGCAGATAATCAGACCCGGAACAAGAAACAAAAACTATTTGCTTCGATAGAAATAGCTTTGAGTCAAAAGTTCCTTCCAGACAGAAACTGTGAAAGAAAATCTCGTAGTAGTTTCGACTTGTTTGCGTAGTCTTCATCTCTTCGCAAGGCGAAACTGCGCAGCCACATCGGCACCAGGTTGTAATAGTAGCCGAAGTATTAAAAATGTTTCGTGCAATAATTTATCTTTTTCTTTTCGAATTGATAGTATGATTGGACCTGTACAATTCAAGTTTCGTCGAAGCACACTAACAATGAACTATGCAGAAGAAGAAGATTCAGAGTATGCTACGCAGGATTTGTGTCCCAGGTAAGATCACTCCTTGCTATTGAACTGAACATTGATGATGTACAAAATACACAAGAAGTGTGATGTTTCCAAGCTTCAAACAACTCCATCACTGCCAGGACGGTGAAGGTCTCACTGCTTGCTGGAACTGTTCCATCTTCATTGGCTAGTTCTCTGTCCGCCTCGTATTTGCGCAGGTCGTGGAACTTGTACTTGACACTGGCGGCATTACCGCATGGGCATGCGTATCGAGAAAAACAAAAATAAAACGGAGTGACCTTATAATTTTTTTCTCGTAAATAAAGTTTTGCTGTGCATGGCCGCCGGGCGAACCTACTATAACTGCAAGAACGAAATTAAGCCGGCCAAGATGTTCGTTCGTTGCGCCGCGTCCTTTATGTCGGCCTCCGCTGTGGTTTCTCGGCCGTTGATCGGCGCGAAGATGTCCTCGTCTTTCTTGCTACAATTCTTTATTCTCGTTCCCGAATTACTAGCCGCGGGCTCCTCCGCAACGACCCGCCCGACAGCACACTTCGATTGGAAACCGCTCCCGGTATGAATTGCAAAAGTATCGAAATCGTAGTGTTGCTATTGCATTACAAATTGGCTCAGCATGACAAATGGAATTTGTCATGATTCGTCATGCGGATACAGCTTAAGAAAGAGTTTTGTCATGCATAAATGCAATTACTACGAGTGCGATACTTTTGCGCAGGATACCCGGGCACGAAAAACATCTTCTTTTCGTCGACAAAAGACACGGGGACCACGACAACTGCAAAAGAGGACACCGCAGCAGAAATAGAAAACGCAGCAGAAAGACAAACTACGAAAACGACCCTCCTGGTGAAAGACTTCCCCGTTCTCAACTTCCACTACATCAATTCCTTCGTAAACCGCCGGAACTTTACCCGCGTCATGCCCGGTTTCGCCTACCACGAACTTCTATGCATTGCAAAAGTATCGTACTCGTATAAATGCATTACAAATTTTCTCAAGTTCAAAAATGCAATTTGTCATGCTATTTCGGGTAGAAAGTTGTGTTGGGTTTGTAATGCATGACTGCAATTACTACGAGTGCGATACTTTTGCAGTGCATAACTTCCCGACAGTCTGAAAGGTCAAGCAGCGTCCGTCGTTACCCATGACAACCCGTACTGGGATGCGGAAACGCGGAAGGAGCTGCAAGCGCAGTCGAAAATGGACACGATAGACACGAGAGCTTTGCCGCCGACGTTGCGCTTTCTCCCGGTGAAGAACAAGATCCACGGGGGGTACGATTTGATATCCTTCTCTCCATATGAACTGCAAAAGTATCGTACTAGTAGTAATTGCAATACAAATTCGCTCAGCATGACTAATGGAATTTGTCATGCTGATTTGCGTTGGGAACGAGATTTGTAATGCATGACTGCAAGTGCAATTACTACGAGTGCGATACTTTTGCACAGGATACCGCACCGAGGGAGTCCGTGGACTACATGTACGAGCAGGCGGAACAGATTGTTATCAAACAAAAAAGTATTAGCGTTAACGGTTTTCACAAATGGCAGTCATGCATTACAAATTTTGCCTTCCATGCATGCTACGCAATACAAATTTGGGTACCTTTTCTGATGCGTTACTGCATCACAAATCCCATTAACGTTAACACTTTTTCCTGTGATAATTGTGAATGGGAGATCCGAGTCGGTTGCGGAGAAAGCGGTGCTACCAAAAACTATGGATTGCAAAAATTATGTCTGGGTCTGGAAACTTGTGATGCCAAAATGTGGATGATGGAAACCGTTTCGAATGCAACACAGCATGACAACTTTTCAGAGCGCTTTCTCATAGGAAATTCGCATGAGAAACTGCGTTTTTGCGTGTATAAAAGAGGCTGCGACTTTTGTTGGCTATGCAGTACTACAGATTTCCTAGTTATGGAGAGCTAGCATCACAAGTTCCAACCTTCCAGACCCAGACACTTTTGCAATGCATAAAAACGAAAAAGAAACAACTGATGCTGGAAATCGGGTCGAATAGTCGCAATCTGTTGATTATGCACTGCAAAAGTAAAAGTATCGTACTAGTATGAATTGCATTACAAATTTCCCCAAGAACAAAAATGCAATCTCTCATGCAATTTCAGGTAGAAGAGGGTTAGATTTGTCATGCATATCTGCATTTAGTACGAGTGCGATACTTTTGCACAGGATATTGATGGACGAAGACAAGAAGTTCGTGGAGGCAGCGGACGAAACGCTTTTCATCGCCAGTTTCGAACCGTTGTTAGACAAGTGGAGCTACTTGCTTTCCAGATTCCGGGAGGCGCCGAACGAAAAAAACGCGGGCGTCATGCACAAACGCGGCGTTGCGCTACCCTTCGCCGTGGGGCCGTGTGATAGTAGTAGTACAACTGCTCCTGGGTATTTGAACTTCCACGTGATGGAGTTGGACGGGGCGAGTAGTGTTCTACCGCCAGCTGGAGGTAGTACAGCATCAGCTGAAAGAAATAAAGTGGAACCAAAAGCGGACCACGTGGACAAAGAGCAGGACCACAACAAAAGCTACGATGTGGAGTACGATATAGACGGGAATCCGGTCTACAAAGTCCGCCACACCAACTACGACATGCAGAAACTCCGTGAGCGCGTTGCCTCCGGTTTGAAAGAAGTCCGCCAGGTGCCCTGTGTGACCTTAGAAACCGTGCTGTCCGACTGGTTCCGGAAATTCGACGAAGTCAAACTGATCAAAATCGACGCGCAGGGGCTGGATTTGAAAATAATCGAGTCTGCGAGTGGTGAAACGCTACGGAGGAAGGTTAAAGAGATCGAGCTGGAAGTGCTGTGCGAAAACCGCCAAGCCATGTACGAAAACGGGGCGACGTGTGGGGAGACGGTGAAGAAGATGGAGGCGAAAGGGTTCGAACTCGCGGATAAGACGAAAGATTGCGAGTTTTGGTGCGGGGAATTTGGGTACAAGCAGCTGAGCGACGTGCAGGTGGACGAGATCAATCTGAGGTTTCAAAGAACAGCGGGGAGCGACACAGACACTGCGTTGACCGTGACACCAGATTCGGAGGCAGCTCCCTCAACGACCGCAAAAATGCCTCCTGGTGCTGGAGCGGTGGACGAGACACTACTACAAAACAAAGAAGACGACAGCGACGATGGATACTTGAAAATTGACTTGCAAATCACGTCGCCACGAGGAGCAACGGTAGAAGTTGCAGAAACTGAAACGGCCACCGTTTCGAAAAACCCTTGTCTCGAGCTCCGGTTCGGGACGGAGAGACACACGTTGACAGCTGCGCAGAAAAGTAGTCATGTGGATGTTGATAGTACAACCGCTCTCTTACAACCCTATCGCGCCACCTGCTCCGAGGTAAAGGAGCTCATCCTCGAACCCTCTCTCCACCGGTACGCGAAGGCTATCGCCGACAGCAGCGGGAGGAAGGCGGATAACTACGGGGAGCTGGGAGTTGTAGTGGCCGGAGCAGCTTTGAGTACTACGGAGGAGAAAAATCGAGAAGCTGTCATTTTGCCATTCGCTTTCTGCAGAGTTGAAGAGGAGTCCACCGCGATAGACCGACCTTGCATAGAACAACACCAATCAGACACACCAACTACAATCACGGCCGCAGCCCACTTCTTCTCGAGCTTGGTGCCAACAATATTCCCGCAGTTAACACTTGCCGCAATCGAAACGCTGACTCTACGGCTCGACTTTTTCAGGTTTTCCGACTTAGTAGTGAGCCAACCACTAGACTCCTCGCCATCTTCCACGACGTTTCTCTCTTCTCTCGTGGATTACGCGCAAGAAAGTGAGGATGTGTCTTCCCCGTTGCAACCAAAAGTGAAAAAGATCCTCTTGATTCTAGAGTATGTTACTGACTGCGGGTTTCCAAACGACGTAGAAATGTTCTTTCAAAAGTGCAGGTCCATGCGGGAAGAGATTTTGAAACTCGGTTTTCAGGAAATCAGTTTAAACATGCCGACAGCACCACAGGCCGCTGGGCAACAAACGCTCGCCTTTCAGTTGCAAATAAAAAATCGAAAGATATGACAGAATGATTTTTGTCTGAGCAACTCTTCGGCTTGTTTGAAGGAAAGCTGGCGCTTGAGTTTACGTAGTCAGCGGCATGAATTCTTCGTGTTCAGCTGTTCGCGTAGTTCTACTTTCCCCCTCGCCCTCGAGTTGTACTTAAGTTTTTCATTCATCTTTGTCATTGTCTCTGAAGTTCACTACTATCTGAGCGAGTGCATCATAATGTGAAGCGACTGAACAAGTTCTTGAGTTGAAGAAAATTTTGTTTCTCTTGGATTATATCCGTTTTCAAATCTTCCGCTTCGGTCAGCATTGCGTGGTGTCTGGTTCTTTTTTTCTGCCCGAGTCTGGCCCGCTTCTCTTCAGACTTACCGAGAGACGAGTTGATGTCCAGGCTTTGTTTCTACCCGACATGTCATGTTCATCTTCCAGAAGAACCATTTCTAGCTTGCGTCCCTCCCTCTGCTCGTTACAGCAACGCCTCCATGGGGTCGTGCTTCTTCTGCAACAAACTTTAACTTGCTCGCATGCCATACGGCAATAGGGAGTAGAAGGCACGCGACGTGTAGCTGCACCGAGTCGTAAGGTGGAACTACCGGTCGGGGTTACTAGCAAAAAAGAGAGGTAGCCTCGATAGCAGCTCACAATGTCCAGCGAAGATAGCGACGAGGATGAGAACGAGAACCAAGATCAGGGCGCACCCCTCCCGGATTTGTCCGACCCAGATTTCGCTCAATTCGTCCAGTACCTCGGCTGTGACGAGGAAACACTCCAACAAGACGATGACTTTACCCAGGGCACGTTGCTCCGCATCATGCAGGAGGCCTACATCGCACCACTGCCGCCCAACTGGGCAGAATTTTCCGACCCGGAAGGCAGAATATACTTCTACAACTACGCAACGGAGCAGTCCAGCTGGGCACACCCAACGGACAGGACGTACCGGGAGCTGATACAGGTACAATTTGTTCCGATAGAGATTAAGATGTTGAAATTTTTGATTGCCATGCTGTTCTCAAAACCATTTGTAGAAGTCAAAGTTGACGTGCAAATCATGCAAAACAAGATGGTGATCAATGATCATGCAAAACAAGATGAAGATGGTGATAATCGATACAAAACCTGCCAGATGGTGAAGAAAGTTCGTTCGGTCCCCGGCCCGGGCGTTCCGAAAGACGAAATCTCTCGCATTATCGACGTCCACTTACAAGGAGTCCACCAGCGAGCATTGGAAGCAATAGCCGGGTTTTCGGGGCCGTACCAGAGTGAGGACGGCGGCCATGAGTACTACTACAACGAAATCACGAAGGTCAGCACCTGGGAATCACCGGTGACCGAGTGGGAGCACAACATTAGCACGAGGTACATAATGAAACTGATGAAGATTTGCTCTTTTTGTGGTCTCGATGCACAAGGATATTCTTGCAAATGCAACTTCCGCATTGCAAAACGAGTTTCAAACGTTAGGACTGCGTGTGCGTGACAAAGAAATATTAGATTCTGCAAAACAACTACAACAGGTATCATGTGTTGTACCGTTGTCTCCTCGAGCCCCTTGAACGTGCAGAAACGGACCAGCTCCAGGCAGATGCAAACAGCAGCGAAGGCGGCTATCCATTGCAAAAGTATCCTGTTCGTGCTACGTAGAAATCGCACGACAAATTTTTGCAAATAATAGAACAAGGGAATTTGTCATGCAGATTCGACATCTCCTGTAGGCATCCAGGTTTAGATTACAATACGTACCAGCGCGTCGATACTTATTTTCCACTGGATAGCGACACACCATCAGCGAGTTCAAAACCGAATTCCGTGATACCACCAAAACTGCAATTACCCCTCCATCTCGTCTCTGGCGGCGGCGGATCTTCTAGCAGCACCGGCGGTGCCTCTAGTTCTTCTTCTTTGACAAAATCAGCATCCATCTCCACCACTGGCAGCTCCCTTCTCGCTATCCCACGAAATAAAAAGTGTATACAGTCACACAGTTGTAGTCAATTCAGCAACACAAATTTCTCTCCATGAGAGAGAAAACTTGTAATGCAGAAATCCTACGGAAAAAAACGAGGCTCCTATGCATATCCGGCATGGCAGAGCTTGTCTGTCTTGCTTGGCCTGCAACACAATGTGTGAAAACTGTAACACTTTTTTCTTGCGATACCCGCCCCACCCACGCCCTCCACGACGAGGAGTTATCACACGGCGCGGTCACAGGGCTCCGCGCGGAACAGCTATGCAAGAAAAAAACGGTGTAAGTGTAAGTCTGTGATGCAGAAAATGCAAAACAGTATACCCTTGTCATGCTCCACATGCATGGTTGGCTCGCTTCCTACGTGTTTTCCCGTTCTCTCTGCGCATGACAAGTTTTTTCTCTCATAGCAGACAAACTTGTGATGCTGTTTTCCTAAAAAACCTACACTAACGCACTCTTTCTCTTGGATAAGAGCTCCGCCCGGGCGAATAAAGTGGGGAGGAGAAGTAGGGAAGTAGCGGGAGGAGGGACAACGGGGAATTTACTACAGCCAAAGCCGCCCGAACCGGATGACACGAGTGAAGAGGAGGACGAACCGTTCAACTTCACGTTTGGGTCAGGAGCGATCGTGTCGATATCAAATGTAAAAATGTCTGGGTCTGGAAGAGTCATGCTGTTTCTGCATGACACAGAAGGTCTGGCATGGAAGCTCTAGCATCACAGGTTTCGAGAAGCTTCCGCAATGCCGAATCCCCATGACAAATCCCCCACTTTGGTGACAGAAAGTGAGCAGCTTTTGCTGCCTATGCATCAGAGATTTTTGTGTGTTCTGAAATGCGCATCACGACAAGTTACATCCTTCCAGACCCAGACACTTTTGCATTTGATAGTCGAAGACCTAAAACGATTTTCGAGATGTTCGAAAAAATGAATGCAGAACGGGTGCTGGTTATGCGGAATAAAGCGAGAGGAGCAAATAAGAGCAGATGCTGCAGATGTTGCAATTTTTACGTTTATCAACTTTTATCAACACACCGAACACAAAGTAGATTTTCATAGCTGACGAGAAACGAAACTGTCTGACACGACATTGACATGATCCGAGGTAGTAGATCGTAGAAGCTGTCTCAGGGGATTGTCACGACACCACGCCGCGTTTGCAGCCTTTGTACAAACTGACGCAGTCCGAAATACTTTTCCTCGTCGTCAATGCCACTGTTGATTTTTTGTCTTGATAAGTTTTCCCGAGCTGCCACGGCTGGAGGCACCGATTAAGGGCTAAAAACGAAAACCTAGAAAAGAAAATGAATTGCCGCCGTTGCCGAAGTAAATATTCGGCCTTGTTTGGAATTACTGATTTTTCTTTTTGCGTTCTATGCATGCCCATGCGTTAGCGTTTGGTGAAAAAAAGAGCTCCGAGACGAGATTCGAGTTCTCGAGCGTGACCCAAAACCGGCTGTGCGACTCCACTTGAGAAATGCAGGGTTGTGATCGCAAACCCTTCCATTCGCTGCTATGCGATGAAGTTTATAGATGATTCTCGCCTTTAGGAAGTGTAGTGTAAGATATTAAGCGCAAACACTCTTGCAGTGGCTTTCTCAGAGATCATTCATTCTCACAATGAATCCTCGTTAAGCCTTCCATTATGTCGACGACAGCAGCAGCGATGCCACCAGATCAGGACGACCACATCAACCCTGACTATCCAGACGTGCAACGTCCCGCCTCGGTGGCCGAAAATCTGCGGGAGCGGGCCCGGAAGTCCTTATTGCGATTGCAGAGCAGAAATTACAGAGCCGGGGACGCAAACTCAAACTCATCTGGTGGCGCCGCAGCTCCTGCGCCAGCTGTGTCGGCAACTGCGCCCTCTGGATCTGTTGTGGGAGTGGAACACGACCTGGGTATCATCAAGAGAGCACCCCCAGTGGCGGTGTTGCCCTCCCGGGCTGGTACACCTAATGGCGCCGCGAGAAAAGCGAACGCCAATCCGTGGCCTGCGTCGTCGGCAATCGCAAACGCTGTGGCAACATCTGCATCTCGACTAGCTTCTCGGCAAGGCGATATCAACAGCACGACCGGAGCTGCAACAGCAACGCCTGCTGCGGCAACTACGCGAGCCGCTGTGACTGCTGCACCAGATCGCAATGCTACAACTTCCATCACGCCGAGTACTAGTTCTAATGGTCAAGCGCCAGCGTCCTCCTCGAGTGGCAGAATTACGAGCAAGATCACGCCCCGGACGACGAGGGAAGGCGCATCGTTCGTAGCTAGTCGACCAAACAGTGCGTCCGGAATGAGATTTGCATCTTCCGCAGGAGCTGCAAAGACTGACAGCGCAAGAACCACAACCCGCAAGGCTGGTAGTGGCGGCAGTGACGCAAACAGAACAACCAGTAGAGGTTGTACTGCAAAAAGCAAAAGCAAATCCGCGAAAGCAGGTCCGAGAAGTCCTTGCACCATGCAAACAGAAGGTGAAGATAATCCGCCGAGCGAGCAGTCTCCGCTTGGCCTACACTGCTCTTCGCAAAACATGCACCTGTGCGACGCCGCTCCTCTCCGGACATCCTGCCGCACGCTAGAAACGCCAGCGGATGTGATGCGGCTGGCGCAACAGAGAGCGGTGGAAGCAGATGATCAGAGAACCAGCGCGAAAGCGAAACTATTGGGCATGCCTGTTCATCCGGAAGACAGTTCCGCTTCTAGTGGCGATGTGTACAACGGAGCATCGCCGACGCCGTTTTTTCCCAGCAGCAATATGGCGCCTTCTAGTAGTGAGCAAGCCTTTGACGTCAGAGACATGCTACTCCGCGGGCAGGCGAGCGGTCATCCTGCTGTACTAGCTGCATCGCGATACACCTCTCGTCCTGCGGAGGTCTATATCCCAGTCGTGAACAACGCATCAGGTGCTCCGTCCGCCGGCGACCAAAAACATCACGGGCCACAGACACCTTCTTCACACAACCGGCAGCTCTTCTCGTTCCCCGAGCGAGATCTTGAGCAAATCAACTGCTTCGAACAATCGGTCCGTGAGCAGCAGAAACAACTGACCCGCGATCTGGAGAAACTTGAACTCTGGAAGCAGGACCAGAAGCGGAAACAATTGGAGACAAGCGCGAATCACAAATTACAACAAGAATTGCAAGACTTTCAAAACCACGAACATACGAAACTGAACAAACATGTCAGCGAAGTGGAGCTGTTGTATCAACCACAACTTACCAAGGCGGACACACAACTTCTGGAGGTGGAGGAGAAGATGCAGAAACTTTCCAACTTGAAAAAAATGCTGCTGGTGAAGAAGAAACAACTGAAAGAATGCAAGGAGGAGGCGATTGGGAAATTACGGGAAGACTATGAGCGGGAAGAAGAATTGTTCAGAACGAAAATTGAAAACAAAATGCTGGCGGAAATGAAAGCGGTAGGATTGTGAATTTTCGATCATTTCAATTGGGACTTCATTGAAAAAAAAATTCGAAGAATCATATTTATGGACCAACAATTGGCAACGGTTTCCCAAAACATCACTATAACTGACATTACATCAACTATTCAATATCGATATGAGATTTCAAAAAATGAAGAATCAATCTCTTCTCTTTTTTGTTTGTTTGTTGATGAAGGTCATGTGGAACCGTTTGGAAATTTGTGCTTCCTCTCACATGGTTAGCGCTATTTCAAGAAAAAGGACAACTTGGCAGAGCTGCTTTGGCCTCTGCCTTAGAAAAAGGAACTGTCGCTAGAAGCGAGAGCTTAAGGCTGTATAAACAAAACTGTAAAAGAAGTAAAGAGAAAGGTTGAAGTTTTTTTTTTTTTGAAAGTCCAAAGGTTACTTGCTTGTTGTAAAAGTAAAAGCTGCCTCAACGTCGGAGCTGTTGTTTCTGAAAAAGTACTAAAAAGGTTGTTGAAAAGAAGCTAAAACTAGTCGGTCGCTGCGAAAAACTGTTTTTGTGAAGAGAAAACTTGAAGTGAAAGTCTTGCTGTACGTAGTCGAAAAGGAAGTTTTTGTTTTTGTTTTTTCTTTTTTTGAGCTTTTTGCTGTTGTCCGCCTCTTGGTCCTTTCTTACGCTGCAGTGCTTTTTGAGCCTGTCTTACGCTTGTTGAAATTGAAATTCTTGCTGAGAACGAAAGCTTACTTCTTGTTGTGACCGAGGTTTTGGTTTTAATTTTTTGTCGAAGAGCTTAGGGCAGCACTATCACTACTTTGCATCGCGACCTGTGCGCGCCTCCAGGATAACTTCACTCACCGCAGTAGTGGTCCGCCCGTGTGCCCAGTGGGCTGTTGCAACTCGCGCCGTACGCTAGTCCGCTTTCGGTCTGTATCACCATCGTATCGCAGTTTTTCATACATCACCACTACCGTCGGCCCATCCTGGGTTGCCAGCCCCTGACGACTATGTGGCCTGACGATTATGTTCTCTTTTTTCCATCACAATTTGAACTTTTTCCTGAGATTCAGACTTCGATGGATCATAAAGATTCCAATGATTCGAAATTTATGTAATAGAAAATTCTTGATGTTTTTGTCGTGGAAAAAACAAATATTCCATATATCTTGGAAATCGAAGATTTACAGCTTTAACACCCGTTAGCATGAGAAGTGGCGAATTTGTAGTGAATTTTGCATGACAGATTGCAGATGAGTCCGCCGGGGCATTATCCCTCTTGCCCTTCTGGGAAGTGGGTTCTGCACACCGCAGAAGTCAAGGCTTAATTATGCGGCGGGCAGCTTCTAGGCATGGCCTGGGTGCCGTTCTTTGGCCATGTCTATTCGTCTCCCTGTGCTCGCATAGAGCACTGCAGCAGCCGCGGCAAAGACGCTAAAAAGAAAGGCTGCGAAGCACATGCAATTAGGGAAGAAGGCGCAAAAAAACGAGTGAAAGGACCAGGCCGAGAGCTTTGACGCCTCTACCCGGCAGGCGCGTGAACTCCCCAGGCCTTTTCGGCAGAATATAGACGGGCTGAGGGCAACAGAGGGCGCTTGTCTTTTCCCCTCGGCCCCACTCCCCAGGGCCTACCTGTGCACATTTTTGAGCACTTTTCTGCGCCAAAGTTTGCTTATCACGGTCGAAAAGGGGCGCTCGGTGAATTTTCGGGTGAATTTTGAAAAGGGCGCCGGTGAATTTTGGGTTCCGGTGCCTGTTCAAAATTCGCTAGCGCGTGAGAAACTCCGAGTTTGGGGCTTCAAAAAAGTTTCGCAAAAAGACAAAGCCTCAAAATTCACCAAGAGAATTCCTGACCTGGGGGTCACGTCAAAGAAGACTACTAGAGGAACCGACCAAGATGAGGCAGGAACACAGCTGGGAGGAGGTTACTTACAGAGCAAAGCAGGCGATGCTAGCATCCGTAGCAACCTGTCTCCAGATATCCAAGCCGAGGCAGCCACAACCCGGGACGCGACTTCTCTATTTTGACATGTTGAGCTAGTACCTTTGACCCCCTTTACAGGCATAGCCCTCGTCCCGGTCGATCCGCCACTATCGAGTCTGCGGATCATGCAGCGTCGTGTTGTAAGACCGCCCTAAGCCACCTGCGTTGCTTCGCAGTCCACCAGGTGCGCCTCTTTGGGCAACAAGCGGCAAGCGTCCACAGGAGGGAAGCGCCACCAGCCAAGCAGGCGCGCTGGCTTCTTGTATGTTGTCCTCGTGTTCTAGTTCTTCGCATGCACCTGAAGATTAATTCATGCATCATGCCACGCAATACAAATTCACTGGAAATTCACCCTTCTGTATGCTAACGACCGTTGAAGACATAATCGAAGATATGACTCATGTTTATATTATGAATATCCATTCAAAATGAGATAAGATTCATATCGAAAATTCGATTGTAGAAAAAATTCCATGAGATTTTCTAGAAATTTCGAAAGATCAGAACAATAATCCGATTTCATGAAAATAATTTATGGAAAAATTTGAAAAATCTAAATCTTCTGGTTGATTTCATTAGGATCTTCATTCATCGATTTTTTTTACAATATCTTCCAGGAAACAAATCTGATAAAGAATCCCCATCAAGAGAAAATTTCTCATCAAAATATTAAATATTTAAAATATTTTTATATATTCTGATATCAATCCATCTTATCGAGAGAGATCTTGGATTCCAATGATTGAAGTCTCATCCTATTTCACAATTTTTTTCAATTTTTTTTATTTTATTTTCGAAATTTTCAAGAATTTACCAAATTTTTAGATCATCTATCATTCATTTTATTCCAATGATATCTCTCTCGAATTATCGATCATATATTGGAATCCTGAAATTGAATCGATCGATGAGATAATTTTCAATCTGATGAAGAGAAATTCAAAAAAATTAGAATTTCAGAAATTCTCAATCTCATCGATCAGGATTTATGATAGATTCGAAGAACAAATGATCGATTTGCAGACGATGAGAATGATGAAAGAGAATCTCAGATCGAGCCAAAGCGATAATTTATATCATGTCCAGACTCAGGTGGGAAGGCCCGGGGCGGTTCCGCCTTCTAATCTACTTCTAATTTTCCCGGTTTTTCATTTTTTTCTGCAAGCCGCCGTCGGGAATGGGGAGGGGAACAACAATGCCAGCAAGCAGTAGGGGTGACCGCGGCGGCCACCCCGAATGCCTGCTGGCAAAAAAACCGGCATCATAAAGATCCCAACTGCCCTGTGTTGCGCAACCCATGCAAACTCATGCGGAAACACCCCGGGCGGATTTCCGTTCTAAAATCCCGCTAATTTTTCCGGGATTTAAAAAATTCCGGGCGCCCATTTCTTCTGATCGTGTTGGGCCCACAGCGTGGGCGTGTGGTGGTTGTTTTCCTCCGAAGTCCCCCGGGGGGTGGGGCTTTTGTTCGTTTCCCCGACACAACATCAGCGCGCTCTTTCTTCGTCTCTTGGGGTTCGGCCCGTGCGCTTTTAAAAATTAAAAATTAGGGCTGGTTTTTGGGTAAAGTGGCGCCGCACAATTTTGAAAAAGCAGTGTGGTTGTAGGTGGGTGTAGATGTGCATTGCAGGGTGGCGCACAATGTGGGTGGTAGGCGTGGGCCTTGCCCGTCTTCTCTGGAGATGCGAAGTGGTCTGCGCCTCTTCGCATCCCCGCACATGCGCCGCTGGCTCGAGCAAGTAGATCGTTTGTCGAGGGCCGGGAGATGATGTTCGTGGTTTCGAACACGAACGTCATCTCCTGCAGGTCCGAAACAAACATTTCGGGATGTCCGGCACTGGATGTTCGCGTGAAGCGGAGCCGGAATCTTCCGGCTCCGCTTCCGGTTTTGGCGTCCCGAGATCTTCTATTTCGTCTTCTAAAATCACAAAATCGCGATTTTGTGTGTGATTTCGCCTGTATGGCAGTTTTAAAGGATTTTTAGAAGTCCGAAAACTGCCATGCGGGCGGAAGAATTAGAGGATTTTTAGAGGACGAAATTATAGGACATTTTAAAGGCCTTTTTAGAGGCTGTTTTAGAAGCCGCTTTTAGAGGCCGGCTTTAGAGGCCGGTTTTAGAGACCGGTTTTAGAGACCGGTTTTAGAGACCGGCTTTAGAGGCCGGTTTTAGAGACCGGTTTTAGAGGCCGACTTTAGAGGCCCATTTTAGAGGCCGACTTTAGAGGCGGAAATTAGAGAAGGGTTGTAGAGGCGGGAACTAAAGGTCGGGCTTTCAAAGGTTGTTGCGATCGCCGCGTTGGAAGGGCGTGTTGCGATCGTAAGGGCGGGCTTCTGGTTTGGGAGTGGTTGTCTTGATTTGTTGTTGCGCCGCGTCGCCTCATCGTAAGTCTCCTGCCATCGGGTTGTCTGCGTTGCCGGGCCGGCATCTCTCTCTCCTCCTCTTTCTTTCTGGGTAGTGTGGGCGCCTTTTTTTGATTTGATTCCCACCCGATCCGCGGATGGGAGAAATGGGTAGGGTTTTTTTTTTCAAAACCGGAAAAATTAGAAGTCTTTTAGAAAGGCAAACCGCCCGGGCGTTTTCCGCATGAGCAAACGCCGCCCCTTCGGTGGGGTTGCGATAAATGAAAACCCCACGCAACCCAACCCGATTCACAAGACACCCCACAGGCGCTCTCCAAAGAAGATCCCAGAGCCCCGGCCCCCGAGCGAAAATCAGAGCGCAGGTTGCGACGTCATTCCCGAAGCGAATCCTAGAAGTCATCTCCCCACATGACTTCTTGCCGCAGGTTTTCGCTTCTGGAGTGGCTTTTAATTTTCCTTCTAAAAAACCTTCTAATTTTCGCTTCTAAAATGGGCTTCTAAAGTGGGCTTCTAAAGTGACCTTCTAAAAGTGGCTTCTAAAAGCCACTTCTAAAATGACCTTCTAAAAGTGGCTTCTAAAAGCCACTTCTAAAAAACTTCTAATTTTCCGTCCGAAGACGAAAAATCCGGGAACCTGCCCGGCTTCTAAAAATCTTCTAAAATGCCCGGTAGCGCAAAATCCCGTGGAAAGTCCGAGTTTTCGGATTTTAGAAGGACCGCGGCCGGCATTTCGGAAGCATGATTGACCAGTTTTAGAAGGTCGAAAACAGGTCTTTCCGATCTTCCGGAACTTGGCTGTCAGAGATTTCGCGCCCTGAAATCTCTGACTGCAGGCGACGTCGGGAGATGGTGCTCGACATATGTCGAACATCATGTCCCTGATGTACAGCCTCTCCCTCTCCCCAAAAAAGACACAGACCAACACGACGTCACGACCTGAAATGGTAACGCGCAGAATCATGCGCAATGTCGGATGGATCGGCGGATCCAAGGCAAAGACAACCCCAACGACTTAACCCAGAGGAAACAACAAATGGCCGGCAAACCAACCACGCCAGACACCAACGCGAGCCCACCAAATTGCGCGGCCCGCTTTACCCCGGAAAACGTCCCAAATTTTTAAATTTTAAAAGCCTAGAAACCGCGGAGGCCGCCTGGCTTCCGCGGCTTCTGGCCTGCGCGCAGGCTAACCACGGACAGATAATGACGCAACACTCACACGACCGGCCGACCGGCCTCACCCGACGGGCTCCGGACGGGGACGGACGGGGCCACCCACAAAGGGCGGCCGGAATTTTTGAAATACCGGGGAAATTAGCCATATTTTAGAAAAAAAATCCGCCCGGGGTGCTCCCGCCTGACCAGACATATTATTCTCAGGCGGGAAACACCCGGGCGGCCTCTGCTTCTAAAACACCTCTAATTTTCCCGGTGTTTTCAAATTTTCCCGCTCCCGAATCTCCTGCCCACAACACAACCCTGCCCCCACGCCCACAGCAGGGCAAATAACCTGCATCACAACGATGAGACCCGAGGCCACCACCCTGCCACCCGAAAGGCCCCGGGCATACGTTGCCACGCAACCGACACAACCACCACCCCATCGCCCCGACTACGATACACGAGAACCACAGGCGGGGCGATTTGGTTTGTGAAGCTTCCGGGCCCCACGTGGTACTCGATGAAAACCTCGAGCGCGCCGGCCAAGCGAAAATAAGAACACAGGATAGCGCTCAAAATCGGATTCGAAGCGAATACTAGACGCCAACTGCGGAGCTGACTTCTAATCTTCGCTTCCGAACTCATCGCGGCCCTTTCTTCCCCACCTGCCTTCTAATTTCGCTTCTAAAAAACCTTCTAAAATGGCTTCTAAAATGCCTTCTAAAATGGCTTCTAAGAAACCTTCTAAAATGGCTTCTAAAATAGGCTTCTAAAATGCCTTCTAAAAAATCTTCTAACTTTCTTCTAATTCTCATCCGGAGATAAGAAAATCCCGGACCATGTCCGGCTTCTAAAAATCTTCTAAAATCACTGAGCACGCAAATTCCCTTAGGATTTGCCTGCTTTGTGATTTTAGGAGACGCGCGGCCGGGATTTTAGAAGCCGAACATGACCGGTTTTAGAAGCCGAAAACGGACATCGCTTCGATCTTCTAAAACTGGATCAGGCAAAACATTCCCACCCAGCGTAGCCGAATGTCGGCGGTGTTTAGAGATGATGTTCGACATGCATGTCGAACGTCATCTCCTACACCAGGTTCGAACATTTTCTTCTACAGCGCGCCACCTACAACACGCCCTACTTTTGTTCGGGGGCCCCGAACACAAGCAAGGCGTGACGACGCTTCCCCCGGCACGGTCCTGCCTGCGACATAAGCCTACACACCCTGGCAGGGCCGCCATGCACAACACACTCGAACCAACCGACAACCGGCACACCAACCAAAAGCCAACTTCCCCGGAAACGGGGCCAATTTTTAAATTTTAAATTTTCTGCGCGCCCGGTGCGAGTGAGAGGGGCAAAGGGAAGCGGGGAAGGCGCCAAGCCGAAGCGCCAGGGGCGGGGGCCTGTTGGCGCTTCGGAATCGGGCCAGGGCTCACACAAGGGCGCGGCGGCAGGAAACTGAGGGCGGGCGGAACCAGGCGCGCGCCTTTGCGAATTTTCGCAAGACCGGGAATTTTAGCCAGTTTTTAGAAGGAAAATCCGCCCGGGGCGCTACCGCCTGATTATTCTAGGTATACTAGGTGTACAATATGGATGCTGCCGGACCAAGATCCCTTAGGCGTTTCCCCAGTTGCCGCACCACACCAGGATCGCCAGGCATGGGACCTGCATACATGGGGGGGGGGGGGGGGTGCAGGACAGCACTGCAATGCTGTATCCTATCCTGCCGTCGTGGCCTTACTCGCCGGGGCTCAGCGATATGTCCTGCTTGACTACTGAAGACCCCCCGCACCCATGGCGAGGTGCTGGACCGGGCGGCCCGCTTGCGCTGGCTTTGGAATGGGGCCCGGTATTGTGGCTCGGTTATTGTGTGCTTTAACAAGCTCCCGGGGGTTTGGGCTATGCCTGTCCCGGCTCCTGTGTTGCCGGTGCTCCGCTCTCTTCCGTTACGCCTTGGTGTGGCGGCTAGGGCTGTGGCCTATGGCGTGGCACTACCTAGCAAAGCGGGCGGCGGGGCTTGCCACCCTTTTTTGCCCCGCCGCGTTGGATACCAGCTTCCCACCCGACTTCGCTGCTGGCGTCCCTGCTGCCTTGGTCGATCCTTCAGGCCCGCCGGCGCTACCTGCTACACCCGCCCGCCTTCCTTGCAACACACCAAGACACCCTCTGCGCCCTAACGACTACCTCACCCCCTGGGCGGGCCCGGATGCTTTTCTCGATCCCCCGCGGGTCTCGTCCCGGTCCGACCTTGGACGGGGGGCTTGAGACACTGACGGCGCGCGGGCTTCTCGGATCTTCTCAAGCTGGGCCGTAGTGCTACGGCTTTCGGGCGTACCGGCGTGACAGGGGGAAGGCAAGCGCAGCAGGTGCGGCGCCCGCTCTGTCTTAGTGCAATCTCCGGCGGCTTCCTCAGTTGCCTAGGCTCCTTGCGCTGAGGCGCCGGCTCCTGCTCCGATGCGCGCCTGTGAGTGGGCACACTAGTGCCTATGATGGGGCATCTGTGTGAAGTGCGCGCCCTATGACTTGGGCACCACCGCACGGACATCCACGCCGTAGCCGATGTCACTCCTGCACGCCTGTGGTATGGCCGTGCGTGCCTATGGTTTGGCTGGAGGGATCATGCCCAGACATGACAAGAAAAAAAGAAATGATCGATTTCAATCTATCAGAAGATTTGATTCTCATGATGGAATAATCTCAGGATTGGTTCGATCGGATTCTAATTATCGATGTCAACATTCATCTTGATATTGATTGAATGAGACACATGTATGTATTATGGGTATGATTCTGATGGGTTCTTTCCTCATCCGGTCGTGAAGATTCTGATGGTTTTTTTTCTATGCGAAAAAGGTTCTTCGGATGACAATGTCCTCGAGGTCGGTTATTTACCAATTTCTGTCCTGGTTTACCTATACAAAATCTCAAACTAGTACATAGATAGGACGAAAATCAACAGTGGTAGCTTTCCTAGTTGCAGAGCATGGCGTCGAAAATAGAACGAACCACTCAAAGTGTTTTTCAGACAGGTAGATTGGGTTACGCTATTGCTTGTTGTGAGTAGGATACAACATTGCAGGCATGTTGACGTAGAGCTACTTGAGCGTGACAATGATTGAGGCGAAGCGAAAAAAGTATCATTGTAGTTCTATTTTGGAAACGACGACTCAACTTATCTTTTACGAAAACTCACGCTCATCGATCGTGGAGCCGGAGTCTCAAAAATAAAATTCAAATGTAAGATCATCAGATTTATTCGCGCCAGTGTTATCACAGAAATGCAGCGTAGACGCACAGAATGCTGCAAATACCAAACACGATCCCCAGCAAAATCCTATACCACCCTTTGAGCCGGTATGATTCCGGCAAGACCCCCCGCTTCGCGGCCAGGAAGAAGATGAAGCCGACGACTACGGGCATTAGCAATGCGTTCAAAATCTCGACCTGGATCATGATCCAGGCGCGGTCCCCGACCTCGGGGCACACGGTGGTCACAAACGCGGCGACCAAGACGGCCGCAAAGGCGTGGTAGAAATTCTTGGCCTCGCTGTAGGGTTTGTCGTGTGACCGCTCGTGGCCCAGCAACTCGCAAATGCTCCACGCCGGCGTGATCGCCACGACCAGGGCGGCTACTAAACTTGCCCCGGTGGCACCGAAGGCGACCAGTAATTTTGCGGCTGTGGAGCCCATCGACGGCTTCAACGCGTCCACCATTTGCGGGACGTCCTTCAGTTCCTGCGGTTTCTGCTTGAACAGCGTCGCGCCCTATCGAATGCAACTATGTCTGGGTCTGGAAACTTGTGATGCATGTCAGGGAAGAATGCGCACACTGTAATGCACAGCCAAGCATGACAAGTTTTTTCGTTGGGGCTGAGTTGCGTAATCCGCATGAGAAACTTCGTTTTTGCATGACAGGAGAGAGAACAAGTTCTTTGCGGGCACGCAATACAGAGCGTAGAGTCGTGCTAGACAAGCATGACAATGACAAACCTTGCATCCTTCCAGACCCAGATGACATATTTGCAATGCATACGCCCATGGCAATCACCATGGCAATCATGACGCCCTGCGCGATGCTGGCGCCGACCACGGTGTCCAGCCGGGCGTAGGTCATCTATCAAATGCAAAAATGTCTGCGTCTGGAAGGTTTCTAGATTTGTCATGCATATTTTCCATGAGCCATGATGTCTGTGATGCATGCCATAGCATCACAGATTTTCAGAGGGCTTTGTGATACCTCCACCGCATGAGAAATGCCCTCTCCGCGTAGGAGAATCTGGAGTCCTCTTGATGGTCATGCAATACAATTTTTTTTAGAATCCAAAGACAGCATCACAAGTTTAGAATCTTCCAGACCCAGACACTTTTGCATTTGATATCATCTCGCGCACCGTCATCTTCCGCTCGCAGCAAGCCGACTGCTGGTAGAAGAGCATCCAGGGCATGATAACCGCGCCGATGTTGGCTGCGAGGAGTTTCAGCCACTTTCCGTCGTCGAAATGCGTCTCGACCAGCCCATGCGCAACTTCCTCCCAGTCTGGCCGCACGAGAAACATGACGAGAAAAAACAACACCTGCGTGCTGCCCATGGCCACGCCAATCAACTCCAACCGGCGAAAGGTACCGGTCGCCACGATGAGGACGAGGAGGAAAACCACTATTAGACTGGAGATCCACATGGGAACCCCAAATAGTTCCCCAACTTGGGCTATCAACTGCAAAAGTGTCTGGGTCTGGAAGAGTCGGGGCTTGTCATGCACATTTTGCATGACCCGTGAGGTCTGTGATGATGGTGCTAGCATCACAGATTGAGAGCTTCTTGATGCTAATTACGCATGAGAAATGCCCTCTCCGCGTGCCAAGAGCTGACTCCTCTTGCTGCTCATGCAACACAGATATTTTTAGAATCCGCAGACAGCATTACAAATACAAGTTCCACTCTTCCAGACCCAGACACTTTTACAATCCGTATGGGCGATGCAGGCGAGCTCGGAGATGATGGCGGCGATGCAGGTAATATCCTGCGCAAAAGTATCGTACTCGTAGTAATTGCGTTTATGCATTACTTCTGCAGATAAATCTTCACCATTACAAATTTAATTTGTAATGCTTGGTAATGCAATTTATACTAGTACAACTACAATGCTTTTGCAAACCATAGGTAATCACGAGCACGGCGCACGCGAGCCGGGCCCAGAACACCCCGAAGTGGATGCGAATCAGCTCCGTGAGCCCCTTGTTGGTCAAAAGCGAGAGTCGCACCGTGAGCTCCTGTGCGGCGAAGAGGATGGGGATTAACAAAATTTGGCAGGACACAAGGGAATACCCATACAGCGATCCGCTCTCTCCAGCCGTGACCAGACAAGGGCCGTCGGTGTCCGCGAGGCAAACCATGATGCCCGGCCCATATCAAGTGTAAAAGTGTCTGGGTCTGGAAGCGACATGCTGTCTTTGCATGACGCAGAAGGTCTGGCATGGAAGCTCTAGCATCGCAGGTTTCGAGAAGCTTCCGCAATGCCGAATCCGCATGATAAATCCCACATTTTGGTGACAGAAAGTGGGCAGCTTTTGCTACCTATGCATGAGAGATTTTTCGGTGTTCTAAAATGCGCATCACAAGTTTGTCTTCTTCCAGATCCAGACCCAGACATATTTGCAATCCATAGCCCAAGGATTTTCACAAACTTGCTGCACTGAAACCGCTATTCTGTGCAAAAGTATCGCACTCGTGCATTATAATCGCAGCCATGCATCACAAATCTCCATCCCAAGGTAAAACAGCATGACAAACTAAATTTTTCATGCTGAGCAAATTTGTAATGCGATTCATACTAGTACGATGCTTTTGCATTTCATAACCGCTCGACTTCTTCTTGCTCGTCTTCATCATTTTGCGACGCATAGTTATCTATCAACTGCAAAAATGTCTGGGTCTGGAAGATTCTGACACTTGTCATGCACGTTTTGCATGAGCCATGATGTCTGTGATGCATACCCTAGCAATACAGATTTTTTGAGGGCTTCTTGATGCCTATTCCGCATGACAAATGCCTTCTCAGCGCAGCAAAAATTGCATTCCCTTTGGTACTCATGCAATACAGATTTTTTTGGAATCCAAATGCAGCATCACAAGTTCGGATTCTTCCAGACCCAGACACTTTTACATTTGATATTATCACTACCATCGATCTCCAGCTGCACTTCTCCCGCCGTAGTAGCCGCCGCTCCCCGGCCGCGCCCAGAACCACCTGCAGCCAGCAACTCGGCGGACCCACTAGGTCCCAGAACATTGATGGGGCTCATGCTCATCTTGTTGATCTTCCACCTGCAAGAGGACAATTTCAAGAAAATCGAATAACAGAAGAGAAGAAGACCTTGTTCCGGCTGCGCACACTATGTTTTCTATTTTTGTATTTCTTTTGTTGAGGTTACAACGAGCACAAGCACGATCAAGTAGCAACTGCAAACGTAAATCTTTACGTTTACTTTTTCCAATTTCCTGTCCAAGTACAAGGTAGAATTGTGCATTAGCGTATTCCAGATCCAGCTGAGTACAATGAATGAATGCACATGCTTACGTTGGTGGTGAACCAAGGGGCCACCAGCAGGGTCGGTTCCTCATTACGTAACAGGAGGTTGCACGATCTTGCAACAACGAAGGAACCACGAAGGAAGGTGTTGAACAACAACTTCGGCACTCATCGAGTGAAGCTTCGATACTCAAAAGCTCCATCGATGAAAATAAGTAATAGTGGACGAGTCTGTTGCTTGTTTTATCATTCACATTCAGCGAGTGGACAAAGAAAAATTCGGTATAGTCCTCTTGCTTCTGTGATTATAATGCCGATGAAACAAAGTCTAAGTCTGTCTTCAGAGTAGGCGTGGAAGTGGGCCAGTAAAATCATGGATCAGCAGAAGTACATATTGTTCCTCTTCCTCGCAAAGTTCAGCACCTGCTGCTGCGCATTCGAATCATGTCAATATTGAATCAGAATCCGCAGTGAAGATTTCAGTTCGTTAATTCTTCCGACGCAGCAGCTTCCTTTCATGATATTTACTTTTCATATCGGCGCGTCTGGTTTTTCTTTCATCCGCACCGTTTGATGGCATAATAAAAATCAAAATTGTCGTCGCCTCAAGAACCATTTGTATTTCTTATGCTTTGCAAGTTGTACAGATAGCAAGTATTTATCACATTATTGCTGGAATATCATTCATGATCCGCAGTACTACACGCACGCAAACGGAGGTGTCACGCGTGCCATCTCCGCCGGCGCAGAAGATCTGGTGGTCAAAATAAGTTCATTTTGTAGTAGTAAACACTGCTCGACACTACAACTAGTACTACTAAGTGGGAGTGAAGTCAAAGGCTCGCTTAGCCTTTCGCTTCTGGTAAGAAGTTCTTGAACTAGCTGTAGCTGCTGATGGTGAAACGAAAACGATTGTGAAGAAAAAACTCCTCATGATACATTTTTTTAGAAAAAAGGGGACAATGTGGTTGTAGAAGGATTTGTTCTTCATGAAGAAATAGAAAAACCTGTGGACGTGGAGGTGCCAGCTCGACGAGAGTTGCAAATCGTGCGGTAAAAATACAGCCCCGTTGTGATTTTAGTAGGCAAGCCTGCCCTTTGCCCTGGCCACTCGATCATGGACGAGCGGCGGTGTGCTATCTATAAAGTCCAGCGAATGGGGTCGTTGTACCAGTAGCCATTTACAATAATTTCAGCCAGGCCGACACAACAGGATCTGAGTGTCAGAAGGAGAAGGTTAGAGTGGAGGGATTTGTCTTTGTTGTTGCGGGCGGGGTGCTTGTGTTTCGAAATCGAAATGAAAAAAAAGAAAATATTAACATGTTAAGAAAGCCGGAGTGCACTTCTAGAGCAAACAACGGCCTTCGTTCATCATCTCCTGTCTCGAAAACAAAACGCAATACGGATTTTTGCATCTTGCCTCCGTGCGGAGCGTGAGGCGTGCCACAAGCTGCCTGCCTTTGCCCTCATCTCCTGGCGTAGGTTTTCGATTGTTCCGCAATCTCAGAAAAATTGAGTGTGGGTATGTCCTAGGGGCAGGTGGGGTACTAATATTATCATCTCACAAGAAGAATGTTTCTTTTTTCTTAGTCTTACGCGAATGGATCATAAGTAAACGCGAGGCGGCTAGTACAAAGCGGGCGCTGCTATTTCGTTTTTGCGATGAAGTGAAAATCAAAGGTTATTATTTGATGCAATATCTCACCTGCAACATAATTTCATTTCGCATGTATGTAATTTGACTTCTCAATCGAGCTTCGCGAGGATGCAAAAAAATTCTCAAATAAGTTTTAGTTTTCAACTACTGAAGAACCATCTATAGTGACTACAAGACCAAAAGAAAAAAGAACGATGTAAAAATCAATGATACAGTTGCAGTTTTTTTTCATCTATTGCAGCTATGACTATACTTAGTTGATGTGCAACAAATTATCAGAAAAAAATCTGTCATCCGAATGCTTGTGCATCCTGAAGCGAAGAAGTATTTTCGGAATGCGGAAAGTGACTGCGGCCAATTGCATCTGATTCATTGCTGGGGTTGATTCACTGTGGAGAGTCAACAGGAGCTACAACTAACAGCATCAGAATCAGAATCAGAAAGGTCTCGAAAACTGCGCGTTCCACCATCGAGCACACCAAAATCGTGGTAAGAGCCCAATCAATCGCAACAAGTCCTCGCCACCTTTCCACATTATCCAAATGACTATCTCCAATTGAAAACTAAATATAATACAACGCGAAGACGCCTCAGATGACTCACCTCCTGACGAGACATGCTCCCAAGTTTCTATGATGGGACGAGTAGCGAAGAGCATGGTCTTCGAGAAACAAAAAACTCTTTGGTTGTTATAACAAACATACATAAAAAAATCAGTTTTCAGTGCCAGAAAAACAGGCCTGTTGAAAAAGATTATTTTCATGCAAGATGAAGACGACGTACGAAAGTGCCAGAGTAGTTGTATGCAGAGTTCTTGCGCACAACTAAGTAAGTAGGTTGTTCCCCGTCTTTGAAAAGAATCCCGCCGCGGTGGAAGAAACAACGTTAGCGGTGCGTGCTACCTACAGTACCTGAATGAACTACATACTGCAAGCATGACCTCTCTCTTAATGGAGGTGCATGCTGCAGCAATCCCAACCACCACCTGCATAGGGTACTGTACATCAGAAATGACTGGCGCTGCTGTTGTCGTGAACGAAGATGTCCCAGCAGCGGTTTTTGAATGTTGAAACCAACAAGGGACAAGAATTTCAAAATAAAAGGCCTGAAGACATCATCCGAAGGTTACTTCTCATCGAATCCAGCGTGGTGTCACGCTCGCATCAATCCAGGCTGGGATTCAAGTGGAGAAGTGGAGCACGACTACAAAGTCTTTTAAAAGGACAATGCGCAGAGATCATTGCAAGGATGATCCTGTGTACAAGAGCAAAGAATTTTTAAGTAACCTTTTCGACGTCGAAAATATAATCATACGACTAGATTTCGCATCAATTTGAATTTTCAGTGCTTTGTTAATCTTCACTCGTCCACCGAAGTCAACCCCGCCAGCTCCTCTGGGCTGAAACCGCGCAGGTTTTCTCCCGACAAAATCAGGTCAAATCGCTATCCTGAGTAAAAATGTTCCCACATCTGAGCCAAGATGGGAAATCTGCTAGACAAATCAACCAGCTTTGGTTGTTTCGCATGACAAGTTTGTCCTCGTTGTAGAGTGTAATCCTGTTTAGCTAGTTCCGAAGCATCATAGATCTAGCACATCATGCTTGCTGATTCTAGCATCACAAATTCCAAAACCTGATGTCGAAAATGGCTCTCAGGCGGCTCCGCATGAGAAACTTTTGCTTTTCTGGCATGCAGATTTGCATGACAACTCTGGGTTGGGGACATTTTTGCTCAGGATAATCGCGTGATCGTGCTCAACACCTCTTCCCGGTTTCGCAACGCAACCACCGAGTGCAGCGGCAGCTCGTGGAGCTTCCAGGACTGCGGAAATCGGTGCACCCGACCGTTTTCGATGTCCTCCTGTACCAGCCGGGTCCGCTTGTCCTTCTGTTTTAAATAGCTGGGAGTTCGAGCGCGCGGTGTGGTACGGGAAAAATCATGAGTCGTGTGCTCTTCACTCTCAGAAGAGTCACAGATGGCAGTCTTATTTTGCAGCTCAGGAAGAACATCACCGTCGTCACGAGAAGCAACACTTTCTTCTTCAGCTACTACATCTCCGAAAGAGCCGGGAGCCTGAAAAGAAACAAAAAAATTAAGTAGAGGTGAAACAAAAAGGTGGAGGGAGAAAAAAAGAAAAAACCGATCTGATTTTCAAGAAGAGGTATGAAGCAGGTGTATCATGTTTATTTAAGTATCAAAAATGAAGCGCTAGTAAGAGCTGAGAGTAGTGTACATTTCTTGCAGAGCAGCTCTACTAGTTCTCTTTGTACCTTTGCGCCGGTTCCGGTAGTATTGCCATCCTCGTCCTTGCCGGTAGCACCATCTTCGTTCTTGTCATCTTTCTTTGTCAACACATTCTCCGCAACATCGATGTTGTCGTAGACCTCGAGCAGCTCCGACCTCGACCGTGGCCAAATCACGTAGGCTTTCTGCAACTTCAGGTTCACAAACATCGGGTGCGTGATGCAAAAGCAGTCAAACACGTGAATATCCGGATCCCACACCAGATCGGACAACGGCACCCCATAGTTCCGGTACTTGTTGGTCGAGCGACTGGAGGTTTTTGCCGCTACCTTCTTCTTCGAAACGCCCGTGGTTTCCTCGCGGATGATTTTTTTCCCCACGCTTTTCTTGTCAGCAGTACTCCCGCCAGTAGACGCTGTAGTTTCCGTGCTGGAATCGGATTGCGTGCGCTCCATGTGGTCGACGGCGTTATTCTTTTCTTCAGTCGTGGTGGTCGCAGAAGTTGCTGCACCTGCTCCAGAAGAGCTGGCTCCTCGGGTGCTCGTGTTATTCATCTTCGCCGCTAACTCATCCTTGTGAATCAACAGATCGCGCAGAGTCTCCTTGTCGTACCTGATTGTTTATTTCAAGATTGGAACAACCTTATCGAAGGAGCCGCGGTTTTTACTTTTAGCTCATGATCAATCTGATGCATCATCGTCCAAGGAAGTATAACCAACGTCATGCAGTCAGAAAACAAGTCAGGAAGAGTTGATGCACATGTTGTAGATTTTTGTACCACAAGTCCTTATAAAGCCCGGAGTCGACGGAGCTGCTGACGTAAAAGACATGCAGAAAGCCGTTGATGTAGCGGACGTATTCCTCGTAGTTGGTCGCCACGCGGTAGATCGGGAAGGCACGAACCTCGCGGAAACCGGTGTTGATCCACATGTTATACTTGTTAAACTTACAGGAAAACTTGGTCGGATCCACATCCCTGTTCACAGAGCAGAACAACCCGTTGCTTTTATCTCCAGCATTATACCCGGAGAATTTCATCTCTTCTTGCTGCTCTTCGGACCGCAAAAATTCCTTGAATTTCGACTGACTCCGGCGTGTATGAATTGCAAAAGTGTCTGGGTCTGGGAGATTGCAACTTGTCATGGTAAATCTGAAGCATGCAAAAATCTGTGTTGCATGAGTGTCAAAAGCTGTCCACTTTGGACCAAGTTGGAACAGAGTTTCTCATGCAGAATAGGCATGGCAGAGGCCTCGCAGAGTCTGTCATGCTAAGTCCCGCATTCCAGACCTCATGGGTCATGGAAAATCTGCATGACAAGTCTACACTCTTCCAGACCCAGACATTTTTACATTTCATAGCGCGCGTCGCGGTCCCGCCAATGCGCATGGTCGACCATGCACCAATATCAACTGCAAATATGTCTGGGTCTGGAAATCTGCGATGCTGAATTGCGCATGATTGTAACGCTTGCAATGGCAGCTCAGCATGACAAGCTTTCGGAACACTTTCTGATACCTAAGACGGATAATTATAAACTGTGGTAGTGCTGCATGACAAGGAAAGCTGCCCACTTGCTGTTCATGCAGCACAGATTTTGCAGGAATGCATGACGCGCATTACAAGTTCCACCTTTCCAGACCCAGACATATTTGCAACGCATAACCAATCCACGTGGTACTGATTCTGCACCTCGCAGTCTTCGTTCTCAAACTTCGGAGCCGCGGTAGCGTTGTGTTTGCTGTTGCGGTGGTCCAACCACTGGAAATTCAAGTTGTTCTCTACTTCGAAAGAGTGCAAATGTAAGTTTTCCTCATCATCCAGGGAATTCAAATCCTCGATGCTGTGAAACTCCGCATCCCGAGCGGGTACTATGCAAGAAAAAAACTGTGTATAGTGTAAATCTGTGATGCAGAAAGTGCAAAACAGTTAGACTTGTCATGCTCGACCACATGCGTGATCGGCTGGCTTCCTATGTGTTTTCCCTTCCTATCTGGGCATTACAAGCTTTTCCTGTCACGGCAGACAAACTTGTGATGCTGTTTTCCCAAAAGACTTACACTAACACAGACTTTTTCTTGGATAGGTACCATATTTCCTCCAATCGCCCGCACCTGTTCCCGGTAATGCGTATCTTTGTACAACGTGCTGCGGGGGCCGTAAAGCTGCTGGGTGGTGTGGTAGACGTTAATATTCTCGTCGCCTGCTCCTGCACCGGCGTGCGTAGATCGTAACGAGAGAGTTTTTTTGTCAAGAAGACCGCTGGATAATAATCCTGTTCCGCCAGAGCCGGGGGCCTGATTCCGGAGCATCAAAGCCCGTAATTCTTTCCCCTCCACCCAGAGCTGCGTCGCTTCCAAGTACCCAATGTTGAATTTCACACACATATCAAATGCAAATATGTCTGGGTCTGGAAGGTTGCCAGGTTTGTCATGCATATTTTCCCTGACTCAGGATGTCTGTAATGCACGACGTAGCATCACAGATTTTTAGAGACCTTCGCGATGCCTATTCCGCATGACAAATGCCCTCCCCGCGTAGCACAAACTCTACTCCTTTTGCTGGTCATGCAATACAGATTTTTTTAGAGTCCAAAGGTAGCATCACAAGTTACAACCTTCCAGACCCAGACATATTTGCAATGCATAACACATCCCGAGCTGCGAGTAGAACCAACTCGCCATGCCGTTGGAACAGATGTGGTAGCCGATGTGCGAGGGCAGCGCGGTGGAGTTCAGCGTGGAAGCCACGGTCAATTTGAGGCCCATCAACCGCTCCAGAATGACATCCCGCTTCGCCTCGTCGAACACGTTTTGAAACGCCTTGCGCATCATCTCTTCCTGCGTTTCGAACTCCGTCTCGGAGTCCAGTTTGCGAAGAAGTTCTTGGGATCCACCCAAACCAGTGTTGTTTGCCGTCGGATCTACTTCACCGTTGTTCTTCGTGTTGAACGGAGCGATCGCAAACCCGTTTCCATTCTGAGCCAAAGCAATGGCGGAAGGATCATCAGGCGAAGTGCTGCTGCCGAACAGAGTGCCACTGCTTGTAGTGTAATTGTTGTTGTTCCCGTTGCCGTTGGAAGTTGTGGTGCCCGAGTGCTGATTGTTTCCTGCAGCTCCGTTATTTTCGCCAGCTGTTTCTTCCTCCATGACAGTCCGCATACCCTGGCACTGTTTCTTGTCCACCAGCATCTTGTAGTTGTCCAAGTCGGCGTGCTATCAAATATAAAAATGTCTGGATCTGCGTCTGGAAGATTCCAACTTGTCATGCTAAATTGGAATCATGTAAAAATCTGTGTTGCGTGATTACCAAAAGCTGCCCACTTTTGACCTAATCGAGAGGCAGATTCTCATGCAGGATAGGCATTATAGAACCCTCACAGAATCTGTCATGCTATGTCCTTCATGCCAGACCTCATGGGTCATGGAAAACCTGCATGACAAGTCTGGCACTCTTCCAGACCCAGACATTTTTGCAGTTGATACGTAAGACAGTGGCGCCACCGGCCCGACATTCTCGACCTTGATCTGGTTCGCTTCGCAATACGCAATCACGGAGTTTTGGATGGCAAGGTCTGGATTATTTGAGAATTTGATGAATCGATTTGTGTGCTGTTCTATCGTGATAGACATCGATGCAAAAACAACCGACATGATGATCGGTGTATTTATTAGCAGTTAACGACATTGCTGTAAAAATAATTTTGAAAGAAAGCAAGGCTGCCGAAGCAGCACTGTCCAAGCCGCGATGGCATCCACTACAAGACCACATGCTTCTTCTTCTAGAGAGCTCTTCTACATGATATATACCTTTCCGAAAGCTGAGCTTCATCCTAGTGCCGCAGATGTAGGTGCATTCCAGCCACGGGCGACAACGTATGACAGTGCACAACTCCCCCTCCCCCTCATTTGTATTGCATGAACAGCAACACATGCGCTGGCAAAGATGCAGCTTTTGCATGACAAATTCCTTCTAGGAGATTGTAGTGCTGTTTCGGATTCCGGAATCTGTCATGCAAACCGTACTAACAGGCAAAGGGTGGATTTGGAATTTTGCATGACAAATGAGGGGGAGGGGGAGTTGTGCACTTTCATACAACGGTTCGAATTCAGAAGAGAGGGCGGGATGGGAACCGGCTCCAAGGCGGCCTGCGAGGGATCTTGTAGCAGTGCCGCGTCTTGCAGGAGGTCTTGGTCGGATGTACCTTTCGAAGAGGAATTCAATATGCATTGCAAAAGTATCGCACTCGTATACGTATTAATTGCAAATGCAACGACGCATGACAGATTCGCTTTTTTACCGAAATCCGCATGACAAACTGCATTTTTGTTTCACAAAAAATTTGCAATGCAATTTGTACTAGTACGATACTTTTGCGATGCTTATTCAACAAATGATCGCAATCTTGTTCCGCCGAGGAGGAACTACCCGTTTTCAAAGCGGCCTTGCTTTGAAGATGACCAGCAATCGTGGCTTTTTGTTTCATCTTCTGCTGCCCTTCGATCGGTTTCGTAAAGTCAATGTCGTCGGCGTGATCGTCGTCGTCATCGGACAAATGATCCACATTGCCAGGTTCTTGCTCACCTTGTTCCAAAGGAGCTTTGTCGTCGGCAGTTCTTTCCAACAGCTCACCATGTTCAACACTGTTCGCGTTCACAACTTCTGTGCCGTCCGAAGATTTACTGGTGTTATTTCGGTCGAGCTCTCCTGCCACACCTTTCTTCGCAGCTTGTCCCTTGTTGTTTGCTCGCTGCTGCTTCCGCAGCTGCGCCGCCTTCATGCGCACTTGCCTCCGCGCGCGCCGGCGGGCGAGTTCGGCCTCGTATCAAATGCAAAAGTGTCTGGGTCTGGAAGAATCCCAATTGTCATGCTGATTTTGGATTCCAAAAAAATCTGTATTGCATGAGCAGCAAGGAGAGCCCAAGTTTTGCTACACGGAAAGAGCATTTGTCATGCGGTATAGGTATCAGGAAGCCCTCACAAAATCTGTGATGCTAGGGCATGCATCACAGACATCAGTAGTCATGCAAAATGTGCATGACAACCCTGGCAATCTTCCAGACCCAGACACTTTTATATTTGATACCTCGGTGTACGTTTCCAAAGCGGGCGGCGAGATGTTCCGAATCGACCAGCACATGGAGGTATGCATTGCAAAGGCATCGTACTAGTAGAAATAGCATTACAAATTTCTCCAGAAAGAAAAATGGAATTTGTAATGCCGAATAAGCTAAGGAACCAGTTTTGTCATGCATGACTGCAATTACTACTAGTACGATACTTTTGCAGTTCATAGCTGGGGTCCAACTTAAACAGGTCCCAGGTGGATTGGTGTTGCACGTAGTCTCGGACCTCCTCGTCCATCATCAGGTCCGTGCGGTCGTACACATGGCGGACGCGGAAGGTCGGGTTTAAGCCCCCGTTGTTGCCCTCTTTCCGCCTATCAAGTGTAAAAGTGTCTGGGTCTGGAAGAATGGAACTTGTCATGCTAAATCTCAATGATGCAAAAATCTGTGTTGCGTAAGTGTCAAAAGCTGTCCGCTTTTGACCAAGTTGAGAGGGAGATTCTCATGCAGGAAAGGCATGATAGAGACGTCAAAGAATCTGTCATGCTGGGTCTCGCATTGCAGACCTCGTGGGTCATGGAAAACCTGCATCACAAATCTTGCACTCTTCCAGACCCAGACATTTTTACATTTGATACCGCCCGACAAATTGCAACATCGCGGACTTGGAGGTGGACAGGTTCTGCGAATAACGCCACAACCAGAGGAGAACCTGAGGTGTTTGTTGTACGTACTACTTACTTAAATTATGCCGATAAAAGTGTTGATGTTATATATCGAGATCACCAACAACAACATAATGTTGATCTTCACCCAGGAGGACCCTGATGTCGGGGTTGGGGAGATAGGTTTTAGGAAGACTGGACGATCATGATCCTGTTCATCCGGAGCCAATCACAATGCTTTCAGATGAAATGACTATGATCATGATGAGAAAGACGTACAGGTACAGAATCAGTAAAAAAATCGGAGGTGGAAATTGAAATTAATAAGTATCACAATCACACTAACGCAGACAGGACTATTGAATGTGAAAAGCAAAAGCTCTTTCGACCCCAACATCATACCTGCGTAGCCATTTGGATGCGGCAGTGTTTGTCTTCGTGCAGGTCGAAGCAGAAGGTGATGTCCCGGCAGAAGTTCATTTGCCCCGCGCGCGATTTCGCCTCGTATCCTGAGCAAAAACGTCCCCGCCCGATAGTCAAGTTGGTCTATCTGCAACACAAATCTCCAAGATTTGGGCGCTGTGCATGACAAGTTCCCATCGGCAGTGTAGTGCTGGTTGGCAAAGGCAGCCGCATGACGAGAAAGCCAGCTTGTCATCCTGTTTACAGCATTACAAAGTCCAAAACACGATTGGAAATGCCTCTCATGCAGATGCGCATTACAAATGTTACAGTCGTTGCACATTTGCACTACAAATATGGAGTGGGGACGTTTTTACATAGGGTACCTCGTTCGCGAACCGCAACCGCAAATCTTCCAGCAATCGGAGTTCGAACGACTCGCGGGCCACCATCTTGGACAGGTTGCGGCGCATCATCCGCAAGAAGGCGCCGTGCTTCGCGGTCCCCGGCAGCGCCTTCTGCAGGCTGTAGGGCACGCGCTCCACGCAGAAAACGTCGTCGAGTTCCGTGTGCTTCCCGCAAAAGCAGCGCTGGATGAAGGCCGCGCGCGTGCCCGCCCCGCGGGGGTGGCCAGAGGAGCCTCCGTCCTGCAGGTTCGCGCCGCCCCCGGACGTGATCACCAGGGTTAAGACCGGTAAGGTATCAAATGCAAACATGTCTGGGTCTGGAAGAATGCATGTTTGTGATGCTTGTCTGGCATGACTCTTAAATCTGTCATGCACGTTACCCAACAGCTTCATTTTTCTGTGATGCAGAAACGCAGTTTGTCATGCAGAATAAGCAACACCTAGAGGCTCAGAAACTTGCCATGCTGAGCCAGCACTTGTGGCCTCATCATGAGACGCCACCCAGCATCACAAGTTTCAAGACCCAGACATTTTTGGATTTGATATAAGGAGCCGGTCTGCAACGGCTGCACTTCGGCGATCTCGCGGTCCGTGGCTTCCAGCCGCGCTTCCTCGTGCGTGATCAGGACCTGCGTCTTGTGCATCTTATGCAATGCAAAAGGTTCTTTGATGTCACGGTAGTACGTAGAAGTAATCGCTATAGATACAAATACAAATTCGCCCAGCATGATGACAAATGAAATTTGCCATGCTGATTTAGGTCGACAAGATGGCTTGTCATCTTGCATGATTGCGATAGCGATTAGGACGACGTCGAGTACGATGCTTTTGCACATGGGATACGTCTGCTGCTGCTGCGAGGATTGTTCCACGGTGGGACAGGGCCCACAGAAGGTGTTGTCCTTGCCGTAGAAGCCGGCGCCGTTGCCCATCTTCCCGGTGCCCTTCTGATCCTTGCCGTGGTGGCCGTTGCCGACGCGCTCGACCTTCTCCACGCGGCAGAGGTTGAAGTACCGGACCAGGCGGCGCAGATCTTCGCGCGTCAGGTTCCGCGGCAGATTCTGGAGCATCAGCTGCGGCGAGAAGGCCCGGCTCGGCGACGGAAAGGCCGACGAGGGCGGATAGAGGAAAGAAAGTCCTGCGCCGCTGCCTTGTAGATGTCCCACCCGGTGGTCCCCGTAGTTGTTTGGCGAAGGCTGATCTTTATTTTTGCCGCGAGGTCCTGCACCTCTGGAAGTAGCCGCGTCGGTGCCGAAGTCGGAACTGCGCGCATAGCTGCTGGAAATCGAACTCATGTTCTCGCAACTGTCCAGGTCTCCGTAGGTGCCTGAAACCTTGTTCGTGCCGGTGAGTCCGCGGCTGCTGGTGCTCTGGTTCGAAATAAACAGGTCGTCGGAGCAGACAGAAGAAGGAGCGCCTGGTCCTCCTGCAGCCTCCATGCGGGAGCCGGAAGTCAGATCGTTGCTCGTCTTGTCGGAACTTGTGAGGGCGTCGACGTTACTGCTATTATTCTCGTTTGTCCCACCCACCTGCTCCGAGGAAGCGCCGGAGCGCGACTGAAGATCGAAATTGTTGTTCGAGGTTGCTCCTGCTTTATTTCCACCTGCAATATCCTGCGCCCCCGCCCCCGGGGCCGCTTGGAACCCAACGTCTAGCCACTGAAACGCGGCGCGCATGTTGAGCAAGGCCGGCTTCAGTTGCTTGCTGTTTTTAGAGGACGTCGCATGGGACCCCGAGCGATTACTGGACGAAATCGACCCCTCCGGCGGAAGGTTGTTCTGCGACTGCGCGTCTTCGTTGTCTTTTTGCTGGTTAACGTTTTGCGTCAAGCCAGCTTGTTGCTCGCCGCTTCGGGAAGTAGTAGAAATGATCCCCGTCTGGTTTTGCTGGTTCTGTGCGGGGAGGACGAGAGTATCATCAGGGCCATCTTTCAAAGGAATCAACATCTTCGTCGCGCCATCGGAGTTCTTAAGATCAACATCGCCAGAGCAAGTCAGCTTTGGCAGGAGTTTTTTGTTTCCCCCTACTTCCGCAGCACCAGAACAACCTCCAATGCCATCAGTTTCATCGTTCACAACCAAGGGGCTCGTCGTCACACCGGCGATCGTAGTGGTCCCATCTCCCGTGAAAACGGTAGATCCGGATCCCAAAGCGTAGGAGGTGCTAGACGCGCCAGCGGTGGTCGACAGCACCGCGGTTTTCGCTCCTCCGCCCGGTGTTGTAATAGAGACCGCACCCCCGTCGGCAGTCAGCTTTTGTGCAGGAGCCTCATCTCCGTGCTGTTCTTGTACTCCGCTGTGCTTCTTTGACAGCATCGCTTTCGTCTCCGGTATGAGAGCGTCAGGTGCTTATTCTTCAACTACTTTCAAAATTTTTCTTTGGTGCTTGGAGGGGCATTGTCTCATGTTTTTGCTTCTTGCTTGCAGAGCGCGCGCACCGACGCGGCCTGTGCTCGTCCGTTCTGCGCACCAAGACGCTTAAAGCCTGCAGGCCTCTGTCCTGCTGGCACGCACAATCTGGGACCGCAAGACAGCCCTTTCCTGGGGTGCCGTGTTTGTGGGGCTTTCAGGTAGGGGCAAGCGGAAAGTCAACATACGGAAAGGAGTTGCCCCCGCGCCGATGGGCAGCCGCTTGCACGCTCGCAAATATATCGAAATGGCTGACGCGCCTGCATCAAACACACCAAAGAGGGGGAAAACTCCGCGCGGCTGCGCATGAGTCTTCTTGGCACGGTGTGGCGACGTCGCACTACCAAGGTCAGACAGAGAAGAGTAGCATCACACCGGGCCAAGGGTCTCGGTAGAATAAATTGCCTACCATCGCTCTCGCATGGGGGCGCGAATAGTCTCGGAGAGTCGGGCTGACGTGTTTCCTTGAATTTGCCGTCAAGTGGATTCGGCCCATCGCGTAGCTGCCCAAATGGGCCATCATAACATGTGCAGGAGAGGAACGCAAATCGCAACGCAGTGGCGCCAGCGCGTGATGTAGAGGCCCAGCATCCCCAGTCTTCGGGCCGCCGGCAGGCGCAGTGGGGGTTGCTGACTAGGGCGGCATAGGCAGCAGGCACTCTTGCCCGATGAGTTGGCGAGAGGGGGCCCTCTGGCCAGATATTTCATTTTCCCAAGAAGGGCGACCCCTTCTGGACCCTCTTCGGGCACCCTCTAAGTAGTTGAGGACTAGGGGCAGCCGAACGACCCCCCAAATGACTCCAGGCCGCATGCTATGGCGATTTTTTTCTCAACTACTTAGAGGCAGCCGAGAGGGGTGCCGGAGGGGGGTGAAAGGTACTCGTCTCGAAGGCGCCTCATGAATGAGAGTTCGAATTGTTGCACTCAGGACATGGGGCGGACTTCGGGCGCCAAACACAGCGGCCGGCCGAAGTCGTGCACCTGTCCAGCAGGAGGCTTGCCTTTACCCGGCCAGCCATCTTGCAGCGCCGCTGCCAGGGCACCATTACGCCCGAGGCGCGCCCATGCAGAAATGCAGAAGGGGCCGATGCGTTCGCAAGTGGGCAACGGCCGGGAGACTGCGCCGCAAGCGCATCAAACACCACCCGAAGAGCGGAGGTGGCCAGCTCCGCGCTTGGCATGCGAAGGCGCCCCTAGTCAGGCGCGGGGGCGGTGCTGCGGCCTTCCTGCTCACTGTGGCTTTGCAACGGCCACCACGTGACTTTATTCGCACAGCGCGCCACTTATTTCGCGCGGGCTTCGCAGCCGAGTAGGTCCTTCTGGCAGCCCTGGTTTTCCCCCGAAAGCGTTGCAAATTTTTGGGCATTGGCTCATGGGTCTGACTGGCCTTATCCGGCGCGGCTGCGTTGCAACACGCATGCCACACACAGGGGAACACGTCCCGGGACGACGCCCCACGCCAGGCGCCGCTCAAACTCGGGTCAGGGGATTTCAATGCCATGCCGGTCGCGGTGATCCGGTGATCGAGGGTGGCACTTTTGTCCCTAGAAAGCTATTAGTCTCGTTTGTCGGATATTCCTGTAGTAGCTCCACTAAGTGTCGAGTTATCTGGCCGCTTGTAAACACACCTAGAGCGACCTCCTGCACCAAAAAAAAATTTTGAAAGTAAAAGCAAAATAACGACCTGACGCTCTCATATCCGGCTCCAGAGGTTTAATATTCGCGTCCTTCAACGGAGATGAAGTCGTCAGCTGCGCAGCACCGCTTTTATTTTCCAAAGCCAGCTTGGTCTTCATCTTGTTCCCCGCGACCGGCACGGCACCAGTCGGAGGTTGTAACGCAATGGGTAGATGATGTTGACCACCGCCAACCAAAGTGTGATTCTCCAACAAGAAGACCCGCAACGTGCGCATTTCCGGGACCTGTTCCAGCATCATGCTGGTCAGCTTTCCGCGCGTCTTGGTCCCGTCGGTCTGCACCTGCTCCTCCATCAGCCGTTGCTGTTTCAAGGTGTTCTCGATCTTCTTGTAGATGTCGCTCTCCACCGAGTTGCTCGTTCCCTGCTTCGCCGATTGGATCCGCGCATGCCGTTCCATGTATTCCAAAATCGACTGGTCCAAAGTCGTATCAAATGCAAAAGTGTCTGGGTCTGGAAGGATCCGAACTTGTGATGCGAATTTTCGAACACAGAAAAATCTCTCATGCATAGGTAGCAAAAGCTGCCCACTTTCTGTCACCAAAATGGGGGATTTCTCATGCGGGTTCGGCATTGCGGAAGCTTCTCGAAACCTGTCATGCTAGAGCTTCCATGCCAGACATTCTGTGTCATGCAAAAACAGCATGAATCTTCCAAACCCAGACATTTTTACACTTGATAAGTCGAGTACCGGTCCCGGGCATCGCAAGACTCGTCGTTTCCGGAACTGCTCGCAGTCGAGGACAGCAGCTCAGAATTAATCAAGTCTTTCATCGTGGTCCCGGGATCATCTCCAGCGGCAGACGTTTTGTGCATCTGTTCCAATTGCTGCTGCATCATGTGCATGCATGGCAAAAGGATCTTCGTACTGGTGGGAGAATTTTTCGAATTCTAGCATCACAAAAAATATTTTCTGTTTATTGGCAAGAAGAAAAGCTGAGTTTCTATGTAATGATGGTTTAGGAGTTTGGGAAAGATATTGGTCAAACGCCGCATGACTTAGACTTGTTCATGCAACGATTTCCACGAGTGCAGCGATGCTTTTGCGCAGGATAATTTCGGCCTGCTTCTGCAGCGCCGGGGCCGAGTAACTGTCGGCGCAGGAAGAACCTCTATCACCAGCAGAGCTACCGCCAGTCTTGCGCTTTCTGCTTTTCTATCAAATGTAAAAATGTCTGGGTCTGGAAGATTCTGAGACTTGTCATGCACGTTTTGCATGGGCCACGATGTCTGTGATGCATGCCCTAGCATCACAGACTTTTTCAGGGCTTCGTGATACCTATTCCGCATGACAAATGCCTTCTCCGCGTAGCCAAAATTGCATTCCCTTTGCTGGTCATGCAATACAGATTTTTTTGGAATCCAAATGCAGCATCACAAGTTCGGACTCTTCCAGACCCATATATTTTTACATTTGATATTTTCGTGTTTTCCGAGCTGGCGATCGAGCTCTTTCCGTCCGCGGTGCTGGCCCCGTTGTTCCTCTTTTTCCCTTTCCGCGTCGAGCCGCGGTCCGACTTTTGTTCGTGAAACTCCTTGGATTGAAAATGCCCCACTAACCGGCTGCTGTTCGTGGACACGAGGAGGTGGCGCATCTGGCACTCGCGTTCCATCACGCTCGTGCCCCCGTGCGTGGCGTGAAAATCGCGGAAGGGATTATCGCGGTTCTTCTGAAACTCCCCCCCGACCGTTCGCGGCGCCACTGCGGGCGTACTCTGCGGCTCCTGCTGATAATCGCGGTTGTTGTTTTTGTTTTGCTGCTTCTGCTGCTTGTTGTTCTCCTTGAACGAATTCGCTTGCTGGTCGCCGCCCGGGTGTGCGCCTGCGCCCCCCGAACCCGGACGGTGTTGCTGCTGTTCACCCTGATGGGCCGCGGGTGGTCCACCTGCTCCTCCCGGGTGCTGCTGCGGATAGTTCGAGGGATAATTATTGTGGTTGTATTTATTTTGCTCGCGAGGCGGCGGCGGACCACTGCGGAGGTTCTGATTTCCCTGTAGTTCTTGCTCCTTCTGATTGCCTCCGCGAAGTTGCTGCTGGTAGTGAGAAGTGTTGTTGTAGTCACCACCTCGTCCTCCTCCACGAAGATCGTCATGTTGCTGCTGCTGCTCTTGACCGCGGTGATGTTGCTGCTGCTCGTGCAGATGACCATGTTGACCTCGTCCGTGCATACTGTCCCTGCTATGGAAGCGTCAGGATTGAAATCGTCAAAGTTGAAATAACTTGTAATGCATAAAATCGATACCAGTTGGAAGCCCAATTTTCAAGCGGTGCATGACAAATTTTCCGAGCACCGGAATCCAATTTGTCATGCTGTTTGGGCAGAGACGACTGCTTTTGTCATGCTACTTTAGCAGCTCTACTCCAAACCCTAAACAGGCTGAGAGTCGGCCTCACTTGCCATCCCGGCAAGACAGGCAGTTCATGCCTTGCATTTTATGCATGAGAAATCATTTCAACTTTGTCGATTTCAAACCTGGCGCTTCCATACCGGCGCTTGTCCATGTAGTGCTGATCATGGTTGTAAAAAAACCCACCAGATGCTGCACCTCCACCGCCTCCGAACCTACCGCGGTTCTGCTGGTGCTGGTGCATCATCATCAGTTGTTCGCGCTCCCGCGCACTCACCGTGTAGTCGATCCGCCCGCTCTCGCGATCTCGAAGATCGCGCTGCATCTGCGCGCGCAACTCCTTCTGCCGACGCTCCATCTCCATCCGGCGCACGCGCTCGTCGCGGTCCCGCATCTCGCGGTCCAGGCTGTCTTCGTACTCGTAATTATTGTCTGCGTCTGCTCGGGGATCAAGAATTGCACCCGAAGTAGATCCGGAAGGTGGTGGATAGTTACCAGCACTGCGAGACGAATTATCCATGTAGTTGTTGCCCCCAACTCTCGTCGTGGTCCGCTCCTGCTCGTCAAGGCGAATCCGCATTTCCATTTCCTCCTGCATCTTGGTACACAGCGCCAGTTCGTGCTGTCGCTTCGTGGTTTCGCGGGAGGTCGCGGATCGGGAGGAGTTTTTGTCGTGCACTACCTGATGAGGTTCGTCGTGTTGCGCCTGCATATTCTGGTGCTGCTCTTGCTGAAACGATAAATTACGCTCCTCCATGTCTTCGCCATCGAGAATGTAGTTTCGATATTTGCTCCGTTGGTGAGCTTGAGAAAGAGGTTCTTGGTCCTGAAAACTGTGACGTTCTTGATGCATCATGTTATTCGGGCGCCGCAACCCAGACGTGTTGGTCGTGGCACCGATCCGCGGCGCATTACTGCCATTGTAGCTGCTACTCGCGAGGTCATCCTCATCGTAGAAATTGCGACTGTCATTGTCGTTCCTGTGGGGGACGAATCCCCGGCGTCCCTGATCCAGCAACATGACGTCGCGGCTACTCCCCGCGCCGCCCTCGCCTGGGCCCCCAGGCCTAATGTTCGGATACTGCTGGTGCGGCCCGCCGCTGCTGCCAAAATGCTGGCTCAGGTCCTGCTGACGATTGTTCCGCGCCCTTTGCTCATGGTACTGGTGCTCTAAATCGCGTAACTGCCGGCGCAAGTCGTCTCGCGCAACGCGGTCATGATCATCTTCACGACCATGATCCACCGGATGCTGTAGGTGCTGACCACGAGGATGCTGCGATGCTTGTTGATGAAACATCATGCTGCTACGGGGACTTCCCTGGAGGTGCTGGTGCAGCGGGGGCCCTGCACCAGCACGGGGTCCGTAGTGCTCCATCAAGCTGTCCTCGCGGTCACGATCGCTCGAACCGAACGCCGGCGCACGGGTGGGGGAAGTGGACGGATGTTGAACCAGCGAGCCGTGTAGTTGTTGCTGCGGAAGTTGGTTGGTGTTGTGTTGCAGGAGCTGCCCACGAGGACCGTCATTGTTCCCAACTTGATGTAGTTGACCGAGACCACCATGTAGTTGTGAGCCTACTCCTAGTCCTCCTTGCTGCTGCTGCATCAATCGTGTGGCCACGATGTGCTCATCGCCGGGGGTGACAAGTTTCCGCACCTCGTTGGACAGCAAGGCCGCCACCTCCTCGCGACCCATGACGCCCTCCAATGCATTATCAAATGTAGAAATGTCTGGATCTGGAAGAGTGCGCGATTTGTCATGCCGCTTTTCCATGACCCATGAGGTCTGGAATGCAGGACCTAGCATAACAGATTCTGTGTGATCTCTCTCATGCCTATCCTGCATGAGAAACTCCCTCGCGACTTGGTCAAAACTGGACGACTTTTGGTAATCACGCAACACAGATTTTTGCATGCTTCAGAATTAGCATGACAGGTTGCATTCTTCCAGACCCAGACATTTTTACATTTGATATGCATTGATCACGTACGATATCGCAGACCGGGCCGAGTTCGTCGCAAGACTGGCTTCCTCGGGCGACGCCTGTTGCTGAAAGGGCTGTTGCTGCTGCTGCTGCTGCGGAGGAGGGGCACCACCAGAAGTTGTGTTGGTGCTGGCATGTTGCCGCGCATGACTTTGCTGGTCAACTACATTGCTGTGGGAACAAACATCGTCCCGACGCAGCTGCGGAATCGGCAAAAGTTGCTGTTGCTCCTCCACCCCCGCCTGCTGCTCTCTGCCCCGCTGCAAAAGGTGTTGCTCCAACTGGCTTCGCAGCCACGCTTCGGTCGTCTGCTCCACGACCTTACCGCCTTGCTGCTGCTGCTGATTGCCAAGAACATGATCCAGTTGTCCACCTCCACCTTCGGCTTCTGTCATGCTGCCCACCAGATCTTGGTACGAAGAGTGCGAATTGTCCATCTCGGAAGTGGTGGTTTCTCGTGGTAGATGTTCATCTTGACCACCGTGTTGCTCCTGCCAAATGACACTGCTCGTATCTTCAGCTGCACCAACACGGAGATGTTGTTGATTCTCCTCGAGATTAAGATTTTTAACATGTTGATCCGTTGGCGTGGAAACGTGTTGACTACGCATCGCCTGCATGTTCATCCCGTGGATGGGCGGAATTTGCGGGGGTGGTCCACCACCAACCGCTCCTCCCGAGCGCGGGTTCGGGGGCGGATTGCCCGCGGGGCGCGGGGGCACGCCAGTCTTCGAAGACGAGCCTTTTCCTTGTTCGAGCACACCAACGCTGCCAGAATGATCCTGGCGGCCCTTACCGGCATTGGCGTCTTCGACAAAGGGAGCCGGAGCAATGCCTTTGTAGCTCTTGCCAGTACCACGCGCAGGAAGGCCAGCAGTTGTAGCTCCTGTAGTTCTATGCATTGCAAATATGTCTGGGTCTGGAAGATTGCGAGACTTCTCATGCTAGTTTGGCATGACTCTGAACTCTGTATTGCGTGGCCACGAAGTAGACCTCCTCTTGTCTGTCATGCAAAGACGATGTTTCTCATGCGGAATACGCACCACAGAGCCGCGAGGAAATCTGTCATGCTTGGCGGTGCATTACAGTGTGGTTATTATTCAGTGACATGCATCACAAGTTTCCAGACCCAGACATTTTCGCATTTGATAAGTTCCATCCCCACCTCCAGTCGGCGAGGAGCCGGAGATACTACTGCTCCCGGGTCTTTGACGTTGTTCACTACCACCTCCTATCAAATGCCAAAGTGTCTGGGTCTGGAAACTTGTGATGCTGGGTGCCGTATCATGAGGAGGCCACAAGTGCTGGCTCAGCATGGCAAGTTTCTGAGCTTCTAGGTGTTGCCTATTCTGCATGACAAACTGCGTTTCTGCATGACAGAAAAATGGGGCTCTTGGGTAATGTGCATGACAAATTCAAGAGTCATGCGAGACAAGCATGACAAACTTGCATTCTTCCAGACCCAGACATTTTTGCACTTGATACCTCCCTTCTGCGAATTCTTGCCGCTAGATGACCCATCACCGCTGCATATCCTGAGTAAAAACGTCCCCACCCCATAGTCAAGATGTGTAATCGGCTAGACAAACACAAATGAATCCACAAGTCTTGGCTGTTTTGCATGACAAATTTGGACTCACATAGTGTAGTGGTGTTTAAGGTAGTTCAGCAGCATCACAGATCCAGTATACCATGCTGATTGGAGCATGACAAACTTCGAAACACCAATAGAAAACGCTTGTCATGGGGCTCCGCATGAGAAACATTCTCATCGTGCAGATTTGCATTACAACTATGGGGTCGTGGGGATGTTTTCCAATACGATACTGCGCCCGCTTTTTGGCGCGGCTGGGTAGGAACCACCGAAGGAGGAGGACCCGGGCGGGGTATTCACGGGCGGGCCCGCCACGTCCCAGAGGCGGCTGTGGATCTTGTCCTGCTATCAAATGTAAAAATGTCTGCGTCTGGATGTCATGCAGATTTTACATGACGCATGACGTCTAGAATGCATAACCTGGCATCACAGATTTTTTTTTTAGCGGGCTCTCTGATGCCTATCCCGCATGATAAATACCCTCTCCATGTAGCACAAACTGGAGCCCTCTTGCTGGTCATGCAATACAGATTTTTGTATATTAATGCAGAGACAGCATCACAAGTAGTTGCAATCTTCCAGACCCAGACATTTTTACAGTTAATACCCGGCGGTCAAGATCCTGAATGTTCTGCGGGTTCCAGCGCGCCGACGAGTACGGGTGACAAAGTATCCATTGCAAATTATTATTGGTCGTCGATGGTATCAGGCTAAAGTATTTACGGAATCAGACTTATTCATGGAATCAGGCTAATGCAATCAGCTTTACCAATGGAATCAGACTAGTGGAATCAAACTAGTGCTGCGCTATCCAGTCCGTGCGTTGCTTGCGCCCGCGCACGGTCGGCTGCTGGGAAAACGCAGAGCCACGGAAAAACGGCCAACATGCGTGCACATGCTAAACACCCACCCGACAAGCCCCACGCCCGCCATTTGCTGGGGCGTGTCTTCGTTCCCCCCCCCCCACGCACCTCGACACCTTTCATACTCCCCTGCGTGAGTATGAGAAAGGGGAGGGTGGGCGCCTCCGATAGTCAAACAATCTGGGCAGTGCGAGGCGCCGCCGCCCGTGCGTGCCGGGAGGCGCTGCGCACAGGCGCACAAGGACCGGGAAGACAGCCTGCCTCGCCGCCGGCACGGCCCACCTCTATACGCCGGTGGTGCCAGGTCGCTAGCCTACGAGAGCCGCCGTGCTGCGACATACAGATGGCTGCGCCCTCGGGAAGGTGGCTTCCCCTAGGTCGGAGGGCGGCGCCTGGGGGAGCAGGGCAGTCCCAACCGACACATCTGCGCCACTGCGGCCCCGACCACTTGCAATGCGAGTGGAGTCGCCCCACCCAAAAATCGACTCGAAGCACCGACGCACGGCCCCGGCCCGTGCGGCGATGTACCAACCTGAGCAACTTTCTAGGCGGCCCACCGAACGGGCGGGGGGGCCGCCTGGTCCGTCGGTCAGTCGGTGCGCAAGGCCTGGAGCGCAGCTCCAACGCAGCCGGGGCGGGGCGCGGGGGGACAGACCAGGACAGGCAGGGCGGGATGGAGAGCATCGCACGCGGCGGCCGCGGCACATATATAGCGCCGCGCTTCTGCGCGTACAGAGCAAGGGGCTGACAGAAGCGCCAGAACGAATGGCCGGCAGAGCTTTCTGCGAGCACGCGCGGCACACGCCTGCGCTGCTGTGAGGCAGCGCCTATCATCCCCCTCGGCCTGTCTCGACCGGGTTTCGCTAAGTAAAAACACGGAAAACGAGGCCGATTTTTAAAAATTTGCGAGAGTTCCCCCCTTATTTTCCAACAAAAATCGCAAAAAAGAGCTGTCTTGCGGCTAAGTCCGGAAATTCCGCTCCCACAGAGCATCGCACTTTTGCGCGCTTTTTCGATGCAATCTAGAAGCAACGCAGCGAAGAAAGTAGGAGCACAGAGAAGCAATAGACCGAGGGAGCGCAATGGATAGAAGTAGTTCTTCTAGTTTCTCTCTTCTATGGTTGGCGCTTATTTTTCCACCTTTAAGGTTTTTTCGGATACTTCAGATTTTCATTTGTTTCACCTTGTCAACCGGGATCGCCACTAGCAAACTCCTGGCGCGTGTTTTAAAGTGGTCGCGCATGAAGTGCGCTGAGGAGCGAACTGAAACAGCTAAGCAGACATACATGCCCAACATGCAAACTAAGTCCCCAAGTAGAATCGCAACGCACAGCATTCAAGAACTGCGGGCGAAGTTGCGAGGAGACCAACGCGACCAGGTGGAGCTGCAAAACATGATGGACCAAAGCGATGCCTGCAGGGAGAGGGCGTTTCGAATGCATACGCACGATAGAGAATGCGCGGCCACCACATTCGTCGACGTACTCAGAGTCCGCTTCTCCTGATTCTATCCATAAGCTTGATTCTAGTATCTTGATTCTGCTCATTATTCTGATTCTACTATACTGATTCCGCTTGTAGTCTGATTCCATTAGTCTGATTCCGTTTACTAAGTCTGATTCCCTCTCTTACCATTATTATTTGTCTGGGAGGTCCTCTGGAATCTTGTGATGTGAAAATGAGATGAGGGCAACACCTCCGAACGCAGCCAGGAATGACAACTTTGCAATTGCAGAACGCGGCTTCCATCTCTTCATAGGAAGCCCGCATGAGAAACTGCGTTCTTACTTACCTGACAAAAGAGGCTGCGAGTTATTTTGTTGGTCATGCAATTACACAGATCTCCTCACAGGGATGCATATGCAACAAGACCTCCTGCATTACAAGTTCAAACTTTCCAGACCCAGATTACACATTTGCAGTGCATACGACGGTCCTGTTGCTGATTCGGATGTTGTTCATGTTGTCCACCCTGTGCACGAACAGGCTCTGCCCCCGCTCCTTGTTCTACTCGCGCTTCCCGGTGGTCGTCGTGATCACCTTCGTTTTCCTCGTTTTGGTTGTGCTGCTGCCCCCCTGCTGGAGGTACAACTGGACCACCACCTTTGGTGACAATGTGCGGCTGCGAAGGTAGTCCACCTTGCGTTTTGGAGGACGATTGGCCCGAAGAGAGGTTGCTCTTGTTCTTACCTCCTTTTTGGTGTGACTGCGGACCACCGGCACCGCCTCCGGACGAGTTGGGGTTGTTATTGTTCACAAGAATAGCTGCGTGTTCTTCATGCTGCAGGACGAGATTGTTCACCAACATCTGTTGGTGTTGCGTTTGATGCCCGCCGCCCGCAGCTCCTCCTGGTGGTCCTCCTTCGGGTGGAAACGGAAATCCGTGCGTCGACTGCATTTGCAATTGCTGCTGCATGGCCTTTCCCTTGTGCCCCGGCTGAAATTTGACCGGAGCACCGTGCTGCTGTTGCTGTTGACCACCCGTCGGAAAATTGGTGTTCTGACCTCCACCAACATCAAGTCCGGCGGGCCCTCCGGTGTAGTTAGTATAATTACCACCGCCTTTGTTCATCATATTCACATCGTGCTGGGAATGGGATTGCACGCGCGAACGTGGACGGAAGTGTTGCTGGTGTAGTTCTTGTCCACCTTGGAGGAGGTTCTGCGGTGTACCACCACCCGCGCCCCCGCGACCTCCGCGGGGCGGCCCGGACCATGGATTCAACCTCGGGTCAGGAAAATTTTCTATCATGTTCGGGTTGAAAAATTGGGGCTGATATTGATGACCCTTCATGTGCTGCTGCGAGTGCAGCTGTCCACCAGCCGCGG